ACATTGTGGAAACTCACTTGTAGTGTATAAGATGAACTAGATGGACCCATACTTATCCAAACATGGATTAATAGGTTCTACACATGACTATGAGGACAAACATGAGTGAAACGGTCTCAATCCAAGGGAGGAACATCAAATGGACCTAATTTGGGAACCGGAAGAGGTAAGGAGTCCGAAATGTACCTCTGTGACTCCACATTGTGGAAACTCACTTGTAGTGTATAAGATGAACTAGATGGACCCATACTTATCCAAACATGGATTAATAGGTTCTACACATGACTATGAGGACAAACATGAGTGAAACGGTCTCAATCCAAGGGAGGAACATCAAATGGACCTAATTTGGGAACCGGAAGAGGTAAGGAGTCCGAAATGTACCTCTGTGACTCCACATTGTGGAAACTCACTTGTAGTGTATAAGATGAACTAGATGGACCCATACTTACCCAAACATGGATTAATAGGTTCTACACATGACTATGAGGACAAACATGAGTGAAACGGTCTCAATCCAAGGGAGGAACATCAAATGGACCTAATTTGGGAACCGGAAGAGGTAAGGAGTCCGAAATGTACCTCTGTGACTCCACATTGTGGAAACTCACTTGTAGTGTATAAGATGAACTAGATGGACCCATACTTATCCAAACATGGATTAATAGGTTCTACACATGACTATGAGGACAAACATGAGTGAAACGGTCTCAATCCAAGGGAGGAACATCAAATGGACCTAATTTGGGAACCGGAAGAGGTAAGGAGTCCGAAATGTACCTCTGTGACTCCACATTGTGGAAACTCACTTGTAGTGTATAAGATGAACTAGATGGACCCATACTTATCCAAACATGGATTAATAGGTTCTACACATGACTATGAGGACAAACATGAGTGAAACGGTCTCAATCCAAGGGAGGAACATCAAATGGACCTAATTTGGGAACCGGAAGAGGTAAGGAGTCCGAAATGTACCTCTGTGACTCCACATTGTGGAAACTCACTTGTAGTGTATAAGATGAACTAGATGGACCCATACTTATCCAAACATGGATTAATAGGTTCTACACATGACTATGAGGACAAACATGAGTGAAACGGTCTCAATCCAAGGGAGGAACATCAAATGGACCTAATTTGGGAACCGGAAGAGGTAAGGAGTCCGAAATGTACCTCTGTGACTCCACATTGTGGAAACTCACTTGTAGTGTATAAGATGAACTAGATGGACCCATACTTATCCAAACATGGATTAATAGGTTCTACACATGACTATGAGGACAAACATGAGTGAAACGGTCTCAATCCAAGGGAGGAACATCAAATGGACCTAATTTGGGAACCGGAAGAGGTAAGGAGTCCGAAATGTACCTCTGTGACTCCACATTGTGGAAACTCACTTGTAGTGTATAAGATGAACTAGATGGACCCATACTTATCCAAACATGGATTAATAGGTTCTACACATGACTATGAGGACAAACATGAGTGAAACGGTCTCAATCCAAGGGAGGAACATCAAATGGACCTAATTTGGGAACCGGAAGAGGTAAGGAGTCCGAAATGTACCTCTGTGACTCCACATTGTGGAAACTCACTTGTAGTGTATAAGATGAACTAGATGGACCCATACTTATCCAAACATGGATTAATAGGTTCTACACATGACTATGAGGACAAACATGAGTGAAACGGTCTCAGATCCAAGGGAGGAACATCAAATGGACCAAATTTGGGAACCGGAAGAGGTAAGGAGTCCGAAATGTACCTCTGTGCTCCACATTGTGGAAACTCACTTGTAGTGTATAAGATGAACTAGATGGACCCATACTTACCAAACATGGATTAATAGGTTCTACACATGACTATGAGGACAAACATGAGTGAAACGGTCTCAATCCAAGGGAGGAACATCAAATGGACCAAATTTGGGAACCGGAAGAGGTAAGGAGTCCGAAATGTACCTCTGTGCCTCCACATTGTGGAAACTCACTTGTAGTGTATAAGATGAACTAGATGGACCCATACTTACCAAACATGGATTAATAGGTTCTACACATGACTATGAGGACAAACATGAGTGAAACGGTCTCAATCCAAGGGAGGAACATCAAATGGACCAAATTTGGGAACCGGAAGAGGTAAGGAGTCCGAAATGTACCTCTGTGCCTCCACATTGTGGAAACTCACTTGTAGTGTATAAGATGAACTAGATGGACCCATACTTACCAAACATGGATTAATAGGTTCTACACATGACTATGAGGACAAACATGAGTGAAACGGTCTCAATCCAAGGGAGGAACATCAAATGGACCAAATTTGGGAACCGGAAGAGGTAAGGAGTCCGAAATGTACCTCTGTGACTCCACATTGTGGAAACTCACTTGTAGTGTATAAGATGAACTAGATGGACCCATACTTACCAAAACATGGATTAATAGGTTCTACACATGACTATGAGGACAAACATGAGTGAAACGGTCTCAATCCAAGGGAGGAACATCAAATGGACCAAATTTGGGAACCGGAAGAGGTAAGGAGTCCGAAATGTACCTCTGTGCTCCACATTGTGGAAACTCACTTGTAGTGTATAAGATGAACTAGATGGACCCATACTTACCAAACATGGATTAATAGGTTCTACACATGACTATGAGGACAAACATGAGTGAAACGGTCTCAATCCAAGGGAGGAACATCAAATGGACCAAATTTGGGAACCGGAAGAGGTAAGGAGTCCGAAATGTACCTCTGTGACTCCACATTGTGGAAACTCACTTGTAGTGTATAAGATGAACTAGATGGACCCATACTTACCAAACATGGATTAATAGGTTCTACACATGACTATGAGGACAAACATGAGTGAAACGGTCTCAATCCAAGGGAGGAACATCAAATGGACCAAATTTGGGAACCGGAAGAGGTAAGGAGTCCGAAATGTACCTCTGTGACTCCACATTGTGGAAACTCACTTGTAGTGTATAAGATGAACTAGATGGACCCATACTTACCCAAACATGGATTAATAGGTTCTACACATGACTATGAGGACAAACATGAGTGAAACGGTCTCAATCCAAGGGAGGAACATCAAATGGACCAAATTTGGGAACCGGAAGAGGTAAGGAGTCCGAAATGTACCTCTGTGACTCCACATTGTGGAAACTCACTTGTAGTGTATAAGATGAACTAGATGGACCCATACTTACCAAACATGGATTAATAGGTTCTACACATGACTATGAGGACAAACATGAGTGAAACGGTCTCAATCCAAGGGAGGAACATCAAATGGACCAAATTTGGGAACCGGAAGAGGTAAGGAGTCCGAAATGTACCTCTGTGACTCCACATTGTGGAAACTCACTTGTAGTGTATAAGATGAACTAGATGGACCCATACTTACCAAACATGGATTAATAGGTTCTACACATGACTATGAGGACAAACATGAGTGAAACGGTCTCAATCCAAGGGAGGAACATCAAATGGACCAAATTTGGGAACCGGAAGAGGTAAGGAGTCCGAAATGTACCTCTGTGACTCCACATTGTGGAAACTCACTTGTAGTGTATAAGATGAACTAGATGGACCCATACTTACCAAACATGGATTAATAGGTTCTACACATGACTATGAGGACAAACATGAGTGAAACGGTCTCAATCCAAGGGAGGAACATCAAATGGACCAAATTTGGGAACCGGAAGAGGTAAGGAGTCCGAAATGTACCTCTGTGCTCCACATTGTGGAAACTCACTTGTAGTGTATAAGATGAACTAGATGGACCCATACTTACCAAACATGGATTAATAGGTTCTACACATGACTATGAGGACAAACATGAGTGAAACGGTCTCAATCCAAGGGAGGAACATCAAATGGACCAAATTTGGGAACCGGAAGAGGTAAGGAGTCCGAAATGTACCTCTGTGACTCCACATTGTGGAAACTCACTTGTAGTGTATAAGATGAACTAGATGGACCCATACTTACCAAACATGGATTAATAGGTTCTACACATGACTATGAGGACAAACATGAGTGAAACGGTCTCAATCCAAGGGAGGAACATCAAATGGACCAATTTGGGAACCGGAAGAGGTAAGGAGTCCGAAATGTACCTCTGTGACTCCACATTGTGGAAACTCACTTGTAGTGTATAAGATGAACTAGATGGACCCATACTTACCAAACATGGATTAATAGGTTCTACACATGACTATGAGGACAAACATGAGTGAAACGGTCTCAATCCAAGGGAGGAACATCAAATGGACCAAATTTGGGAACCGGAAGAGGTAAGGAGTCCGAAATGTACCTCTGTGACTCCACATTGTGGAAACTCACTTGTAGTGTATAAGATGAACTAGATGGACCCATACTTACCCAAACATGGATTAATAGGTTCTACACATGACTATGAGGACAAACATGAGTGAAACGGTCTCAATCCAAGGGAGGAACATCAAATGGACCAATTTGGGAACCGGAAGAGGTAAGGAGTCCGAAATGTACCTCTGTGACTCCACATTGTGGAAACTCACTTGTAGTGTATAAGATGAACTAGATGGACCCATACTTACCAAACATGGATTAATAGGTTCTACACATGACTATGAGGACAAACATGAGTGAAACGGTCTCAATCCAAGGGAGGAACATCAAATGGACCAAATTTGGGAACCGGAAGAGGTAAGGAGTCCGAAATGTACCTCTGTGACTCCACATTGTGGAAACTCACTTGTAGTGTATAAGATGAACTAGATGGACCCATACTTACCCAAACATGGATTAATAGGTTCTACACATGACTATGAGGACAAACATGAGTGAAACGGTCTCAATCCAAGGGAGGAACATCAAATGGACCAAATTTGGGAACCGGAAGAGGTAAGGAGTCCGAAATGTACCTCTGTGACTCCACATTGTGGAAACTCACTTGTAGTGTATAAGATGAACTAGATGGACCCATACTTACCAAACATGGATTAATAGGTTCTACACATGACTATGAGGACAAACAAGACCGAATTTGGATCCCCACAGATTCGACAATCAACAACCTTCAGAAGAAGATAATGCTATGTTACTTGACAGCTAACTGAAAATAAGAAAGCTAATGGATTTCGAGTTTTCAACTTACTTGTCCACAACCGCTGAACAAGCCAGCGAGGACTTCCTCAGTCACCTAAATTCAAATGAAGAATAACAAAATGATGCAAAACTGAAAATTCCTTGTCTGAAAAACCTGAAGAGAGACTTAAGTAATGACTTACACTCTGATCAATGTCAGAGACATATACTGTTCTTCTAATACTATCTTCTCTTTGAGCCTTTGAAGCTCTTCCAGTTAACCTCACCCTCCTCCCTTGGTTATAGCCAACGCCGTTTCTTCTCTGTCATCCACAAACCAAAAACAAAAACAGACAATTTAACAAAATTCAGTTGACCAAATGTTAAGTAAAGATCATATAAGTGTTGCAAAACTTGACCATGTAAACCAAATTAATAAAAAAAAAAACCAAAACTTTCTATCTCAGTCATCAATTGAAACCTCCAAGCTAGAGACTTTCCAGCACAAGAACCCAAACCCACTCAGAATCAAACCCAAAACAACCAAAAATCCAAACTTTTCAGCTGTGAGAATCCAAATTTAGTCAGAAATTGTTACCCTCCGGTTAAAGCCATCCTTTTTGTTGTCACCGTCAAATTCTTCAGCAGATGGCTTCTTAGAGATTACAAATTCGTCAGAAGACAGAGAGTGGTTGTTCTTCTTGTAAGAAGGGAAAAACTCCTTAGCTTCCGGATTCAGCTTCTTAAACATCGCCACAAGCTTCTTCATTTGATCAAACTCCGGTTCGGATTTGGGTTTGAGGTCCGATTCGATTTCCGGTTTAGAATCTGGCATCAGACTCTTCTCAATTCCGCCGGCGATGACGTTGTCATGAACGGAATCGACGTCAGTGGGAATTTCAGTGATCGCAGCCATTAGATCAGAGATTCCAAATAAATTAGAAAACCCACAACAGCAACAAAAGATCACAATTCAACCAAAAACAGGAGACGGAAATAGAAAAGTTGTGAGCTTTTTATTCTCTCTTTCGTTCGTATTTTATTAGAAATGCAAGATGTGATATAAAGTATTTGGCTTTAAATCCAGAAATGAGAGTATTAAGGAACACCCATTTCAGAATTCCAACCAAAGCAGATGAGAATGCCTGATCGTAGATATATGATTTGGAATCTAATGTTCTATGAGAGAGAGAAATCTGATACGGTGGTTTCAGACGGTGGCGAAGAAGAAGACGACGAAGAAGAAGGAGAAGAAGGAATGATGGGTTTTGATTTTGGTTTTGGCTTCCTTTTTGGCCTTTTCTTACTCAAATGGACGCGACGCAGACTCTCACAAGAGTGCTTCTCTTCTTTTCCGGGGAAATAATTATTTTTAAAGAAAAATTACGTCAAAGAAACAAAATAAACAAAGAGAAATAAATATTTCTTTATTGTTTCCTTATTCCTCTTATGGTGCTTTAGATAATTACATATAAGCCTCAATATTTATTTATTTTCTCCATAATTGCCCCGATTTTAGATTTCGAACTTTTCAATCCAACGGGATCCTGTTAAGGGAAAAAAAATGGAAGGAATTCTTTACACACCACCAAAATAAAATAACAACATTCTTCACAAAAATAAAAGAATACTATTTTTCTCAACCCTGAAGGACTAGAATTTTAAATTTATTACATACCACTATTATAATTTGTATTTTTTTTTTGTGGATACCTTATTTCTCTTTCACACGGAATGCATTGAAATGTGTTTCTTAAAATGTTTTATCATTTAGCATCAACAAAAAACAGTTGCTTTCTTTGAACTTTCATTTTCAACATAATAATTTCATAATACGTCCGTTGTTTCTGCTCCATAAATCTTTGGATTTGTTGGGATTTTTCATTCTACTATTTAATTACTGATGGGATTCTTGACAAGAAAAGAAAAAGAAATAAAAAGGCAAATTGCAGGGATGCTTATTTCACTTTTTTTTTTTATCTGCTTTATTCCTATTTTGTTACTTTTTATATTATTTTCCGTTTCTTCTTAAATTTGGTTTTCATTTTCATGAAATCATCATAGCTTGGAGGCAAAAGTTTGAAGACTACCCACTCAAATGGAAACCAAGAAGTGGGAATAAAGTGGGAAAAGGAATAATTTCTTCATAACTCTATGTTCCTTCTTGTATCTCTCCATTGCTACATGATGATCACAAATTCACAAATGGACAAGTTTAATGATAAACAGTTGTTAACAAAAAACAGTAACCATACAACAACTTGTTAACTTTTTTTTTCTAGTGCAAGTAAAGAAAATGTAAACGAACTAAAAGTCTAAAATTTTGATTACATGAAACATGTTTATCTTCCTATATTCTTTTCACTAGTTTAATATATGCTGCTATAATATTTATATATGGAAAAATTTGTGTGCCGTCTATTAAAATATGAGAAAAAGGTTAATTGGTTCAGAAAATTGGCAAAAGATATGATGCAATGTAACTACAGCTGCGGTTTCCTGAAAGATGCTAACCAAACAAAAAGATAAACATCAGCAAATTCAGAACAATGTCGTATTTTCTTTTCTTTCCATAATAGTATTCGATATCAATTGGTTTTTTATCCATTGTAATAGACTATACATAGTATGATATACGTAGTAGAAGTAACAAAAAAAAGTTGTTCTTTCGATACCCTTTTTAATAGTTTCACGTATAAACAAACAGCTAAAAATAGTTGGCAAGTTGACTTGACACAGTCTTGCAATTCGTTCACGGAATCGGTTCGCAATATCCTTTATTTATTTTGCATAATTATCTGCTCATGCCGTTTAACAATTAAACACGTGGTGTATATTAAAAATGAAATATTTAATTGGTTGATAGCCATATCCTGAACAAATATGTTTTTTATATATCAAAGGTATTATCTAACATATGGCCACGACCATAAACTATGAGTTTATTTTGGTGGTCCTATCCACCTTTATATTCGATACTTCATGAGCCTTTTTCTTGTAAATGCTAAGAATTGAACGGCTTCTCGCCATAGAGACTAGAGAGCCAGTCTGATGATATCAAAGCTATGAATTAGGAGAATAACAAATCTTGTGCTCTAGATTGTTCATTGGTTGAAGTAGTACAGTTATTTTACTGGGCTTGGGGGACAAAGCCCACAATTATATTCCGACCCAGATACCCGACCCGACTAAACTAACAAAAACGGATTTCGTAAGATTAAAGCTTTTGTAAGCGGGACCCGTTTATTTCCTGTCAAAGTCAAAGCTATTATTGTTTAATGAAGTGATGCTTAGAAAATGGGAAACTGAAGTACTACTGAAGATTGAAGAAGAGGAAAGAGGGAGAACCAAAACAGGAAAAAAACGTTGACTTCAATGGCGGATCGAAATAGGAGCAGAAGCTTTCTTAGAGATGAATACGTAACGTATGCTTCCATTCTTCTCTACATCATTCTCTCTAGCGGTCAAATCTTCTTCAATAAGGTTTAAATCAAATCTTAAGCTCTGGTGTTCTTGGATCTACGTTTCCTGATTGCATTCTTTCTTCTCAAGATTTCAGTTAGATCAGGGCATTCGTTTTGGAGCTCTTTTAGGGAATTATGTTTCATATGAAACCGAATTTTTATTTCTTGTTGTTCAGTTAGAATTTTTATATTGTTCATTTCGGATTTGGGAAAAAATAGCAAAAAAATATATATATATATATATATATATATATATATATATATATATTTGTAGTGGGTTTGAATGTATTCCTGCAAATTAAAAGTATTCATTTTTTAATTAATTTCAGTTTGGTTGGTTAGATTTACAAAATTTGGATTCGCTTTATTCAGTAAAAGAAAATTTCTATTACTTGGTTTCAGATTGATGAACTTCAGTTTGCTTATGTTCTTTATTTATCAGTTCAGTTCAGTTTTTTTTCCCTGCCATAATTATATTTCTGACTTCTTGTAATGCAGTGGGTATTGTCATCTAAGGAAATAAACTTCCCATATCCACTTGGATTGACTTTACTTCACATGACCTTTTCCTCTGTTTTGTGTTTTCTCCTCACGAAGGTTTTTAAGGTATCTTCTCATTGGTTATTATGACGTTTTCTTTAATGCTCTTAAGTCAAAACGTTTAAATTCTAATGTTAGTCTTCCCCATAAAGGTCATAAAGGTTGAGGAAGGAATGACATTAGACATGTAAGGAAGAAATTAGCAAATTTTATTTTATTTTGGAGTTGTAAATACATTTTTAACTAAGAGTACTCTATGAACTCAGATATGTCACATCAGTTATTCCAATAGGTGCAATGTTTGCAATGACTCTATGGTTGGGGAACACTGCTTATCTCTACATAACGGTCGCATTTTCCCAAATGTTGAAGGCCATTAGTAAACAATTTACCCTACTTGTTTTCTAATCTCATTTGAACATTTTTACTTTAAAATGATCTTAACAAGAGTTATATTTTGCAGTGCCTGTTGCTGTGTTTATACTTGGAGTTTCTGTTGGGCTTGAAATAATGAGCTCGAGGATGCTTTTGATAATGTCAGTCATAAGTTTTGGCGTTTTAATCGCCTCTTATGGAGAATTAAACATCATCTGGATTGGAGTTGTTTACCAAATGGGTGGTATTGTTGCAGAAGCTTTGAGGCTAATATTAATGGAAATTCTTGTTAAGAGGAAAGGAATCAAATTAAATCCCATCTCTCTTATGTACTACATGAGCCCTTGCAGGTATTGTGATGAATTCGAATTAATTATCTAGTCTCATGTTTTTTAACTTTTAAAATAATCCCAAGTTCATAAAAAACATTATTAAGATAAATATTTCACACTTTTTCTAAACCAAAATTCAAGTACTTTTCAAAATTTGTATTAAAATTTGTTTCTATTCTAGGGTTTTTGAGTTTTGCATAAATAGTAACGAAAATTTTATATTTCCTTATAAGACGAAGATGTTTTTCATATTCAATTTTTCTTTGAACTTTCTTAATGTGTGTGTGTTGCAGTGCTATTTGTTTGTTCATACCGTGGATATTTCTTGAAAAACCGAAGATGGATGCTAATAGTAGCACATGGGACTTTCATGTTCTTGTGTTGAGTCTTAATTCGCTATGTACATTTGCTCTCAATTTGTCGGTTTTTCTTGTGATATCTCACACAAGTGCTCTCACTATCCGAGTTGCTGGTGTGGTTAAAGATTGGATCGTTGTTTTGGTCTCAGCTCTTCTCTTTGCTGAAACAAAACTTACAATGATCAATCTATTCGGTTACGCCGTTGGTAAATACCAAAAACTCTTTTTATTTTCATTACAAGCAAACTGAGGATAGGATTAAGACGTAAGTGTTATGAATGTGATATATATTGTGAAATGTTTCAAATGCAGCCATCGTCGGTGTAGCTTCGTATAACAAGCATAAGGTGAAGAAACCCATTGAAGGAGAAGGCAAAACGTTGGCTTCTCAATCTCCGATAGCGCCCGGCAAAGAATCCGGCGAGTCATCATAGTTTTTTTGTCACTGGAAATAGATACTTTTATTACCAAGGTCCAAATCCATAATTGTTTATAACACGAGAAATTAAATCTTGACTAGACCGAGGAATATTATACCGGGAAACTAAAAATTGATTTCTGTGATAATTTTAGGTCTTCTTATATTTGTTGAATTTTTCGGTTTGTTTATTTGATTGAAAATTATTTGTTTCGTCTGTGATTTTCTTTAATTTACGGTACGACGTGTCACGTGTACTATGGAAAATTTGTACTAGTTCCGCAAATCACTCACTTGGAACAAAAGTGTGTACTTTTGTCTACTTTTTCTGGTCTGAACTCTGAACTAAAAGTCTAAACCTTAAAAGTTAAAAGTAGACTGATCACTGATGTATGATGTATCTCATATCTAGCTATCTTTCCACACGTTGACATTTTTATACGTCATCTTAATGATTGGGAATGTTCTGAATACCATGGATTGGATTTGGAACATGAATTTTTCATTTTCATAATGAAGATGAAAATTTGATTAAACCCTTTAAAAAACAAAACAAAAGTAATGTAAATCCAAAATTCATGTTCCCGAATTTATAACGGGCTTACAACAGCTATGCTACAAAAGCCCAATAGCGATTAACCCAAAAAAACGTCGACGTGGCAGCTAGTGTTCCAGATCTCACATCGCATCCTCGATGTGCCACGTGTTCAACTTCTGTTACTTCTCATTTCGTGGATGTCAGAGAATAGAAGAAAGAACAATTCAAAATTGTCTACTTTTGAACAAGTTTCGGCGAAACCATTAAGGTGATATGTGTGATGGCTTCTTCTAGTGGATTAACTTTACAATCAAGCTTTGTCTCAGCGAGAGCAAGACTCGATTCCGTCTCCAGGCCCAGAAAATCTCAGTTCTCTTGTCCTTCTCTTTCAAGACCTAGAAACTCGAGTCTCTCTGTTTGTTGTTCCATGGGTTCCTCTGCTTCTTCTCAGAAACCAGACAACCTGCAAGGTCATCCTCGTCTTTTTCTCTACTTTCATTTCTATTGATTCAATTTCGCCGATAATCATACCAAAGTCCCAATTTTTATGTCGATTCAATTCACGTTGTCTTAGCTAATGTAGTTATCGAAAAATGGTTTCTTTCGTTCTGGGTTTAGGTTAACTATGCATTTCGTAAAGTAAACGAGTTTTGAGACCACAAATTGAGTTATGTTTGATGATTTTGATGTTTGGAAGAGAGCTTAGATCAGCTAAATTTACATTTGTGTCACTCATTTGATTATGACAAATTTGGTTAAAGAGAACTCTTTGATGTGCAGAAGCTGAGAAGAGTGGCTTTACTTCTCTAAGCGAAGACGAATGGAAGAAACGGCTCACACCAGAACAATATTACGTCACCAGACAAAAGGGAACAGAGAGAGCTTTCACTGGGTATGTAATCATTCCTAATCCAAGTTTTGGTCCTTTTAAACATCATCACAATGACCTTTTAAATTGTCTCAAATCCTGTAGTCAACATTTTTGAAGTTAATTAACATCTTTTGTTTTTTTCAGAGTGTATTGTAACACAAAGACCCCAGGAGTATACAATTGTGTATGTTGTGACACACCTCTCTTTGAGTAAGTTCCTTCTAGTTGAACATAGGAAGCTAATTTTCTTGAATTTGTGCCCCTGATGATGATGAATGTGATAATTTTCTTGCAGCTCATCGACGAAGTTTGATAGTGGAACAGGGTGGCCATCTTATTACAAAACAATTGGAAACAATGTGAAGACGAAGCTTGACCTATCTATCATCTTCATGCCTAGACAAGAAGTTGTCTGCGCTGTTTGTAACGCCCATCTTGGTCATGTCTTTGATGACGGTCCACGCCCAACCGGAAAACGATTTTGCATCAACAGGTTTCACTACCATCCTTAAAAACTCAGACTTTCAAATAATTCCCAATATTTTCTTTCATTTGATCAAAGAAGAGATACTAAACTGTTTTTGTGCTTTGTTTGTAGTGCTGCTCTGAAATTTGAGGCATCGGAGAGAGCAAGAGACTGAGAGTTTCTTCTGGTGTACAAGGATTTGTTCATATAATATATAGTTTCATTGTGATTCCTTGTATTGATATCATTCTAACTTCTAAGTCAACTGTAATCACATGTAATACACAGAAGTACCAAATAGAAGATTTAAACTTTTTAAGTTGATTCCACGATCACATTCTTAAATGTAATTAAATCCAATCTCTTCCCCACGTCTACACCACATTGGTGTGTATTTATATGCTCTGTGTCATGGAGCTTGTAGAACAAACACAATGGTGAAAGAAAATGGGAAAGTTGTGGTTTTGGACTTTTGGGCAAGTCCGTATTGCATGAGGACGAAGATTGCGTTGAGAGAGAAAGGAGTTGAGTTCGAGACTCGAGAGGAAGATCTGTGGAACAAGAGTGAGCTGTTGCTGAAATTAAACCCTGTTCACAAGAAAGTACCTGTTCTTATCCACGAGGACAAACCAATATCTGAATCTCTCATTCAGGTTCAGTACATTGATGAGACGTGGACCGATGCTTCCTCTTTCTTGCCCACTGATCCTTACCAAAGAGCTCAAGCAAAGTTTTGGGCTGATTTCGCTGATAAAACGGTAACTAGTGTTAACAACATTTCAGTTTTGTTTCCTACTGTAATAGGTTTTGAAAACAATCTTGATTTGCTTTATATCTCCAATCCAATGCAGATATCGTTTGAAAGTGGAAAAAGGATATGGGGAAACAAGAAAGGAGAAGAACAAGAGAAAGGCAAGAAAGAGTATCTCGAGAGCTTGAAGGTTCTTGAAGCTGAGCTTGGAGACAAGATTTACTTCGGAGGAGATACATTTGGTTATGTAGACGTAGCTCTTGTCCCATTCTACAGTTGGTTCTACGCACTGGAGAAATGTGGTGACTTCTCTGTCGAAGCTGAGTGTCCAAAGATCGTGGCTTGGGGAAAGAGATGTGTTGCTGGACGTGACAGCGTTGCTGCTACATTGCCTGAATCTGAGAAAGTTTATCAACAAGTCCTTAAACTCAGACAGATTTTTGGTGTTGAATGATGAGTGCAACAAGACTTTAACCTTTTATCTTTTGACTTGACCTCTTTCAATGTTTTCTTTTGTTTTGCAAATGTTTTTGACAAATAATTGGCTATTTCTTTCTTTGTGTATGATTTCATCTGTTTAAATGTTGAAGATGTTTGTTACTCTGTTATTCAATTCCATTTTGCAATTTTTGATTGTTTTGAACTAGAAAAATAAAAATGATCACAATTTTAAGATGATATAGACATTAGAACAAAACTGTAGAGTGATAAATTGCAGTTGTTGTTCTAAAAGATGATACTTTTACATATCGCTTTAATAGAGAAAAGAAAAAACAAACTAAATTCAGGAAATCTTGAGCTAGATGAGTGACTAAGAAGCAGTTGACAAAACAAAAAAGGAGGTGTTTTATGTTCCTAAGAATCTTATCATATTTGTTGTCTCTACCGAGTTGGTATCTAATGGTCTAATCGGATACGACATTCCAATATCTCATGATGTGATCCATCAAAATACATAAGAAAAGCTTTGCAATTGCATCACATGTATTAGTGCTCTTTTGACAATGTTGAATGTTGATGAGTCTCTAAATGGCGAATACTATATACTCTCACCTTTTTTTTTGGGTATGGATGTCATATTCTCTTCATCTTTGCAATTGCAATACAATATTAATGAGTCTCCAAATGGCAAATACTAAATATTCTCACCTTTTTATGCTATGAATGTTATACAACCTTATAGGACAGCCTCGAAATTTCTACTTATATTCCATGATATCTACAAAAAATTGAAAGAAATGGCAATTCTTTCAATAAGAAAAACAGAAATGTTATAAAGAATATTTCAGATTTTTTGGAACGATCAGTGACTTCTTTATGTCGATCAGCCACAAGAAGACTATGAGCCCAATCTTAAGAAAAATACAACATGTCGACATTTATGTCGCTGACTATATATGATGCCGTTGGAGTAGTGAGGTACGAATATCAACTATTCACATAAGATTGAAATTCGATTTTGATAATTTAAAGTCAGCCAATCTTGTAAAGTAATTATCTTGCTCAATATACGGTTCTGGTCAAAATTCCTTCTTATTTTTCTTTGCTTGCATTGCATGCACTAAAAGTCTAAAACTATATGCAGCATGGATAAAGAATAGTAATTGCATAAAATTATGAAAGTAGTTCACACAAGTCGCACTACATATGCCTATAAATACCTTCATCACGAGAAAGAGCTTTGACATGACAGGATCAGACGATAAGAGGAGAGTTTAGAAAAAAAAAACATTGACGATGATGATGATGAGAGTCTCTTTCTGTATCAAAGGGTCTTGCATGGAAGAGAACAGAGAATGAGATTGAGCCAAGGATGACTTGCCGATCTTACCAACGAATCTATAACTGATTTCGGTGCCCGGCAAGTTGACCTTGGCTCTGTTTCCTTCTCTTCTTTTCGATGTCAGGCTCCAGATATCTATCCACATGTGACATGTCATCATCATCACCACCATTAGCATCATCATCATTGGATTGTGTAACTTCAATGAAATGTGATTTCTTGTCCGCGAATATGTGCTTTCGTATATCCTAACATGGTATATTGCTATATGCAATCCAATTTAAGGTTTTGTTCTAATATTTTAGTTTTATCAGCAGGCTCGTTCTGATTTTGAGATCACCTATAATCAAATTTTAATTGCTTGTTGAAATGCATATGTGAAGGAAGATCAGGAGAATATAGCCACCACTTATGGATTTCACCAAATTCGAACTCGTTATCATAAGGTAAAGAGATTACACACTTAGCACTCAATCATTGTAACCAAATCAAACCAAAACAAGCCACTTAGCTAAAACTCACAACATATGTTCTAGTCAATAGATATATTACAAACAAAAAGCAAGCAAAAGTCTTGACGCCATCTTAACAGACTTTTGAACCATCTTTAGTTGGCTGTGATTCTTAGCGAGCTTCATACTGAACAACTGCAAAAGAATGAACAAATTCACAAGATAGATAAGATTAGCACTGCATGTAGACTTGAGATTTAGACTTGATAGAGAGATAATTAACTCACTTCTACGGGTACGCTTCTTGTAGAGAATACGGTACCCACACTCTCTGCATTGGATCACATCACCAGACTTCAAAGTGTTCTCTTGTCCACAATCTTCAAAACACCAAATATGATTCAGAAAAACAAGTTAAGCAAACGACGGTAAAAATGCAAACTTTACTCACAAAAATATCAGAAATTTTCAAATATAATGTATGAGGCTGCTTGGAAGAAGCTTGATTTGAGAAAAAAGTAAGCCTCCTCCTCAAAAAGACCTCAATTTTCAAATTGATTTATGCCTCCTAACTAAGCCAATTATGAAAATTGCCTATACGATTAGGCTTCATAAGGCTACTCAAAAGAGGCATATTCATAGCTTAGCATTTCAGAGCACAAAGCTACGATCTTTCACAGAGACTAAAAGCATATCATAATTAACTTCAAAAAAATATTTCGATGAAGATGGTTCGAGCTTACCTCCGCATACGTAAGTAACTGGTTCGGGTTGTGGATCCATGATATCGAAATCGAATCTATTTATTCAACAAAGAAAAATCAGAACAGAAATCGAATTGGGTCAGAGTCTTTTCGAGTGATTCGAAACGCAACGGGAAAATAATCTTTTGCTCGTCTAAATTTAGACAGAATTACTGAGATGAGACTGATTTCATACTTACCCTACAAAGCTAGGGTTTATGCGGAATTAGGTTTTAGTGTCTGATTTTGAGAGAAGACGACGAAGGAGCGAAGAGACGAGAATGGAGGAAGGAAGAGACGACGTATGGAGATTTATAATAATTATGGGCTTATTAACAAAGATAATTATAATATGGGCTTATACTAAAGGCCCATTTAAAGGTTGTTTGATGTAGATGTCGCTAATTTTGTTGAATTGCATGGGATGCAATTTAATTTAATTATTACATAGTCTGTGAGTAGCCCTAGCTATATTGCTTTTAGATTTGTTGAGCTAATTAAGTATAATGGGTCACCATGACACACCAACCAACAACAAGTAACAACTTTATTAATTTTCACAGGAGGAATTGCTGCTGAGAATTTTTGTTTTTATAATAAGTTAATATACATAATTAGCGGGAAATGTTTGTAATCATTGAATGAAACAGAAGCGATGGCTGCAGTTCAATGTATCTATCTGAAACCCATATGCTGTGTTTTATTTTAATTTTTCTGATAAAGATTATGATATGTTTTACTTTTTAATATTATTATTATAAGTTCTTTTTGGTGGCCACCAATATGATGATTAGGAGCTTCTTGTTATGTTTTGATTATAATGAACGTTGTTACATGTGACCATTTCAAAGTTGATAATGCATTGGACTGACCCAAAAAATGTGGGCGTCAGGCTTTGGAGATCCTCAATTATAGTATATTAATCAGAAGATTAGTATAGGGTTTACGACAATGTGCATTGCATCTCAAAAGAGAATAACTTCCTTAGGTCCGTAACGTCTCTTTAAATTTGATGGAAAAAGAATTATAACTGGTATAATTGTATGAACTTTGGACTCTCGGCTTACAATCAACAATGTTCCAGCTAGCACACAATCTTGCTAGACGCAGTCCTCAAATTTTGATTTTTAAATCTTCAAGAATGTATTCTCCGGAAAGTTTATGTTCGCTATTGAATTGCGATTATGTAAACTCTTTAATTTTATGATATTCTTATTTTGTAGAAAATATATATATATATATAGAGAGAGATGAAAATATTTTCAGTCTTTCTGAGGTAGTTGCGACAAAATGCAACTATACATTACATGTAAGGTCATATTCATTCAATCTTCAAATAATTCTTTCACCTAATTATATCCAGGTTGGATTCTATGCCTCCTATGCCTAATAATACTAGTTTGTTAGTATCTCACTAATATTCTTTGCCGCTTCTCTTTTCGGATACAGTTTATCTTAGCATACCAAATTCAAATGAAAAATGGTAAATACTTGTAGTTTGTGTTTACAACTTGTTACAAGAGTTGGTCTAGTAACGTCATCATATTTATATACATATATGAAGTAAAATGTAGTTTACCGAACAGCCCATGTAGGTAGTTAATTAAATACCCTTAACTAAAATTTGAATTAAGTACTTGCAAATGTCATTATGGTGTTCAATTATCGGTTAACACAATACTTTGGTGAAGATCCTCATGTTTTCCCGATCCTTCAAATTTTGTTTTATAGAAATGTATTTTGCAACTTGTATATGTATATTCCCACCCTCTAAATAATAGCTTAACATATAACTCCAAACAAAACAATCACATGTCTTTGTTTAGGACAAACGAACCGTTCTTTAATCAGGTGGCCTTGTATTGTTCGTAAGTAGCATACGATTAAAGAACTAGTTGTACACTTGGTAAAAATTAGTATAACGTTGTTGTTATTATTATCTAATCTTCATGATAGTTGCATTTACGACAATTAAAATGTATAACGTTTGTTATGAAACGAATTGAACAACCAAAATAATCCGATTTGATTGATTAAATCTGATGATAAATTGAGAGTATATATGCAAGCAAAGTCAACTATAAATTTTATTTTGTAAAACGATTAATTTAGTAACCAACCAACAAACTGGCGACTTAACGATAAAATATATAAAATGGTATCAACATCTTTTGAGTCTCCTATCAATACTATTTTGAAGAAAAATACAAAATCAGAGTTTATAACATATCACATATATGTCATCTTATCATTATTTTTGGATTTATTATTATTTTGGGTCCTAGCTTTTTTTCTTAAGACTTGTTAAATTATGAACAAACAAATGAACCAACTAAACCACGACATATACCTACATTGATAAAACACATTATCCTAACAAAATTTTGAATCGTAAAACGTTTTCGATGCAAGTTTCATATTTTCATGTATGTAACAACCTGAATGATTACGAGCAGCACAAGGTCATAAGTTTATGTCGTCAATAACTAATTTCTAATAATGGAATCTCATTACGACAAAATAAAATTTATGGTTAAGTTAGGAAGTTAATGGGTGTCATTATTGAAGAATAATTAACTCTAATAATCTACTGGTATCACACTTAATTAGTCCAGGGTCCAGACGGCATATGTTAAAGCGACAAATGTGAGTCCTCTGCTAACCACGTGGCAGACAAAATAAGACTTTTGATCAAGCGTGGGTCCCGCTAAGGTAAAAGGCCTTACTATTGGCCCATCACATGTATTCAGTTCCCATATTCTTTTTAACATGCGAATTCCACTCTTTGTTTCCAATGAAGGAGTAGAAGATATAAAATCGTTTCCAATGATTTTAATTAGTATTTATAAATTACAGAAAATGTCAGAAACGAGTAACATAAATATAGAGATCCGGTCAAACAAAGTTATGAAGCATTAATGCACTTGAATTTATTGTCACTGCGCCAAAAGGCTGAAGGAAACATGACTTGTATTTTCTCTTTGAAACACATCTAATGCATGCATGCATGAATACATTGATATTTATCTCCTTGTAGCTTAAATACATTACATTATTTCTATTGTGAAAAAGCTTTTTTCATGTTAGAAGATACTTCTCTCAATCAATTTCTCTACACCACATAATGATTTCCATAACGATGGACTTGGGTTAGCCAATCACTTGGATAGTCATAAACTGAAGAGGTGTTAACGTTTGTTCGTGACAATAATACTCTATAACGTTTGATATGAACAATATTTTCTTCTATCAAGTGAGTTAATGTAACTATCGAGCATTAAATAAAAGTGTAGTCTAAGAAAATGTGTCAGTATAGCTGTGGCCTGTGTACGAATTGCTTCTAGCTACTATGCGTTCGTGTCATTTTCTATTGGTCATCGTTCTTAGCTCGACAATTTCATAGATCAATTTGAGTTTCATTAGTTCTAACAGAAAATACAAAAATGTATAGGGTCTTCCCACGGAATTCAACACTTCCAAACACAACAACATTAATTTTTGGTTTCTAAACCCATTTAGTAATAAAAAATTAGTTCCCAAATTTTTGTAATGAATAATTAAAGAAATAATTAAGAAGCTAAAACCGACGTTCATTTGTTTATTTTTATGGAACCAGTATTGCAAACCGACGTTCTTCTTTTTTATAGTCTATCCTATTCCTACCCGTCAAAATATTAAAATCATATACATGTTCTGAACGTACGTTGAATAAATCACAAATAACATTTGTTTTTGATAAATTTTTGTTCTCGTAGACTTGTAGAATAATTAGTTAGTGAATGACCCTGGTATAAACACAAACGAAACTTTGAAAATGTTCATATTCCATGTTTATGGAAACTTGGAAAGAGAAAAACCCATGTGCTCTTACTTACAGAAATGACCCATTGTGAGGTCAAACCACCATCTCATCTTTGTCCTTTCACACAAGTCAACCCTTATTTACTCAAAACCAACATTTATTAACATTTAAAAAAATCACTAATCAACAAATTTTCGTTAACCATCTTCTCTCTATATATAAACTCATCAACACCTTCAATCTCCTTACCTCACAAAACCCAAAATAAACCTCATCGGAAAAAAAAATGGAAGACGACAGTTATTTCCCTGACACCGATCTCGATTTCAGCTTCACCTCCACAACCACAGACCGTACATTCGCCTCATCAAGCGCTCGCTCGAGTCTCACTCGCTCAAGCCTCACATTAAGCTTCAACGACAGACTCTCCACCGCCACAACCCCTTCAACCACCACTTCCTCCGCTCCAACCACACTCCACCACCGTCGCTACGATCCTCACTGGACAGCAATCAGAGCCGCAAACACTCTCTCCTCCGACGGACGGCTCCATCTCCGCCATTTAAAACTCGTCCGCCACCTCGGAACCGGGAATCTCGGCCGAGTTTTCCTCTGCCACCTCCGTGATTGCCCTGACACCACCGGATTCGCGCTTAAAGTAATCGATCGCGACGCTCTCACGGCGAAGAAGATTTCGCACGTGGAAACAGAGGCGGAGATCCTCTCCATGCTTGACCACCCGTTCTTACCTACACTCTACGCACGAATCGACGCTTCTCACTACACGTGTCTCCTCATCGATTACTGCCCCAACGGAGATTTACATTCATTGCTCCGGAAACAACCTGGTAACCGGTTACCGATTTCTCCGGTTAGATTCTTCGCCGCCGAAGTCCTCGTCGCACTAGAGTACCTCCACGCTCTCGGAATCGTTTACCGAGATCTCAAACCGGAGAACATTCTAATCCGTGAAGATGGACACATCATGCTCTCCGATTTCGATCTCTGTTTCAAAGCCGATGTAGTCCCCACTTTCCGATCTCGACGAATCCGGCGAGTCTCGTCTCCTCCGTCTTCTCCGTCGTCGCATCGGAGATTGTTAAGAAGTCGCCGTATAGGCGGTTGCTTCTCCGCGGCGGAGGTAGAGTACGAGCGAGAAGAAATCGTGGCGGAGTTCGCTGCGGAGCCAGTGACGGCGTTTTCTAAGTCGTGTGTAGGGACTCACGAGTATCTAGCGCCGGAGCTCGTCGCCGGAAACGGACACGGAAGCGGAGTAGACTGGTGGGCGTTTGGGATATTTCTCTACGAGATGTTATACGGAACGACGCCGTTTAAAGGTGGGACCAAGGAACAGACCCTGCGCAACATAGTATCCAACGATGACGTGGCGTTTCCGTTAGAGGTTGAAGAGGACGGTGTAACGGAAGCGAAGGATTTGATCGAGAAGCTGTTGGAGAAGGATCCGAGGAAAAGGCTAGGATGCGCCAGGGGTGCGCAGGATATCAAAAGGCATCCGTTTTTCGAAGGGATCAAATGGCCGTTGATCAGAAACTATAAGCCGCCGGAGATTCGAGGTCTGGTGAAGAAGACGAAGGCACATGCTGGTCACGTGAGTGCTGTGTCGTCGCCACGGAGGAGGAAGTGGTTGTGGTGGGCCCTAAAGAATTTACTGCGGAGTAAAAGCTTGAAAGGGAGTAGCAGTAAAATTCAGAGCAACAATAACTACTACCATTATGTGGGTAAAAGCTATGACGCAAGTCGCAAACGCGTTTAATGCGTTTCACTTGAAAACAAAAAAAAAAAAAATCTCATGCAAATCCTAGAGGTAGAAAGAACAAAGAAAAAAAGGGATGGGGGGTATACAATGAATAGCGCAAGTTAGCAGTCTGATCTTTTTGGATCTTGACACTATTTTTTTTAGCTCTATTGTTTATGAAACTCATACATTAAATTATATTTCAATTGTCCTTTTTGTTTATAATTTGTTCTTGTTCACAGATTTTCTTTTCGTTGATGCTATAATAAGTGCTAACAAGTAACAAACAACGCTAGCGATAAGCGACTGCAATCACTGATAAGTTTCGCTGTTCAATTTACAGTTGTTAGCGATTATAGACAGTAATAATCAAAGCATATTGCAGATTTTCGAGAACTAACGATTAAACGTTGCTGTTCAATGTATTTGTTTTATTGTCACTGGATTGATGATTGAAATGTATCGCTGAACATCAACTTGTAGGCGAATACGATTTGGCCTTCGAAACTTGTCACGACCTCCAACATATGTTGCTAATCTAACGATTGTAAACACTAATATGATTTAGTTGCTGATCGCTGACTGTTTTGGGAATACTATTTTGTAGCCCATCAAAAATTCAACAAATATCAAATGGCTTTATAAAGTAGTGGGCCTATCACATTTTGTAGTACGCATCAAAGTCTACGTACACTCAACAATCTTTATATCACACTTCATTTTTGTGTATTAGAGTTTAGGAAATTGAGAGATCAAGAAAATCAGAAGCAAAGCAAGTAAACATTCAATGATTTGTCTTCTTTTCCACTATTATCCCACTTTTCATGCTCTACCTTTCCCACTTTTCTACTCTTTCTCTCGTTTATTTGATTTATATGCAAGTGTTCGTGTAATTTTCTTTTGGTTTTATACTTTGTTTATTCATATAATACCAAATGCATATTATTTATATAATTTAAGTACTGTATTTTTGCTCCTCCATATTTGTGAGGGGTTATTTTCGAAAAAAAAAGTGGTGTGTTGTTGCCTGTTGGGAATTGGAGATAGTGGTGTTTGATGATTTCAAGAAACTATACTCAATAAAATCGATCCATGCAAATCCCAATGTCAACTAGTGAACTAAAACTCAGACCATGTTCATCTGTTTCTTCTTTCCTTCATATCAAATTAACCTTTTTCCCCAAGATTTCTCTTTTTCCACTTCACTCTATATGAACTATATATTCTCTTCAATCTCTTTCTTCTTCTCCACAACTCTCTTCTTTCACCCACAAAAAAGGGTTTTTTTTCTTCTCCATCACATTCTTTTTCTACACCAAAAGTTTCAACCATTTTCTTTTGTTCTCTTTCTTCATTTACATTAAATAACAAAAAACCATAATGGCTGCGTTAAAGAGTAAGTTAAACAAAGGTCACGCCTTTACAAGCAAATGTGCTTCCTTGGTGAAGGAGCAAAGAGCTCGTCTCTATATTCTTCGTCGTTGCGCCACCATGCTTTGTTGCTGGTACATCAATGGCGATGAGTAAAGAGATGACTCTTCTCCTTTTAAGTATATCAATCAGAATTGCTATATATATATACACATATATATCTATATTCCCTGTCCCTAATCTATAGTTCTTGAAGCTTGATGGACATTGAAGCTCTACTTTAGCTGCTTGGCAATTCCTACAAGAAACTTGATGATCTCTTTCATATCTGTTCTGTTGCAAAACCCTTTTGCAATCCTGTTGTTTTTTTAACCTAAAGGATCACTCTTTTAGGTTTTATTTTTTTGGTTTGCTTCATGGGTTAACAATTTGCAACAGATAAGACAGAGAGAGAGAACAAGAGATTTTATCCACCAATCAAGCCGGAGTTTTTACCGTGTCTGAAACAGAGACACTGGAGATGCTAATTCTGTAAGAAATTGAAGATCTTTTCGACCGGAGAAGACTGTTTTGGTTTCATCAGTGACATTTCTACTGTAATATTTTCATTTTTCAGTTTCATTTCATAATAAGAATAATAAATTTGTATCGAAGTCTATGGTTATGTTCAACCATATAGACTAAAATGTTCCCTTTTGCATCTGAAATTTATAATAATACAACAAAGTTTTCACTTTTCACTATCTAGAGATCCCAAATTTCATGTCAATGAGATTTACCTTTACTTGATCACTACTTCTCGATCCAATCCTTGAACAGCAACATCATGTAAATTGGAACGTTAAACGCCGCAATGACTATGATCATCATGATTGTACGTACCACTCTCTGGATCACAAGTTTCGTTCTTGATCTCGGTGCTGCTCTCATCAGAGAATCAGATCCACCAGCACCTGTATTGTCCATCACAAGCTCGACCTGTTCGCTTGCGTTCTTTCTAGCCACTGCTCTCATCACCGCGTTACCTCTATTGAGAGAGAGAGATAACAAAATGAAGAAGATAAAGTAAAAAACTTTGTGTCTGTAGTGATAAAACAAAAGGATGGTTTTAAAGTCTTTAACTCACCTTTCTACAAGTGCTTTATCGTTTTGACGTTTCACAGGAGCTTCAAGAACTTTCTTAACGAGATGCATAGATCCTTCTGCGTCCCATATCATTTCATACTCACAGTTCTCATCTTCGTTCTTCTCCTTGGTGACGCCGCTTAAAAAGCTAAGCTTCATCACATTTGAGATACAGTCTGCAGCGTTGTTTACGAAGCTTATTCCATGGTTTGGCCAGAGAAGGAGAGCTAGAAGGCTCAAAACGAACAGAGAAAGGTACCTGGTAGTTCAAAATCAGACGCAAAGTTTCATAAACAAGCATTTGAAAAAAACAATAATCATTAAGCCAAGAAACTCTCTGATCAGGGACTTACCACATGTAGATGAATAATTGGCATGGAAGGAAGCATAACTGTGTGTGTAACATTTTAGCATCAGATGAGTTTTCATGGACGGCGTTGGGAACAGATAATAGCATGAACGATGGATATATATTTCCTTGTTGCCAGCTTATAGTACCTAAAGTATGCTGTAATAACATGCTCATCACCATCAAAGATTGTCCACAGTGGAAATACAAACTGATTTGTGACCAATTCTGTGTTATGTTACCTCAGTTACGGATCCTGTTTTCGACTTGTGAGTTACAGTACACTGGTCATGATCATGGCCAGACAAAACAAGTACCTGCAGGAGAAAACAAAAAACAGAACGTTGTTATATATTGATTGGTTTGGCATTAGTGAGAGAGTGTTTGAAGTGACAGAGATAGAAATTTATCTTACTGGGTTGATCAACTCCAGTAACTTCTTTGATGAATCTTCAGTGATATAATTCTGGTAACTGCATTGTAAGATAAAAAAACAAAAATTGGATTAGTCCCGCTCTGTTAGAATGAGTTTCTCAAAATGTAACTCGAATTCTGTATAATAAGATGGAAAAGAAGAAGTTTACATTACTTCTTGATCTTGAAAATGTCGCCAGAACCGCTGTACATGAAAGAGTATACATTAGACCACACAAACAAAAGTGCTTAAAATTTGAAATTACACTAATCACCTGGTCAATGACAGGATTACGACGGTGAGGGCCGCATGGGGTTTGATCAGGCCGATACAATGGGATGTGAGTCAATAAAACTCTCGGATGTGATGTTACATCTACAAAGAAGAGAAGAAAGAATTTAAGAGTAAGCTTCACAAATCAGAAAAATGCAGAAGAAGAGAATTATAGCTGAATAGCACACCGGTGGAGACATTTTGTACAAACTTCCAAACTTCTGTTGCCAAATGTTTTTGAGAATTGCCTGCAAAATGTACATCATAGTTTCAGTTACAGATCCTTGGTTTAAGGAATTATGCATCATCTAAAGCAAAGACTAGAGCAAAGTTTGTAACAACCATCAATAGCTTGAGCATCAATGCTGATGAACTCAACACCTCCAATCATAAACCTGCGGTTTCTCATCCCAAACACCTTTTCATATCGATCAATCACCTGTTGATATGTGAAGCTATAAGTTGTTGACATATGTGATGCATTTGAGAAAGAAAAACAAAGTGACAACGGTGACATACGTCTTGCTTGTGGGAGGCAACGCGAGAATAGCCAATATCATGGTTCCCAGTGAGGTAGAAAGTAGGAATGTCCATACCTCTGCCTTGTGAATTCAAACTAAACACATGCTCAAACCGGCTTAGAGATTCCTGCCATCTGATATTCAGCATTTCCATCACCAATTTTGCTACACAAATTCCGAGCAAGAAACGAAGAAGTATTGAGAAAAGAGAAGAGCTTACTCTTCCTCGGGGAGAAATGGACCGCCGTCGAAGTAATCACCTAAGAACAAAACAGCGTCCGGTTTGAAAGGCAAGATGGACTGAAAGAAGGATCTTCGCATGTTGATATCAGTGTAAAACTGTGCTACTTCCAAAGCTAGCGTCTTTGACGACAAACGAAACGATGTTTTATCCATCAGCTGCATAAACACAATTCAGATAATTGACTCCACATTTAACACACAGCAAGATCAAAAATGCATTTTGAAGAGCTTGTTCACCTGTGGATCAGTAACAATGGCTACTTTAGTAAACTTCTCACCACTCTCCACTCCATTAGTCTGTTGAGAAACAAAAGAAAGAAGTCAATCACAATTCGTTTTCTTCATCAAGAACAGATGATTCGAGATTCGTATACATTGGCCTTTTAATTATTTTAAAAATTAGTAAGCAACGAGAAAATCGGACTTCGATTTAAAAAAAAAATGCTTCTTTTGAATCATTTCGAGTAAGCTCAGGACGATTGCATGAAAATTTTCTCTTCATTTCAGAGAGAAGTAAGCAAATTACACAATCGGAAGTCGGAAACAATGTCACTGAATCCCCAAGATTGAGCATCGGTTACGGAATTAGAGAGAGAGAGAGAGTGAGGGAGAGAGACCTTGGGAAGATGGTGGTGAGGCCAAGAGCAAGTGAAGAGAGAAGGAAGCCAGAAGGCGAACATTTCGCCGTAGAGGATCGTCGCAGCCCAGATGAGACATAACGCCACCGTGAGCTTGTGGTGGTGTTTCATCTTTCCGAGCACCTGAATCTTCTTCTTCTTCTTCTCGGATTTAGTTTCCCCGAGATTTCAGGTGCTTCTCTTCGCTAGTTGACCAAAAGGAGCGGTCAAGTCGCGACGCGACGCTGGGATCTGCGTTTGAAAGTAATACCGTAACGCCGAAAGTGAAACCGCAGCGCAGAGTGTGGGTCACCCAAAACGCCACGTAGTTTTATAGATTTTAAACAGCACACATGTTTTGCGAGGCGAGCAACAATAAGCCGTAACGGAAAATTTCAAATGGAACCAAATCGGAATTGATTAAATTGAAACCGAACCGATATGTTACTTGTTTAATTAACTTGTTACTTTTGTCGTCATGTCTTGACTTTAACTACGATAGCAATGTCAGGTAATAATATATGCCTTATAGGCTAATACTCCCTTTATGCATGCAATTCATGTTTTTATCGTAAGAAAAAAAATCAGGTTGCATAAATTAAATAAAAAAAGCACCAAACTACAACAAGGACATTTGACTATCAATGTGATTGGGGCAAGCATGGAGCGCATACATAGATCCGTCTTGAACACCATTATTGAGCAAAGACTCGTCGTCTACGATTCCTTCAAGTACAAATCTTCTAAAGCTGTTTCTCACCGGATCCCAAAATAAAACATAGAACGATTTACCAAACACGGATGGTACGAAAACAAACTCACCAGCATGAGTGCAACCTGTTAGGTTGAAACAAGTATGCAAACTCTCATTAAAGTGACCTACAGGCAGTGAAATAGAGTCATGACTCGACCACTTGTGATTCTCTGCGTCTTCCAAAATCCAGAGTTTTCTAAGGTAATTACGTCTATCAAGACAAGCTAATTTCCCATCATAAGTCATCACCCTATCTTTACTAATAACCGATGGTAATTCTATCATACTAAATTTCTCATATCTGACATCAAAACTCATTATAACACAAACACCAGTAGGATAGATATCTGCTAGATAATATATCACCCCTTTAATGCATCTTCCAGTATGAATAGAAGCAAGATGTTTATGTTTTGTGTTGACCGTTCTCCATGATTCTTGAGCTGATCCCAATGTTAAAACCTGGCACGCATCGCAATATCTGCTCAAAGGCATGCACACTACTTTGTGTTTCCTTTCAATTGGATCGTACCCTAATAACACGTTTATATAATTACTGTTCCAGCTCGTTCTTGGTCTGGGTAAGGTTAACATCTGTCTCTTGCTAGGGTTCCAAAACTGTTGGCGTTGCTGATCCTTGAAAGCAGATCAAGCCGTGGACAGATTCCGTAAGAGACAAGTAACTAAATTCATCTGGGATTTTCATATGATAACGATCAATCGGTTGAGAAGAAGAGTAAGACTTGTTCGATTTCTGATGAAGAGTGTGAGTATGTTGAGGAATCGAATAAACAAACAGCTTGCCATTTTTTCTGAAGCAGACTAGAAGACTCGGCTGTTGGGAACGAGTTTCGAACAAGTTTATGAAATATGGATCGGTGGTGATTGATGACCAAAGCTTTGACACGCAACGGAACCTTGCAACAGATTTCTCAGGCAGCCTTAAGAGTATCTCTGAGGTTAGATCGCGAGGAAACGATTGTGTTCTTCTTCTGTAGCTTTTTAGTTTCTTCTCTTCTTGTTGCTCCATCTTCTGGTCAAAACCCTAAACTTCTCCGGCTGCGTTGCTATCGACTTTAGTTACATTAATAATTTTACATTTATATACGTCATAATGTCATATGCTCTAGGGTAATTAATTATTATTAGTTTTAAAAATTATTTAGTTTTAAGTCGGTATTATATCATATAATAGTATTAGTATATTTACCATGCGAATTAGTGTATTAGTATAAGATTTTGTTGCTCATTCGTCTAATCTTTGAAGCAATTGTAGGAAAATCCATTCTTAGATGCTTGTTTCTACAAAATGATTTCAGGGAATGGAAGTTTCAAATGTGGCTAAAGACATGTGTGAGTGGTAATCAGAATTCAAAGTTCATTGTGTAAAAGATCAAAAATAACCAACACGTCTATGAAATAGTGTTTGAGGGTGATATACAAAGTCCCAAGAGGAGAAGAAGTCCTTATGGTTATGGTGAAGGCAAGAGACGACACAGAGATGAACGTTACACTAAGGACAAGAGGTAAGAGAAATGCAGAGGAAGGAGAAGAAAATTGTAGAGTTTGTGAAGCATTTGATTTGAGAATATGGTCCTCTGTGTCTTACGCTATTTTCAGACCAACCCAAAGAACGTTTTTGATTTTTTATTTAATTTAAGCGAATTAATTGTTATACCTTAATTTCTTCAGTATTCGAGCTAGCTAACGTAAGTTAGGTCACCTATATTATTTGGATAAGAGGATAAGGATATAATTATGGGTCCGTTTAATTATTGAAAGGGAAACAAAACGGCACACCGTATGTCTCGGCTGGAGGAAAACGACAGCACATCCATCGTGTAATTAGTTTTAATCATAAACATAAACCGAATAATTACCTTATGATAGACAAACAGAAATGTTCCACACCGACACATGAGAGATGTTGTCGTCGTGGGAATTAGGAAGCAACCTGGTCGTGTTTTAGACATGACACACTTCGTATTATATTTTTAACATTGTTGAATTCCTTTTCTCTGCCAAATTTTGAGAATAAATGAACTTAATATATTGTTTGAAATTAAACTCAACGTCATTGTCATACTGACTCGGTTTTGGCTGGCACTTGCTTGACAGTTCAAGACTTTGAGTTATTAGTTAATATTCACATGCCCAAAATAGAATCAAACGAGAACTTTCCCACCCAATTATTTGAATACATTTACCCACGCAGACGAAAATGGGAAAATTTTACAATAATCTGTAAATGAAACTGACCACCATGACCATATTGATCTTATTCTTGCACCCGTGATCTCGCATTATCACATGTAAATTGGTTTTATTACGATTACTCGAAAAGACTAACCTGATAAAATATATATTTGGCAATTTTGTGTGCTTCAACGGTCAAATGTGAAGAAAAAAAAGGTTAATAATTAAGAGAAATCATGAAAGCAAGAACTACACATGATGCGATGTTCAACGAATAAATTATCCAACATATTAGTTGCAAGTTGCAACTAATTACGTACGAACAACAATGGTTTGGTTCACGAGCGCTCCCCATGGACATAAATTACTAAAAACAAAGAATAATGGAATTACATTTTTGATATTCTTTTATGCGGTCACTGACTCAGTAGTACAATTTGATTTCAGAGGAAATACTAATTATAACAAACAATGTAACACGTACATATATATCTTTTTGAAGTATGTAGTTGTATTTTATCCTATAGCTATATATACGGATTTGAAAATTCGAACAAATATATTACACGTGAGTCATTAGACTGTTTAGGTTCAGCTTAGACATTAATCCATTGCGGATTTGTAGGGAACTCATGACTAAATGGTTTGCTTACCCCTAAAATTAGTTAGCTTTTGGCGATTAGACACCCAACACTGATAAAGAATAATTTATTTTTTGTTTTTAAAACATTTCTTTCTTTTCCTCTTTTCATTTATTTTGTATTTAGACGCAAAGTAAGTTGAATAAAAAGAGAGAGTAAAGAAGCAAAGATAAATATATAGTTTGGCAAAAGCAATGATGTGACAATTTAAAGAACCAATTATATCCAACCTTCCTAGTGATCTTCAGAGTGGTCTCCATTGTATGAAAGCTACATTCTCTTTTTTTGGGGTTAAAGTGGGATTTATATTTGATTTCGTATTTTAGATTTAAATATCAAAAGCTTGCTACTGAATTAATTCAAAATACGATGAAATCTAAAATAAAAAAAAAACCTTCTAAAGCGCGTATGTTATGAAATCTACAGGCAGCGTTATTATTAGTTTATCATATGGGGTCAGACCATAATCATGATACACCAACGATGAACAATTATTTTTGAATGTAATTAACGGTACTATTATTGAAAAGAATAAAAAAAAATTAAAAACAATTTATTAGTTAGACAGAAACAAATGCGCCTATGTGGCTTGGATTCTTATTGACTAAATCGTGCTTGACAGCTTTACTCTGTAAAAACTCGGTTTTACGAGCAGAAACAGTATAAAATCTAGCCAAGAATATTTACTTTACAAAAATTATTAGACTTCAAAACACACACAAAAAAAGTTCCTAAAATTTCTCATTTTTCTTTTTTCACAAGACTAGATTTTGGCACCTGGTTTTAGAAAGAGAGAGAGAAAGAGAAAGAGAGGAAGAAGATGAGAAAGAATTGGGTTGTGGTGGCTCTGTTCACAGTATGCATTGTAGGATTTGAGCTTAGATTCATCCATGGAGCCACAGAAGCATCAGACAGTGAGTTTCTTCTTCTTCACTTCTTTCTCGCTTTTGATTTTAAAAGCTTAATGGGTTTCTCAAATTCTCGATCTTTTTGGTATATACTATCACTTTCTCTAGGTTTCAGCTTTGATTCTGTTCTCATTCTTCATCCATTACCCAAAGTTTCAGTTTTTTTCTTCATCTCTCAAAAATGAAAATTTCCCCAAATCTCAAATCTTTTTAGTTTATTTGGGTTAAATCTTGAACCTTTCTCGTCTCTGTCTTTCCTAATTTCTTATGGAACCAAGAACAAAGTGTTGTAGAGTTTATCTAGACTCTCGATGATCTCAATTCATGGACCCTAACACAAGATCATTTGGTATTAAAAGTCATAAGCTTTTGACTAAAAACTAGACTTCAAAGCAGTAACTGATGATTACTTTCAAACTCTGTTGATTGGATTGATCCCTAATCGTCTTTGATTACAAAATCTCTGCAGCTTCGGCGTTGAACACATTGTTCACAAGTATGCATTCTCCAGCACAGTTAACGCAATGGACTGCATCAGCTGGTGATCCTTGTGGCCAGAATTGGAGAGGCGTTACTTGCTCCGGAACACGAGTGACTCAAGTGTTAGTGATTTTGTTCATTTCTTGTATCAACATCTTACTTTGAATCATTTAACATACAATGTGTTTGTTATATCTACTTTGCAGAAAGCTACCAGGTCTTGAGCTCTCTGGAACACTTGGATACATGCTTGATAGATTGACTTCTCTTACAGAGCTGTAAGTTTAATCCCTCAATTGCTCCAAATTGTTTAATCTTGTTATGTGCTTAGGGATGATCTAGAATCTTTGATGGAAACTTGCAGTGATCTAAGCAGTAATAACCTTGGAGGTGATTTACCATATCAGCTTCCTCCAAATCTGCAGCGACTGAATCTTGCAAATAACCAATTCACTGGAGCTGCCATATACTCAATTTCTCAGATGGCACCACTCAAGTATCTGTAAGTAATTTGCTTCACTTCACATTTCTCTAGACATATCTTCTTCATTAAAGATGTGAATGTTAATGTTTTTTGTCTCTTGCAAATATAATCAGTAATCTTGGTCACAATCAGTTTTCTGGAAAGATATCTGTTGACTTCACCAAGCTCACATCTCTCACAACCTTGTAAGATCCTATAATAAAGTCTCCGATTGTTTTTCAGTTTTTTTAGTCTTAGTAAACTATTTGACAAAAGTACCTCATTGTGTTTCAGGGACTTCTCTTTCAATTCTTTCACAATGTCTCTACCGGAAACTTTTACCTCTCTTACAAGTTTAAAATCACTGTAAGCATCTGATCTAGCTTTCATAGGTTTTCAAAAAAGTATATCAGCTACTTAAACATGTGGATGTGAACTTGACAGATACCTTCAGAACAATCAATTCTCAGGCACAATCGATGTCTTAGCTGGTCTTCCTCTCGAGACTCTGTGAGTAAACCTAACCCATATTACATGTAACACTGGTTTTTCTATAGACAGACCTTCATTAATGCTGGTTCTTGCTCAGGAACATTGCAAACAACGATTTCACTGGCTGGATCCCTAGTTCTTTAAAGGGCATTAATCTGCTGTAAGTTCTCATTTCACAAATGTTTCAACTTTTTTTTTCTTTGAACTTTTGATCTCACTTTTCTTGTTCTTGCAAACAGAAAAGATGGTAACTCGTTCAGTACTGGACCTGCACCTCCACCACCACCTGGAACACCTCCAATCCATGCCTCACCGAGCCATAAATCCGAGCCTCACCGGTCTAGTGGCGATTCCACCAGCAATAGAGATTCCAAGAAATCAGGAATTGGAGCTGGTGCTATAGTTGGCATAATCATTTCATTAGTACTCGTTACAGCTCTTGTGGCTTTCTTCTTGGTCAAAAGAAAAAGATCAAAGAGATCATCATCCACGGACATTGAGAAAACCGATAACCAGCCTTTCACTCTTGCTCCAACCGACTTCCATGGTACTCCACTTATATGCATACATACATTTTTATCCTTTTCAAAAGTTTAAAAAGGTTTAATTCAAGACTCCATATGGTTGCAGAAAACAACTCTATTCAGAGTTCTTCATCAGTTGAGACGAAGAAACTGGATACTTCCTTGTCTATTAATCTCCGGCCTCCACCAGCTGATAGACACAAATCGTTTGATGATGAAGATTCCACAAGAAAGCCTGTTGTTGCCAAGAAATCCACTGTGGTGGTTCCTTCGAATGTGAGGGTTTATTCGGTTGCAGATCTTCAAATAGCGACTGGAAGTTTCAGCGTAGATAATCTTCTTGGAGAAGGGACTTTTGGACGAGTGTACAGAGCTGAGTTTCACGATGGAAAGGTATTATTATTAGCAATAGTTAATCATAATCTTTGTCTTGTTAACATGTCATAATGTTCTTATCTTTCTTTTAGGTTCTTGCTGTGAAGAAAATAGATTCGTCTGCTCTTCCGCATGGCATGACCGATGATTTCACTGAGATAGTCTCGAAAATCGCCAGCTTGGATCATCCAAATGTGACAAAGCTTGTTGGTTACTGTTCTGAGCATGGACAACATCTCGTGGTCTATGAGTTCCACAAAAACGGATCATTACATGACTTCTTACACTTATCAGAAGAGGAAAGCAAAGCGTTGGTGTGGAATTCACGTGTCAAGATCGCTCTTGGGACTGCACGCGCATTAGAGTAAAGTCCAAAAACAAATTCATTTGCTTAGCTCAGCTCAGCTCAATTGTGTGTGGATCAATGAAGTGTATTTATCTCTCTGTTGCAGGTACCTTCATGAAGTTTGTTCACCATCCATAGTTGACAAGAACATCAAATCAGCCAATATCTTACTCGACTCAGAGATGAATCCTCACTTGTCAGATTCAGGTCTCGCAAGCTTCCTTCCCACAGCGACTGAGGTTGGATATATACAAACTCTTCTCCAAAATCTTTACTAAAATCTCAACTTATTTGTTGGACTTAGATTATAACATTCTGATATGTGCAGTTACTAAACCAAACTGATGAAGGATACAGCGCGCCTGAAGTATCAATGTCAGGCCAATATTCTTTGAAGAGTGACGTTTACAGCTTTGGAGTTGTGATGCTTGAGCTTTTAACCGGGAGAAAACCATTCGACAGGTAAACTCTGTTATGATCATAGCTAGGCTTGCTTTTAGATGAGGAATGTGTTTCTGAATTTTGATCTTGAAAACTTGAGCAGCACAAGGTCAAGATCTGAGCAGTCATTGGTTAGATGGGCAACACCACAGCTTCATGACATTGATGCTTTAGGCAAAATGGTTGATCCAGCTCTTAAAGGACTTTATCCGGTTAAATCTCTCTCTCGGTTTGCAGATGTTATTGCTCTCTGCGTCCAGGTAAGAATAATGGTTAATGAATCTTGTGAGTAACATGCAATGTCAAGAATGTATTTACAAGATTTTGGGTTTTGGTTTTGTATGTAACAGCCGGAGCCAGAGTTTAGACCACCAATGTCTGAAGTTGTGCAGGCACTGGTTGTGTTAGTGCAGAGAGCTAACATGAGCAAGAGGACTGTGGGACTTGATCCATCACAACGTTCTGGTAGTGCCGACACAACCAGTGATTACATGTAAATTCATGGCCAGAGAGAAAGAGGATGGAACAATTTGCTCCGTTGTATGAATGAAGTCACAAAGACAACAGAAAACTGAACGTTTTTTACTTGGGTTTTTAGAAAATTGGAAGATAGACAACAATCAACCCTTCACGCAGTGTATAATTCAACTGTTTTGTTGTTATATATGTTTCTAAATTTGTAGCTTTTTTTAGATCATTGACATGAACAAAATTCTTTCTATATATTTACGTTATCTACATTGGTTATATTTGAGTTTGGTTCAATTCTTGGTGTTCCTGTCAGTCAAATGAAGAATTCGCAACGACTTTGATAGTTTGGGTATAAAAAGTGTAAGAGGTTGTTTTACTAAAGCCAACGTAGTAGAATCAGCAAACAATTCAAACTTTTGTTTGTTTGTAGTTGGGCCGAATCTTTATAATTGGCCCGAGACTTGTCGGAACAGTGACGCCGCCTTGAGCCACACGATAAAGTTAAAAATAAGGGCAAATATTTTTATTGGTTGATCTCAGTGAGTTTAGCTCTTAGTCCATAGTTGTCTAAACGCTTGGCTTGCGCTTCTGACTCGTCTTGTAGATATAATGAAAGATGGAACTCGAAATTGAGAGGACTATGGAGAATGCGAGTTTCAATTAGAGCATGATACTTCTGAGAGCCCTAGATTTAGTTTCTCTGATTTGTTCGATACACAAGTTACTTGATATCGAATCTAATACTTGTTGTTTGTATTTTCAGAGGTGAAAGATGGCGGCAGTTTTAATAACAACAAATGGGGAGTCTTTTGTGGTCGATCTTTGCACGATAGAATGTCCTCTCACATGCAGTCACTTCATAAATCTTTGCGGGTGAGTTTTCTTGCTAAATTATTGATTACACATTGAGTTATTACTTCTTAATAGCTTTCTTATCCATTGAGTTTTCTGCAGGAGTCAATATTATGACAATCGTACACTCTTCTCAATAGAGAAGGATATTATCTCTACCACAGAAAATTATCCAATCGGGGACAATCTTATAGAACTCTGCAGCGATATCGACCATTCCTCTGCCATGCACTGAAGCTGGTATGTATGCAATCAGAGCTCATAGGACGATACAGGAAGTTGAGTGCTACTCCCAAGTACATGATGCACTACATTTAGAGAGACTTTTGTCTCTTTTCTCTCTAGAAAAAACAAGAGACAATTCAAATATTTAGGAAATCTAAAAAACATCTGAAAATCGTTTAACTATGACATTCGAGACTGAAAAATAATTATGGAGAGTGATCTAATGCAAACTCCATCATCTTTACTAGTGCAAATTGGGTGTACTTCAGATTTTAATATTGCTTCCACCACCGATATGGGGAGAGGCATGGATTCATTTTACCCATACTATTTGTTTTAGACTCCTGTAACTCATTACCAGAAATTTGTTTTCAGGTTACATGATATTAGAGTCATCAAAAGTTACCAAAAGTTCAGTGCCACTCTAAAGTACATGCACTACATTTAGAAACTTGTTTGTCATGTGTTATGATAAAGGAAAACCGTTTCTTATCCAATTGCAGAATAATCTGTGAGTGAAGAGGAGATTCTAGGCTAGGTTGAATGAAAGTAACGCTAAAGATAAGAGGAAGAGTTTCTAAATTTTTCTTGATTGATTATTAAAACTGCAGGTAACGACCTTATTAGGTTCTAAAGACATAAAACTCAAAAGGCTAAACCGACTAAAGCTCGGCCTAATAACAAAAGCCAAAACAATTAGTAATATTTCCTATATCATGTTCTCTCTCTCATTGACAAAATGTCTGTGAATATTTCCACGATTTTGGGTGAAGCCATGGATAAATTTCAAGCAGTTACATGAGTTTAAGGAATCCTCCACTTGAAAGGTAATCCAAATGCTCCTCTTAAAGTCTCTCAGTATAATAAGCCTGATAACTTGGTATCGGACCAGTGTGTGTCGTATTGCATTGTTTAAACATGAAGTTAAATGTAATCAATAACTCGTTATATATGAGATTGTTTCAGTTCTCGTTCATAACCTATTGAGTGTTTCAGAGGAATCTACTTTGTTGCAAATAACAAAACTTTAAAGACTTGAGAATTTATGGAGTCAAAATGTATGAGACACTGAAGAACACAACAGAGTAAATAACACAAGTCTGGAATAAACAAAAGAAGCAGTGCAAAAGAGAAACAAAGACAAACGAGTTCTCTCTCTCTCATTCTAATTGTAGACCATGTATTTGGGAGTAGCACTAAACTTCTGGTAACCTTTGATGACCTTGTTCACTGCATCGAGAAAGTCCTTCTCAGTCACAGTCTTCCTCCGAGCTCTAATAGCATACATACCAGCTTCGGTGCACACACTCCTGATATCAGCTCCTGCAAAACAACACCCAACGTCAAGAACAATTCACAAGAGACCAAAAAGAGAAGAAGAAGAAGCAAGAGATCGATCATTACCAGTCGAGTTTGGGCAGAGACGAGCAAGGAGTTCAAAACGGATGTCTCTTTCGCAGTTCATGGTACGTGTGTGAATCTTAAAGATCTGCGTTCTGCTCTCCAAATCAGGAAGACCAAACTCAACCTTACGATCAAGACGTCCAGGACGTAGAAGAGCAGGGTCCAGCGTATCAGGCCTTGAATATACAATAAGATAAACCAATGAGCCAAGCGTCACAATTGTGTTGTCTTATGAAGTTTACTTAAGGCTAATTAATGGAATCGTGTGACGGACCTGTTTGTAGCCATAAGAACCTTGATGTTACCACGTGCGTCAAACCCATCAAGCTGATTCACAATCTCAAGCATAGTACGCTGCACTTCGTTATCACCACCAACACCGTCGTCAAACCGTGCACCACCAATGGCATCAACTTCGTCAAAGAAGACAATGCAAGCTTTCTTGGACCTTGCCATCTGACAAAGCGAGTATTACACAGTATCAGAACAAACTATAGCCAGAACAAAACTCAGATTGCAGCAAGGAGTTTAGACAATAAGTTACCTGAAACAGTTCACGAACCATCCTAGCTCCTTCACCAACGTACTTCTGAACGAGCTCACTGCCAATAACTCTAATAAAGCAAGCATCGGTCCTGTTGGCCACAGCTCTAGCCAGAAGAGTTTTCCCGGTACCAGGAGGACCGTAGCAGAGCACACCCTTGGGAGGATCAATACCAAGCTTCACGAATTTCTCCGGATGAAGCATAGGCAATTCAACAACCTACATCCAACAACAGACAGTAAAACTCTTATTCAGTTTTCTTCCTAGAAGGCACTGTACCACAACAGTAACTCTCGGTAACGAGAGAAGATAAGGGACACAGGATATTAACAAAGTTCAACATACCTCTCGCATCTTCTCAATCTGCTCCTTGCAGCCACCAACGTCATTGTAAGTTACATCAGGTTTCTCTTCTACAGTCATCATGGTGACACTAGGATCGATTTTAGGAGGCAGAGGGATCTGTATCTGATATTTGTTCCTATCAACTCTGCAAACACAAACCAAAGACATAACGTTTCTTGTAAGTTATCATCTATATGAGAAATATACATAGAAGACAGAGGGAAGTGATATTTAAACCAGAGAAAAATCTCAGTTTGTAAGCAGGAAACTTACCCTACTCGCATGCCTTCTTCAATATCAGTGGGAGAAACTTTATCGCCAAGACCAACCACAAACTGCAGATACGAATAGAAACAAAACGAGTTATATAAACCACAAATCAAATAGCTACACATGAATTGGGTTTTTGCAGGAACATTAGGCTCAGGAATTCACAGTACCTTAGCAATCTGTTTGACATTAATGACGTACTTAGCATCCTCAGTGTTGGGACTAATGATCTTTGTGCATCTCGCAACCTGCACACATTAAAGAAAAAAAATCTCAGTGAAGAAGAAATCTGAGAGAAGTGTATTAAGAAGGAACCGTTGCAAGAAAGAAACTATACCTGCAGAGGTTGTTCCTCTTGCATCATCTGCTTATCAGAGACGAGATCCCATTGACTTGGAGGAGCTAAACCAGTATCAGACTCCTTGATACCTAACAATGAAAGTGAAAAAGCTCATCAAGGTTTCCATATATGAAGCCAAACCAATTAGTCACTAATCGAAAGTAAGGCAAACAAAGAGTGACCACATACCACAGAGATCGTTGATCCTCTTCGCGAGCTCCTTGATTTCCTTTTCTACTTTCTTTATTGGAGCAGAGTAAGGCCCTAAACCCTGCAATAGGGTGAAGACTTAGTGAAATTAAGCTTATGAAGAGTATACAGATACAATCAAGTAAGCACAAAACTCGAGACTAAATACGCCAAATCTAGCTCGAATCACACAGGACGAAACCATCAAATTCGTTTAGCATAGTGACGAAACCTAGCAGATAGTTTCAAGAGCAACGCGAATTTGACTAACGAGGACTCGCCTAAAAACTGGATCCAAAATCTCCAGATGACCCAGAAGAGTTAAAGTCTAAGAGAGAGGATGCTTACGTAAGTCTTGAGGAGAGCGATGTCATCTTCGTCAAGCGGGCGAGGGTTCTTCTCTTCTCTGATCTCATCTTCGATATCTTTCACCATTCTCGCCGGATTCCAATCGGAGATTTGAGATATCGATTATGTCAGTGGGAATTTATCTTACGGTTTGTCTTGCTGGAGAGGAAAAGTATTTCTGGAGTTTAAGAAAAGAAAAGTGCCGTAAAGTGGGCCGTTAAATTGGGCCTTTGCGCTTGGCTCATATAGAAGTTTGCCTTTATTGTTTTTTCCTCCCTCAGTTTCCTTTTTATTTTGTTTCGTTCTCAAATCTTTATTTCGTGTTTCCTTGGGTGATTTTAATTGTAATCTGAGAAAATAAGAAGCTTATTGTATTGTTTTCCTTTTGTTGTGCTAAACTGAAAATTCAACTGGTCGTCAAAAAAAAAAAAAAAAAAAAAAAAAAACTGAAAATTCAACTGTTTCCAGGTGGCAAGGAATCAAAAGACAAAAAAGAAAGAATTGGAGCGTAATTTAGCTTCAAACATCTGAAACTTTGTTTAAAAAAAAGCCTAAAATGCCAAAAAAAAAGAGTTAGACTAGATTACGATATTTAAGAACATCAATCTTGTTGAGATCAAAGGATTCGCAAATCTTTAGTATGATCTCCTCGCTGAGCCCTTCTTCCTCGTTAGCCTCACGAAGTAGTTGATACAACTCTTCCGATGGCAGCAAAACCTGTTTTTTTTAAAGAGAAACAAAGACAAGATGAGTAAACAAGAAACCTTTAGATTGAGTTATTTTGATGACAGAAATATTAGCTTACACATGTTGGAGATAGAGATTTCTGTTCCGGTTTGCTGTTGTTGTTGTTCTCGTTCTTGCTTTCATTTGCATCATCAGTTGAGTCTGGTTTCTCAGGAGTTGACCCGTTTGAGATGAGCTTAAGCAGCTTCTCACTTCCCTTCAATGTCAATAAAGATGAAATTTGAGTTACTCTACAAACCTCTGCGATAATGGAATTATGTACCAAGGAAGTAAAACCGACAGACCTGAAGAGCTCGCCAGTGAGAATATGTGCGGAATAAGACCCAGAAGAATGCTATGTTTGGTAATGGCAATACCTGAATGGAATAGAGAAAGGCTTTGTTGGTTTATGAGACTTGATTTGAAGAAACAAATCGAGTTAGAAGCTAGCTTCATACTATATATACATACCATAAATGCACTGGTCAATGGAAGCAAAGTTACTGAACCAATCAGGTACTTCTTGTGCAGGATTGTTCCACTAGAAATCAATTTAGAAAACCATTCATGTTAGAAAGATCATAGATTCGCAACACAAGCCACTCAAGAGACAGTGTGAAAAGCAAATTACCTCATGGCAATGTGGTGTAGCCTCCTGCGTACAAGTCTAGGATCTAAACTGAAACATTTGAACATGGATTTAGCTAAAACCGTAACACAATGAAGGCTTTGTCAAAAAAGATCATTCACTAGAGAGATATTGGTTACAAAATTTCAAGGAAAGGAGAGAGAAGAGAACCTTGTAGGGTAATTGATTTGTACAGAAGTGACCTCCTTAGATATAGACTTCAAGAAAATCTCAGACGGCTTAACACGAGCCAGAAGCTTCAAACCAATCCTATATATTCAAGACCACAAAAGACCACATTTTAACATTTTCGCCAATCAAAACAGAGACCAAAGCCATAGCCTCAAGAAATGTCTCAACTACAGAATAAAAGAGAGAGTGAAGAATTCACAAACCCATGAAGCTTGTTCTTCATTGACCCTTGAGGCGCTTTCTCAATACCCATCCAAGCTTTATTCATCTAACCATTACAATAACAACAACTCATCAAACTGATTATAAAAAAACATTTTTTTTTTTCATTTCTCATTCCAATTTGAGGTTCCAAATCAGAAAACTTTTACTCAGAAACAAAACCGAAGCTTATTGGTCACAATTTTTCTACCTTAAATCTCACTACACGCCACAAAAGCACACGGGTTTGTTTATATATAGAGGAGGTATGGTCCAATGTGTGTACCTTGTCAGAGATGAAATCGACGAGAAGCTCTGCGTTGGCATTGATGGGTTGCGATTCGGATGATAGTTTCTTCCATAAACCTCGTAGAGTGGTCGGAGTAACACCGGACGGCGATTGAGCGGCGAAAGGATCAACAGATCTGCTGAAACACCAGGTCTTCCCTTTAATCGGGAACACCACCAATCTCGCTCTCATGATCACACTAAAAGAACAGAAAGCAAATGAAAAAAGATCTCTCTGCGTAGAGCGAAACTTCAACAAAAAGCTCCGATCTTTAGTGAGGATTTAGTCAATTTGTCATCTGGGTAATGCTTTAAACGACGTGGGTTTTTGTATATTCAATGGAAAAAAATCAAAGCTTTAAGCTTAAGGTAATTTTGGCGATGAAGACCGACAAACGCCTAAAATATTTTCACGAGGAAAGTCGAAGAAGCGGCGGCGAGGCAAATATATACACAAAATCCTCATATATGGACAAATATATACACGCACAAGGGTGTGTATGTATTACACAAACAATCTTTGAAATCGACTTGCTATTTGGTATAACCAAAGATTTGTCTTGGATCAGAATTGATAATGATAATGACAGATTAGAATTAATAACAAACGTTTTGGATAAGTGTATTTATAACTCATGCAATTAGAAGCTGACACATCACTAAGAAGGTTTGGTAATTATACTAGAGGAACACTGTATCAGATGGATCAATGAGTTACAGAGACGTATGGCTTTATTTGTATGATACACTAATAACCTATGCACAACAAAAGAAAGAAGAAGAGAATTAGGCTGTTTACGATGAGAACTCACAAGACTGAGAGATTGTGTTAAACTCTATGCGTGGTTGTTAATTTTATTCAGGATCTGCTACAAAATTAGGCTGCTCGTTTTGGCAGAGATACTCATCGCAATCTGAAGCTGTTCCCCAGTCTTTTCTCAGTCTCAAGATATCCTCTGTAAAAGTAGAACCTGAGGCACCAATGAACACGCTTGACATAGCAGATATCGTCTTATCTAACATTGCTTCCACCTTACAAAAAGGGGAAAATCTCAGATTATGATTTGTTGATTCTTGTATGATTACATTCTTTCAAATCCAGAGAGGAGAGATGTTTATTACCTGTGAATCGCCCTCGAGACCATGTCTGTATAACAATGCATCCCATTTCTCAGCTGAATCACGAGGTGGTCGCTTCACGAGAGGAACAGTCTTTCCGTTTAGGATCAAGAGTGATTGTAGCAGACCAGTTTCGCTTTCGGCTGCATCAGTAGAAAGGTAAATAACCGGTGCCTCCACCTTCTCAATCACACGAGCGATGCAGCCAGCAGCTTGAGGAATTGGGTAAAAGCAACTTGGGTTCTTGGCATTACTACAACATGAATAAAATGAACCGAGGTTGAGCAAAATCACTATAGACAAGTGACAACTTGGTCAATGAGAGATAAACCTAAACTAAGTCCATTTGTAGCTCCAATTATCCATTCACAAAAGTAAAGCCAAGCTTCTAAAAGTAAAGCCAAGCTGCCTAAATTATCATCAAGTCTAGAGTTTAGCTTCAAAAAGTTATCACTAAATTTGGACCTATAAGTCAATCAAAAATGTGGAAAATGCAACATACCAGAACTTCAAGAAACCATGCCTGCGGAAATGAAGAGCAACGTAGTTCTTGCCAAGAAAAGTCTGGATGAATCTCTGTGCAGTGAGCAAAATTAACCGGTTTGGCTCAATCAAAGTCTTGCACTTGTGAGCCACAGGACCACCAGGCTGCATCACCCATTCTCTCTCAACATTAGCATAAAACAAGTCCCCAATCGCAATAACATCGTCATCCGATCTGAAACTAGTCTCCACTTCCTCAGCTGTCTTGTTGCTTGGCCTAGCAATATCTTCTTCCCATGGCGAGTCTAGCTTCCCACCAATGGTAATCCCCAAAGCTTTCAACTTTGTAATATGCTCTTTATCTACATAACAAGCCTCCGGTTTCGAGAAGTAACATATAAATCTATCGATATGAAGATGATGATGCTTCTTCCTGTTCTTATCCTTCTTCCAGAATTCATCAAAAGAAACCACTACATTCCTCCCTAAACAAGTATTGATCCGATCAATGTCAATGATTCTACTGTAATGGTAGTCAAATCTGTGGCTAGGGATCACGAGGATCCGATTCAGCAATGCTGCAAAGAACATATGCTTCTCAAGGCAAATCAAGTGATTACTCATCTGACCAGATAAGCAAATGGCGAATAGAAACTTATCTGGCCTCGGTTTCCATTGAATCTTCTTCCTCCCGGCCAACTTCTGATCAACTCTCCGGCAAATCCCCACCGGAGAACCATCTGATGATCCGTCGATGCTAACATTTCCAGTTCTGTGCGGCGATAGTAATGCATTCTGGATCTGTCTGTTCAGTGAAATCTGCCGGGAAACTGCGGATTTCACGTCTTCGATTGTAGAGGAATTCGACAATGTGTGGTTCCAGATTGAGAAGAGATCGATTTCCTGCTTCCGGAGAAGGTACAGCGCTTGGAGATCCGATTCCTGAGCCCGACGAGTCCCAGTGTTTTGCTGGAATACAGAAACAGGAACTTTGACGGAGAAGTAATCGCCGAAATCGGTGAAGAGGTAAACGAAGACGAGGACGAGAGGGAGGAAGATGACGATGAGCTGTCCCTTAGTGAGATTGAGCTTGAGATTCCGTCTTAAACGTGATCGGAGACTCTCCACGTCGAAGGTAGGTCGTTGCTCCATGATTTGAGAATCTGTTTCCTCGAGCAGCTTCCGGTGATCGCCTTCTTCATCCGGCGATGACGAGTCTTTCTCCATTACTGATGCGTCGCAGTCGTTGCCGGAGATCAAACCGGAACCGTCGACCCATATACTACTAGACTCATCTGAGATCCGACCCGCCTCACACCACGTGGCTCTTCTTCATTCACATTTTAAAATATTAGTACGACACCGTTTGATAAAAGAGTTCGAAAGCCCAACAGATGGTGACGGGTCGGGTCATTGGTAGTAGTATAGAACGACCCGGATGTCATCACGTGGCCTTACTTGATTCGTCCGTCGTCTCACCAACACAGAGCGGCACGTCGTCGTTTCGTATTAAGGCCCATTAGCCCAATAAAGAGTGATACGGGTCGGGTCACTAGAACAACCCGGGTCTCGTTATCCACCGCCTGCCTGGTTCAAGGCGTCAAAGGCTCAGACAGAAGTATCTTCTTCGTTGAAGTCTGATTGTGTGGCTTATCCTTCTCTGCTTTGTCTTAAAATTCCTGCAAAAACCCTCGTCTCTCTAGACAGTCTAAGAGCATATATTTCCTTAATATAATTTTACAAGACATTTCTGGTTGTTGTGTCGCAAAGAAAGAGGATTTCGAGTTCCTGGGCTGAATGAGCTCCCAATGCCTTCTTTAGGTACCTTTTCTGGTATTTTTTTCCAACATTTATCCTTTGTGGGTTTTGTTTGGTTACTACTGTTTGTAATTCTACTTTAGAATTGAGTGAGGCTCTCTTTCTGCTCAATTCTGTTTCTTATTTATTGGGTATCATTCTTGAGTAAAAGTTCATTGCATTTGCAATCTTTAGTCTCAACAAAGCTAAGCTATTTACATTTACATATTCATAGTTAGTGGATTGTTAAATGCATATGAGAAAAAGACTATTGCTTTCAATAGTTTGTAGAGAATGTTTTACTAGTGTTCTCCTTAGTTTCTCAACTCTTGGAGATTGGTTCTTTGCTTTGATTTTTCTGTTAAAAGCAACTGTTTAATAATCTTGCAGATATTGCTACTATCCAGCCTTCCTTGCAAGCTCATCTTGTTCCATTGGGTGCTCAGAGTATTATTATTCATGCGAAAACACTAGCTAATCCATGGAGACAGTCAAGTTTCTCCAAGAACTTGAGATTTTACACGGGCCATCTTCATGTCCGAAGAGGCAAAGTCCTTATCACTGCAGTGGCGGCTACTCTTGAAACCAAATATCCAGCTGCTCAGAAAGCAAACGAACATAGCTATTCCTCTTCTTCTTCTTCTTCGTCGAAACCTTCTGAGGATCGAAACGGAGGTTCTGATGAAGGCGAAGAGGCTGAAGAACAAGTGGATGACAGAGAAAGGTTGAGAAGGATGAGGATTTCCAAGGCGAATAGAGGGAACACTCCTTGGAACAAAGGCAGGAAACATAGTCCCGGTTAGTAGTTTTTGTACTTACACATATCTTAAAAAAATCTCTCTAGTTGGGAAACATATTGATAATTCTTTTTCTTCTTTTGCGTTTATGCAGAGACGCTACAGAAGATTAGAGAAAGGACTAAGATTGCAATGCAAGACCCAAAGGTGATGTCATGTAAGAATGAGTTATACATATATATATCTTCTTAGAAGAGTTGGCCCTAGTAACTCTAGTGGGACTTGAACTGATATTAATTGACAGATTATGTATACATACCATATAGGAAATGTTTGCTCTAATGCATCATCATATAACCTTTTGTGTCTTCTTCCTTTCGCTGAAAGTAATATTTGTTAATGCATACACTAAAGTGTCACTTCATTGTTATCTTAGTCTTGAGGTATATGAACCATATAGGAAAGCGTTTGCATGTAAACTTATGTTATGTTAGGGCGTTGTAGTTTATGTTTGCTCTATGCATCAGATTTTTCAATCCTAGTATAACCTTTTATGTCTTCTTCCTTTCGCAGATCAAGATGAAATTAGCGAATCTCGGGCACGCGCAAAAGTCAGTACCGGTTTTGTTTCTTCTTTAAAGGTGTTTTTTTTAACTGGATGGAAGTTCTTGTTTTGTCTCATCATGCTTGGATGATTTTTACAGCAAGGAGACGCGGATGAAGATCGGTGAGGGAGTGAGGATGCGATGGGCGAGGCGGAAGGAGAGGAGGAAAGTGCAGGAGACATGTCATTTCGGGTGGCAAAACTTGTTAGCGGAAGCTGCTAAACAAGGATACACAGACGAGGAAGAGCTTCAGTGGAACTCTTACAAGATCTTGGATCAGCAGAACCAGCTGGAATGGCTGGAGAGTGTAGAGCAGAGGAAAGCCGCAAGAGGAGCTAAAAGCAACAGAAGAGCGCCAAAATCTCCTGAACAAAGAAGGAAAATCGCAGAAGCCATAGCTGCTAAATGGGCTGATCCAGTAAGTTGCCTAAACCAACCAACGTTCTTGATGTTTTCTTCTTTCTTCTTGGCCATGTTTTTAACTTCTTTTCTTAAGTCTTACCGTGAAAGAGTTTGCTCTGGCTTGGCCAAATACCATGGGATACCTGCTGATGGTGTTGAGAGGCGTCGTAGAAGACCAAGTAGCGATGGAGAGCCGAGAAAGAAGAGCCCTACAAAGAAAAGTAGCAGAGATTCTTCAGAGACGGAAAGGCAAAGCCAAGTGAAAGTAGTGAAAGTACGGAAGCGCAAAACACCTGTTTATAAAGATCCTTTGGCGAGTTCTAAACTGGAAATGATCAAAAGCATCAGAGCTAAACGAGTTGCGGAAGAGTCTAAGAAGATGGATGCTGTGGAACGAGCAAGGTCAGTCTCAACTGTTAATATTATAATATATATCTCTCTGTTTGGAATTGTGAGCTAATCTTTTATCTTGTCAGGCTTTTGATCTCGGAAGCTGAGAAAGCTGCGAAAGTTCTTGAGATTGCTGCTATGAGAAGCCCTGTTGCTCAAGCTTCTTTGTTAGAGAGTAAGAAGCTCATAGCTGAAGCCACGCAGCTGATTGAATCTATAGAGATGAGGCAGATAGCATCTTCAGATGATGATGAGCCTAATAATAGTCTCCTGGAGGAAGACTGTGAATCCGAGACCGAGGAATACACAAACTATCAAGAACAAGAAGGAGAGATTAACGGAACACACACGTTCCCTATCAACGGAGAGAGTCTTCTTCACTTGAACATGAGATCTAGCGATTTGCCGACACTCAACATAGAAGATATCAAACTCGGGATGGGTCCACAACCAAACGGAACAAGAGTCAATCCAGCAGCAGAGTGTAATGGAGCTATGAAACTTGCTGAGAATCATCATCAACCTCTTCCGAATGGTTCTAAAGTTAACTACGGGAATGAAGAAAAGGCTGAGTCTTTGGAATCAGGAAATGTAACCAAGAAGTGGGTTCGTGGAAGGCTCGTCGAAGTCACAGAAGCAGCCTAACTTCTTCTATCAAAACTGGACTAGAAATGAGGTAATAATAGTGTTGTTGTAGCAGAGAAAAATGTATTTGTTCGGTCTTAGTGATTCAAATTTTTGGCTTATATTATTGGTGTCGAGAGTTTGAGGGATGCAGTTTCCAGTTTCTGACTTGCCAGTTGTAATCTATAAACTCAGTTGTATGTCAAGATCTTCAGGTTAGTAGTAAACAGTTGTCCCTACAATACTAAAACCATAGTTTCATATCATTCAAAAAACCATTACTCAGTAGAGGTAGTGGGCCCTAACAGAGCCCAACTTAGGAGTGTGGTTGAAGCATAAGATAGGGTTTATACTTTATTAAAAGAAAGAGTAACCTACTTTGGTCACAATCCAGGTTTAAGAAATAAGAAGTATCTATAAGATTTTCCCTAAGTTCCTTGTGTGTTTAGGAGTTGTGAAGATCAGGTTAGTGCGAGATAAGGCAATTTGATCTTCACAAACAGAACTAGTTAATCAATTTCCATGTTTGTTTTGGAGTTACGAAATCTATCGCGTATCTTGTGAACGTGTATATAAAGCAATTGCCGTCGATCAATGGCAATAACAAGTTTTTCCCTGAAGCTCTTACTTACTTCAAAAGGGTTTTAGTCCATCGCCATAACAAAACAGACGCAGCAAGTCTCCGACGATGACGTAGTAGAAGATCACTTTGGACTGATCCCTGTTCATCTGGTCATTCATAATATATTCCCAAGATGGTCGGTGAAGTCCGTGGCGCTAAGTCGTTGCGTATCGAAGGTTTGGTCGTCGATAATTCGCCATCCAAATTACGACCTATTGTTCCCGATCACCGTCTCCACCACGGCTCCTCATGTCCTTCGAAGTGAAGTAGATCTGTTATCCTACTATGCCCCTCAGCCTCAAGATCTTGATCTGTCTCTCGAATTCACTACAAAACCATAATTTATTACATATCACATATATCATATTATATGTCGTCTTAGAAGCTTAGATTACTTCTTGATCTTAAAAATGGTGCAATATACATTAGTCATATATAGACCACCACAAAATAACTGCTTGAATTTGAATTACATTAATCCCAGAAGATAAAACACCTGATCATTTATGTGAAAGCTTTACAAATTAGAAAATGCAAAGATATTTGTAGATGGAATATCCTAAAACAACTTGTTCTTAGGCTTACATATTTGTTTAGATGTTAGGTTTCAAAAGCTTAACTTTATAGAAGATGATAAATCAACGACTTGTAATTGCATTTTCATACTAGTGCAAATCAGGTGTACTTCAGTTTAAATATTTGTCATGTTATGAAATGATGAGCTAGTGTTCTTTTTAGAGACAACGCTAATTACAAATAGAATATTATGTAATTGGTGTTGGAATTTGTTTTGATGTCTAAGTTCTCTAATAATCTTGTTAGGCCATATACTTTGTGTTTTGGCCTAAGTAATATAACTAACACAATTCAGTTTGATGAAAACTTAAAGTCCATCTTGTTGCCACTGCGGCGGGTAGAGAGGTAAAAAAAATCGGTATTATTAAAATCGAACAATCATAGAAAAGGCTTTGTTGAGGCCCAATACCTACATCCTAAATTGTATGTATTTTATTTTCATGGTTAATCAACTTTGAGGAACTGACTTAAAATCAATTTTAAACGCATATCTAACACCACTCACTTGTGTATGAACTTTTGGAAAATCTTGAACCAGCCTTTGGTACTCATATTATAACAATCTCTAATTAAAAAGAGAATTAGTAACTTCAAAGCTGAAATCATTACTAAACAGAGAAATACATACATTGCAGAGAATCATCCTCTTCCGAATGATTTAGTAATGATTTCAGAGTCTAATGGAGCTAATCAAACTTGCTGAGAATCATCCTCTTCCTGAATGGTTGTAAAGTTTACTAGGGGATTGAAAACAAGGCTGCGACTTTCGAATCAAGAAATGTAACAAAGAAGTGGGTTGTAGAAGGCTCGTCGAAGTCAGAGAAGCAGCCTAACTTCTTCTATCAAACTTGACATGAGGCTGATAATGTTGTAGAGATATTAGCAGAGAAAACTCTTATTGTTCAGTCTTAGTGATTCAAATTTTGTGGCTTATATTATTTGGAGTCAAGCGTTTGAGAGATGCAGTTTCCAGTTTATGATTTCCCAATTGTATCCATAAAATCAATTTGTATGTCAAGAGTATTTGGTTAGTAGTATTATATCGGAAAGAAATCACTACTAGAATCATAGTTTCATATCCAAAGAAACAATGGGAAATATTAACTTCAAAGAAACCAATCATCAAAAGACAAAAAAAAAACAAAAACAAAAAAAAAACAAATAATAAAACCAAACAAGGGGAATTAGTTATGTTTGGAAAACCAAACACTTACATTAATTTCACATCCTTTACAAAGTTTGGAAATGTGCGAACTTTTCTGAAATCAACAGGATCAATTTCTGGAACTTGAACGGGCGTCATAATTTTACTCTCGAGATTGTAGTAGAAAATGTTGAAAGGACGACGTGGTTTAATTGTTAGGTAAAACACAAGTTGGCCACTACCAATCATTGCAGCAGAAAAGAAGGGTGGTTTCATGATGTTTGGACGTTGTATTTGGTGCATATTGAACCATTTATGTTCTTCTGCATTCTCTAAAACCCACACATTTGACAAATTAGACAAATCAGAGTCAATAGCACCTAACTTACCCTTGTGGTCTATCAGAATCAAAGGACGTTCCCAGATAGTTGTTGCCTTGATCACCTGATTCACCTGATCAAGGTTAATAAAACTGAATTCCTCAGACCTAACGTCAAAGCAAAGGATCGAACGTTTTTTGTCAATGATTACTTGATAATACAAAACCCCATTGATGCATATTCCCTCGTCTTCGCCTTTGTAATAATAATGATGAAGTATGAAACATTCGATATTTCTCCAAGAAAGATTTCCAGTCCCTAGTGTAAGAACTTGACTGACGTGTGAGCCAAGAAACCAAGTGCTAAGCAATACCTTGAACTGTTTTCCGATTGGATCATAACCAAAATGAATCCTCTCCTTTGATAAAGGCCATTTTGATGTCACTTTGGGTGTGGTTACGAACTCTCCTGTGATGGGATTTGAAATCACAGCCCATAAACACTTGTTTCCGATATGTTGACTACAGACCAGTCCGTTGACTGGGGGATATGTTTTAACTTCATAGCAATATTCTGAGGAGAAACTCGTGTGACGTGTGGGCGGAAGATATCGTACTGATGGTTTTGGAGGTTGAGGTGAAGAGAAGAAGAGCAACTTTGTTTCTTTTTCCAAGGCGTAAAGGAGCCTCGGTTTCGGTGTAGCCGGAGACTTGATCGGGAACAACAGGTGGTAATTAGGACGGCGAACTATCGAGGACCAGAGCTTCGATACGCAACGACATTGAGCCAAAGACTTCACAGGCAATCTGGACAAGATATTATTAATGAACAGATCGACAGGGATCAGATCAAAGGAACTTTCATTGGATCCGCAAACGGTTGAGTTATTGCCGGAGATGCACTGCTTCTGTTTTTTCATGGCGATGGACTAAAACCCTTGATTGATTGTGACCAATGTAGGCGTCTCTTTCAAGTTAAAGTAAACCCTATCTTACGCTTCAATCAAACTCCATAAAATGGGCTTTGTTAAGGCCTTATCCTACGCACTAAATTGTAGGTCCCCCATTAAGCCGAGTTTAGCGTAATTAATTAGTTTTGTTTGGAATAACTAAACACTTAACATCATCCTCTACGTACATACAGTACATAGTTTGGAAATGTGTAAACACACCAATAAACTAAACGCTTCAAAACCCTCTAATTAAAACCCTCACATCAAAAAAAGTTATGCTTAATTAAATTCAGAATTGCAACCTCCTAATTTACCCTCGTAGTCGATCAGCTAGAGTGAAAGTGAAAGGCTCCGTGATCTTTACTTCCATGTCTTGATCGATGTTAGTAGAACTAAAGATCTCAAACTTGACTTTAATAGCTCTTCGATTATTAAAGCTTGACTTGAGTAAAAACGCAAGGCGTGAACCAACTTCTTTTAAAAAGATCTTGAATTTATCAGTGTTGACAAAATTCCTCAAGATTAATAAATAACCTAACTAAAACCAACATGATCTTCTCACTATTTCATCATCATTAGAGACTCTTTACATTTTCTTATATATATACTAAAGAAACATCTTATTGATAGATATATTTGGGTTGATTTAACAATTAAGAAATCAGAGAAAACACATGTAAAAATAAGAGCCTAAAAACATAAGAAAGCAATTGATTATGTGGATTCCTTCTGATTGGAAGAAGTAAACATTACATAAGCTTTTCATCCTCTACAAAGTTTGAAAACGTGTGAACTCTACAACACGCTTCCAGATCTAGAAACTCGACGCGTACTCTGATTTGTTTGTTAATCTCAAGATCTCCCCAAAAAAAGTAGAAAGGCCCATTGACATAGTACTGTGGGCACACCACAGCCGCGGCTCTCTCAGACTTTTTAACAAAGTGTATCGGTCCAAGATGCTTCATCTTTGACCATCTATGTTCCTCGGCATCATCTAAAACACACAGCTCGAAATGACCCTCACGAACATATTCAACCCCAGCACCTAACTTACTCTTGTAGTCTACCAGAACGAAAGGCTTGTCCATCTTTGTTGCCAACTCTTGAGCAATGTTAATAAAACTAAACTTCTCAGACCTAACATCAAAGCAAACAACTGTATAGTTTCCACTAAATGTCTTCGCTGGATAGTACAAAACACCGTTGATGCATATCCCATTATCTTCTAGGGCATAATGGCTCGTGTGACATTGGATCTTTCTCCACAAGAGATTTTCTTTGCCGGTCCCTAACGTGAGAACTTGATACTGACCGGGCCAGTTCTGCGAGCCGCGATACGACCAAGTAACACATAATACCTTGAACTGTTTGTCGATTGGATCATAGCCAAAAGAATATGCTGCTTTTCCATCTTTCCACTCTGACTTGATCCGCTCCTTTCTTTGTTTGGGTAAGGTTAAAGACTCTCCTGTGATTGGATTACAAATCACAGCAAAGGTATGGTCCTTCTCAATATGTTCCTTTTCAATATGTTGAAGACAGATCAATCCGCCAACAGGGCGACATAATTTGTAGAAATCTTTGCTGGAATGTGTATGGTGAAGAGTGATATCTAGAGAAAAATTCTGATCAAGATTTTGTGGCTGAGGTGAAGAGCAGATTAACAGATCTCCTGCATCTTCCACGGCCCAAAGGAGCCGCGGTGGAGCCGGAGACTTGACCGGGAACAATAGGTCGTAATTTGGACGGCGAATCATCGACGACCAAAGCTTCGAGACGCAACGACATAGAGCTAAAGAATTCGACGGCAATCTCGGGAGTATATTATCGATGACCAGATGGTCAGGGATCATTCCAAAGTGATATTCTACTACGCCATCGTCGGAGACTTTCTGCGTGTTTTGTCATGGTGATGGACTAAGAACCTTTTAACGTAAGTAAGAGCTTTAGGGCAAAACTTGTTATTAACATGATCGGTGGCAGTAGCTTTATATACACGTTTAAAGTTGGCCCCACCATCTAATATGTTTTCCTAAACATACAAGGAAACTTAGACAAAATCTTTTAATTAGATACTTCTTAATCCTGGATTCTCCAATTGTAACTTCAAAAAACCTCAAAATTAAAGACGCACAGAAAATTAAAAAAAAAAAGAATAATAATATCCTATACAAAGACAAAGATAGATCATGTGATATAAGTTATAAACACTTAGATAAGCTTCACTTCCTCTACAAAGTTTGGGAATGTGTAAACTCTACAAGACTTAGACTCATCAACTACTGGAACTTCAACTCCTACTTTTTTGGGAGTGTTCGTCTCGAGATTATAGTAATAGATGAAGAAAGGATCTCGTGTATGGATTGGGGACAAGACAAATTCTTCACTCCCATTCATTCCAGCAAGGCATACATGGTTCTCTCCAATCAGAGACTGATGTGGCAAATCCCAATTAAATACATGCTTCAACCATTTATGTTTATCGGCATCTTCCAAAACCCACAACTCAATAGAAGGAGGGTAAATAGCATGACCTTCAGTAACACCTAATTTTCCCTTGTAGTTTATCAGATTGAAAGGTCGTCTGTGGAGTCTTCCTACCATGCCTTGATCAATGTCAGTAAAACTGAATTTCTCAGTCCTAACGTCAAAGCAAACTATGGTAAGTTTTTCCTTGTGGCTAATTGATGGATAGTACAAAACACCATTGATGCATATCCCTTTGTCGTTATCTTTATCCTCTATTGGAGAATGTGGTGTGCAACAATGGATCCTCCTCCATGAGAGATATTTTTTTCCGGTCTCTAATGTCAGAACGTGATACGTGGCGTACAAGTTATTTGGATTGCTCCACCAAGTGGTACGTAATACCTTAAACTGTTTGTCTATTGGATCATATCCCAAAGAATACTCTGCTTTTCCCGTTGTCCACCCGGAACCACCGTTTAGTGACACTTTGGTTGTGGTCACGTACTCTCCTGTGATGGGATTAGATATCACAGCCCATGAATACTTGTTTCGGACATGTTGACTACAGACCAATCCGCGAAGAGGGCGACATAACTTATAGAAACTTGTGCCGAGATCCATGCGATGAGGAGTGGCTCCAAGGAACGAACCCGCATCCATATCATGACGTTGAGGTGAATAGTAGAAGAACAAGTTTGATCCAACGTTGAAGGCGAAAAGGAGCCTTGGTGGAGCCGGAAGTTTCGATGACCAGTGCTTCGATACGCAATAACACCTTGCTTTATACTTCAACTGCAGTCTTGAGAAGATGTCATTGAAGACATCAATAGGGATCAGATCAATGTAATTTGTTTCTCCTCCTACAGAGGCTGAAGATCGTTTATTGCCTCCGGATACGTTATCGTCCAAGGAGACCTGCTGTTTACGTTTTGTCATGGCGGTAAATGTAACCCTAATACCGATTACTATCTTTTATTTTTATATACTGCGGATTATATAGTAAATAGTTGGACTATTTGAAGTTTCTCTTTCCTTTTCCTGTTGTTAGTTTCCTGTTTTTAATTCTACTTTTCATTTAATTCTATTTGTTAATATGTGTCATCATATATTACTTTTTTATGATTTAATTTAATTAGAAAACTGGAAAATTGGAAATTAACCATTATAACTTTTTTGGGTTAGTTGATGGAAAAGCTTGATTCTTTTTCTCCTATGCGTTTGTAGACACCAAAGATTAAAGAAGAGGAACTTAAGGAATCTCATGCAGAAGCGACGAGTCTATATAATACAAAACAGAGAATCTTAGGGAATATTATTGGGTCCCAATATTATTAATTAATTTGTTAAAAGACCATGACCACTATATATATCCAGTACGCTGTGAGAAGAGCACGAATCGACAAGGCTCGGTTTACAAAACATGAAGCTGAAGAAACGAACAAGTTGCAAACAATCTCTCATCTGTTTCAAGCTCTTGGTCTATCAAGCGCCAAGAAAATATATGAACAATCATCAATATCTTGTGTAAGAAGATAAAGTAAAAGAAAATAAAACCCACAAAAGACAGATAAATGTGATTTAAGTTTTGTTTGGAAGAAGTAAACAGTTAAATAAGCTTCACCTCCTCTTCCTCAACAAAGTTTGGGAATGTGTAAACTCTACATAACTTAGACTCATCAACTCCTGGAACTTGGACTCTTACTCTTGTGAACATTTTCCTCTCGAGATTATAGTAATAGATGAAGAAAGGATCTCGTGCATGGGTTGGGGACAAGACAATGTCTTCACTACCAATCATTCCAGCAACGGATACACGGCTCTCTTCATCCAGCAGTCGATGGGGCCATTGCAATTTGAAGCCTTGCTTCGACCACTTATGTTTCTCGGCATCCTCTAAAACCCACAACTGAAAATAAGGACGGTAAATAGCATTACCTCCAGTAACACCTAATTTACCCTTGTAGCTTAACAGAAAGAAAGGCCTGTCGATAAATTTTACCATGTCTCCATCAATGTTAATAAAACTGAATGTCTCAAACCTAACATCAAAGCAAACCATCGTAAGTTCATTTTCATGGCTCATTGCTGGATAGTACAAAACACCCCTGATGCATATCCCGCTATCGTTAGCTAGCATCGTTTAGAGGGTAATGTAACGTGGTGCAACTTTTGATCTTCCTCCATGAGAGATTGCTATTTCCGGTCTCTAATGTCAGAACATGATACTTAACGCCCCATTTTACTTTCTTGCAACTCAACCAGGTGATACGCAATACCTTGAACCGTTTGTCTATTGGATCATATCCAAACGAATACTCTGCTTTTCCGTCTATACTTGTTGAAGCACCCCTTACTGACAATTTTGGTGTGGTTACGTGCTCTCCTGTGATGGGATTAGAAATCACAGCCCATGAAGAATTGTTTTCCGAATGTAGAATACAGACCAATCCGCGAAGAGGGCGACATAACTTATAGAAACTTGTGCCGAGACTCGTGTGATGAGGAGTGGCTACAACGGACGAGTCCACATCAAGATCTTTAGGTTGAGTTGAAGAGTATACGAACAAGTTTGATTCAACGTTGAAGGCCAAAAGGAGCCTCGGTGGACCCAAAATGATCGACGAGTACCAGTTCTTAGATACGCAACGAAGCCTTAGTTGACACGTCACCGGCAATCTCGAGATGATATCATTGAAGAGATCAACAGGGATGAGGTCAAAGTAATCTGTTTCTCCTCCTACAGAGACGTTATCGTCGGAGGTGACATGCTGTACAGGTTTTCGCTTTGCCATGGCGGTGGATGTAACCCTAATCCGGATTACTAGGTTTACTTATTTTATATACTTTAGCCACACTCAATATGTTGGGCTTTGTTAAGGCCCAATACTTACTCGATGGATGTATCATAATACTCGACTTACGATGTAATATTATTTTTCTTTGAAAATGGTAATACTTTATTATGTAAAAATATTAAATATGAAATATGTTTTTCACTTTTAAAAAGCTAAATTAAGAAAAAAAATATTACTAATTTTGGACGGACCAAAATCTGAAAGATGTATATTTGTCCTATCTACACAAATTACTCTTGTTTTTAATTATCACTAAAGATCTAATGAACAATGTGATGTTTCCCACAACGATACCTCATGTCCAATGATAAACAATTGTATCTATAAGTCAACTGTATGTGGAGTTTCAGATTAGTAAAAGTTCGTATTGATAGTGATTGACTAAACCAAGTCAACAAACAAAAAAGCGTGTTTCACTGACTTGTGTCCCAACTTTCTCCAAAATCTTGAACCAGTCTTGATCCTTATCACCATTTTGCCGTGAAATCCTAGTTTCTAAAGACAATAATGGACCCCCAACCAAATTTCGACATCAAAAACCTCTCTTTGTTTCATTTCATTCGTTTGAAAAAAAGCTTCACCACTTTAAATAAAGCATCAGTTTTAATCTTCACGATCTTTGTCTTGATGTCAGAATCTTTCGTCTTCCTTTCTTCCCACGCAAAAAGTCTGTGCTTCTTTCCCCTTTAATCTTTACCCCAAATTTCACCATTTGTTTGTCAGCGACATGGACGATGAATCTGCTTCTAATAGCTCCGTCTTCAGAAACCTCGAAGGAGAAGAGATGATGGGAAAAGTGATTCTGTTCGTAGTCGTATCACTATTCGCAGCGATTCTGTTCCTCCTCTTGCTTCATCTCTACGCAAGACTCTTCTGGTGGCGTGTAGAACAACATTTCAACCTAAACCTAATCCGATCCGACGATCCTGGATCCACTGTACATGTCATCGGCCGTCACAACCAACGACGCCGTTTCATCTTCGCTCAAGCTCAAGAAGATCCTCCTCGCAACACAGGTCTCGACTCTTCTCTTCTCCAATCGATCCCTGTCGTTGTTTTCAAGTCAACGGACTTCAAAGACGGCATCGAATGCTCCGTTTGTCTCTCCGATCTCGTTGACGGCGATAAAGCTAGGGTTTTGCCAAGGTGTAATCATGGGTTTCATGTTGATTGTATTGATATGTGGTTTCAGTCTCATTCCACTTGTCCTCTCTGTAGAAACACGGTTGGTTCTGTTGAAGAAGAGACGACACATGGAGGAAACGAGGGTTTGTCTCAAAATCAAAACTTTGAATCCGGACATTCGAGTAATCAACAAAACCCATCTCATCAAGACCAGAGCTCTGTTCTTGGGGTTTCGACAGAACCTCTTAATTTTCCGACAAATGTACTAGTTTGGGGAGATCACAATCAAGTTAGAAGTCAAGGCGTTATAGTTACTGGAAATGACCATCATCAAATAGAATCTACTACTATTGGTAACAGAGCACAAGAAGTAACGGCGCTTGTGGTGGATATTCCGGCGAATTCAAGTGAGAATTTAACGGAGAGAATCCAAGAAGAAGAGCCTAAGTCACCGATGTTCACAAGGTTGAGATCGCTTACGAAGTTTTTGAGTAGAGAGAAGAAAAGTGTGGCTTGCGTTAGTGGTACCAACAACAACAGCAATGTTTGAACAGATATGTAAAATCTTGAATCCATTCAAGAACACTGAAACCTTTTGAGATCAAGAGATGCATTTTATGTATGTTTTACGGAGAGTGTGAACATATATATAGTTTGATTTAAAATCTACATTACTAGAGATAATGACTTAACGATGATGATTGCTATAATTTTGAGTCTAATTCTTGCAATGGTATGTATTTTTTTTTTTTTATCACTACTTGGCAAAAATAACATTACTGTATCTTAAAACATAAAAGCCAAGATGAGGAATTTCATTAATAATTAAACATCCAAAAGTTTAAGCCAAAAAAAAAAAAGCAAAATAAAAAAGGGAAATGCGAAACAACACTTTACATAAACTTGGGCTGATTCACATCCTCTACATAGTCTTGAAAGGTGTGAACCCTAAAGTTTTGAAACTTTCCAAATCCATTGATTTCAGTTCTTGTCAAAGTTTCCATGTCGAGATTGTAGAAGTAAACACAGAAAGGGTCTGATAGAAAGTAAGGTGAAAACACAACATCACCTGTACCAGTCATTCCAACAATGTATAATTCGGTTTTCGCAACCACACTCTTCCACAAAGATGGAAATTCGTAAATACGCCTCGACCATTTATGTTTCTCAGCATCTTCAAGAATCAACAACTCGAGATTTGTTTTATATACTAGTAGAGTACCCGCACGTTTGTGCGGTGTGACGTTGTTGTTTTGTGTAGAAAATTTAAACCCTAAATCCGAACCCGACAAAAAACCCTAATCAAAAAATTTAAAAACCCAAACTTTTTTAATAGGTCTAAACATGAAAATCCGAAATCAAAAAAATCCCGAAAACCCTGACTGAACAAAAAAAATCTGGAAACTTTTTCACCCGGAACCCGACCCCAATACCTAATCAAAATTTTAAAATACTCAATTTTTTTAATATATCTAAACCCGAAAACCAGAAATCTAAAAAATCCGGAAAACCCTAAACTGAAAAAAAAATTGAACCTAACCCGAACAGAAATTTTCAAAGAAACCCGAACAATTTCTATATCTCTATATATATCTCTATAAAATTATGTCTCAGATTTTCACCCAAACCCGAACTTGTCTATAAAAACCCGAAAATCCAAAAAGCATATTCTATTGATTTGGAATTATCGTTAGATTATGTTAAGTTTTCTTTTTTGCAGATTTTTAAGAGATGGAAAACGGAAGTTTTCTAAACCATCGGTTTATTTTAAGTTATTATTCTTGTATCCAAACAATTTTTTCCATTTATTCTTCTATCCAAATAGATTTTTCTCTTATTCTTATATCCAAACAACTTTTGTTTCCATTTATTCTTCTATCCAAATAGATGTTTCTCTAATTCTTGTATCCAAACATTAGAATGTACTTCTCAATTAATAATATAAAGATATGTGCAAACTGAAGCACACCTAATTTACCCTTGTAGTTGATCAAAGTAGGACAGTAGTAGAATACCCCCATGCATTTATCTATGTCGATAAAGGTGAATGTCTCAGACCTAACATCAAAGCAAACAATCATAGACGCCATCGAATTCTCACTTATATTAGCAAGGTAATACAAAACACCGTTGATGCATATATCTCTCTCCAAAGGATAATGAGGTTTGCAGTTCCTAAGTGTTCTCCATTCCCTAATGTCACAACTCGATGCTCTTGTGGTACGTTGTATATATTAACAAGAGGACAAGTTATAGACAATAACTTGAACCGTTGTTCCATCGGATCATACCCAATCAAATAGTTTCTCTTGACAAGTTTCTCTGTTTTTGCGTCCAGTAAAGTTAAAGACGTTCCCGTGCTGGGATGACAAATCACCAACACGGATTGTGTCTTTCTCTGCTCTTGACGATAGACCAATCCATTTAAATGGTGAAATTCGTTTGAGGAACCACCCGTAGGGAAAGAGGTTTGATGATCGACGACAACAAGAGATGATGTCTTGTCTTTTGGGTTTGGAACCTGAAGTGATGAGGAGAAGAACAACCTCCCGTCAACTTCGAAAGCGAAGAGAAGCCGTGGACGAGTCAAAGACTTAGTCAGGAACGACTCAGTGAATTCTGGACGACCAAGTACGGAAAACCAGAATTTCGATACGCAACGAAACCTAGCTATAGACTTTGATGGGCATCTCAAGGATATATCGATAAGAAGATCAGCTGGGATTTGGAATTCTGAGTCGTTCTTCTTGAGTCTTTTCATGGCGGATTAGCTACGTTTAACCCTATAATTTTCTTTGGATTATATAGACGAAGGAATACAATTTTGCCTATCTTCTTCGATTTCAACTTACTTTTTTTACTGCTTAGAGTTAAACAAGCTTTTAAGCCCAAAACTAAAAATATGTAAAACGCAACTAGGAAAAGGAAAAATTAAGAATGAGAAACAATGAATATATATGACTTGTCTCACACGTAAACGTTTTATCAAACTACGCATTTCAAAGTCATTGGCCCATTAAATTTAAGAATTACAACATCAGAAGCACGGGTTAGAAAAGATGCAGCCCAGCCCATTCGTTTTGTTGAATATGATATATAGTCTTTAGTCTTTACAGAAGATAACAAAAACCGAGCTTTATTGATAACAACCTTTGTGTTCCAACGGATAAGCTCTTTTATAAATACTCCGCATCTGTTTTTTCTGTAATTAATATCGTAGGATTAATTAACTAGTGTGTGAATGATTGTGGTCCCTTGATTTAAGGCACAATTATTCAATCCCGACATGTTTTATATCAGTATCCCTCTACCATACAATTAGCCAGTATATTAATACGTAACATTCCTACTAGTATATGTTAATTACAAACATGCTTGATGATTGATGCATGTATCTTAAATGAAGAACCACCAAATAATGTAATTAAGCTTTAATGAGTAGGAAAACTAAGATATAAAAAAAAATCTACAGAAAACTAGTAGGTTACATAATACGTCAATTTGTTTGTAAAAAAAAAATATGAAAGATAAAAGTAGTCTCCTATTTATGCATGACTTCTTTTTCTAAGTAAAAGGAAACACTAGTAGGTCCACCGCTACAACAAAAATGAGATAAAGGACTCACAATCACTTTCGAAATACTATACACGTAATCTCAGTATAAAATTAACGAGGCGCGATTAACGGCGATGTTGAGATTATAAAATTCCACGTACAGCCTACCAACGAGAAATGTGAGTTTTTAAGGTAATTAAAAAGTCGATAATTTCATGACATTACGGAAATAATTTCGACGGGTGATTTGTCAATGCACACAGCCACCAAGAATCTTTCGGCCGTTTAATATATTATTGATCATCTTCCTTTCTTTCAACAAATAATTGATCACAATTTAACTAAACAGATTCACAACGTTTTAAATATTTATAATCCTTCATTTAAGATCTGACTGGTTTAACCGCTGCGGTTGCGGTTGCGGGAGTTTGCGGCTGCGGGAGTTTGCGGAAGCGGGAGTTTGCGATTAAAAGCTGTTTGTACGACTGGTATAGCAATTCATAGCGGTTGCGTTTGCGGGATATTTTTGACTGGTTAGCCAGCGGGTGCAAGAGCGGTTTAACCAAAAGTTACTAAAATAAAAATAATATATAATTATTCAAAACATTTATAACCATATTAATAATTTTTTTTTTGAAATATATTTTTTGATGAATTTTTAATTTGAAAACTACCCTTTTTTTTTGGTTTTGAAAAATACACTTTTTATATGTAAAATGATTATTCCTAATTTAATAAAAACGAAATTCAAATAAGAAATATAAAATATTAATATTTGATAATAATTTTGTATCATTTTAACATCCTAATTACCTGTTTAGTTTTTTTTAAACAATTTAATAAAAATATAAGATTGTTTATATAAAGTTTAAATGGGGTGAGATTAAAGTTGTTTATGCAAAGTTTCAAAAATATTTAAATTTTTCAAAAGATAAACATTAAAAATGAAAGATATATTTCTCCACTTTTAAATTTTTAATAATTTATAAACTTTAAATATATGTAAAGTTTTAATTTATTTAAAGTTTCATTTGGTTTGAATGTGTATGAGGTTAAGTTGTTTATATAAAGATCCAAAATATTAAAATTTGTTTCAGTTTAACATATACTATATTTATTTGAAAAAAAACTTATTAGTTTATTATTTTTTTAAATTTTCGTTTATAATTTGTAATTATTTATTATTTTTTTGTTTAAATCACGTCAAAACATACTTTTTACATTTTAAAAGTGTATTTTTCAAAACAGAAAAAATTTAGGGTATTTTCGAAATTTTTAAACATAATTATGGTATTTTTCAAAAAAATATACCCTTATTCCAAATTTGGAGATATTATGTTTTTTTTTTTTTTTTTTCAAACCGCAACCGCCCGCAACCGCAAACGCTTGCGGAAAGGAGCTTTTGATTTTCAGCGATATAGAGCGGTACAGAGTGGTATAGAGCGGTTGAAAGCGGTTGTCGTGATTGTTATAAAACGCTAAGAACCGCTACGAACCGCAAACGCTGCGTTTGCGGGTGGTAGCGGGAGAACCAATCATCACCTTAATCAAAGAATTACAAATAGCATATTATATCAAATTATTGCACAATGTTAACATAGTAAGAAATGGAAATTAGGCCTTACAAACAAAAAAAGGGGTCGTCGTCTCTAATAATTAGATTGATTTTAACTTAGCTGAATAGTTCTGGCGTTGTCCAAATGTGGGTGTCCAACCGGCAACACTCCCATGTGGCCCTGTCTCAATCTCCTTTTTATGGTTAAAGTCATCGACCTTAATTTGCTTTTGATTAATTCTTTCCTTCTTTCTACTAATACGTGTCGGTTTGTTAACAACAAAAAATACGGGTGAGTTCGTTATATTAGTCTCAATAAAACTATTTTCGAAAGTAGACCACGGTATGATAATTTAAGAGTGTCAAATCTTTAGTTCAATGGTTAAAGTTCTGAAGACATCATTGCCAATATAGGTTCCAACTTCCAAATTCCAAGTACGAAGCGGAACAAACGTACCAAAAACGATATATATAATAAAATGCCTTTTTGGTTGGTATTTTGCAGTAGATCTTCCATACAGCGTGATCGTAAATCACAATATAAAGTTGACATTTTCTAAATCCTAACAAAGTACAAGACACGGACAGAATGTAGAGTCCTTGCAGTATCCTGAATCTGGAATGTGGATGAATCATGGCTGATAAAAGTAACATAAGAAACCATAATACAAAATATAAAATATCACTGAAAATCCGAACAAAAAGATTCGGATTGTACCAACAAGAAGATGAATCCCGTGACAGTCCTGCAGCCTAGTAGACAGCAAGTGCGAATCTTAGTTTACTCTTTTATGTGATGTTGTTGTTCGGTGCCACCGAATCGATGATGTTTTATGCTTAGTTGCTAATTGTTATGCGTGACGACTAGAAAACATCTTAGTCGTTAATCGTTATAGCCAAGAAAGTAATGCTATCTAAACCAAGAAGGTTCGTATTTTGACAAAAAGAAAAAACAAGTCAAATCCAGCGACGCTTACAGATCAAGAAAATTTTCCTGCCGTTTCATGTTTTTGGTGTGAGTTTTGTTGTTTCATATTAATGTACTTACTATGATTAAGTAGGTAACTATATTCAACATATAGCTCCAATGATATGTTTTAGATTAAAAAGAATAACATTCATTAGAGAATATCTGTCGTTTTCAGTGACATCTAAAAACATAAATTTTTCCTAGCATAAATTCCGGGAACTGCATGTGAGTATCCATGTACAAGAAAAAAATATACTATGTAGTTCGATTAAATACATAATATAACTAAAACAAATGGACAGTTTCACTGAAATTTTTTATTCTTCCATAGTATAAGAATTATGAAAATTTGTTATGTTGCCTCGCGTCTTATGGATTATGAATCAACGTGGACGAGAGTGGTCGCTTTCTTCCTCCTCGGAAATCAAAATAACGCATGTTCATACAAATCAAGAAAATTACATTCTGAATGATCATAAAATAATATTAATAACTCAAAATATTCGAGATAATTATGTTTTAAATAGAATGATATCAAAAAGTGGGCCTAAGGGAGATTGAAAATGTTCCACACAAATAATTAATACATATATTCAGGCAACTTGCAAGCAAATAAAACATTAACACAAAACAAAAACAAAATATTTTGAAGTTATTTGCTTTTTCATCCCAAAACTCAACAATATAAACCCCATTCCACCACCTTGTACTTCCTCACAACTAACAATACTGCCAAAACAAAATGGCACCGTTAAAAGATTTGATCATATCCAAATTCTCACATTTCAAGAACAGCAAGAAACTCATATTCTCCTCCGCCGTCTTAGCCTTGCTCATCTTTGCCGCCCTTGTTGGAACCGCCACCACAAAATCAAACCAAAACAAAAACCAAAGAACCAAAACTCTCTTTACAACATCACACGCCGTTCTAAACTCCGTTTGCAGCTCAACCCTTTACCCGGAGCTATGTTTCTCCGCCGTGGCATCCACCGGGAAAAAGCTGACGTCACGGAAGGACGTCATCGAAGCATCGCTGAACGTAACCATAAACGCCGTGCAACACAACAGCTTGGCCGTAAAAAAACTGATCGCGAAAAGGAAAGGCTTGACGGCGCGTGAGGTGACGGCGCTTCAGGACTGTATGGAGACTAATGACGAGACGTTAGATGAGCTCCACGAAGCAGTGGAGGATCTTCATCAGTATCCCAAAGGAAAATCTCTGAGGAGACACGCAGATGATCTCAAAACCTTCATTAGCTCCGCCATTACGAATCAAGAGACTTGTCTTGACGGCTTCACTTACGACAAGGCCGATAGAAAAAGTAGCAAGGCCTTAGTGAAGGGGCAGGTACGTAAATTTTTATATTAATGTTTCAATGTGTATAATCGTGTCTCTAAATGCTTTTTTTTTTTTTTTTTGCTATAGTCAGATTTAGTATGTGAGTGAAAGATTGTTCGGATTTGACAATCTTAAGAATTTGTTTTAAATACTTTAATTTCGAAAACAGGAATTATAGCAACAGTACTATTTTCGTCTTACATGCATGATCCATCTCATTCTTATATAAAAAAAAAAGTATGATTAGATATATGATTGTCGTCTTTCTTTGAAAAAAATTATATATTATTAAAACACATAGAAATTGATAGCATATATATGCATGATATTAAAAATAAGTAAGTTTACTACTACAAACCTTTTAGATGATAGTTTGGATTCCACTAAAAAGTATATATAAAAACCATGAATGCAATGCTTAATATTCTTTTTGTCAGAATCATGCTAAGTAATATTTTGCAACTTTCTCTATGACTAAATCATAACATTAACTTTGACATACAATTTACTCGGATGAAATAAATGCGTTGATTAGTCGTCAGTCCATAAATGAGACCTTATCAATTGAACCGATTAAAACAGGTACACGTGGAGCACATGTGTAGTAATGCACTAGCAATGGTCAAGAACCTGACAGAGACAGACATAGCCATCTTCGAGCTAAGAGAAAAGTCCACCTCCTCCAACAACCGCAAGCTCAAAGAGATTACAGGTGACTTAGACGGAGAAGGATGGCCAAATTGGTTATCTATCGGAGACAGAAGGCTTCTTCAAGGGTCAACGGTGAATGCAGACGCCACGGTGGCGGCTGATGGAAGCGGTGACTTTACGACGATTGTGGCTGCGGTAGCGGCAGCGCCGGAGAAGAGTAGTAAGAGGTTTGTGATACATATAAAAGCAGGAGTATATAGCGAGAATGTGGAAGTGACGAAGAAGAAGACAAATATAATGTTTTTGGGAGATGGGAGAGGAAAAACTATTATCACCGGAAGTAGAAATGTCGTTGACGGCAGCACCACGTTCCACTCTGCTACTGTTGGTAAATACTTTTTTTTTCTTTTTCTAAATCTTAGAGGATAGTATAAATATATTTTAAGTTGTGCATATTTTTACTAATTACAGTATAGAATCATAATTTAGCGTGATTTTCTAAAACAACTGATTTTATGTTTTGTTATCTAATGTTTTGATGAAAAGTTCCAAAAATACTACATACTTATACCAATTAGTCGGTTAGATAACTACGACGACTTTAGTATATACGTAAACGTACCACGTAAATATCACATGAGAGACATTTGTGTCCACCATGACGTGCTACAAAAGTACAAAGTGTGTAAATGATGACGTGGAGACAATTTATAACAAGTTTTACGGCTAAATAATGATTTTGTTTGTTTTGTTTGTAGCTGCCGTCGGCGAGGGATTCCTAGCGCGTGACATAACATTCCAAAACACGGCAGGACCGTCGAAGCATCAAGCGGTGGCTCTCCGGGTCGGGTCAGACTTTTCCGCTTTCTACAACTGCGAAATGTCAGCTTATCAAGACACACTCTACGTCCACTCAAACCGACAATTCTTCGTCAAATGTCACATAACCGGAACCGTCGACTTCATCTTCGGAAACGGAGCCGCAGTTTTACAAGACTGCGATATAAACGCGCGCCGACCAAACTCCGGCCAGAAGAACATGGTCACGGCTCAAGGCCGGACCGATCCGAATCAAAACACCGGGATTGTGATCCAGAACTGTCGGATTGGTGGCACGTCGGATCTTTTAGCCGTGATAGGAAGTTTTCCGACGTATCTTGGTCGTCCTTGGAAGCAATATTCTAGGACTGTGATAATGCAGTCGGATATCTCGAACGTGATCCGACCCGAAGGTTGGCTTGAGTGGAGCGGGAACTTTGCGTTGGATACTCTGACTTACAGAGAGTATTCGAATAGAGGAGGAGGGGCAGGAACTGCAAATAGAGTGAAATGGAAGGGCTTTGAGGTAATTACGAGTGCTACAGAGGCTCAGCAATACACCGCTGGTCAATTTATTGGTGGTGGAGGCTGGTTAAGTTCGACCGGTTTTCCTTTCTCGTTAAGTCTTTGATATGTATTTTTAAAAAGATGAGTTATTTTTAATCTATCTTCCATTACTAATCATCAATAAAGTTTTTTATTTTCTTAAAGTATATACTATCAATAAAGTATGTGTTTAATAAAATTGAAAATCACTTTTATATGATTAAAGCTAGGGTATTAAGCTATTGACATACCTAATTTTCAGGCCCAATATTGGTGTTGTTGCATGTCGATGTTAAGGCCCCGAGAGTTTTAGATGGAGACTCTCCACTTGTTAGAAACGCACATGGCCATTTTAATGTTGAAAAATGATGTTTTTTTTCCTCTTCAGTTATCTGTTTGATTACATTTTCATGTGTGTTTTTCTTAGTCAATTGGATTGTGAAGAGTGTTCACATTCAATGGGCCTACTCCCAAGTAAAGTAAGTTGACCGTGACTTAAATATCTGTTTCTGCTTAAGCCAAAATTAGCATCTTGATATTAAACTTTACTTATGAGTTATGAATGGTTTACTAGACATGGAATTATTGCACTTAAATGGGTAGACAAAAAAAGTTACGTAGTGGAGATTAGTTAGTTAATTAATTACAAAGTAATCATGATCTCCACATGCAAATAGATCAACTGTCACACACTTGCACAATGCACACACCAAGAAAGCACCATGGAACTAGCCCAGTCACGTTCATATATTCACATTCTCATATCCACACTTTATAAAAACAGACAACAACAACACATGTCTCACTGACATTTAACAAGAGAAACATAACAAAATAAACCCCAAAAACATTAAATCTTGGTAAAACTAAAAAACCAGAGACCAAAAAAAGGAGGAAGCTTTGCTAAGCTATTTTTCAGGACTATGGATTCTGTGAATTCCTTCAAAGGATATGGAAAAGTAGACGAGGCTCAAAATCTAGCGTTGAAGAAGAAGACTAGGAAACGTCTAACTCTACTAATCGTCGCCGGCGTAGTCCTCGTCGCGGTAATAATCGCCGCCGTAGCCGCAACCGTCGTACACAAGAAGAAAAGCGAGTCATCCGAGTCAGCAACACCGAGTTCTCCATCCGAGTTATCACCATCCACTTCACTTAAAGCCATTTGCAGCGCCACTCGTTTCCCTGAATCTTGCTTCAACAGCATCTCAAAGCTTCCGTCTTCCAACACAACAGATCCGGAGATTCTGTTTAAGCTCTCGCTGAAAGTAATCATCGACGAGCTCGATTCGATTTCCGATTTACCGGAGAAGCTATCCAAGGATACGGACGACGAGAGGATCAAATCGGCGTTAAGAGTGTGCGGGAATCTGATCGAAGACGCGTTGGATCGGCTCAACGACACTGTTTCCGCCATGGATGCGTTCGACGACGACGGCGTGAAGAAGAGGACACTAAACTCTTCGAGAATCGAAGATCTCAAAACCTGGCTGAGCGCAACCGTCACGGATCAAGAGACGTGTTTCGATTCGATCGACGAGTTAGCTGGGAACAAAACAGAGTACCGGAATTCGACGATTACGAAGAATCTGAAATCCGCCATGAGTGGATCCACAGAGTTCACGAGCAACAGCCTCGCGATCGTGTCGAAGATCCTCGCTGCGTTGAGCAATCTGGGGATCCCGATTCACGGAAGAAGAAGGCTGTTGAATCATCATCAGCCGAGTGTTGATTTTCCGGAGTGGGCGCGACGGAGGTTGTTACAGACGGAGAATGTAAAGCCTGATGTGACGGTGGCGGCTGATGGATCCGGCGATGTGAAGACGGTGAACGAAGCGGTGGCGAGAGTCCCGAAGAAGAGTTTAAAGCTTTTTGTGATTTATGTGAAAGCTGGAACGTATGTTGAGAATGTGGTGATGGATAAAGGGAAATGGAATGTTATGATCTACGGCGACGGCAAAGCGAAGACCATCATTTCCGGTAGTAAGAATTTCATCGACGGGACTCCTACTTACGAAACGGCGACGTTTGGTATGTCCTCTTCCTCCTTCTCCTTCCTTGAATCTTAAGTTCTTAACCCAATTGAGAATTGTTAGAATTGAATTGGAGATTGAGTTTCGTAGAGTTAGTGTTGATTTGATTTGATTTGATCTGACGCAGCTATACAAGGGAAAGGATTTATAATGAAGGACATCGGAATCATAAACACCGCCGGAGCAACGAAACATCAGGCGGTGGCTTTCCGATCAGGCTCTGATTTCTCCGTCTATTACCGATGCTCATTCGACGGTTTCCAAGACACGCTTTACCCTCACTCCAACCGGCAGTTTTACCGCGACTGCGACGTCACCGGAACGATTGATTTCATCTTCGGAAGCGCCGCCGTGGTTTTCCAAGGCTGCAAAATCATGCCACGTCAGCCTCTTCCGAACCAATTCAACACCATAACCGCTCAGGGCAAAAAAGACCCGAACCAAAACTCCGGCATGTCGATCCAGCGATGTAGTATCTCAGCCAACGGCAATGTAACTGCTCCGACGTTTCTTGGCCGGCCGTGGAAAGAGTTTTCGACGACGGTGATTATGGAGACGGAGATTGGACCGGTGGTTCGAGCTTCGGGCTGGATGTCGTGGGTTTCCGGAGTTGATCCGCCGGCGAGTATAGTATACGGGGAGTACAAGAATACCGGTCCCGGGTCGGATGTGAGCCAGAGAGTTAAATGGGCCGGTTATAAACCGGTTATGTCGGAGATGGATGCTGCGAAGTTTACGGTGGCTACGCTTTTACATGGCGGTGATTGGATACCGTCGACGGGAGTCACGCATCAGCTATCTTAATTTACTGACATTTATAATTTGATTTTTAAACATCCGATTTCGATATACGTTTTCTTTTTTATGCCACTATATGATTTGTATTTTCTTTTTCTTGTGCAACCATATTTTGTTAGTGGTGTTTTCTGTAATTCTAATATGAAATATTATTGAGACACAAAACTGAATAAGTGTGAAGCAAGAATGAAGTAAAATCCGAGGTTATTGAATGATAAAAGATTCTCTTACACAACATACTAAAGCGTCACATGATTCATCAATCTAAGAGAAAGTGAAGGAGAGAGTCTCTTGGTTTCAAAATCCGAAGGAAGACATGTCCGGATAAATAAACTACCCGAATTGATTGATATTTGCCCTCAAAGACGAGCGATGACTGCTTCGACTTCTTGTGGAGTGTAGAGATGATAAGCTGGTGCTACCTTGGCAATATCCACATTATTTGGAGTCACCTACAACAAACCAGAACGAACAATCAGATCAATCACAACTTCTGTGAATTGTGAAGTTTTGGATTGAATTCAAGTTTGTACCTTCTCTTCCATAACTTGCTTCAGGATAGATACAGCGATCGTCTCAGCTTCTTGGAGGGTCAGGTCCTGTAACAAGTTAACAAAACTAAAGGTTTTAATGGCAGGCGTAAGTGATGCAATCAGATTAAGAAATTATTTGGAGAAAGATTAAGTTACTTTGTTGAATTGCTCTTGAAGAGAACTATCAGCTCCTTCTGAGCCTGAACCAATGGCCTTTGCATTGCACTGCCAGAAAGTTCCAGATGGATCTGTGTAGTACCTGTAACAAGACATTGAGATCAACCAACTTCCTCAGAGGAGGATCATATGAGAAGAAGAAAGCTAGGTGAATAAGAACTTACAAGCTCGGTCCGTTTTCATCATGACCAGCAATGAGAAGAGATACTCCAAATGGCCGAGACTGTAGTAGGAACATTGATGAAAACACGTTAAATTCGAGTATACATAAACTATCACGTTTTGCTATTGTATTCAGTAGTTTCTTTCAATCATAAAGCCTAAGCCAAGAGATATGAGAGTATCTAGAGATTCCAGAATTTGGATTGTTACCATAGATTCTTCATCTCCTTCACCGAAACGTAAAGCCAGATCACAAAGCGCTTGTGTGGTGGACTCTACAGTCATTGGCTCACCATAGGAGAATCTGTGGTTCTGTATAACAGTAAACAAGCAGTCAATAACGTAAAAACTTCTTTTGAGGCTGAAGAATAAAAACTGATAAACAGAAATCTCACTTGAGTCTCAACTCTTGCATGCTCAACAAGTGTACGAGCATCAGCAATCAAACCACTCATGGCACAGCCAATATGGTCATCAATTTCCATAATCTTCTCCACACTGCTCGGCTCCTGAAAACAAATTTTAACATAGATTGAGAAAGCAGATATTCACCATAACTAACATTAGAATGCTTCCATTTCATCGTGTCTCGAGATCCCATGAGCAATGCAGAAACAGATAAGTCAGTGTAGGCAACTTTACCAGTAAAATCGATGTGATACGCTTCTCAACAGCAAGGACAACTCCCTCTTTGGTCTTCACTCCTATTGCGGTAGATCCAAGCTGCAACAATTCCACACTCATTACAACCTCAAAGATATAAACACTACTCGATGCTTCTGCTAACTATTACCCAGTGAAATTAACAGAGACATTACGTTGGTCAGCAATTCCTCAAAATTCAAGTCTTAAGTCCTATGCAAATCCCAAATTACAAGCGATCAAACAAGGAACTATGAGTCAAATTTGTGCAACAGGCTAAGCAATCAAAGAGAATCCTTAAATCATTTTTCAGAGAAAATCCCTTTTCTTCAACTTTTCTCGATGCTATTTTCAGGGAAACTAAGAGAAAAGTTACCTTGATAGCTTCAATGGCATACTCGACCTGAAAGAGCCTGCCTTCAGGAGAGAAAGTGTTGACTCCTCTGTCATACTCAGTCCTTCGAGCAACAAAAATCGGAGATTACGATAAGAAAAAAGCACCGATTGAATTAATTCAAAGAGACGAAAACTGAAGTGAGCCCAGAAGTAGAAGAACAAAGCGATTTGATAGAGATACCTAGTGAGAAACATCTTCTTCTTCGGCGATTTGGATCTGTAAAACCTTAGTGTCTGCACAATAGAATCAAAACCCTAGCAAAATTAATGGATCTGGGTAATTCAGAAGCTAAGGACCGAAGAACAAAGGAATAGAAGAATCACTAAGTAGGACTTTTTTTGAGATTGAAAGATCATACCAGATGATTGATCTGCGATATCGAAGAAGGTTTTTTGCTTTTACCAGTTTGCTCTTCTTCTTTTAGCTTACGAAGATCCACTTCTTGAACAGCAAGTCAGATGTATCGAAACGCATCGTTTTAAGTGGGCTTCTGATAATGGGCCAAACTAGCTATAATGGATATATTTGGGCCTAATCGCAGACAGTGACTGCTCTGCTGATTTAAGTCCTTTTTACACAAGTATTGAAAATTGTGTGTTGATTAATTTCACAAATATGGGGCTGGATTTTTTAACATTTCTTTAGATCTCAATGTCAGAATTTTAGTGTTACAATAAAGGAAATGACAAAATGGACAGTCCAAATAATTATTATTTTTACTGTACTCAAAATAAATGTTTGTACTTGTACAAATTAGTTAAACGAATAGAACCAAGCAGAAAAGAACAAAAAGAAATGAAGGAGTCTTGTCTTGTAAAAGTATGGGGGAGAGAAGAAAAGCTGTGACTTGTTGCAAGGCTTCTACTTCTTTCAGACGCTAAAGTTCGTCTTTGGTCAGTCTCTTATTGTTTACTCTGTGATCTAACTTTTGCATGACAACAACAATTCAGATTTAGTTAAACAAGAAACCAGGAAGTACAATACTCCTTTAAAATATTATAAAAATAACAAGAGCTTTCACTAGTTCGTGTTTTCATTTTTTGTTCCTACTCAATTTATTTTCACTCATATAAAACTTTTTGTCATTTTAACCCCAAATCTGAAGAAACTGTCGAGATATTCTTTGAATAAAACAGTAAAAATAACACAAATATTGATAATTCAGACACATCAACAGTCTTCCTCTTTTTTTTGTCTATTTGTATATAACTTTTTCTTGTTCTTGTAGTAAGTTAGCGACAAGAATTATTGCAAGGAAGACAACCACATGAGCTACGTCCGGAAACCAAATATCCACGGCGGTTTGTCAACTTCCTCGCCGTCTCTGTGGCCTTTTGCATTTGCTCAGCATGTTGTTGCCTCGCCGTAGCTCTCCAGTCCTCCGCTCTCCGGTGCACTGTATCCATTCTCTTCATCAGTTTCTCCTCCAAATTTGATCTCATCCTCTGAATTTTCACCTAAAACATTAAGATACAGCCCCATAATAAATCACACAATAGTTCTTGAAATTTTGAAAATCCATCACTCAACTGCATTTTTGGACTGATATGATGATTATATAGCTAGATAATAAATGATTAATGATTAAAATTTACTCTCCAAATTCCCAAGAGAGGAAATTACTATCCTTTCACATGGGACTTACACAAATTACAAACCACCCAAAAATCACACACTAATTCTTGAAATTTTATCATTTCGACTTATGTAGCTACTAATCCAAAATGTTTTAGCTACATAATCAGTAGATGATAAATTATTTAAATCTGACTCCAATTTCCCAAGATAGGATATTGCTTTTTTCACATGGGACTTGCACAAATTACAAGTACTACATACAACTACGAAGAAGATGTCATCTCATTTTAAAAAATTCGAAACTCGAAGACTTTTGCTACTAAAGCAACATAGACTAGTCAATGAAGTCGAGTAAGGACTTGGGACATTACTCTAATATTGGCGCGTGGCTCGACAAATCCGTTAGAAACAGAACAGAACAAAATCCGTATTTTTATACGATTATCTATCAAAATTTTACGTATACGAACACATACCTCGAGTTTCCTGGATTGAGCTTCGGCTTTAGCATTTTGGAGATTAACCCATGCCTGGATTTTGGCTTCTTCTCTTTGATACCTACAAAATATTCAATTTTTTAATTTGCCAAACTCGTTAGCTCTAATTACTTCAAAAGTTGTGATTATACCTTTGACAAAATTTGATCTTGTCGTCTTCACCATCATCCCATAAAGTAGCTTTAGATTTAGATTCAGAGACACTTCTTCGTAACTCACTCTCCATATCGAAATGTCGTAAACTCTTCGACACCTCTTCCTCTTCTTCTTCCCTCGAGTTCCAATGACTCGCCACCGAGTTATAGTACTGACTCGCTGCTGCACCACTGAGTCTGAGCTTGTCAGCGAACTCGGAGATGTCTATAACGTTTTTGGTTTCTGTTAACGGACCGGACATTTTCGAAGGCGTGTTGTGTCTAGCCGGAGATGAGCTTGTAAACGGCGTGTGACATCTTGAAGTCGTTACACTTCCGATTGGTGTCATCTCTGTTCCCATGTCTCTGTGTTGGATTTGAGCTTCTTCTTCTTCCTCGTACTGAAGAAACTTGTCCGAATCTCTGAAGATAAACCCTTCCGTAGACGGCAGAATATGTTGCACTTCGTTTGCCAACTTATCTAAAAGCACAAAGAATCAAAATTGTCAATTTAAACAAAAAGATCAAAACTTTTTAAGAATCTTATAAAAAAGTTTCTTCATTTTCACCTTTAAGGATGAGATCTGGTGGAGATAATGAGACTTTCTCCTCCGTAACCCTAGATTTCTCTGAGTACACAACTTCAACCTGCAAAATCCAATTCCCCCAAATTCACATTCTTGTTTAAAAGATCTGAGCTTTATCAGTAACCCAATTCCAAAATGTTAGGTTTATCATTTTACTACTTGCCAATTCTACATTTCTCATATAAAGATTCGAACTTTTTTGCAAAATGTGAGGGTTTTTTGAGAAACCAAACCTGGTGCTTGAAGCCATCAAATTGGGAGTTGTTACTCATTTGACTGTGTTTGAGGGAGTGTGCCGGAGAATCATGACCGGAGGTGACCCATTTCTCGGCATCAATCCATTTGGAAGGGAAGTTTCTTCTTCTACCAGAGACACTGCTACTGAAACTGAAGACTCCTCTTCCTGGAGTGCAAGGAGACTCCATTAACATCAATCTTCTCTGTCCACTGCTTCTTCCTTCTCCAATGCTCTTTTGTGATGAGAAGCTCTGTCTCCTTTCGTTCGCCATGTCACTGCTGCTGCTGCTGCTTTGGTTTGATGAAATTGGAAGTGATCTGATGAAATCTTGAGTTTCCTTGAAATTGATTCTGCTTGTGAGTGATTCTTCTGCAAATGGGTTTGTGCTCATTCTTGGCTCAGCAATATCTGAGTTTTTCTCCTAAAAACAAACAAAGAGAGATTCAAGAACAAGAAAAGAAGAGAGCATTGAACACAAAAACAAAGTCATTACTTCTTTTACCATATTAGGAGGAAACAGAAGCTGAGTTTGGAGATGGAGCTTAGTGCTGTTGTTTCTTGTGGTGTCCATAGAGATTTTTATTTGTGTTCTATTGTGTGTTTTTTGTTTGTTGGTTTATTTTTGTTTAGTTGTTGTCTGCATCTAATGGAGGAGCTAGATTATTTTGGAAGAGTTATAGAAAGAGAAGTTGTAGGAAAATGGCGTTTGCTTTTAGATGTCTATAGAAGGAAATAGGCTTCACCAGTTTCAGAGTAGACCCATTGTCTATAGGGAACTAGTTTCATGTAATACGGTACATATTTTAGATTCTCACTATTCTTTTATTTTTCCTTATATTATTTTCAATTTGGTTATTTTTGTAGTGCTCTTTGAATTCTGATTGGAAACACTACAAAATGCAGAAGAAAAAATTAATAAAACTACAATATTTTTTTTTTAAATGAATGTAAGTTGGCATTACTTAAGCCGTGTGTTATGTCATATACTTAGCAATTTGACAAATTAAGTGTTTTAAAATTACGTTTTGTTTTCTTTTATTCAACAACATACATGATACATTGTTGATACTATTTAGAAATGGGTGATGAAGTATCGATGAAAACACAAACCACAAAACTACATCCTAATCAAAACGTAATATATTAATACTAGACTTACTAGTAGAGTATAGATTTAGTGTAGTGTGTTGTTGCGTAGAGTGGTCTTGGGAGAAGTACGACTGCATGAAAAGAAGTGATGGTAGTGACTATCCTCACAATATTATACTAAGGCCCAATGGGTTACTATATAGTGAAAGGCCCACAAAGAGTGATCACAATACTTGTATACTTGTACTAGTCAATATACTTTGTATTGTGTACTAGTGGTTTACATACCGACAATAAACAACTTATTTCGTTGCGTCTGTTTCAAAGTTCAAACACCTAAACATACGTTCTTCTGACAGCTAGTTTTATTAAATTTTACGAACGATAAATGATCAGTTCCTTGTAAAATCATTTTCAAAGATAGAGAAACGACTAATAAACGACAGATTTAGAAGACTTAAACTGCTAGTGACTCGTAACTGTTTCTGTGCAGTATCATTCCAAGAAATTGTCAGCATTCACTCTCATTCCAAGAAACTGTCAGCATTCACCAGCGAAGACATTACAAATACAATGAAACGAATCTGAAGACCAAGTCTACGCCTCTCAAATAGTAATTGTAACCACCAAAAAAACAAAACTAATAATCAAAAGTATTACGCTGTTATTGTATTGTTTTGGCATTTTTAAGTATTTTCACTATGATTCGTATCTCACAATATACACGTGACAACGACAATACATGTACATCTACGTGTATGTACCGTATTTAAAATTGGATTTTTTTTTAGATAAGACCTTTTGTATTTGTAATATTTAAAATAGTTCACGTCGTTATGTATTTTTCATATTATTATTATTCGTATTTCACATTGAACATGTGGATGTAAGACCTTCGTATATCCTTTTTTATTAGAACCAGAGAACCTAGAGACTCCATTATTACAAATAACTATAAAGTATAAATGCAATGAGGAGATATAAGTATCAAATCAGTGCCATATGTAAAAAAAAAGTTCAATATATGCAATTATATTGCAACGACCTTACGATCGAGACCAGAGTTGCAAACAGTCTGATTTTTCCGGCAACGACCATGGTGAAGATTCATCCTGACAAGGCATTGATTCCGAGGGTCTCCGTCGCCGGGAAAGACAAAGCTTCGCCGTTCTTGACGACGGAGAAAGAGACTTTCACGATTTGGATGAGATCGCTTGTGTTCCACACCAAAGGCTGCACCGTTTTTGATTCTAAAGGAAACTTAATATATCGTGTGGATAATTATAGCTCCAAGAGCTTCACTGAAGTTTACCTTATGGATCTATACGGAGAAATCTTGTTTACATTACATCAAAAGGTAATAAAATTATACTATACAAGAAATAAGTCTTTTTTTTTTTTTTTTAATAAACTTTTTGAGACTCACATTTTTTTTGTTATGTGTGTATATAGAAATCGGGAATATTCAAATCTTGGGAAGGATATAACTCAAGCGGGACAAGATTTCATCTAAGAAAGAGTTTTAAGATTTCGCCAACATGTTCATCTTCGTCTTACAAAGTTGTAATGGGACCAGGAGGTAGTGATGATAAACAATCTTGTTACAGGATTGTAAACCGGGGATCCAAATTCACAATCGAAGATGGATCGGGAAGATTAATGGCAGAAGTTAAAAAGAAACAATCGAATGTTAACGGTTTGGAATTTGGAGAAGACGTCTTGACGATGGTGGTGGAGCCACAAGTTGACCATTCTTTCATAATGGGTATTGTTATAGCCTATAGTCTCCTCAGATGTAAATTGTGATTTTGTGGGTGTCATTTGAACTATTTTGTAATGTTAGGGTCGTAAATGATAATATACAAACATTTAGGGATCCAGATGAAACTAGATTTTGTTAATTGCGTTTTAAGAGTTAAACGTCATTAGAAGCATAAACCCCAAAATCTCTCCCGATTGAAATTGGATTTTCGAAGAAGATTTCACACAAAATGTGGAGAAGATCGGCGTCGTTCGTCCTCGATAAGCATCAGAACAATAAACCGATCTCTCTAACTCCGTCGATCGATTCTCCTCCTCCACACTCAATGGCGGACGAAAACTCTAACCCTAATCCGATTTCGGCTTACTATCAAACCCGAGCGGCGCACCATGGAATCGTGACCAGCGATTGGTTGGAACAAGCGCAAGCCGCCGTTCGACGTTATCCTGAACGTGATTACTCGGTTTCTCCGGGAAGACCGTTTAGCGTGATTGAGGAATTTAACAATTGGAGGCAGCAACCTGATTTGGCGGAGGCTGTTGCGGCGATTCGTGCTCTTGCCGCTGTTATTAGAGCTAGCGAAGCTACTACCATGATGGAACTTGAAATTGAACTCAAAAAGGCTTCTGATACCTTGAAAGTAAGCATCTTTCTTCTTTGTTCTGTGAATTTGGTTGATTTTTGAATTATCCTCTGTTCTTATTGCTTGTTCAGTCTAGGCTCTAATCTTTAACAACTTTGCTATTGGATTTGAGTAATTTGTTTCATTCCCTGGCGTAATTGGTAGATGTGAATGTGATTGTGGCATTGCATTGTGTTTACTTTTCAGTCATGGGACACAACGTCTATATCCTTAACAGCAGGATGTGATCTATTCATGCGTTACGTGACCAGAACATCTGCTTTAGAGTTTGAGGATTTCAACTCTGCAAAGTCCCGCGTGCTCTCGCGTGCTGAGAAATTTGGGGAGATATCTTGCAAGGTCAGTGGCTTTCTTAACTAAATGGCAATTGTATTAAGTAAGTAGAAGAAGAGTGATCCATTTTTTGTTTGTTTGCAGGCTCGGAAGATAATTGCAGTGCTTAGTCAGGATTTCATATTTGATGGGTGTACTATACTAGTTCATGGCTTCTCGAGAGTTGTTTTCGAAATCTTGAAGATGGCAGCTCAGAACAAGAAACTCTTTCGAGTCTTGTGCACAGGTGCATTTCTTTAAACCTTTCTTGAGGTTGATTGGTTATGTCATTTTCTGGTTATCTCATTTCCGTTGCACTCGAATTCCAGAGGGAAGGCCAGATAAAACAGGAGTATTGCTAGCTAATGAGCTTGCAAAGCTTGATGTTCCAGTGAAGCTTCTGATTGATTCAGCTGTGGCTTATAGCATGGATGAAGTAGACATGGTGTTTGTTGGAGCTGACGGAGTAGTTGAGAGTGGTGGAGTGATTAACATGATGGGAACTTACCAAATCGCTCTCGTCGCTCACAGTATGAACAAACCAGTCTATGTAGCTGCAGAGAGTTACAAGGTAAAGTCACTCAAGTCTATTCAATGTGGTTTTTCAGCAACATCAATGATTCATCATCTTTTTTGTTGTTTTCTTGCAGTTTGCTCGGCTCTATCCGTTGGATCAAAAGGACTTGGAACCGGCTCTGCGACCTATTGATTTCGATGTTCCTGTTCCTCCAAAGGTTGAGGTAGAAAGATCTGCGAGAGACTACACTCCTCCTCAGTACTTGACTCTGCTCTTCACTGATCTTGGTGTGCTCACTCCATCGGTAGTAAGTGATGAGCTAATTCAGCTTTACTTGTGAGTAAAGCTAAGTTAAGCTGTTTTCTTCTTCCTAAAAAGCTTGTTTGAAACTTTCATGTTTTTGTATAAATATAAAACACCATTTTTTGTGGCTATAGACTGACATAGCTGGTCTCTGATTCTACTGCTTAGGCGAGAGATTTTGGTAGGAGAGAGATTTTGTGACTTGTAATCTTTACTCAAAAGTTATCTTTCAAGTCTCAATAGTATTCGTCCAAAACAAAATGGTCCAAACAAACTCACAAAAAGAAAATTGCAGTTACCTAAATCTTCTGTTAGGTTCTTAGCTTATTAAAAAGTGGAACAGAAGTGATACAAGATGGGTTGAAAAGTTCGATTATTGGACTGAAGTGATAGGTGGCCTAATAACATGCGTAAACATGAAATATTGTATGATACAATGTTTTGAAAATGAAAGCATGAGAAACGTGACAAATTAAATGATGCTAATAATTATTTTTATGGTTGGTCGCAAGTTACTGGTACTAAAGCTAACATTTGGACATAACGGCTAGCGATGTAAGCTTCACAAAACACGTTTTCTTGGAATTACTACATCAGCTTTTGGGTTTCAATATTGGTGCTAAACTATTAAAAAAGAAAATAATGAGGTGGAAAAGGATAACTCTTTTTAAAATAAAAGTTTGAATATTGAGGGTGAACAAACAAATTAAAAACAACAAGCATGTTCTCAAGCACACCGAGAATGGTAAAGTGTTTGTCAACAACAGTATAATATTGGATTGCAGTTGGATTTGTGTTTAGAGTTATTTACTAATTATTTGATATATATTTCCTATTTATGAAATTTGAGATTGAGTTGATTTATTTATAAAAACCATGGGTAGTAAAAGTAGTAGTTTCCGACAAGAAAAAGGGTCAAATCCCACATGTTAATTGAGACATAAAAGACACATCACTCCACATTCAGTACAGTGAAATTTCCTCTTTTATATATTCCCAAATTCTCTTTCGTCTTCCACTTCATCTCTTTCTCTTTCTCTCTGGCTCTCCCTCTCTCTCTCTTTCTGTTTAGATATTTAATTCCTAGAGATAGAGAGAATGACTAAAATCTCTGTAGGATTGCAACTTCTGACAACAGTTTCAAAAGAAAAACCAAACAACATAGTGATCAAATCTTCACTCAAACCAAACCGATCCGATCCAAACACCTCGGAGCTCTGTTTCCTCAAAACATGTCATCTCTGTTTGAAACATCTCCGTCAAGACAAAGATGTTTACATGTACAGGTAAAATTTCAAAAGCCTTGCCAAGATTGATCAGATAATGAAACCCATTTGTAATCTTAAGATTTGTTTTTGATTCTCATTTTTAATTTATTTTTTTGGCTGAAAACAGAGGAGACTTGGGATTTTGTAGCAGAGAGTGTAGAGAAAGTCAAATTTTGATTGATGACAAGAAGGAATTAGAGGCTTCCACGAAGATGATGTTGGCTTCTTACAGACGCTGTAACTCCGGCGCCGTTAAAAGTGACACCCGGATCTTGTTTGATGATCTCCGGCGACGACGACAACTATTTATAGTCCCTTAATGCAATCATCCACTTCACTAGATAAACTTGTTTTGGTTTTGATCACCTTAGTGATATACATAATACAAACATATAGAGAGATATATAAAAGAGATGTGTTGATTAAATTGTATCTCAGCTAAACTCTCAAATGTTTATTAATTACTGATTGAATAAAATGCTTATTAATTAGTTACATTTGAATATGATATTGTCATGTTAGTTGCAGTTAAAAGCTTTAATTAGTGAGATAATCAATTTTCTAAGGTGTCATTTTCACAACCAAAAATTGATTATCCAATATCATATTCAGATTGGATCCCAGCATGGCTGATATGAACTGGATAAACAATAATTTTTAGTGGAAAATCTTTCTGATGCGATTTGCTTTTTATATGTGGAGATATTTTATTATGTATGGACGTAGACAAACTTTGGTCGAAGATATGAACAGCTGATTTTAGTCACGTGTTGAATGTGTACTGTGACTTCTGGGACTGGGAGTAGTGTATTTAATGCTGTTTAAAAATATATTTTTACATTTTCCTAATGAACTTATTTCCTGAGTCACACTGTCACGCGAAAAGAGCAAGTTCGTAGTCTCGGCCCAACTTAAAAGCCCAATAATTTAAATGTAACGCGAAAACATAATTTTACCTGCTAAGCCTAGCAATCCGGCCTAAAAATACAATATAGTACGTATATAGTGTATAGACATATAATTTATGAACCCAAAAGGGTGAACCAATAGCAAAGCCAAAAAGTCTAAATTAGAATTGGTCCAAACCTAAAAGATGAACTAGAATACTAGATCTTGCCTAATTTTGTTTGGACATTTGCGTATACTCGAAGTATTGAGGAGCGTTGATGTCATGGAAGATTATCATTACCGGTTAGGGTCTTTTCCCGGTATAATGCAGTAGTGGAATCATGATAGTAGAGATGCAGCGCATTACAATTTCGTGAAAAATTAAAACGCTTTTTCTTTTATCAATTTTTTTTATATAGTAGATATTCTCTCAATTTATGTTGATATTGTCTCACTTTCTCTTACTATTATCTTTAAAATCATTTGATGAATGCAGCTTGCCAAAGATCGAACAACTAAATAAATTGCTTGCGTTATTCAGCAAAGTTGTTTCATCTATCAAACTCTCGGTCTCTGTCTACAAAATCGTGGTGGATTTATTCAACAAACATTGAAGTCACTCAGTCATGTGATAGACATTGAAGAGTGTTAAAAATGTGCATAAATCTTTTTTATATTTTCTTTCTTTTATTATCGAGTCAATCATTTTCTTTAAGATTTAAATTTGAACCCTAAAATTTCGTTTCTTCTGTATCACATAAATAGTTAGAAAGAATGGCTTCATATTTCAATTATCACGTTGTTGACTAGAAATATTTCATTTAACTATTAACTATATAGTCTATAGTATAATAGAGTCTCTATCTCTTACAACTAAATACGCACCGAATATTTACCTAATCAATCATTATTGAATAATTTGACCTAACAAAATTTAGCTTCAGCGAACGAATTATTAAGGAAGTTTTAAATTGAGTTTAATGCATATAACAAAACGACAAAAGTAACAAATGTTTATGTCTGCCATAAAACGACAAAAAGCTTGTCGTAAGAACCCAATCCTATCAACTTGCGCAAAAGCTTCAGATGTCTGTACGTGTCCTACACACGTCTATTCATAAATGAGTTTTTATGCTTTTACAATTTTAGCCACATGCATTAAGTCTTAAATGTCCTCGCGTGTAATCATAATGATAATGAGTTATTACATTCGCGAGACTTCGTTTTACCTGTTCATGACATCATAATTAGTTTACTTTGTTTTTTTTATTTTGTCTTAAATCATTTTCAATAATTCATTCCGATTTTGTACTTCCTGTAGTAATTTCGATTTTCAAATTAAACATTGTATGTTTAATACTGCTAATGTCTTAATGTATACAAAGAGAATATTGCAAAATATATATTTAAAATGGTAATCACAAGAAAAATTGAATATAGATATGGAGATGTTTAGAATAAAAATTTGTATTTATTTTGACAAATGTGTAGCTACTTAATTAGACTAAACTGGTCAAATTTATTACCAGTTAAACAAGTATTTCATTGCCATCTCTTGTCATTTTAAAATTACTATTAGATTGCTATATTTATTTAATTAATCAATCAAAATACAATAAATCTAATACCTAGATTCTTATTACAAAACAATAAATGAATAATGAAGGTTTTCAATATAGACAACTATTTTAATGATACTAATAAAAAATCCTATCACTTTTATAAATAACACTACAATCAAATAACCAATACAGTATACTTCAAATATCTTACGTAATTAAGGTATACTCTCTCCGTTTTAAATTAGTTGTCGTTTTGGCAAAATGTATCTGCAAAAATTTGGACGTATCTGGACGTGTTTTACATTGCAGATACATCCAAATAATTGCAGATACATTTTTCCAAAACGACAATTAATTTGAAACGGAGAAAGTAATATATATCTTCTAAAATTAAGATAATATGGTCATCAAACTAACTAACTTACTTAAACTTTAGTATGACTTTAATTGTAAAGAATAGACCCTTATGGAAAGTCAACAAATGTTAGGCAAGAGTTTTTAAAACTTTTTTCTACCAGCAGTCAAATATGACAAAAATTTAGTCTTATTTACTGCAACTAACCATAATAAATTAACAAAATCGTGATTTACGATGGTAAACTTTATGTTTGGACAAATGACAAATCTGTAGAAAATGGCCGACAACGCAAAAATCTAAAGATAATGAATGTAAAGTAAAAGGGTAGTATCGTAAATAGCACTTCAAGTTTAGGGTATAAGAGTAAACAGCCATCGTACTCGTTTCAACTGAAGCTAGAAAGCTCTTTTTCTCCACCTTTTTTAAGGAAAGAACAAAGCAAAATTGCAGAAGAGAGAGCAAAACAAAAGATAAACCCAAAAGAATCAATTTTTTTTTACATTTTCGCCGCTAAGATTCTGTTTCTGAACATTTACACCTGTGTGAGCCGCCATGTGTGGAGGAGCTATCATCTCCGATTTCATACCGCCGCCGATCTCTCGACGTGTCACCAGCGAATTCATATGGCCGGATCTGAAGAAGAATGTGAAGGGGTTGAAGAAGCGCTCGAAGAAGCGTTCCAGCTTCTTTGATCTCGACGATGAGTTCGAGGCTGATTTCCAGGGCTTCAAGGATGATTCGTCTGTCGATTACGATGATGATTTCGATGTCGACGATGTCTTCGCCGACGTCAAACCATTTGTCTTCACCGCGACTCCCAAACCCGTCGTCTCCTCCGCCGCTGCCGGTAAATATCTGGGAACTATTCCGTTATAGCTGACTTTGAGCAATTGAATTTGGGTAGAAATGGATTAGATTAACTCTAAACCATTTAAATTTGATTTGTCTCTGACATGATCAAGGTTTAGATATGGTTGATTTGTTGTGAATTTGAGATTTGAGATTTCTCAGCTGCTTAGAAATTTTCCAGAACAGCCTAAATCCGCTCATAGCTTACTTTGAGCAATTGAATTTGAATTTGGGTTTCAATTAATTTTTCCGATTAGTTTACCTCTAATTCATTAGATTTGAATGGTCTCTCACATGATCAAGGCTCAGATATGGTTGATTTGTATTGAATTTGAGAATTGAGATTTCTCAGCTCCTTAGAAATTGGGTTGACCTTGTTGTTCTATGAGCTCAATCATCATTCATAGCTTTTGAGTTTCTCTTATGCCTATGATTTTTGTGTATGAGGCTTGATTCGTCTTTTATGTGATGAAATTGATTTGAATCTGTTGATGAAAGAACTCTTTTTGTGTGTTGTTTGATCCATCGCCAGATACAGTTTCTGGTGGAAAGAAAGTTGCTGACTCCAATGGAGAAGCTGAGAACTCTGGAAAGAGGAAGAGGAAGAATCAGTACAGAGGAATAAGGCAGCGTCCATGGGGCAAATGGGCAGCTGAGATCCGTGATCCAAGGGAAGGTGCAAGAATCTGGCTTGGAACTTTCAAAACAGCTGAGGAAGCAGCAAGAGCTTATGATGTCGCAGCTCGCAGAATCCGTGGATCCAAAGCTAAAGTGAACTTCCCAGAGGAAAACGAAACCCAAACCGTCTCTCAGAAACGTCCTCAGAAGCTGGTGGCTAAACCTAACCCTAACCCTTACCCAAACCCAAACCCAAGTCCAGCTTTGGTTCAGAGCTTCAACAACAACTCCTTTGACAATATGTGTTTCATGGAGGAGAAGCATCAAGTGAACAACAACAACAACAACAACAACAACAACAACAACAACAACAACAATCAGTTTGTTTTGGCTACGAGCCCCATTGATGCTGGTTATCATCAGTATTTCAGCTCAGACCAAGGTAGTAATTCATTTGATTGTTCTGAGTTTGGTTGGAGTGATCAAGCTCCGATAACTCCTGAGATCTCTTCTGCGTTTATCAACAACAGCACTGGTCTGTTCGTGGAGGACGCTAATCCAGCTAAGAAGCTCAAGTCCTTGGATTTCGAGACTCCTTATGATAGCACTGAATGGGACCCTTCGCTTGCTTTCCTCAGCGGAGATGATGTGGTGACTCAGGACAATGGTGTAAACCCTATGGATCTGTGGAGCATCGATGAGATTGATTCCATGATTGGAGGAGTCTTCTGAAGAGAGATCCATTTTCATGTAAATAAGGCTGCATGTTAGTGAGTTTCCTGCATCATCATCGTCGTCGTCGTCATCTCCTTCAAACCTCCCAAAAACCCTTTAAAGTCTGTTAATTTCATCTTCTGTTGTCTCTGTTTCTCTCAGGATTTGAATGGTTATGAAGACTTTGAATCTTATTTTAAGTGAATCTTTGAGTTCGCTTGTGTTTTGTTTTGTTACTTTTGTGTCCCCATAACTTCTTTAACATTGTCATAAGTCATAACATATGTTGACCCTTTCTCTGTTTTTATTAAACTGAAAGCTGTTTTATTGAGGATCGGTTCGGTCCGGACCGGACGAAAAATCAATGATCGTTTATCGTAAACTTTATGATCAGGAATCGTGAAATTGCGTATGTGTAGTTGTGTACCGTTATCAAAGCGATTGCCTGGAAAATGGAGCCAATTTTGTTTTGTTTTCTACTTTTGCGTACAATGAATCTATCTAGAGATTTAAAACGCAGTCGTTCAGAAACGACAGAAGAATATTAAAGTTGTTGCACTTCTTTTGCAAGTGGGTAACTGGTGAGTTTGCCACTTTCTCGTGATCCTTTTTTTCTGAGACACAGAAAAAGTTAAAACTCTTCTAGACAGTTCTGTTTCTTTCCGTCATTTTCACCCATCTGTATAATTTTGTTTTCGTTTTTTTTTTCCCTTTGTATATCGTTGTTACATACACACAAACTAGATATTTATGTAATTTTATATCCATACAAGGAAATTAATACGATTCTTTTTGAAAACCAATTTATCCGAAAGAGAAGAAAAAAATAGTTGATACAAAAACTATATTTTCTGATTATTGTTGTCATTTCTATCAACATCAACTACAAATTAAAAAAGTACACACAACATTTTGTTTATCTTTATTATAATGAAGAAATGAATTATCCTACTACGGTGGTCATTAACTAATAACACTAATCAAACGATTTGGAGTTAAAAAGACGAAGCAAACATTGACTTTTTGAAAGTCATTTTGTTTATATAAATGTGGACATACTTTTTTATATTATAAAAATATACATAGTCTTGTCGACATGTCTACAAGTTAGACTATAATTTGGTCTATATAAACACACACGAGTCTTAAGAATTTTTGTGGTGAATGAGGGGGAGTCAATATTAATGGAGAAGGTCACAAGAAGAAGAACTATCTCTTTCTCCTTCTCCTTTTCCTCTTTCTTCATCTTCTTCTTCTTTCTAATCTCTTCAAACTTGCTCTTTCTCGCCGGAAAAGCTGCAGCAAAATTTTCTCACGAAGGTGACAATAGTAATAATGTGACGGCTTTGTTCATCTTCGGAGACTCTTTCTTGGATGCAGGAAACAATAATTACATAAATACCTCTACACTTGACCAAGCCAATTTTCCACCTTATGGTCAAACATTCTTTGGCCTCCCCACCGGAAGATTCTCTGATGGTCGTCTCATCTCCGATTTCATCGGTGAGAAGATTTTACTTTTTAAGATTTTTATAAATTTATTATTATTAGATTTACCTCATGGCCTATTAAAATATATTATAATGACGGAAATGTACGTAAATGATAGCGGAATATGCGAATCTGCCGTTAATTCCGCCGTTTTTGGAACCTGGACATAGTCAAAAGAAGCTTTACGGCGTCAACTTTGCTTCTGCTGGAGCTGGTGCTCTTGTAGAAACCTTCCAAGGTTCGGTACGTATATTTATCTCCTTTTGTTATTTCATTCTGAAATTCTTTGGATTTTTCACTCGTTCTAAATGATATTTTAGCATTAATGCTATATGCCTGTATCTAGTATATCTATATGTATAATCTATTTATCGTCAACACACAATGGAAGTTCGTTATGATTGATTGATCTTGAAATTTGATTGAAGTTTCTTTTTGACATATTAATATATTAGTTAAAGGATTCCATATGGAAGTGGGTGTGGGTTTTGAGCTTTGACCCGATTATATAAATATTTTGTAGTTTTATATTTCATAAAAATGCTTTATTTAGTTATATAATAAAAATCCTTTGGAAAATATGTAGCATCCACTTACTTATTTGGGAGTATAATTTAAGGTTAGGTGAGATGTATTATTCTACGTTAATCAACGTGGTGACCAGTTCCTAATGATTATTATAAGGTTATAAGTTTGAGAACACAATTGGATCACTACAAGAAAGTGGAAAAATTGTGGAGGAGAAAATTTGGTAAAGAAGAAAGCAAGAAGAGAATCTCAAGAGCTGTCTATTTGATAGGCATTGGGAGTAATGACTACTTGAGCCCTTTCTTGACCAATCAATCTCTTTCCATTCCAATGTCCCAACATGTTGACATTGTCATTGGTAATTTGACTGCATTCCTTCACGTAAGTCCATCATCATTACCACCATGCACCATCATCGATCATCATCATCATGTAAACCTTAATTTTCTACATTCCCTTTTGGGGACATGGTTTTGTAACAGGAAATATACAAAATTGGAGGAAGGAAATTCGGGTTCTTGAATGTACCGGATTTGGGTTGTTTTCCGGCTTTACGAGTACTACAACCAAATAAGGAGTCTTGTTTAAGGGATGCTTCAAGATTAGCAGAAATGCATAACAAAGCTCTTTCGAGTCTCTTGTTTAAGATACAAAGACAAGTCAAGGGTTTCAAATTCTCCCTCTTTGACATGAACAAAAGCCTTAGACTCAGAATGCATCATCCTTCAAAGTTTGGTAAGTGGGTTCGTTGTGAATTATGGTGGACTTTTTCAATTTGGACCTACTTAGCATATTCATTTAAGAGCCCGTTAAAATCTATCTTCACAATGATGATTTTATTTTATGATCCCTAAATGAAAAGGGTTTAAAGAAGGGGAAGAAGCATGTTGTGGAACAGGGAAGTGGAGAGGAGTGTTCAGCTGTGGAGGGAAAAGAATTGTGAAGGAATACAAATTATGCAAGAACCCTAATGATTACATATTTTGGGATTCACTTCATCTTACCCAAAATACTTATAAACAATTTGCAAATCTGATTTGGAATGGTGGGCACATGTCAGATTCTCTAGTGGTTGGCCCATACAATATCAATAAACTATTTCAGATTCCTTGATTGTAATATAACTTATCAAAGAAATTTCATTACTGATGAAAAATATCATATCATCATGTCTTTCAATTTATTCAAGTAAGTGAATGGCCAAGCCTTAGAGACGCTGTACCAAGTGAATGGTCGAGTCCTTATGGATGTCGTAGTCGCCTACGGTGAGATCATCTTCGAGCTGCTTGCTTCCAAAAAGCAGCTCTTGCTTCTCCGACAAGATGCCCTCTTTATCTTGAATCTTCACCTTAACGTTTTGGATAGTGTCTAAGATGTCGACCTCTACGGGGATGAACTTTCCTGTCAAAGTCTTAATGAAAATCCATATGACTTCACTATGACGAACGTCCGGTTGAGGATCTCGACGGATCTGGTCTTCACCGATCTTGAGGTCGATGGTTGTGAAGCTATCCACCAATAAGTTAATAGTCGTCTTTCCATCTACAGTCTTTTTAGATATCTGCGTGACTTTGCCATGACGAAGGTCTTCGTTGATTTTGAGGTCGATGGTTTCGGAACTATCGACCTGTAGGTTGATCGTTGTCTTTCCATCCACAATCTTAATAGAACTCTGCATATTAACAAATGAAGGTAACACAAAAAAAAAGATGAAAAAGAGAGAATTATAATGTTAAACAAAACTGAAAACAGAGACCAAAGAAGATCTAACTTAATACTCTGAATCTCTAAAGGTTTGGTTTTATTTTGTAACGTTTGAGGGAATTTATTTGTTTAACAATTTCCCATAAGGATTTCATGTCATTTATTATTTTAATGGCTTTTAGAAAACGTCGTCTTTACGAAGCTATAATCGACCCTTGTGAAGAAAAACTGGTGCCTCTTCGATTTCCTATCGGAGATTTTACAAATTTAGTTTGTCGACATTTGTGAATTTAAACAGGCTTAATAATAAAAATAATTTGAAGAAGAGGAAAATGGATGTTGTGGATTCTCACGTAATATACCTTGATATTTGTTGTTTTAAAACCATTTTTTGTTTATTAATGGATACAAATTCAAAACCACATATACTTGGACGTTTTTGTTGACTGGATCGGCTTTGTTTTTCATATAGCCGAGTTCGTGTGATTTACATGCAATTTAACAAGCCTACCAATTCAACAAATTAAGGCTGTTTTTTTTCATTTTCGAATGATTACTTTCAATTTTAATTTATACATCGCTAACGAGTCATGGAAGACATATGTATGCAGCACGGCAGTAAGAAAAGATTTTCATTTTCTGTTGTTTGTGGGTTTCAAACCAATTCAACGCAACAAACAACTGAAGTAAAGCACAAATCAGAAAGATGACTAAAAAAAGAAACAGAAAAAAACTCTGATCGTTTAAAACTATCATTGTCTTGGACGAAAATAAAGATACGAACATGAAACACCAAATTAGCCGCCAAGTCTTAGAAGCGCTCGAGCAAGTGAATGGTCGTGTCCTTCTTGATATTGTACTCCGCCAATGTGCGATCATCCTTAAGCTGTTGGCCAGCGAATATCAGCCTCTGCAGGTTCGTCGGAATACCCTCTTTATCCTGGATCTTGGCCTTCACGTTGTGGATGGTGTCCATGTCTTCCACCACTAAGGTGATTTTCTTCTCTGTCAAAGTCCTTACAAAAATCTGCATGCAATGACCATGACGTACGTCGGGTCGAATATTTCGACGGCTCGAGTCTTCGTTGACTCTGAGGTCGATGGTCTTGGAGCTATCAGCCTCTAGGTTTAAAGTCGTCTTTTCATCCACCGTCTTTTTAGACATATATATGTCTTCACCACTAGGAGAGCCCTGTCCAATATTTCTAGTGACTTCATCGATTTTGAGGTCGATGGTTTTGGAGCTATTGACCACTAGGTTGATCGTTGTCTTTCCATCCACTATCTTAATAGAGCCCTTCATTTTGCTACGTCTTCACAAGTGAAAAAAAAGTTTAGTGCACAAGAGAAACTGGAAAATGTTAAGCCAAACTGAAATATGAGACTAAGAAGATTCAGCTTTTTTGCATACCTAAGAAAAAAAAAGGAAAAGAAGATCCGACTTATACTAGAAATCTCTTAGGCCTTCCTTTTGTAGGCGTTTGGAGGAATTTATTTGTTTGACAGTTCCTAATGAGAATACATTTATTCTTTTGACGGCTTTGGAAAACGTCGTCTCGACTAAAGCTATAATCGACCGTTGTGAAGAGACTGGTGCCTCTTCGGTTTCTTTGTCGACAATTGTGGAAAAAACAGGCTGTATCATTTAAAAGAAGGAGAAAAAGCATGTTGTGGAAAAGGGAATTGGAGAGGCTGAGGAGTATTCAGCGGTGGAGGGAAGAGAATTGTGAAGAAATGTAAATTATGTGAGAAACCTGATGATTTTTTTTTTTTTTTGGATTCCCTTCATCTCACCCAAAATACTTATAACAATTTGCAAATGTAATTTGGATTGGTGGGCACATGTCAGAAACTGTAGTAGTTTACCCATACAATATGAACAAACTATTTCAGATTCTTTGATTTCTATGTATGATACTAATACACATTGATATTTTGTTGGTCAACCATTTTTGTTCATTATTGGATCCAAATTCAGTACGAGATATACTTCGACCGTTTTATGTGGCATGATAGTTATTTTTTTATATTTTTTTTTATTTTCATTTAGCGATCAAGTTCGTGTGCGTAACATTCAATTTAACTAGCATACCAATTCAACAAAGGCCATTTCTTTCACGGCAAAAAGAATAGATTTTCATTTTCTGTTGTTTGTGAGTTTTAAACCTATTCAACGCAACCAACAACTCAGAGTAACGCAAAAATCAGAAAGATGACTAAGAAAAGATACAAAAAAACCTCAAACATAAATACGACGCAAAAAACTTTTGGTCGTTTAAAATCAACTGGTTACCATTGTCTTACAAGAAAATAAAGATACGAGCATAAAACAGCAAATTAGCCTCCAATGTCTTAGGCGCAGTACCAAGTGAAGGGTCGATTCCTTCTGGATGTTGTAATCAAACAACGTACGACCATCTTCAAGCTGTTTGCCAGCGAATATCAGCCTCTGCTGGTCCGGCGGAATACCTTCTTTATCCTGGATCTTGGCCTTGACGTTATCGATGGTGTCGCTGGATTCGACAACTAAAGTGATGGTCTTTCCTGTCAAGGTCTTTACATAAATCTGATTGATCTTACCATGATGAAGGTCAGCTGGAACATTTCGACGGCTCCAGTCTTCGTTGATTATTCTTTTACAAGGGTCTTTGTTGGTTTTTGTTTTGATAGGGTCTTCGTATATTTTGAGGTCGATGGTCGTGGAGCTAGAAGCCTCTAGGTTGAGAGTCGTCTTTCCATCAACAGTCTTTTTCGAAATATGCACGTCTTCACCATTACGTGAGCCCTGTCCAATATCTCTAGTGACTTCATTGATTTTGAGGTCGATGGTTTTGGAGCTAAGGACCTCTAGGTTGATCGTTGTCTTTCCATCCACAAAAGAAACCGGATAATGTTAAACAAAACTGAAATATGTGACCACAGGAAGGTTCAACTTATACTAGAAATCTCTTAGGGTTTACTTTTGTAGACGTTTGGAGGAATTTATTTGTTTGACAGTTCCCAATGAGAATTCCTTTATTCTTTTGACGGCTTTGGAAAACGTCGTCTTGACTAAGCTTTAATCGACCGTTGTTAAGAAACTAAGTATGCCTCTTTGGTTTCCTCTCCGAGATTTTACAGATTTTGTTTTCCGATAATTTTAAAAATAGTACAGGGCCAAACTATTGACTTACCAGTTCACTGAGCCAAATATCACAATTACTTACTGTTCAATGGGCCGAACATGAACAGCCATAAGTTAAGTTAAGTTACAATTTTTTTCAAAAAAAAAAAGAAAACGATGCACAGAGTAATATTTTAGTAACAGAATAAACCATTCACCATAATAATGAAAAGTAATATTATTTTGTAACTTAATTTGTTTCTTCTAAACACTTTTGGAATAGCGAAGTACTCCATGGGTCATGCACTCTTCTTCAAGAAATCCTATTATCCAGTTGTCTTCCTGTTCACGCAATACTCTTCTTATGTTGTGTTGGGTTGTAAGACAAGGTTAGCCTCTTTCTCCTGCTTGACAACCAAACGCACATCCAGTGCAAAAAAAAAAAAGAGAAAGATAACATGGGGTCAAATTTTGATACAGAGAGGTTTTCTTACAATGACAACTAATGTAAGGAGAGATTAGGAGGCAAAGGAAGCTTACTTTCTCTTCATGTTCTTCACTTTTGTAATGGATTTCCATATTATGACGGTCGTAGCCAGGATATTCGCAAAGTTTGCAAAAAAGGACAGGCATATCGTACTCGTCTGTACCCACCGACTCAAACAACTGCTTGGAAAAATTATAACATATATAATTGTGGCAATGGTTAGACAGTTACAAATGTAATGATCACAGACCTCGTGTATGTGTTGTGCACTGTTGAGATGCTCGATGAAATCATCACAGCTTTGGCTAGGAATTTCGCATAGCATGCAAAACCCGGAAGGTTCATCATTAAGTATATTCTGGCTGCTTGTTTCCACCACAGGCCCTGCATTCTCTGGGAGCAAAAAAAAAAAAACTAACTAGTTCAGAGCTTAGCCTTTGGTGACTATGATCAATGTGAGAAATGAGAAAAAGAAGACCATTCAGTAAGCTTTCCCAGAACCACTCTTTATCAGATGGATCCCTATAAAATGGTGTAGGAGGATCTGGAAATGCACGAAGAATAGAGTATCCAAAATGGGAAAAGCCATGAAACCACGCACTATCACCGGATATGAGCATTATTTTGGCCGGAGGTGGATTACGCTTTTTTTCCAATCGCACAAAAGATTAAAGACGCCTTTCCCACCTGGACAATATGAAAAGGCCAGATGAGTTCCAAACTAAAATCCATATTAATGGTAGAAAGAAATGGATAAGAAGATTAACGGGAGACTGTGTGTCTAAGAAGGATTCCAGAGGAAGAGATCTCTTTCAAGAGGACAGGAGAGATGTGGTCTAGGTTGCAAACGGCAAAGACTGTGACTGGACGAGGACCACCGAAGTACTTTGTCAACGCCGATTCTATAATCGCTCGGACACGACCGGGTTCACAATCAGCGGGAACCGGACATGTGTTGAGGTCCCACAACACAGCCGTCGTCGGATACATGTTAAAACCTACGAACGGAAAACATATCAGATAAGCCTGTATTCGAGTTATTTTACACTACGGTGATAATCCAAACTATAGCGACCGACCTTCTGCCATATCGAATATGCAAGATGGGTTTCCTTCGACTTTGAGTATATATATATATACTTATGGGGCTATAAAGTTGAGAGCTAACGAGATCGGAAATTTTTAACAAAAAAGGAAATATGATTTTGTTTTTTAAATAACATCTTACGCTTTTAAATGTTAATTATCTATATTCTGGTAGTTTTGTCACAAGTTTTGGACCACAAATATAGTAAAATAAATAAAAAATAACATTAATTTTCTGAGCTGTTTTTTTTTTCTTTCAAAGAAACAGAAACCAAAAATCCCAATTTGGATCTTCCACCACCGATCGGCGCGCTGTCGGTATCTCTTACTCTTTGAAAAACCTAAACATGCGTAGGGCACTTTACGCATGACCTGCCCACAAAGTAAAAGAAAAATAAGAACCAAACCCAAAAGAGAAAAAGACTCTAACTTAACATCGATGAGACGTGGATTTCACCTCAGTCGCCCTACCAAGTGCAGGGTAGATTCGTTCTGGATGTTGCAATCGTCTAAGGTGTGACCATCTTGGAGCTGCTTGCCGCCAAAGATCAGCCTCTGCTCGTTCGGCGGGATGCCCTCGATTTCCTGGATCTTGGCCTTGACGTTTTCGACTGTGTCGTAGCTCCACATCCTTAACGTACGGGTCTTTCCTGCAAAATTCTTATAAAAAACATACATGAATTGACCGATCCTGAGGTCGATGCTTTTGGAGCTATCCACCTCTATGTTTGTAGTCATCTTTCCATCCAAAGTCTTGCTAGAAATCTGCGCTGTTTGTTCACCACGTTGTGATGAACGGGTTTTGTCTTCGTTGATTTTGAGGTCGATGGATTTATTGCTGCTATCAACCTCTATGCTGACCTTTGTTTTTCCATCCACATTCTTAATAGAAATATGCATCTTACCACGTACTCGCAAGGGAAGGAACGTAAGATAATGAAACTATGAGACCAAAGAAGATCCAACTTTTACTCTGAGTCTCTCTTGCCTATGCCAAATTCTTTGGAATTCCTTAATACGAAGCAGCATGTATATAGTACAAGGTATTAGGTCAAGAGATCCTATATAATTTCTTTTTTGGTCTCATATCTAAATATGGAATATATCCTTCTTCTTTTTTAAATACAAACCCAGGAAGGAAATATATTATATACTTATCCTTAACGATAAAAAAGTACTTAAAAAAAAAGTACTTATCCTCAACAAATTTATTAGGGTTTTATATTGTTGTGAAGAAACTGGTGCATCTTCGGTTTCCTAGTTCATACCCGAGATTTTTACATATTTTAGTTTGTCGACAATTGTAAAAATAAAGCAGGCCGTATAATCGACTTAATCAGTAGGCTTTACAACTTAAATTGGCCAAATATCTAAAAATAAAAATGTTGATTTGTGTGATAAAAAATACTTTATCCAGAAGAGTGATCCACAAGAAAACGCAACTTAAAGTCAAAGTACTGTATATAACACGGGTGATTAGAATGATTAATCCGAGACTAGCTAGCGAAGATACAAAAGGTCTTGATTTTTATAACCCTACAAGTTACATTAATGCATTGTCTTAAGAGAAACGACAAATGTCCAGGGGTTTAGGAGCTAAACTAATGATGTAAAATACTTGATAAGTTAACAAACAACAAGCTTTAGTAGCTCAGATGGCTAGAGCGTGTGGCTGTTAACCACAAGGTCAGAGGTTCGAGCCCTCTCTGAAGCGTTTAATTTTTATCGATTTCCAATATATTTTTCTTTCATTTGTTTGACCCGTTTTGGAAACATGCCTCTTTTGATAATTCATAAGAGGAAAACCAAATGCCTCTTTTGTTTCCTTCCCGAAAATCTTAATTGAGACCATGCATTTGGTACTTTTTCCTCTTCATTTCTTTAACATGTGATCATTTTCTTCTATTTCTATGCCAAAATTTTATAGATCCCCTTTTTCATACTGATTTCTAAACAGAAAACAAAATTGATAATGCATGCCTATTAAAAACATTTTACCGATTTCTCGATTACACAAGATTATATATTCCTCGTCACGTCAAATAAAGTTCTCAAAACAAAACTAAAAACATCTACTTGAGATTGGAAATCGAATACAAGTCCTGAGAAGAAATAGTAAAAAAACTCTGGAAAACAAAGAGAAACCATTTAGCAAATGCAACCACTCTGCATAATGACAAGATTAGAGTCTGGCTTGATGTTGTAGTCAGCTACGGTGCGAGTATTGCTGAGCTTCGTGCCAAGATAGTTTAGACTCAGCTTGTTCCATGGTGGGCCACCCTGATCATGGATCATGGTCTTGACTTTCTTAATGGTGTCGGACCCCTTCACTTCTAGGATGAATGTTTTCTCCTTTATAGTCGATACAAAAATTCGCATGGCTGCATCCGGTCCAAGATCCGAACCGAGATCCAGATCCAGTTGACAGATGGGTCCATGGATCTTGAGGTCGATGGTTTCGGAGCTATCCTCCACCTCTAGGTTTATGCTCTTTCCCTTCACCGTCTTGAACGAAATCTGCATTGCAAGCCTGTGTTTATTTTGCTTTCTATGGATTGTTAGTATTCTTTTATATATACATCTTTGGGGAGTGATTTATTTGTTACACAATTTCCCATAATATTATTTAGTCGTTATTTTGACCAAAATCTAAAGCTATTTAGTGATACCATTGTGAAGAAGCAAATGCTGCCCTTTCGGTTTCTCCCTAGGATTTTGCGATTTTGCAATTTTTGTTTATCGTTAATAAAAAAAAAACAATAAATGTTCTGTTTTAATGACTTAAATCCTCAAACTTGCAATAAATCCCCTCTTATAACAAAGCTCGTTAATACAGCATATATCAAAATTAGTTACACAAAGGCCTTCTGTTTATACTGGCCAACCACTTACGCAATGACCACGGTGATCAAATTAAATCATTGCTTTTTCACAAATACTTTTGTAATTTCATAATAGTCTTTCTGTTGCTATAGTATTATAAGAACGACGACAAAAAAAATCAATACAAAACGGGACTTCAAAATTAATGTAGAAATTTAATTAGTTATTGTTAACTTCGTATTCCAACGCCTTTTCAAATTTATCATTTTCTGAATGACTATGCTGATTTACATTTTGAATGTGATGATAAATTTGTAATTAGTTTGTTAAATATTTGATATAATCCTGTTAGTCAGATTACTTGTGACTAATCTTTACAGTTATCTTCTGCATTTTAATTATCATTTTTCCGGCACAGAAAAATTTGATATAATGATACATAACATTCACATTGTTTTGACTTTTGATATTGAATGAAATATCTTCTTGTTTTTTTTTTCTTTAAAAAAAAAATTCACTTTTATTCATTTTCTCCCTCTTTTCCACATGACTCATCAGTACATATATTGATTATGAGAATGTGAGTGATGCAGAGACGGTTATAGTTGAATGAAACGAAACCAAGTCGACAAGAACGACTCCACATAATCACCATACTGATGAGTCATGTTCTTCAGGTATATAGTAGAAATAGTTGTTGAGGTTCCTAAATTTTTTTTCTCTCGACTGAGAATAAATTAAACATCTACTACGGAAATTGAACACGAACGTCTTTAAAAATGATGAGATGAAAAACACTGAAATAGAAATTAAAGAGAGACTGGGGAGACATATTAGCAACCGCAAAGATGCGTCACCATGAGAAGGGTTGACTCATGTTTGATGTAGTAGTCAGCTATGGTGCGACTGTCCTCGAGCTGCCTGCCTTGAAAGATAATCCTCTGCTGGTCCACTGGAGTTCCACCCATCTCCGCATACTTGGCCTTGACGTCTCCAATGGTATCAGACTCCTCAACCTCGAGTACGTGAGTCTTGCCCGTAAGAGTCTTTACAAAAATCTTCATAACTTCTCGATCCTGACCCGGACCTGGACCCAGTCGCAAAGCCAGTTCACGGATCGGTTGCCCATGGATCTTGAGGTCGATGGTGTTGGAGGTTTCTTCAACCTCTAGGTTTATGCTCTTTCCCTTCAACGTCTTAATCGAAATATGCATTGCGAACCTTACTTCTCTTTCCATCTCTCTCTCTCTCTATATATATTGTTTTGTTTTACACATCTGTGGGAAGAGATTTATTTGTTTTACAATTTCCTATGATATTTATTTGTTCTTTCGACCCTTTTTGGGAAACGTCGTGTTTCATTAAAGCTAATAATGAACGGTGAAGTCGTGAAGACGTCAATTGCTGCCTCTTTGATTTTCTTTTTTTCAGGATTTTGAAATTCTACAATTATTGTGTTCCCTCGACCGTTAGTACAACTAAATCTTTCGAAGCATTTGGTTTAAAAGATTTTAAAGCCTTAGTTTCTTGTGTTCCAAGACTAAGCTTGGCTCAAAGCTTGACCACCAAATTGAATTCGAGGGATTAACAAACTGTTCACTAAACATATATTTCCGGTTAACTGTAGTTCAGTGTGTATCGGCCTATCTTAACGATAAATCCCATCTTCTTCTTGTAAGAGTGCTCATTATAAATGTGTTTCCACTTTCTACTGGCCAACCACGGCAGTGACCACAGTGATGTGATTGCTCAACCACTCAAATCCTTGCTTTTTTCATATATTTCAGATCGTATAGATTTACATTGGTAAATTTGCTAAACCATTAGAGCCTTTATTTCCTAAACCATAATTCAGACGGTGCATTGATAATTTGGTACTTTTTCATCTTCATCTTGTGATCATTTTCTTCTATATATTTCTATGCCAAAATTTTATAGATCTCAGGTTTTCATACTGATCTCTAAACAGAAAACAAATTTGACTTCAAGCCATTCAAAAACATTCAAAATTGATACTTCTCAGACTCCTTGCTACGTCATAAAAAGTTCCCAAAATAAAACTTATAACATCTACTAATCTACTTGAGTTTGAAAATCGAACACAAGCCTAAAGAATAAATCTAATGAAAACTCTGGAAAACAAAAAGAAACCATTTAGCAAATGCAACCACTCTGCATAATGACAAGATTAGCGTCTGGCTTGATGTTGTAGTCTGCTACGGTGCGAGTATTGCTGAGCTTCGTGCCCAGATAGTTTAGACTCAGCTTGTTCCATGGTGGGCCACCCTGATCATGGATCATGGTCTTGACTCTCTTAATGGTGTCGGACCCCTTCACCTCTAGGATGAATGTTTTCTCCTTTATAGTCGATACAAAAATTCGCATGGCTGCATCCGGTCCAAGATCCGAACCGAGATCCAGATCCAGTTGACAGATGGGTCCATGGATCTTGAAGTCGATGGTTTCGGAGCTATCCTCCACCTCTAGGTTTACGCTCTTTCCATTCACCGTCTTGAATGAAATCTGCATTGCACACCAATTAACAAAAACCGACTTCTCTTCTCTCTCTTTTGGTGACTATGAGTCGGCGAACTCGTATTTTACACCCGTCGATGTATATAGTATGTGTTAAACCTAAACCAGATCATATCTACAAGAATATCTATCTTTCTTTCTTTTTCGTCGTCACAATAATATCTATCTATATTGTTACAATTTTATTTATAAAAAATCTATCTATAGCAGTCTAGCAGATACGCAATATATACGGGTATATAAACGGTATATAATATTACTATATATGCGATTATATCCAGGGAGAACAGATTTAAGTTTTTTTCCTAAATATTTTACAGACTTACCCATAGTTTTGACTTTTGATATCGGATGAGATAGTTCGTGTTTTCTTTCTGATGAGTCATGTTCTTCGTGTTATCTATTTTCCTTTCTCACGACAGAGAATAAATTAAACTTTTACTTTGAATATCGAATACAATACGAAGTCTTTAAAAATGATAAGATGAAAAAGAAAAATAGACATTTTAGCAACCGCATTGTTCTAACATCAGGACAAGGATTGACTCATGTTTGATGTCGCAGTCAGCTATGGTGCGACTGTCTTCGAGCTGCTTTCCTTGAAAGTATATTCTCTGTTTGCTACTTGGAGTGCCTTCCATCTTCGCGTACTTGGCTTTGACTTCACCAATGGTAACGGACTCGTTAACCTGGAAGGTGAGCAATTTTCCTGACAGAGTCTCTACATATATCTTCATAACTTCTCGATCCTGACCCGGGCCCGGGCCCGGACCCAGTCGCAAAACCAGTTCACTGATTGGTTGCCCATTCCCATGGATCTTGAGATCGATGGTATTGGAGCTATCTTCAACCTCTAGTTTTATTCTCTTTCCCTCCGACGTCTTGATTGAAATATGCATTGCACCACCACTCACAAGGTTTCTCCTTCTTTCCCTCTTTAGGGTTTTTACCTTTATAGATCTTTACGGAGAGAGTGTTACAATTTATGCCAAAGGTTTAAGAATAGTGAGGCCAATATATATATATATATATATATTGTCTTTAACCTAAATTAGATAGAAGAGGATCAGCAAGAATATATGCAAATGCAATATTACCAAATATACCATCATATCCTATAGGAGATCTATTTGATACCAAAAACAAGAAGATTATATCCCCAAATTTACTTTACTTAAATATCTATCTTTTTGGTTTAGTGTGGTTCAATGTGTACCAATCTTTGTATAAATATCAGAATCAGTTCGTTATCATTATCAGAATCAGTTGCACTAAAATATTCTGTTTCTAGGCCACATTGTATACAACAATAACCGCATCGCACGTACGCAGTGACCACAGTGATTTGATCTCTAAACTACTTAAATCCTTACTTTTTCCACAACAAAATAAAACTTTATATAATAAATCAAATTTATAAGAACAGCAACAAAGTCGAAACAAGTGGGCGGTTAGAAGATCGATTATATAATAGTGAGGCTGTCGTCAATAACAGTATTCTTAAAAACAACAACTTGAACACAACATTAACATTAACTAAATCTTATGGAAAGTTTTGAGAAAATATATAAGGCAAAACAGAGCAATAGCAGTTACACAAAGAAGAAAACAGAGCTTTTACAATAATACAAAGAACACAAACACTAAAAACATGGAAAGATCTCGATTAGTCATGATCATCTTCTTCTTTTATATAATAATCATATCTATCGGCTCCATCAAATGCAGAGACAGCAACAATCTGGTTACAAAACAGTCCGCTTTGTTCGTGTTCGGAGATTCTGTGTTCGACGCCGGAAACAACAACTACATCGCCACTCTCCCAAGCTTCCGGTCCAATTATTGGCCGTACGGTCAAACCACGTTCAAATTCCCCACCGGCAGAGTCTCCAACGGACGTTTGATTCCTGATTTCATCGGTAATATAGTACTCCTCTGTTTCGTTATTCTATTTCCCGCCAAGTTTTAAAGAAACTGATTGCTGACGTGGCAGCGGAATACGCATGGTTACCGTTGATCCCGCCAAATCTACAACCAAGTAACGGTTACAATCAATTAACCTACGGAGTTAACTTTGCTTCCGCCGGTGCCGGAGCTTTGGTCGGAACTTTTCCCGGGATGGTATTCATCAATTATTACTTCAAAATTCGTATAATTTTATTTGTTGAGTCTGGTAATTTTTTTTTTGGTTTTAGAGTCTGGTAATTTTTTGACATTTTTTAGTTTTTTTTGTCAAAATTCATTAGTTTTTGGGCCCCTTAGTTTTTGCTGACATTTTTTGACATTCACCAACTCAAGGTGATAGATTTGAGAACACAACTAAACAACTTCAAGAAGGTTGAAAAAATGTTGAAGTCTAAGTTAGGAGAAGCAGAGGGGAAGAAGATCATCTCAAGAGCTGTTTATCTGTTTAGTTTTGGAGGCAACGACTATCAGTTTCCATTCGTTACAAACTCTTCCATTTTCCAATTCATTTCCAAAGAGAAATACGTTGATTTCGTAGTCGGTAACGTCACGGACGTCATCAAGGTAAAATCAAGTCGAAATTAACAAAAACTGTTTCCTATATGGTTTGAATCTGAGAGACAGTGTTATGTTCTCAGGAAGTGTATAAAATTGGAGGAAGGAAGTTTGGAATCTTGAACATGGGAGCGTTTGATTGTGCACCAGCTTCATTGATTGGAGACAGAATAAAGATAGGATCTTGTTTTAAGCCGGTCACCGAACTGATCAGTCTGCACAACAACAAGCTTCTGAATAGTTTGAGGCGGCTTGAGCATGAACTATTCGGATTTAAATACGCCCTTCACGACTTTCAAACTTCTCTATCTGAAAGAATCAACAATCCTTCGAAATACGGTAACTAAACAAACTTACATGATAATTGCAATATAAGAAGAAAAAAAAAATTAGCTTATGCCATATGATACGTTTTGTGTTTTGTTATGAAGGGTTTAAGGAGGTGAAGAAGGCATGTTGCGGAAGCGGACCATTGAGAGGAATCAACACATGTGGAGGCCGAATGGGTCTGTCGCAAAGTTACGAGTTATGCGAAAACGTTACAGATTATTTCTTCTTTGATCCTTTTCATTTGACGGAGAAGGTTCATCAACAGATCGCAGAGCTGATTTGGAGCGGACCGACCAACGTCACTAGACCTTATAATCTAAAAGCACTGTTTGAACTTAATTAAGCGTTTCATCTTCCTTTTGGTTCTTTTTGATTTAGTGTGTTTAAATTGTCACAAGGATTAAATTAATCTCTGTGATAATAATAACAAGAATTGCATTTGGTCAGTGTTTTTACATTTGTGATTGATCTTTATTTTCTAGATTAGATAGCATAGTGAATAGATTAACAAAAGAAAAAACAAAAAAAGAAAAGCAAAAAAATAACAAAAAAAATGCATGGGTACGTAGTTATAAATTATATGAAACTTCCCTTGGTCAACTTCATACTTTTATATCTACAAGTTATCTTGTCGATTTCAATTATTCAAAGTTGATGCATTTGAAAAGTATGCTTGAGAAAAACAACTTGAACACAAAAACATGTTTATTAAAAAACAAATAAACTGTGGAATGAACACGTTTCGAAGATATTTATATTTATCAAAGCTTCATATCTATAAACAAAACAGAGCAACTATTATTGGATAATTAAGATCACAACATTAAATATGGCGAGTTCTCGATTAGTTTCGATCATCTTCTTCCTCTACACAATAATCCTATCGATAAGCTCAATCAGCAGCAGAGAGAACAATAATCTAGTAACCAACCAAGCTGCTTTGTTCGTGTTCGGAGATTCTCTGTTTGATGCCGGAAACAACAACTACATCGATACGGGTTTACGATCTAACTTTTGGCCGTACGGTCAAACCACTTTTAAGTTTCCAACCGGAAGAGTCTCCGACGGACGTCTAATTCCTGATTTCATCGGTAACCTAAAATACTCTGTTTTAGTAAACTTAATCTCCCGGGGAATTTAACAGCTTTGTTTAACTGATCGATCACTGACGTGGCAGCGGAGTATGCATGGTTACCGTTGATCCCACCAAATCTACAACCAAGCAACGGTAACAATCAATTTACCTATGGAGTCAGTTTTGCTTCCGCCGGTGCCGGAGCTTTGGCGGGAACCTTTCCCGGAATGGTAAATAAAATATCATCTGTTTTTTACTAAAACTTTTTTTTTTGTTTCAGTATAAAAATTGTTCGGGAAGTTTCAGACTAAATAATAAATTTTCATGCGAATAAAAGGAGACTGTTTCACAAATGACATTATTATTTAAACCAATGACATAGTTTTTTTGACTAAATTAAATCTCTCTCTTCTTTTCTTGTTTTCTTACCGTTCTAGGTGATAAATTTGGAAACACAATTAAGCAGCTTCAAGAACGTTGAAAGGAGGTTGAGATCTGAGTTAGGAGATGCAGAGGCGAAGAAGATTTTATCAAGAGCTGTTTATCTGTTTCATATCGGAGGCAATGATTATTTTTATCCCTTATCTGCAAACTCTTCACTTTTCCAATCCAACTCCAAAGAGAAATTCGCCGATTTTGTTATTGGTAACACGACATCCGTGATCGAGGTACAAAAAAATAGATCTCAATTTTAATTACCAACTTTTGGACTAAAATGCGAGACATATGTTACGTTCCTCAGGAAGTGTATAAAATGGGAGGAAGGAAGTTCGGATTCTTGAATGTTGGAGCATATGATTGTGCACCAGCCGCGTTGATCTTAGACAGAACAAATATAGGATCTTGTTACAAACCGGTCACCGAGCTGATCGATTTGCACAACAAGAAGTTTTCGGATGCTTTAAAGCGGCTACAGCGTGACCTACCTGGATTCAGATATGCATTTCACGACTATCGCACTTCTTTATTGGAAAGAATCAACAATCCTATGAAATACGGTAACTAAACTTACTTGGTAATTACATACATGTAAGAGATTGATCTTTAGTATAGCTTTTTGAACGTTTTGTTTGTTTGTTTTTTGAAGGGTTTAAGGAAGGGAAGAAGGGATGTTGTGGAAGCGGACCTTTGAGAGGAAACAATACTTGTGGAGGCCGAATGGGGCAAGATTACGAGTTATGTGAAAACGTTACTGATTATTTGTTCTTTGATTCCTCTCATTTGACGGAGAAGGCTCATCGACAGATCGCAGAACTGATTTGGAGCGGACCACCTAATGTCACTGGACCTTATAATCTCAAAGCTTTATTTGAACTTAGGAGTACTTAAAATCGCCAATGGATGTTTAGTTACAAGAATAACAGACGAGGTTGCTATATACTTTGTGTTTGGAATTATAATAAGTTTGTTGGATTTTATTTTTGATAATATATATGAACAAATTATAGGGTGACAATAAATGTTTTTGAAGAGTTTGAGTTACATGAAAATTACTTAAATCACAAGAAACAAATGCTATGGGTTTCTAATAGACTAATACGTTTACCTTCCTTGCACCTGAAGATAGGTCACCGTTAAGCAACGATGGGCTTTTGGGAACTATCGCAAAACCCATTAATTTTGGTTAAATTTAGTAGACTAAAAGACGACGGTTAATTTACGGATTGTTGCCATTTCGAAGTTGATTTTGTTTTTTACTTTCAAGTTAGTAAAAAAATTGATAACATATGAAACGGATTTGATATGATATTTGATAACATATTAAACAGATCAGTACATGTGGATCTATATATGCGATTACGTACGATCCAAACCATTTTTACTAAAATATTTGCAAATTGTAAAGTTTTTTTTTTTTTTTTTTTTTTTTTGGGTAAACTATAGTATCAACTTGAACATAGAGGACACAGAGTCAAGATCTGTTGTTGCTTCAACTAATGGGATCAAACGAGTTTTTTTTATATAATTATTGATGAAGTAATAGTTTTTCCTTTTTGTTTGAAAATCAATAATGTAGGAATTATATAAACTAAAGTGTGTGTCCTATTAATTTTGTTTTATCCTCTTGGAGTAGTATAAAGGTAAGCTACTTTGGATCACATCTCATTTAAACAATTACTAGATGTGAGATGACTGTTGATCTTTGTCTAGTCTTAATTTTCAATTTCGCCTTTGTCTCTTATGAACCGGAAAATCATATGTGCTGCGTAATGTTTTATTTTATTTTATTTTTTTTTTTCGTCTAAGTTGTATTGATTTGAACTGATTTATAAGATTGAAAGAATCCAAATGATAAAACACACATAAAAAGTAACAGTCGTTCCTGCATTGGCATATTGATGAGGATGAGGGCGGGCAACATGCTTTCAGAAGTAGGAGTTGCAAAGATCAATCTTTTATTACCCGAGGAAAACTCACTAGAGAACTAAAAAAAGTTGCAAAATAAAAACATTACGATACCGATTTTGATACGGTTAATTATTAAACTCATGGCCATTGTAAGAAACCTAGATTGATTCCGAAAGATTGAATTGTAGAGACTCAGTAGAACTCGTAACCGCTGCTAGACGACGAGCTAGAGTCGCTGGCTTGGAGAGTGGCTGACGATGTAGGCAACCAAACCTCACGCATAGGTTCACCGACTGGGTACATGACGAGCTCACGGATATTCATTGGTTGGATCACATTTGGATCGGCTCCAAACAGAAGATGAGCAAACATTTCTTGTGCCTTCTCGGTGTTGTGACGCCCATCAAAGAATAAGTAAGATCGTTGGTACTCGCATAGCCTTGAGTGAACGTTAGATAAACCGCAACCATAAGCATCATGTGTCCCTACTCCGCAGCACGATACGTTTGTCTTCAAAAACCCTGAAATTTGACAATTTTAACGGATTTGCACGTATATGAGTATTCACATGGTATCATAGCTTAAAATTAAAATAGATAATAAATTGTTGTGACCAACTCACGGTAGCTCAAGCCGATCGATTTGCTCTGAATCCTACGAAGAATGACATTGTAGAAATCGAAGACGGTGAACTGGAAATCGGAATTGGTTGTAGCCATTTCGTTCAACATGGGTCCGATCTTTTCATTGTGTAGTTTAGCCAAATTGTTGAGAGGTTCGTAGCATTTCTCTTCCCCGGTTCTGTAATCTTGTCTGACGATAGGTAAGCAACCTAATGGAGCTAGGGTTTGGATCAAGAACTTAGTCGCTCCAGAATTATATAACAAGGTGATGTCGCTCTTTAACTTGTTGGTCACGGAAGTGACAAAAGCTTGTTGAGCAGATGCATCTGCTTCAGGGTTGTTCTTGGTGAAATTCAAGTAATCGTTAGCACCAATGTAGATCATAAACAATGACTGCTTGATGAAATCATCCTTCCAGTTTGCATCTTTCATTTGATTGAATTTCCTTATCTGTTGATTCAGAGTCAACTAAAGAAACAAATGAACTAATTAGTACTTTAATTTGTTTAATACTGTAAATTATATAATTGCAATTAAAGTAAATCATATATTAAGGAAACGTCTTTGTGTGATAGTGTGATACTGATAAAGTGATACTAACCAATATAAAAGGAAAAGTTAAATTTCCATTGATTCAAGTGGGTCAAGAAAAGACAGCTATAGTTAATTATTTTACTCGGATATAGTCGTCTAAAATATCAAGAAAATGTTATTTTTTTGGTATAGTGGACTTACAGATTCCACCGGAGCTCCAAGAAGAGTAGCATCGGCGACGGCGAAACTAGCTCCACGTGAGACATTGACGTTCGGTTTAAGTGCCGGCGGAATCTCGATCGGGATTTTCATGAATTTTGCTGCATATTGTTTTTTTTTTGGTAGTACAGTAGTATTTTAGTTTTTCATATAATTCAAACCATTCCTCGGTATTAATACAAAATATAAACAAATACATAAAAGTTTCCATGCCTATTCTAAAAATGCCTTATATGTTTTAACTTTTAGTTTTTACGTGTTATTTTAATGAACTACAACGAACGTGGTTTATGCCTATAAAAGGAAAAAAGTAAATCTTACCGATGAAAAAAAACAAAAAATCTTACCGACGAAGTCCGTAACGATGAATCCGTCGGAGAACTTGCCGTTGGGATTATCACGGGATTTTCCGTACGGCCAGAAGCCTTGCGCAACGTCAGCAGTGGTGAGAGTCTGTTTGTTCCCGGCGTCGAGATTGGAGTCACCGAACGTGAACAAGGAAAACGGCGAGACTAATCTCTGTCCGACGACAGTGGTAGGGTTGTGGAACAAGGTGAATACCAAAAGTACCCCTAGAACACTCGCTAAACTACGCTTGACTACCATGGATGATCTGGGAGACAGAGTATAAAGATAGAAGAAGCAGACTGATTTTGTGTCTAAGCCCATCCACAGCGATGCTATTATTTATATTGCTTAATACGTATAGCTTTTGGCAGTTTACAATGATTATCATTTTAAAACATAATGTTTTTCCCGAGGTTAATTTTTCTAATATAGTTATACAACTACTATGCACTGATAAAAGTGAAGTGAGTAAACGATTATTGATCAGTCATAAAGTTCAGAAGATTTATATGAAACCAACATGTTACAAAGATTTAACTGATAACCAACACGTTTCCAATATGTTTTATAAAAATTTGGCCAATACGTTGAATTGACATGAGAAACATAAAGAATATGAAGAAGAAATGTACTTGCATCATCATTGCTCTTGATTTTCACTACGTACCATAGAGCAAGTGAGAATATAAGAGCAATCTAAATTTGCTTTTGATTTTCATCACCAATCAACAAGATTTCGACTTATCAATTATTTAACAACATATCTTAAGTTCATCACTAATTACAAACTGAAAGACCACATAATTACAAATTCGAAAGTCAAAATACTCACACGAAATTTATATGGATGCGGCAAGAGCTCTCACACGGAAGTTTATAGCTTTGGCTATTGTTTTCTTCATTACTTCATCTCCTCCCTCATGCATGTTCTGCAGTTTTTATTTTACACCAAAACAAAAGAAACTATAAGCAGCCAGAATATAAACAAACAAGTTTATCAACCTCACAAATTAGGAGAGATTCCTCACTTTCATCAAATCCATGTGATTCCAGCTACTGGGTCTTTCTCTGCTCAAAACAAGCTTAGACTGAACAAACAAATAAACATTTTTAGTAACAAATTTACGGTCTGCAAAGAACAGAGCTAGACAACGAGAAACACATTCATTATTCAAAATCAGCAAACTTGGATCATGCATACATAAATTAATAGTTAGACAATCAGTCAGCATCAAAAGGCTGGATTTTAAAGGAAGTTTCTTGTGCATGATAAATTGATAACTCAACTACTACATTTACAATCAAGTTGGTTTAAAGGTAAAGGTCTAAACCAGGTTATGGTAACTAAGCTACTCTTCAAAGATTTACCGTTGAAAATGAAAAATGAAAATGTAAATCTAAATCTAATTTTTTTCTCTTCCAGGCACTTCTTTCGATAACGGTCTTTACCCGGATTGACCTGTCACAATCTCCCTCTTTACCCAGTGGATCTTTACCCCTTTTAGAAAGTTTTTTCAAATTGTAGCCGTTCCTGGTTCTTTGTGCCTGGGTTCCACCCCCGACTTAGTCGGAGGGTCCACCTTTTTCACCGCCGGTAAGCCCTTCTATCTCTCTTCCTATCCCACCGCCGCTCTTCCGAAACAAATCAAAGCTGCCTTCCACACTCAAATCCGATGGCACGACGCTTTACTTATGCGGAGAAAGGCAAAAGTGTTGCTCCTGCGGGAGCTCCCAACCCACAGCTTCGCATACGAGCCCCCAACGTCGACACAGCTGATCTAGTTAGGAAGAATGCCCTAACTCTCATTGGACGCCTAACTAACCCACAAGAACAACGTATGAGAACTATGCTGCCTTACTTCTCAAACAAATGGGAGCTAAGAGGTGCAGCAGAAGGCTCTGACCTGGGTAATGGTTGTTTCCAATTTCGTCTCGACTATGCTGAGGACTTGAGGAAAGTTCTGGAGGACCGCCCCTACCAATATTCTCGATGGATGGTCATCTTGGAGAAATGGGAACCCATCATCTTGCCAACCTTCCCTTCCCAGATCCCCTTTTGGATCTCCCTAAGAGGCATACCCCTCCACTACTGGAAAAGAGAACTACTTCTCAGCATAGGAGAAAAGCTAGGTCACCTCACCTCCTATGAGCTTACCTCAACAGCTGCAAAGATTAAGGTTGAAGTCAACAGACTTGCTTCTTTAACAAAAGAGGCGATAGTTGAATTCGAAGGAGGGAGTGAAGCTCTGGTTACCTTAGAGTACCACAAACTGGACAAACACTGTCTATACTGCCTTATGCTTACCCACGAGGAGTCGGAATGCCCGGAAAACCCTAAGGCAAAAACCCTCCCTAGACGGGAAAGTTCCCCCACGGTGAAGCCAAACCACCTGAAACCTCCTTTCTTCACCACCTCGGGCGAACCCCATCTCCCACATCAACGAGACACCGGAGCCTACAGGACAAAAGCCTTATCACAAAGGCCACACGGATCTCGCGCTTCTCGCTCCCCACCACATTCCCGCGTCTCCAAAGGCGCTCGCGGATCCCCAGACCTCCGTGCTTCCCGTCAAACAAATTCGTCTCCACCATACCGTGTGGACCACAGAATCATCCCAAGACAGCGCTACTCCGTTGAACGCTCCCAGCCCTGGTCTCGTTCATCCCCGCAACAAAGACAGAGAGACCCTCACAACTCCCCCCGAAGGCGCTCAACCCAGATCTGGAGAGAGAAGTCACCAAGATGTCACGAAACCTCGGCTGATAATTTTACCCCAAACCAGAGAAGAGCAACCCCACTGGAGAGAAACCTAGACCAATAATACCCTACCCTACCACCACCACCACAACGAGTCCAAACGGAAGGTGAAATCCTCCAAGATCTCCAAGACGTGGATATACGCTATGTAAATTGTGGAGATCCTGCTGAGAGTGCAGCCCGAAGACAAAGAATCTTGGAAAGTGACAATAATGGGCTGCTCGCCGACACGGTAGCCTTCCTCTACAATGCGCCTTCAAACCTCATCCCTCTAGCGACTGAAGTTAACCCGACTCCACCAGAAGTAGCCTGCCCCCTGGAGAACGATGCAAACAGAAGAGCTGATCCCATTGAATCCCCGGAGCAAGGTCTAGTTCTAGCAAAACCAACAAAGAGAAGGGGGAGACCTCCTTCAAAACTAGCCAATCCAAGCTCTTCAAACCACCCTGCAGAAGGAACAAGCAAACGAAAAACTAAGAATCAGTTACGCTCTCCTCTCCTCAGAATCTCTCCCCTGTCAAGAGTCATCCAGAGTAGATCCAATGCAACTCCACAGAACCTACCTGCAAGAAGGAGAAGAACCGATTCAGGTCAGGGCCAGAGCAGCTTACCACCAAGAGCAAGAACCGTCCCAGCAAAACTCAAAGATGGTGCGGATTTTCAATCCCCACCAAGTCCTCTTCCTTAGCCATTCTGAGCTGGAACTGTTGTGGGCTGGGGAACCCTATGACAGTTCACAGATTAAAGGAGCTAATCAGTTTACATGCTCCTGATATCATCTATCTAATGGAAACAAAAAATTCAGAAGAGTTCATATCCAAACACTTACCCATGACGAATTATGGCTCACGATTCCTAGTACCACCTCATAGCCCTGGAGGAGGTGGCCTAGACCTATACTGGAAACAAGGGATGGAACTAGCGGTCATGTCATCTTCGGACAACTACATTGAAGCTATGATCACCTACAAAGGTAAATCATTTATAACCACTTTTGTCTACGGCGAGCCAGATCACTCAAAGCGTAAAGACGTATGGGAAGACCTGACAGCAAAAAACAAGGGAAGAGACTTACCTTGGTTCTTAACCGGCGATTTCAACGACATCTTGAACCATAGCGAGAAGACCGGGGGTCCAATGCGAGCTGAAGGGACTTTTGGGGAGTTTAGATCCTTCCTCTCCAAAGGAGATCTCTATGACATTCCACATACTGGTAATCCCCTTTCCTGGAGAGGAGTTCGTTACTCCCACCTGGTGCATTGCCGCCTTGATCGTTCTCTCTCCAATGGAGCGTGGGCCGACATCTATCTGTTTAGTAGGTGTTACTACCTCGACTTTGAGGGTTCTGAACACCGTCCCCTGCTCACTATCCTCGAGACAAACCTGAAGAAAAAAAGAGGAATTTTCCGTTACGATAGAAGCATGAAGGATAACCCGAAAATTACTGAATTAATAGAAAAAGCTTGGCTTTCTTCTGAGACAGCTACGGTGGAGCAACGAATTATCTCATGCAGAAGAGAGATCTCGAAATGGAACCGGGAACACCATCTAAATGCTCAGAAAGGAATAAAAGAAGAAAAAGCAAAGCTAGAGTTAGCAATGAGCTCCAGCTCCCTGGACCAGGGGAAAATCGTGGAGATAACTACAAACCTCAGTAGGGCGTATGCGAAGGAGGAAGGTTACTGGAGACAGCGCAGTAGAACGCATTGGCTGGCCTTGGGAGACAAAAACTCCGGTTACTTCCATGCTATCACACGAGGAAGAAGACTGGTGAATAAACTTGCAATACTAGAGGATGCTCAGGGAACAGCAGTCTATGAGGAAGAGAAGATAGTGCAAGTGATCTCAACTTACTTCCAAGATATCTTTATAACCCGATCCTCCAACTGTGTGGAAACAGTCAACCAAGCCATTCAACCTTGTATCTCCGAGGAAACTAATGCGCTCTTGATAGCCGACCCCACACCAGAAGAAATCAAAGCAGCCTTATTCTCTATCAACCCTGACAAAGCTCCTGGTCCGGATGGTTTTTCAGCCTGTTTTTTCCAAAAAAATTGGTCAGTTATGGGTCCTCAGATAACCAAAGAAGTTCTGGGAATTCTTTCATCAGGAATCCTACCAAGCTCTATCAACGAAACCCACCTCAGACTAATTCCTAAGGTCCCCAGCCCAAAATCAGTAGCAGAGTATAGACCTATTGCCCTCTGCAATGTCTACTACAAAATCATCTCAAAACTGCTTACTAGAAGACTACAACCTGTCCTACCCACAATCATATCCGAGAACCAAACTGCTTTCATTCCCGGAAGAGTAATTTCTGACTATGTATTCATCACACACGAAGTTTTACATTACCTCAAAGGCTCGGGAGCTACAAAATACTGCTCCATGGCCGTGAAAACGGATATGAGCAAGGCCTACGACCGGCTGGAATGGAACTTCATTGCGGCGGTGCTCGACAGGATGGGGTTTCACCCCAAGTGGACCAACTGGATCTTTCAGTGCATCTCCACCGTATCCTATACCTTCTTGGTCAATGGGACAGCTCAAGGGCAAGTGATTCCTCAACGTGGTATCAGACAAGGCGATCCCCTCTCCCCCTTCATCTTCATCCTATGCGGAGAAGTGCTGTCAGGTCTCTGCAAAAAAGCTTTAGATAATGGCTCTCTACCGAGTATCAAGGTCTCAAGAGGAAGTCCGAAAATTAATCACCTTCTGTTTGCCGACGATACCATGTTCTTCTGTAAAATCAGCCAGAAAAGCTGTGAGACACTCCATTCAATCCTCCAACAATACGAAGAAGCCTCGGGGCAGATGATCAACCTCCAGAAATCCTGCATTACTTTCTCAAAGAAAACACCAGAAGAGATCAGACTGAGAGTCAAGAACTCTCTAGGCATTGACAAAGAAGGGGGCCAAGGGAAGTACTTGGGCTTACCTGAGAGTTTTGGACGGCGAAAGAAAGATCTGTTTACTTCAATTGTAGACCGGATGCGTCAAAGAGCAGTAAGCTACTCCTCACGTTTCCTTTCAGGAGCGGGGAAGCTCACTATGCTTACTTCAGTCCTCTCAGCTATCCCCACGTACACGATGTCGTGCTTTAAGTTACCTGCGGGGCTCTGCAAGCGCATTCAGTCAGTACTTACCAGATTTTGGTGGGATGCAAATCCAGGGAAAAGGAAAATGTGTTGAGTTTCTTGGCAAAAACTTACACGGTCAAAGAAGAGAGGAGGTTTGGGCTTCCGTGAGATAAAAAGCTTTAATGATGCCCTTCTAGCAAAGATCAGCTGGAGGATTCTGCGAAACTCGGACTGCCTCCTCAGTCTAGTCTTAAAAGGAAAGTATTGCCAAGATCATGATTTTCTATCAGTCCCAATCACTTCTTCTACTTCCCACGGATAGAGAGGGATCCTCATTGGCAGAGACCTTATCAAGAGTAATCTGGGGCGAGTAATTGGAGATGGTAGCTCCACCTCGGTATGGTATGACCCATGGCTCTCCTTGGAATCCCCCTCAAAACCGGTAGGTCCTCCAAACCATCTACACCAAACAATGACAGTCTCAGACCTTCTGCTTAATACACGAGGAGATTGGAAGAGAGAGAGGATTAACGAAATTTTACCTCACTACCTGAAGACAATCATGACAATTAAATCAAGCAGAAGAGGAGCCCCAGATGCCTTTATATGGCTCCCAACCAAGTCAGGCGAGTACTCTGTTAAGACAGGGTACCATTCGGCCTTAGCGCTCCATGAGAACCTTAACGACCCCCACAACCTACAAAATCCATTCAACTGGATGTCAGAGATCTGGAATGGAAAATTTTCACCTAAAATGAAAGTCTTTCTTTGGAAAGTACTGCAAGAAGCCTTACCTATAGGCGAGAACCTCCTCAATCGCGGGATCCTGGAATCATCATGTTGTACCCACTGCGGTGAACTAGAGACAACAGAACACCTGTTCTTCCACTGCCCTTATGCTGTTGCAGTCTGGAACCTAGCCCCTTTCTCCAACGATGTGAACCCAACTCAGCTTCAAACCTTCCCAACAACCCTAACCCTTTCCAAGACTTGGATCAGTCTCCCACCTATCGGAGCAGGGCAAGGACCGCTCTTCCCTTGGATATGCTGGTCTATCTGGAAGGCGTGTAACTATCTTCTGTTCGAAGAACGCCTTTTCAAACCTGAAGAAACAATCCAGAAGGCGATTTTAGAGGCGAAAGATTAGCAAGCAGCGCAACTTCTACGACAACCATTGTCGAAAAAAACAAACCCCGATCCCAATCCCCAAACCCAAGAGAGAGATCTTACTTGTTTCACCGATGGTGCTTGGTGTAAAGAGACAGGATTTGGCTGGATCTTCTTGGATCACGAAGGGAAGGAAATATCCCGTGGCCAGTCAATGGACCGCTTCGTATCCTCGCCGCTGATGATGGAAGCCATCGCCATCCGATCTGCTCTCCACTTCGCTCTGGAAAACGGCTTCTCCCACATTCGCCTCAACTCAGACGCTCAGGATCTTATCCGAGCTTTGGTTTCGCAAGAGTATATCAAGGAGATCTACGGTCTTCTGTTCGATATCCATGCTCTAGCTTTCTGTTTCTCTTCGATTTCGTTCAATTTCGTTCCTAGATCGGTAAATTTCTTATCGGATTCAATTGCTAAATCAGCTTTGAGTCGTTTAAGTTCCCTTTTATCCCTGTGGGACCCACAATTGTAGTTGAGTTTGGCTTTAATAAAATTTATCAGTTGTTCAAAAAAAAAAAAAAAAAAAAATGTAAATCTAAAAGTGAAAAGCCAAAATAAACAAAAACAATGAAAGTTCTATGCATCGATTCTACGTTGAGATAGAGATTCAGAGATCGTCATCGGAATTCAGAACCACCATCGATTTTGTTGACTTCTCGAGCCATGCAGACCGAACCCAACTTAGTCTTTAGAAGTCCCAAAGGGACAAACAAATCGAACCTTAAAAGAATGAGTCCGAGGAGCCCGGCCCAACGTAAACAGAGAAGAGTCAAGGGGAGCAATGAATCTGAGAAAGTACGCCAAAGGCATACACGTGATATGATCTCTACACGGATCAAGAATTTTGGATCTATACATGTGATCTGGTCCTAATAATTTTTCAACGGATCAATAAATATTACTACTATATTAAACGGACAAATAAATGTGGATCTCTATACACGTGACACGATCCTAGAGTATTATTAAATTGATCGTGCGGAGTAATGAAGATAATGACAAGATGATTAATGAGGTTTGGTTGGGCTTAATTTTAGTTTCCCGGCGCTTGTGATCCGCAAAATCAAATCATACTTACTGCATACTCCTCTTATTTATTTATTTATATTCCATAAAATACTATTTTCCCCCACTGACAAAGATAATATAGTACTCGTTTCAGTGCCATATGTATTTATATTTTATCACATAATTCTTACTCGAAACTTACGCTGTTTCCATTTCTTTATAAATAGTTTTACTCTCTGATAAACTGGTTAATTGAATATGTATGTTTTTTTGTCAGCAGCGCTATAATATTTTTCAAAAACCGGAAATCCAATCTGGAGATTCAATAGATTAATTAACTGTCGAGTCAGTCCCATACGTGGTAAGAAGTGCAAAGATCAATCTTTTATTATAAAGAAAAACTCACTAAATCTGAAAGAAGAAAAAAAAAACGTTGCAAACTAAAAGCAATACGATACCGATTTTGATACGGTTGTAATTAAACTCATGACCCTTGTAAGAAAACTAGATTGATCCCGACAGACTGCTTTATAGAGACTCAGTAGTACTGGAAACCGCGACCAAACGGCGAGCTAGCATGTTTGGCTTGGAAAGTGGAGGATGTTGTAGGCAACCAAACCTCACGCATTGGTTCACCGACTGGGTACATAACTAGCTCACGGACATTCATTGGCTGGATCACATTTGGATCGGCTCCAAAGAGAAGATGGCCAAACATTTCTTGTGCTTTCTCGGTATTGTGACGTCCGTCGAAGAATAGGTAAGATCGTTGGTACTCGCATAGCTTGGAGTGCACGTTAGGTAAACCGCAACCATAAGCATCGTGTGTCCCAACTCCACAGCACGATACGTTCGTCTTCAAAAACCCTACAAATTAACCCGTTTTAACGGTTTTGTATATGAGCATTCACATGGTATCATAAATAGAAAAATGCTATAACATAATTGACCAACTCACGGTAGCTCAAGCTGATCGTTTTGCTTTGAATCCTACGAAGAATGACATTGTAGAAATCGAAGACGGTGAACTGGAAACCGGAAGCGGTTGCAGCCAATTCGTTCAACATCGGTCCGATCTTTTCATTGTGTAGTTTAGCCAAATTGTTGAGAGGCTCGTAGCAGTTCTCCTCCCCGGTTCTGTAATCTTGTCTGACGATGGGTAAGCAACCTAGTGGAGCTAGGGTTTGGATCATGAACTTAGTTGCTCCTGAATTGTATAGCAAGGTGATGTCGCTCCTTAACTTGTTGGTGACGGAAGTGACGAAAGCTTGTTGAGCAGATGCATCAGCGTCAGGGTTGTTCTTGGTGAAATTCAAGTAATCGTTTGCACCAACGTAGATCATAAACACTGACCCCTTGATGAAGTCATCGTTCCAGTTTGCTTCTTTCAATTGATTGAATTTCCTTATCTGTTGATTCAGAGTCAACTGAAAAAAAAAAAAAACTAATTCTGTTGATTCAGAGTCAACTGAAAAAAAAAAACTAATTAATACTTTATATATGTTATATTATATAGTTGCAATTATTTAAGTAAACCTTATATTAGTCAGGCATCTTTATGTGATATACTGATAACGGATATAATTTCCACTTATGCGGGTCAATAAAACACAGCTACATTTAAATTATTTATCTTGGATAGTCTTCTAAAATATCAATGAAAATGTTATTTTTTTGGTATAGTGGACTTACAGATTCCACCGGAGCTCCAAGAAGAGTAGCATCGGCGACGGCGAAACTAGCTCCACGTGAGATATTAACGTCCGGTCTAAGTACCGGCGGGATCGGGATCGGGATTTCCATGAATTTTGCTGCATATTTTAGTTTTTTGGTAGTATTTAGTTTCTTATATAATTCAAACCAAAATATATAAAAAAAAAAAAAAAACAGAAAATTTTCCATGCCTATTTTCAAACAGCGTTAAGTGTTAATTGTTGGTTTAACGAATTAACTAGTGGTACAAAAACGTATATTCCAGCGGCTTAGGCCCAAAATCATCCGGTTATTAAAAAGGAAAAATAAAAATAATTCTTACCGACAAAGTCCGGAGCGATGAATCCGTCTGAGAACTTGCCGTTGGGGTTATCTCGGGATTTTCCATACGGCCAGAAACCTTGCGCAACGTTAACTGTGGTGAGATTCTGTTTGTTTCCGGCGTCGAAGTTGGAGTCACCGAACGTGAACAATGCCACCTTCGGGATACTCTGTCCGACGACAGTGTTAGGGTTGTGGAGCAAGGTGAATACCAAAAGTACCCCTAGAACACTCGCTAAACTAGAGTCGACTGCCATCGATCTGGGAGATAGAGTGGAAAGATAAAGACAGTGAAGGAGAAGAAGCATAATGCTTTGGTGCCTATAAGCCTATACACGGATGCCATTATTTATACTGCAACAGTGCAACGGTAGCTTTTTGCAATTTACAATAATTATTATTTTGAATATAAAATATAACGTGCAGCGCGAGGTTCGTTTTCTAATATGTTTATACAGGCACAGCTATGTGAGTAAACGATTATTGATTAATCATGGTTCAGGAGAATCATATATATCTCCGACTCCCGATTTTCTTGGTTTCTACTTTCTAGTTTTATTTTAATAAAAATATATTACTCGCGCGAATCAGAATCATTATTCATTAGTTTCAATGAAAAATATGTTTTTAAATGGAAAATGAGAAGCTCTTACCCACGTGAAACAAAATATGAGTGCAGATAAACTAAAAGCTCAAAAACGTAAAATAAATACTAAAATTTAAGCTGATAATTTCCTTATACAAAAAATTAAAATTAAGCTGATAATATATATTCTTTTTCTATAAGGGTGATCCAAGCACTTCTTTTTGAGTGGTTTTAATAAGACAAAAAATATTAGTTAACATTATTTTATACACGTGTTTTTGAAGTCGCAACTAAAAGTTTGTTTTGATAACTAAAATTCAAATATGATTATTTATAAATAAAAAAAAAATATATACGAGTGTTTCTTTCTTCAACTTGTTATTGTTAGCATTTTCATTTCATCAATATAACAGTGTTAGGAAAATATCAGCGGTGAATGTAATTCAACACAAAGTTGATTAACACTTTTCGAAATCATTGAAACAACAAAAATTTCACAAATTGGTACACTATAAAAAAGAATTAGAAGAAAAACGTCACAAACTAGTCTTAAATAATGAGTATTCTTTTATACACGCGTTTTTTAGGTCGCAACTAAAATTTTGTTGCTCAAACAAACAAAATTGCTTGGAGTTATATAACTGAAGCGTGCCTCGTTTGACTACATGATAATTTATGGTTTAATTTCATATAACCGGCGCCGGAGCCAGCTGTACGCATCTTTTTCTGGCATAACTTTGTCACTTCTTCTTCATAGAAGAAAGGATACTAAACTAAAGTCTAAAGAAAGTAATATATCAAAAGTGAAGTAAATGAATGTGGAGTTTGAGTCTATTACCTTCTAAAGGATTGATTCCACTAATTTTCGTATATACAAAATAACAATACAGAAAACTTAGAAAAGCAATATATTATTATTTTTACTAATAAAAATCGACACTGCAAACACAGCTGCACATACATCAGCGAAAAGTGCTTTTAATCAGTGTAGTCCTTATGAAATATCTTGGATTATAATACCAACTTTTCATATATTTTTCCAAAAACAATGGAATACACGTTGTTTTATTCTCAACATATTAAGAATAAAAGCCTTCTAACCAAAAAAAAAAAAAAAAAAAAAAAAAAAAACATATTAAGAATAATGCCTGGGATAGATCCACTACGTCAACGTCGAGGAGACGAGGACTAAAATCTACTCCTCCCTTTTATCTTTCCGAAGATCGCACATAGACTCATTATTTGACTCTCGAGTCAGTTCAAGACGTTGTAAGAGTAGCAAAGATCAATCTTTTATTATTGAGGAAATATCACAAGAGAAAGCAAAAGAAAAAAAAAATTAAACGATAAACATTACGATACCGATTTTGATACGGTTATAATGAATCTCATGACCCTTGTAAGAAAACCAAATTGATCCCGAATTTAATTAAGATTGATTTATAGGAGACTCAGTAGTGCTCGTAACCGCGGATAGACGACGAGCTAGATGTAGGCAACCAAACCTACATGGATATGGCTGACAATGTATAGGCAGCCAAACCTACATGGGTATGGCTGACAATGTAGGCAACCAAACCTCACGCATAGGTTCACCGGTTGGGTAAGTAACGAGCTCACGGATATTCATTGGTTGGATCACATTCGGATTGGCTCCAAACAGAAGGTGACCAAACTGTTCTTGTGCCTTCTCGGTATTGTGACGTCCGTCGAAGAATAGGTAAGATCGTTGGTACTCGCATAGCTTGGAGTGCACGTTAGGTAAACCGCAACCATAAGCATCGTGTGTCCCAATTCCACAGCACGATACGTTTGTACTCGCAAACCCTAAAATTAACCTTTAACGGTTATGTATATGAGTATATATATTCACATGATGATACCATAGTTTAAGTTAAAATAAATAGAAAATCGTTGTAACGTAAATTAACCAACTTACGGTAGCTCGTGCTCAAGTTTCTCTGCGTCCTACGAAGAATGACATTGTAGAAATCGAAGACGGTGAACTGAAAACCGGAAGAGGCTGCAGCCATATCGTTCAACATGGGTCCGATCTTTTCATTGTGTTGTTTAGCCAAATCGTTGAGAGGTTCGTAGCAGTTGTCTACCCCGGTTTTGTAATCTTGTCTGACGATGGGAAAGCATCCTATTGGAGCTAGGGTTTGGATCACGAACTTAGTTGCTCCTATTTTAGATAACAAGGTGATGTCGCTCTTTAACTGGTTGGTGACGGAAGTGACAAAAGCTTGTTGAGCAGATGCATCAGCGACAGGGTTATTCTTGGTGAAATTCAAGTAATCGTTAGCACCAATGTAGATCATAAACAGTGACCTCTTGATGAAGTCATCGTTCCAGTTTCCTGCCTTCATTAGATTGAATCTCTGTATCTGTTGAGTCAGAGTCCACTAAAGAAAAATGAACTTATTAGTACTTCAGTATCATTACAAAATTGCAGTTAAAGTAAAGCTCATTAAATGGTTTTTTTCCTGGGTCAAGTGGACGTACAGATTCAACCGGAGCTCCGAGAAGAGTAGCATCGGCGACGGCGAAACTAGCTCCACGTGAGACATTGACGTTCAGTCTAAGTGCCGGCGGGATCTCGATCGGGATTCCCATAAATTTTGCTGCATATCAGAATTAATTTTAGGTTTGTTCATAAATCCTCTTATTAGTTTTAAGCGTCATCAGAATTTTAGAACGTGAATTTTAGCGGTTAAGGCAAAAGCATCCGGTTATATGAAAAGTAGAGAAGATAAATAAAATGATCTTACCAACGAAGTCCGGAGCGATGAGTCCATCGGAAAACTTGCCGTTGGGGTTATCTCGAGATTTTCCGAACGGCCAGAAACCTTGCGCAACGTTAGCTGTGGTGAAATTCTGTTTGTTTCCGGCGTCAAAGTTGGAGTCACCGAACGTGAACAAGCCCACCGCAGGGATACTCTGTCCGGCGACACTGTTAGGGTTGTGGAAGAAAGTGAATACCAGAAATAGCCCTAGAACACTCGCTAAGCTACAATTCACTGCCATCGATCTGGGAGACAGAGTAGAAAGATAAAGACACAGTAAAAGGAGAAAGTTGATTACTTTTTGTGCCTAATCCCATACACACACCGAGTCTGTTATTTTATATTGAAAAAGCTTTTGGCAAGTTGCAATAATTATAATCTAAATATAGTAACGTGCCACCTGAGTTTCGTTTTTTTTTTTTTTTAATAATAAAAGTGAAGTGTGTAAACGGTTATTGATCAATCATGGTTCAGATGAATTTTCTTTTTTTGGTCATCTGAGATTTTTCTTTTTTGAAAAGAGGCAACCAAATGGGTGGTTTATCATTTGATCCTTACTCAAGTGATATAAAAAGAAAACTCAGAAAACTTAGAAAGGGAATATATCAGAAGTCATTTTGTTACAATTGACCAACAGAGTAAAAAAAAAGTGAGGTGAGTTTGATTCCATTACCTCCGTTGCATCAGCTCTACATGAGTAGTTTCTCTAATAAATGCATCAACATTTATCCACTTTACATAAGAGATTAAGAGATACTAGTATACAATATCGTTAGAGCAGGACTTAAACTTCCTCCATATCAATACGAGTGCAAACTCAACTGCACACATTTTAGCAAAAGTGCTCTTAATTAGTGTAGTCCTTATGTCATATAGTATCTTGGATACCAACTTTGTAAACACTTCTTTTTATAAGGAAATAATTAACTACTTGGATACCAAACTTTTCTAATACGAGCACACAGCTGAGAGTCGTTCTGGTTTTTAGTCTCGGGTTTGTCACAATCCATTGAGAATTTCTCTTATATTTTATAGAAACAAAAATAAGTTTTTTTTGGTGCAAACGGAAATAAGTTAATTATGAAAATAAAATGTCATGTGATTTTGAAACAGATCAGTGATTTTAGTTGATTAGGATGAGCATCATCCTTTCAAATATTCAGCTTTCTCTAGTTTGTTTGGACGATTTTTGCCTACTTCGGAATAGATTAATTCATTTTTTTCTAGGTTTTAAGCTATCGTAGTTTGTACTTCAAGGCGGCTTGTGTGGCCGGCCCCTATATATGTCTACTGTCAAGTTTGCTCAATTTTTCTTTGTAATTCACTTCTCATGGTGGCCTAGTGGTGGTGGACATAAACAATTCTATAATTTTTGTTTGCTCCATGTTTTTTTGTTGTGTATATATTATCAGAAGGATGGTGATCACCTTAGTAAAGTTTGCTCGTTAAAATTAGACTTATATATCTATGCCGACTTGGTTTGGGACCTCCTGATTCTACTATTTCCTCTGCCCTCAGTGTTGACATGGTCTTACTTGTATCCGCCAAGTGCATCGCTTACTTGGAATCATCAGTCTGATTACCCGCCAGAATTCCAAAGCATGTATTCATGAATTGCATCGCTGCAAAAGTCAACTACACACCATGGACGTTTTCGTTATGGACTCTTAATTTCGCCTTTATGTTTTTTTTTTTTTTTTTTTTGCTATGGTGACTTTCATTCTCTCCATCACATATTTTCGGTGTAACCATATTTATAATAATTATTCCTAATGTTAAAGGTTTTTAACAAATTTCGCGCATCGATCAGACGGGTTATTCTCAACATCTTAAGAATAATGCCTGGGATAGATCCACTCGCATCGACGTCAACGTCGAGGACTAAAAATCACTACTCCTCCATTTTATCTTTCCGAAGATCGCACATAGACACATTATTTGACACTCGAGTCAGTTCAAGACGTTGTAAGAGTAGCAAAGATCAATCTTTTATTATTGAGGAAACATCACAAGAAAACACAAATTTTAACGAAAAACATTACGATACCGATTTTGATACGGTTCTAATGAAACTCATGACCCTTGTAAGAAAAGTAGAAAACCATATTGATCTCGAAATTAAGACTGCTTTATAGAGACTCAGTATAGAGCTCGTAACCGCGGCTAGACGACGAGCTAGAGTGTCTGTCTTGGAAAGTGGCTGACAATGTAGGCAACCAAACCTCACGCATAGGTTCACCGGCAGGGTAAGTCACGAGCTCACGGATATTCATTGGTTGGATCACATTCGGATTGGCTCCAAACAGAAGGTGACCAAACTGTTCTTGTGCCTTCTCAGTATTGTGACGTCCATCGTAGAATAGGTAAGATCGTTGGTACTCGCATAGCTTGGAGTGCACGTTAGGTAAACCACAGCCATAAGCATCGTGTGTCCCAACTCCACAGCACGATACGTTCGTCTTCAAAAACCCTAAAATTAACCAAATTTTAAAAGTTTTGTATATGAGTATATTCACATGGTATCATAAATAGAAAATAGTTGTAACGTAAATTAACCAACTTACGGTAGCTCAAGCTCAAGTTGCTCTGCGTCCTACGAAGAATGACATTGTAGAAATCGAAGACAGTGAACTGGAAACCGGAAGAGACTGCAGCCATATCGTTCAACATGGGTCCGATCTTTTCATTGTGTTGTTTAGCCAAATCATTGAGAGGTTCGTAGCAGTTCTCTACCCCGGTTTTGTAATCTTGTCTGACGATGGGAAAGCAACCTATTGGAGCTAGGGTTTGGATGACGAACTTAGTTGCTCCTGAATTAGATAACAAGGTGATGTCGCTCTTTAACTTGTTGGTGACGGAAGTGACAAAAGCTTGCTGAGCAGATGCATCTGCGACAGGGTTGTTCTTGGTGAAATTCAAGTAATCGTTAGCACCAATGTAGATCACAAACAGTGACTTCTTGATGAAGTCATCGTTCCAGTTTCCTGCCTTCATGAGATTGAATCTCTGTATCTGTTGAGTCAGAGTCCACTAAAGAAAAATGAACTAATTAATACTTCAGTATTATTACAAAATTTCAGTTAACGTAAAGCTCATTAAGTCATCGTTTTTATATTGATGTAAATGTTTCTTTTTGTTGGTCAGGTGGACGTACAGATTCGACCGGAGCTCCGAGAAGAGTTGCATCGGCGACGGCGAAACTAGCTCCACGTGAGACATTGACGTTCAGTCTAAGTACCGGCGGGATCTCGATCGGGATTCCCATGAATTTTGCTGCATTTCAGAATTTTAGGTTTTTTTTCATGTAATCCTCGTTATTTGTTTTAAGCGCTACTTTTACTAGTGATACAAAGAACGTGAATTCTAGCGGTTAAGGCAAAAGCATCCGGTTATTATGAAAAGTAGAGAAGATAAATAAAATAATTAATCTTACCAACGAAGTCCGGAGCGATGAGTCCATCGGAAAACTTGCCGTTGGGGTTATCGCGGGATTTTCCGTACGGCCAGAAACCTTGCGCAACGTTGGCTGTGGTGAAATTCTGTTTGTTTCCGGCGTCGAAGTTGGAGTCACCAAACGTGAACAAGCCCACCGCAGGGATACTCTGTCCGGCGACAGTGTTAGGGTTGTGGAACAAGGTAAATACCAGAAATACCCCTAGAACACTCGCTAAGCTACAGTTCACTGCCATCGATCTGGGAGACAGAGTAGAAAGATAAAGACACAGTAAAAGGTGAAGGTTGATTGCTCTTTGTGCCTAATCCCCATACACCGAGTCTGTTATTTATACTGAAAACTGTAGCTTTTGGCAATTTGCAATAATTATAGTTTAAATATAGTAACGTGTCACCCGAGTTTCGTTTTTAATAGTATAGATAAAATAAAAGTGATAATGTAAACGGTTATTGATCAATCATGGTTCAAATAAATTTCCTTTTTTTGGTCATCTGAGATTTTTCTTTTTTGAAAAAAGGCAACCATAAATGGGTGATTTATCATTTGATCCTTACTCAAGTGACAGCCATGGCACATGGTGAGATTTAATATTCGGTTATCCGAGACTATATATGCAAATGAGAGAACCTTTACCTATGCAACTTGTATTTCTCATCCGCTATGATGTAAAACTTGCTGGGTTCCATAAATTAGGTAAGTTGGTATAAGTAGGAAAAAAGTAAGCTACCCTACTTTGTATTCTTATTCAGTTTTTGGTATAAATCTAAAATCGTCACATTTAACCCAAAAAAGGAAAAAATACAAAAAGAGAACCTTTAAGGCTTTGACCCACGTGAAATATAATATGACATGCAGATGAATTAGAAGCTCAAAAACGTTAAATAAAAATTAAATATATAAGGAAAGTTGTGTAAAATGAGCGAGGACTGAGGAGTTTGAATCCATTTACCTTCTGAAGGATTTCACTTAAGTTAATCATTTTGTTCTAATGAAGAGCATGTGGCCCCCAAACTTTTCCTATTTCTACTCTTTCATTCATGAATTTTCATAATTAATTCTTAGCATTTTCTTAATAAAAAATAGAAAAAGAAAATTTAGAAAAGGAATATATCAAAATTCATTTTTCAACTTCTAAATTGTATCATTTCGTTTCAATGAAGTCTGTTTGGCCCCAAACTTTTCTATTAGGAGCATTTTTTTTTCTGAACAACTTTTCATTAATGAAAATAAACGGGTTACATAGAAAACAGTCATGCTGGAAGATTAAACGGTGCTAAAAGACAAGACGCGAAATCGCATGCAACTGCTTTAGCTAGTGAATCCGCCTTCGAATTCTCCGATCTCGGGATGAATCGAAACGAGATTGAGGTAAATAACTGTGCAAGAGATTGAATATCGAATAAGAGACCATAGATTTCATTGATTTTCTCTTGCGATCTATTACAAGCATAGAGCTGAAATTCGTTCTATTTTTTTTTTTTTATTCTCGGGTTTGTCACAATCCATTGAGAATTTTTTCTATTTTATTGAAACGGAAATAAGTTAATTATAAAAATACAATGTCCTTGATTATAGTTGATTAGGATGAGCATCATCCTCTCAAATATTCAGCTTTCTCTAGTTTGTTTAGATCAATTCATTTTTCTATGTTTTTAAGCTATCGTAGTTTGTACTTCAAGGCGGACTGTTTGGCCCCTATGTGTCTAGTGTCAAATTTGCTCATTTTTTCTTTGTAAATGACTTCTCATGGTGGCCTAGTGGTGTGGACTATAGTAGTTCCCACTTCAGGAGGATGGGTACCCGTAACCCAATCAAGATTATATATTTTAATGTGATTGTGAAATTGAGAAAAACTTATTAGGGTTCAAGTATACTTTTGAGATTTTGTAGAGAGAAAAATAATATTCGTTTCGGTTTATAGGTTATTGATAGAGTTTTAGATCCTTTTATTAATCGTGACGAAACGTGTATGCTTTCACAATTGTACATAGGAGAACATATTTTTTATCCATTTCAGATAAAAGGTACATGTTTTCATATATTTTCAAAACAAAATACATAGGAAAACATTAGTTTTATTCTCATGTTAAGAAGAACAATGCCTTACAAACTCGCAGAGCTAGCCGTGCTTGATCTTAGAGATAGTATTATTAAGCTCGAGAACTAAACTTTTTCTTTGTTAAAGGCTCAAGAACTAGATCGTGTACTCAGATCCACTCGCATCAACGTCAACGTCGAGGACTAACGATAACTTCTCCTCCGTTTTATCTTCCCAAAGATCGCGCATAGACTCATCAGCAGGATATACAATAAGCTCCCGAACGTTCAAGGGTTGGATAACGATTGTGTCGGCTCCAAAGAGAAGATGAGCGAACGATTCTTGTGCCTTCTCTGAGTGATGACTTGCGTCGAAGTAAAGATACGATCTTTGATACTCGCATAGCTTCGAGTGAACGTTAGGTAAACCGCAACCATACGCGTTATGTGTCCCCACACCGCAACACGATATATTCGCCACGGAGTACCCTAATTAATTTGTCGCAACAAGTATTATCAAATACTAGTTCGATCCAAACTTTGCGCTCACAACGATAATAATTATTAGTGTATATATATATATATATGATTATTATACAGATAAGTTACTAGATTAAGACCCGCGTATACGCGGGTTTATTTTAAGATTTTGTAATAAAATCATGGAAAAGTATTAAACCAAATTTGATCATTTTAAAGTAAACAGAATAATATTAAAAACCCGATAAAAATATTTAAATAAAATAAGATCGGTAACCTTTTTACGTTTTTATTGTAATTGATATTTTTTTGAATTCATGATATAAAAAATGAATTAATTTGTTTTATTTTTATTTTTATCCAATATAGAAAGACTTATATATGTCTAAATATGATCAACTGATTAATTAATTCAACAAAACTTTATTATTCCATTCAAGAGATTTCAATTGATGAAATCTTTATTTAATAATTTTTTACCTAACAATATTGAAAATATATTAAACTATTTAAAATTAGAATATCGGTTCATTATATTTTCTTAATATTAGTTAGTTGCTTGATAATTAATTTGTTAGTTTTCTATTTATATTGTTTCTTTCTCAATTTTGTTTTTGACTCAGACCATTATAAATTTTCATTTTCATTATTAGTTAGTTTTTTTTATTATCATTATTTTATTACACATATCGCAATTTTGTGAGTTATAAAAATCATACGTATTGCTATCATGTTGTTTGCTTTGATGAGTTTGTGAATGAGAAAAAAAAACTACTTTAACTCTCTTTTTATAGGGGTTCATGTAACTTATTCCATGCAGTTATAGGAAATTTAGTTTACCTAACCTATTTCATGTACTAATAGGATTTTATTTATTTCATTAATTTGAATCTTATATGTGTTTGGATAATATAAATTTGATGAATGAGAAACCTTTTTCTATTAGGATATGACAAATATAATTTTTTTTTTTTTAACTATAAAAGATTAACTAAACCTAACCTATTTCATGTACTAATAGGATTTTATTTATTTCATTAATTTGAATCTTATATGTGTTTGGATAATATAAATTTGATGAATGAGAAACCTTTTTCTATTAGGATATGACAAATATAATTTTTTTTTTAACTATAAAAGATTAAAATTTCGTTTTTTTCCTTTATCTAATTTTTTTAATTATTATTTTTTTCTTTTTTTCTAAGACACATGTCACGATCTTAACGGACATAACATTAAAAGTGACACATGTCGCAATCCTAAATTTTATAAAAATCCTACGTGTCGCAACCACGTCGCACATCCAGCTTTATATAATAAATCCAGCTTTATATAATAAAATATTGACTTACGGTAGTTCAGGTTTCTTTGTGTCCTGCGAAGAACGACATTGTAGAAATCGAAAACAGTGAATTGGAAACCCGCTCCGGTTTTCGCCATTTCGTTCAACATCGGTCCGATTATAGCGTTGTGTTGTTTGGCCAAATCGTTGAGTTTCTCGTAACATCCGTTACCCGTTTTGTATTCTTGTCTTACGATCGGTAAACAACCTAATGGCGGTAACATATATACGACGAATTTACTAGCTCCTGATGAATACAACAGCTGCATTTAACATTATAGTAACACAAGTAAAGTTTTTTTTTTAATACATAATTAAATATCAATGTATACAACTAATTTTTTTATTAGTTTTAAGTTGAGAGGACTTACGTTGATATCTCTCCTTAATCGGTTAGTGACAGATGTGACAAAAGCTTGTTGAGCAGAACCATCGGCATTAGGATTGTTTTTGGTGAAGTTGAGGTAATCTTCCGTACCAATAAATATCATAAACAATGATTTGTGAATGTAATCTTCTTTCCAATTTGATCTCATGTCGTTGAATCTCCTCACTTGTTGATTCAGATTCAACTACAAACATTTAATATGAATAGTGTCTCAAGTTTTTTGTTTACGATTGATTAGCAAATAAGTAATGATACAAAATAAATATATAGATAATTAAGCGATCTTACAGATCCTCGGGGAGAGCCAAGAAGAGAAGCATGGCCAACAGCAAAGCTTGCTCCTCGTGAGACATCGGCGTCAGGTTTAAACGCCGGCGGTAAATCGTGCGGAATTCCCATGAATTTTGCTGTGATTTATTCACTCCTCGTCAATAATGTTATGAACTAAAGTAGTAATACATTCCTTTTGTTTTGATGGTTTAGTCAAAAGCACAATCCAAAAAATTCGATTTTAATTATAAAAAAAAAAAAATATATATATATATATATAGTATTTAGTTAAAAACATTTCAGTAACAAAAAACATGCAAAGTATAAATAATCACAAAATATTTAAAATCTTAACATTTGCATAGAACCATGCATGAAGTGTATCAAATAAAATAATACAATTTAAAAAAAAAATCTCATATAATGAAACGGATCAAATATAGTTATATAGGTTGACAGAAAATATATATGCATATTTTCCCTCTCTCTAATATTTTGATAAAATATGTTCCTCGTGTGATTAAAATATTTTAGAAACAAACATAATTAAAAATGAGACCTTTGTAAAACAATTACTTGTCCCTTCTTTTTGAGAAAAAATGATGTACCCTACGCTTTTCCAAAAGCCAACGACTTTAAAATTATGTTGTAACATCCAACAGTTACTAGCTAAGCTATGAAGTACACATCAATTAAACTATGTGTTGTCCACCATTTTATTTATTTAACTACAAAAATGAAAAAAATAAATAAACAGAACTACAATAATTATCGTACCGATAAAGTCCGGGACGATCTTGCCATCAGAAAACTTGCCGTTGGGATCATCCCGGGATTTACCGTAAGGCCAGAAGTTTTGAGGAGCATTTGCGTTTAAGAGAAACTTTCTGTTTCCAGCGTCGAAGTTGGAATCGCCGAATGTGAACAATGCCACCGCCGGTACGTTCTGGGCCGAGACGATGTCCAGTGTATGAAAGAGAGTAAATACCAGTAGCACACTCACTAAACTACACTTGTTTCTCATTTTTAGTCCAGTAGAGAGTGATAAGTTCTTCGGTCTTCTATTATATTTATATTGTAAAATATTTGAAATTAAAACAGATAAAAAAACTTTATTACAGTTTAGAAACCAGTCATGTTCTAAAACGACAATGTTTCTGAAACAAAATTTAAAACCAATAAAAAACAAAATAAAAACTTAAACCCGTGACCTTACAAACATGCAAGTACTTCATTATCAATTGAGCCAGATATTTTTGTCAAAAAAAAAAAAGCAGAGTTGAAATTCATTATCCAAACCTATCGAGAGAACAATCCCAAATTTTACGAGCAATACAAAAACTAGGATAAATAATATGAAACATCAGTTTTATTATTGAGATTATCTGTTTCTTATATTCGCTTAGATAATAGTACATGAAATTTTAACAGTGAATTTTTTTTTGGTGTAAACTATTATATTATGGATATCTGGATGAAGAGTTGATGTGCATTTTGTTTCGATGAAAGATTAACTTGTAAATCTAATTTTTTGATGAGTTTTTTTCTTTTTTCTTTTTTTTTTTTTTGTAAAAGGGCTTTCAAATTAAATGCATAAACAAAATATTACAAAGATATGACTTTGTGGTCATATAGTTCGATAAAGTTGATTAAGACAATTAGAATTCTACGCAGAGTAGAAAACTAAAGAGAAGAAAAGAAAAACTAGAGATGGCTCTCTAGAGTTTTTTTCTTTCTAGAAAAATAAAATTCATCGAACTCGGTTTTAATTTTTAAAAGATACAAAAAGTATGGGCAAGTGTCACGCACTAAAATTATAAAAATGGGACGTTGTGGATGTGGAAGTATTACATCACGTTTTTTTATATCGCTTTGAAACAAATTCCAGTTTGTACCTAACGGTTTTCCTAAAGACAGCCACCTTTAACACAATTATCCTGTTCTTTTACAAGATTCTTTGTTACAATATACCAAACGATTTTTCTCGCCAAAATAACCTAAGAAAACGTCATTCATATCGTTTGCCACTTCAACTTAAAAACGAACAACTTGAACTATGCCAACACAAAACCTATGTAGCATGTGGCCTGCGAGGACAATGCAAGTCCAACGCGCGTGAGGTCACGTGTTCGATGCTCGAGCAATTCATTGACAGGGAAAGAAAGAGAATCCGTATTGGCACTGTAACGTCTAATGACGTGACGTGTTCGATGTTCACGATGATTTTGAAACATCAGATTAACTTCTTTCGATTTGAGATGTACGAAAAAAACATGAAACAAAACATCACGGGTCAAGCTGCGACAAGAAAAGCGAATTTCCTTCTCTTTTCATAGAATAATCGTTGTTTTGCATATGAATACGTGTTGGTTAAACAAAGAGTACCAAAATAATATGTGGCATCGTTTCAAAAATATACACCTGACAAGCGATCGACAAGAGTTTTAGTGATCCACTTTTATAAATAAATAAAAAATTATCAACGGCCACCATTATGCATGTACACATTTTGGAGTGACAATGACAAGTGTTTTTTTTTTGTTTAACGAAGATTTTCAAATTTGCAGTGACAAAATGTTTCCAGGTCAAAGAAGATAAACGACGCAAGTTACTAAGTAAAAATTACCGAGAAGTAGGTCAAAACTGTATCTTGATAGAGAAGAAACTGTAGATAAGTTTTGTTTTAAAGTAGTCTTATAGTATTTCGAAAACGTTCAGTCGTTGACGATCGGCAGGGCATTAAATTAGCAGCGAGAAGACATATACATATATGTCGCTGATTGAGGGCACGTTGAAGATCTGCAGGGCATTAAATTAGCAGCGAGAAGACATATATATATATATATATATATATATATATATATATATATATATGTCGCTGATTGAGGGCAAACACATGCAGCTGAACCATAAACGAAGTTACAACATTATAGGGTCCTGACTCCTGAAATGGAAAGCGTGAAAAAGGGCTTACTACGTTACAGATGAACCGTAAATTTAACTCCTATTCAACCTTTTTAATATACTGTACTACACTCACTGAGAACAAGTAACTGACAGTTTTAAACTAAAAGAGATACTTCTGTGTGCTAGTCTAAAATTAACTAGAAACTCGAGATTTAGAAAATAAATTTATATTGATATGAATTTCTTTTATCTACGTATTTTGAATAGTACATTCGCAGAAGGTTCATATTAAGTTAATATAAAAAATACACTACTATCAAACTAGAAACTCGTCGAGTCGTGCTTTAAAAAATAATTTTATAACTTCTTTTATCTACGTACGTATATTGAATAGTACATTCACAGAAGGTTCATATAAAATATATATATACTACTATCAAAGTAGAAAGACGTGGAGTCGTGCTATAAAAAATAAATAACTATGAACGTAAATATCATATACATTATTTTTACATGGTTTTCACAATCGATATAGTTATATTTTTTGATAAAAACAATCGATATAGTTATCAGTCATAATTTCATACAGATTTACATTCGACTTTGTTTTTCCTCTTAAACCAATGGATGCACTTGCATCCTCTTGGCATATGTTACATAACATCTGTATCTTCTCTGTTCAGGTAGCCAGTGTTGCTCAATAAGATGGATTCGTATAGAGATGAAAGGAAAGACTTAATTAAGCAAAGCTTATTCAAAAATAAAATAAAAATAAGACTTTGCGCAAAAGTTATGCTACTGTCTTGCATTTGGATCTGTGTCGTAAATTTAGTTTTACGTTTGGATATTTCTAAAATGATGTTTAATTTCAGATTGCAAAGCCCAAAATTGTGGGAGATTAAATTGTTTTTTGTTGGTCACGAAGTATGAGAGCTTTAAAGAAGCGTTTGACACATTTTCACTCACTTTCCAATTATGCTAAACAAACCAAAACACATACACATATAGTCGCTAAGCATGCACTTTCATTTATAATCCATTCATGATGCTGTTGTTTCTTCCGATTTATGAAATCGATTTTGGTTGAATTTTAATATAGGGAAAGGAAAAAAAAAGGTTATAAATACAATACTGTTTCCGATGTTCACATGGCGTGGATGTAAAATTAAGCTAGATTTAATAGTTTTATATTGATTTAATAAATAAAATAATTGCACCTTTAAATGGACTACTAATGGAGAAAGTCTTACTGAACTTTATTTATAAAAAATAAAAACGTTGGTCACGTGGCTACTTTGATTCCTTCCTTCACCGTAAATGTAACTAAACTAACCACCGTCGAAGAAGCTCAGATCAAACAACACGACGTCGCTTTTGTGGTTTCTCTCAGAGCTTCACTGTCTTTCAATGGCGAATCCCAAATCTCACATCTTCTCTCTCTCCTTAATCGTCACTACCTCACTTTTTCTTCTTCTTCATTTCCCCACCGTCTCCTTCGCTCAGACGCTCTTCGTCTTCGGCGATGGTCTTTACGACGCCGGCAACAAACAGTTTCTCTCTTCGAATCGCGTCGACGCTAGCTTCCCTCCGTATGGAATCACCATAGGGAAGGCCACCGGACGGTGGTCCGATGGTCGGATCATTCCCGACTATCTCGGTAATTACACATTGATCATCAATTTTGAAATCCATTGCTTAGGGTTTAATCTGATTCTGTTTCTCTCTGTTTCGGGCAGCTGATTTCATGGGGATCCCTCGTATCCCTCCGATTCTCCAAAACCCGGCCGATTTCTCTCACGGTGCTAACTTCGCCGTCGCCGACGCCACCGTTCTCGGCTCTCCTCTCGAGACGGTCAGTATTAATTACTCCAGCTTAATCGCTGTATGAGTCCCAAATTCAATTCCTGGATATAATTTCTTCTTTGATGCATGCTAATTTGGAATTGATTTCGATTTTTGTGAGCTCTATTGCAAAATCAATGTTATTTATAGAAACAAAGATCTCGGAACATGTATAATATATGGTTAAAGAACTTAGGTTAAACAATAGATCTTCTTCTATTTTACAGATGACTTTGTCACAACAAGTGATAAAGTTCTTGGAAACTAAGAACAGATGGGAAAATCAAACACGTTCTGAAGCAATCTACTTGTTCTACATCGCCTCTGATGATTACTTGAGCTATGCCAAGAACAATCCGAATCCATCAGATGACCAGAAACAAGCTTTTGTGGATCAAGTCATCACTGACATAGAAGCACAGATCAAGGTCAAAAATCCCCAAGAAACTACATCTTTCATTGATTCTTTTTCGGTTTGTTTTCAAAAAAGTTCGTGTATGGAATTTTCAGGTGGTTTACGGTTCAGGCGGGAGGAAATTCGCGTTCCAGAACTTGGCACCGTTGGGTTGCTTACCGGCTGTGAAACAAGCTTATGGAAACGTTCAAGAATGTGTGAAACTGCCTTCGGAATTGGCTGCTTTGCATAACAAGAAGCTGATTAAGCTCTTGGTTGATCTTTCAAGACAGCTCAGTGGTTTCCAGTACTCGTTTTACGACTTCTTCAGCTCGATCCAAAACAGAGTTATCAAGTCAAAGATTTACAGTAAGTCCTTTACAATGGATTCATCATCATCATCATCATCGAAACCAAGAATTGACATTTATTCTTTGTCTGATGCAGCATTCGAGACAGGAACCGCTGCTTGTTGTGGAACTGGACCTGTCAATGGAACCGGCTGCTCGACGAACAATCTATGCGCTAACATTGAAGATTATGTCTTCTTCGATGGTAAGCATTTGACGCAAGAAGGGAACCTTCAGGTGGGGCATTTGATTTGGGGAGCTGACCCGGAAGTGGTTGGACCGAACAATCTCAGAGAGCTTCTCGTCCTTCCTCTGGACGTTACAATCATCTTAGCTGACATTCAGGAAGCTATGGCTGCCATTAGGAAGAGCCAGAACAAAATTGAGAATCTCTACGATATCACGAAGATGGAGTCGGAGATGGAGAATCAATGGGCTTATCAAGTTAAAAAAGCTAGCTCCTTTCTGATCTGAGATTGTGGTAATCATATGATCAGAGCCAATGAGTTTTAAGAGTTTGTTGTACTGTAATAACGAACTTGACAAGAATCAGACATCTTTTTTACTGTTTAGTAATGAAATAAGCGGAGTCGGCCCATTGGGCCTATTTCATTATCATTTTCAAACATTGTTAAATTTCCAAACTTTAGTTTTTCTTCATATTTTCTCTATAAGATCCCCATAACAACAATTTTTGTAAGAAAATAAATAAATATTTTTTTAATTTTGTGACTACAATTATTTAAAAACTTAAAAGCAATAGAAAGAGACATAAATAAAGAGACAATGCAAATTACAGAGGATATAAATAACAACATTGGTTAGAGCATTAAGTGTTATAAACTTCATAGAAGTGGAGATCATCAAAGCGGCCGTTATCCGGAGCCTTGCCACCAAAAATCAGCATCCCTTTCTTTCCATAGACGGTCGCAGCCGTCGAGGCACACCAACCACGTGGCCCGGGCCGACCCATCTCCTCTCCTCCATCTCCAAGTATCTTCCACTCCAAGGTTACCGTGTTGAACACGAAAGCCTCACCAGACAATTCCCCGGGACCAAGATGGGCTCGAGGGTCCATCTTAGTCTCTCCTCCAACCACAATGATCTCATCCCCTATAGCCGCTGTCGCAAAAACGCTTCTCTTAGACGGTTTCTCTCCGGTAGTCTCAACTGTTGTCCACTCGTTTTGGACCGGATCAAAGCAATGAACATCAGCCAACTCCTCACCTGTAAACCCGTAAACCACCCATATCTTCCCTTTAATCACCACAAGCCCTGGTCCTCCTCTTATTACTAAATTCTCTCCCGGACTCGGTAACTTAACCCACTTTTTATCAGCAATGTTATATTTGTCGAGTGTCTTGAGCCTCACGGTATAGCCAACCCCACCAAATATATACACATTCTCTTCATCCGCTGCCATCGAATGGAAGCTACGAGCCTCGGGTCCTTCCTCGACCGATGTGAGAAGCTTCCACTCGTTTTTCAACGTGTCGTAAGAGTAAAACCCATTGTATTTACGTGACTCGTCTCGGCCACCAAACACGTAGAGTGTGGATCCTACGGCCACCATGCAGACACCTAAGCAACTGAGGTGAGGGATGTCTCCGGTGGCTGGAGCAATTGACCAGGTGTTACTGTAGATGTCAAAGACGTAAAGATCTTTGTCGATTGGGACATTGGGAATTAGTTCGCCGCCGAAGGAGTAGATCTTGTCTCCGACCACGGCTATGGCGTGTGAGCATCTTGGTCCTGGTTCTTTTCCTCGCTGACACATCTAATAACATTCATCAATCATATATTATTTTTCTTGCTTAACTATATAAAGACCTTTGAAACAACAATATCATATGAAAGTACAATATTAAGAATTTGTGTCTGTGAGAAACTATTTATATTAACATTTTAAAGAGAAGTAATAATCCCTAATTTAGTAATAATAATACCTGCATCCAATAACCATGCGTTCTGGGAGCCATAGCTGCAATATGCAGTTCTTCTTCGAAGTATAAATTTAATCACCAAAAGTCTTTTTTTTTTGTTTTTTCCTTGTCTTTCTTCTTCCTGTGCTGTACTATTTATAGTCTATATAAATCGACGAGTTTGAATATTTCCAATTATGCCAAGGCCACTCTCGAGTATAAAATATTAGGTTTGGCGGTATTATATGTATATTTATTTAAAATACTAAAAATTGATTGATTGCTACTAGCTACGGAAATGGTTCAGACTTCATAGTCAAGGTCAGAAAAAGAACCGATAGCTAGACCAAGTGCGTCGGTTAGTCAACAGTGTATTAATACTATCAGCCACGATCTAGACTGTTGTTGATATGGTTAGTGACTTGTTGGTAGTCCAGACGGCTAGGTCAAGAATTTAATTGGGGCGATTTGGGCGAGTTGATGGTCAATCTAAAACCTAGGGACAAGATCATCATCAAATCGGTACAAAGTTATTGGTTAGAAACTGAACCAAGAGATAGTATATGCATGAATGAATTGATGATTGAATATGCATTGATGAACTGGTTATATATTAGCATAAGACTGGACTACCTTAATGGATGTAAAATTGTTGATTAAATAACCTTTTTTCTTAGCATGAAAGGGAGTATGTCAAAGTCATGAATGTGAGGGAAACCGAGAAATTTAAATTTCAACTTGATAATATATAAACTAAATTCATTTGACAATGACTGTCATGTGTGATTAACTAGCCTTAAAGACTAATTAAGGGTTTGAATGGAAGTCGGCTGAAAACTGGAATCAAATCGAAATCAAAACTATATCAAGCTATATCTATATATATAGTTGAAGAGATCCGCTTCTGTTGTGGAGACCTCAGCAAAAGAGACCCCTTCTAAATTCAGTTTTTTTCCATGTCAGCCACTTTCTTCCTTTGCTTAAAACAATCTCTAAGTTTAAAATTAAATTCGTGTAGAGTCACTCAGAGAAAGCTACTAGGTCCTTGGTCTTTACTTCGATTCGATCCAGCTTTTATTCTCACCGGAGAGAGAGAAACAGAGAAAAACAAAAGAAAATGGAAGATCCTCTCATTGGTAGAGAAAGTCGTGGCGGTGGTACGGATCGGATCGTCCGTCGATCAGAAGCTATCACGCATGGTACTCTGTTTCAGAAAGCTGCTGGACTCGTCGATCTGGTTCTTTATCTCTTAACTCCCTAATTACATTCGTTTTCCTCTTATTGTTTCAATAAAGTTTCTATTTATGAATCTAATCGCCTGTTTCTCCGACTATGACGAGATTTTTGCGTATTTATCAGTGCATTTGCTAATCAAATTCTGAATGATTGCTTCGTATAATTGAAATCCGTTATTCGTTTTGGTCACAAATGGGTTTTGCTCCACCTGATTAGCCACTACGAAATTAGCATAGCATTATTGGGAAATGACTGTCAGATTTATAAATATCTGAAACGTTTGTTTTTTCTTAGAGAGATGTTCTTTGTCTTTTTGCTGATTTTTGGAACCTTTTACGTTTGTGGATTGAAAGCTGATACGGTTTGTAGGCTGAAGATGGTATTGGTCTTCCTGAGCAAATACTTGACCAGTCGAGCTTTGCAAAGTACTACTTCATCTTCACACGATTGGATCTGATCTGGTCACTCAACTATTTCGCTCTGATTTTGATTAACTTCTTCGAGGTCAGGACTTATCATTAAGCTGTGTCTCTTTGGTATTCAACACCAACCCTTAAGAACATCAAAACTGGAAAGTGTTAACATTCTTATTCCTTGCCTGTCTTTTGTAGCAACCATTGTGGTGTGAGAAACAGCATACGCCGTCTTGACCGATGCAGAATCCATTATCTTTGAGGCAAATAGTGAACTTAAGTCATGTTAGCCTTTGATTTTTTGGTATAGAATACATGGATTTTGTGCCAATGGGCAAGCGAGATACATACGAATACACCTGAAAGCTCATCAAGGGCGTGCAGACTAAAAACGGATGGCTTCCATGTCATGCTCAAAGTGCTCGCGGAAACTACTTAGGGGAATTTCATCATTTAACTGTACTGCCTGCTATAATCCCAACACTGTTGCACTCATCATGTACTCATGAGGATACTAGAATTTCCCCTGCATCAAGAGTAATACTAATGCCTTGCAATTTGTTTCATGTTATAGATACCGTGCTGAGCTCGACGTCTCAGACACAGGCAACACCGCCGTCTTCGTGGCCTTTGATACCGACATGACCAAGCTGACAAACACGAGTGCCTCTGACGCTGCTGCTATAACTGTAGGATTCCTCTAACTCTGCTCTCCACCCATCTAACTAGAGAATAGGTCATAGAGGCATTAACCATATACACTTACTGTGTTGTAGGAGAACAGACACCGAAAATCATCACAGCCATTGTCGGAAAGACTTTCACGTTCCAAATAAAAGTAACAGAGTACAATTTCACGTCAAACCATCAAGCCTTCACAATTTCCCGGATTTACGAAACCAAAGATGCTCTTCCTACTGCAACTTTTGACAACCAGGTTCTTCCCATGAGATTGGAGTGTTGACTAATTACGTTTCAACTTATGAAACTAACTAATTCTTGATGAAGGTGGTGGCGACTGGACCTGCTATAGACGACATCCCTCCTGCTGTCGAAAACCCTGAGGAGAACAGAGAAACTCCAGACGGAGAGCTGCCTGACGGTGGAAGTACAGTAACGCCTCAGTGAGTGATCAGGCACTGGCAACTACAGAAAAAAAAAGCAAAGAAGGCCCGGAGGGGATAGAGGCAGAGGGGAACAACTCCGTTCCTTAAAAATCCAATTAAAGTCTATGTCAATGGTTTCATGTTGTGTTTCTCATTTTGTTTTGTTTTTCGTTTGGTGTCATTGTTAGATTGAATATTTAAACATTTCAATTTCTATGTTAAAGGTCTCCGTATTTCCTACTAAAAAAGATCAAAAATAATTCAAAAAGTAATCAGGGCAATATTTTCAATTTCCCGAAAACAACTGATTTTAATCAAATATCAATCATGTGTTCTGAAGAAATCTGAGACAAAGATTTTCATTGAAACAGTTTATTTTTACAAAGTCTAATAAGAAAGAGTGAACAAGCCACACTTGCTTCACATTGAGTAACCTATTTGCTTTGGGAGTTCGTTTTCATGATTTAAAGGTTTATCGGTCGAGAATAAAACACGGTCATCACATGAGTGTTCTTTTCCTTGCTTGATTGTCACTTACACATACCCAGAAATTGTGATATTTATTTTCTTACCAATGAAACAATTAATATTAAGCATTCCTATTACTGAACTTGCAAAAAAAGGGGAAAAAACTACATACAACCCATGTTCAAGACATGTGTGTTGTGATAATATTTTAATCCCGGGTTTGGTTTCGTCGTAAGAACACTACACACAACAACACTACAACTTAACTACTTTGATTAAATTCAATAATGTTTTTTCGCCGAAAATAACCAAAACTAATCGAGTTCAATCACCAAAAGAAATAAACTTTACTCAACAAAAGTAATCTAACTGTTTAATTTCATAACCCCATACCGGCAACTATATATACCAACTTCATCACTAGCTTTGAAAAATTCAAACATCCTGTAAATAAACATAATCACATAAACAACCCGCGTACCGCGTAGCGTGGGTACCCCCTAGTATCTATATAAATTCCATTATTATTTAGGAACTATTATTAACAAGGCTAAAACTCTGAAAACTGAAAAGCTCAAACCGAAATCAAGATTGAACATTAGTATCTATTTTCAGCCATAAGATAACATTTTCTAATTTATTCGATATTTCCATATTTTGTAGAATAATAAACATTTTCAACCAAGGCCTCGTGGCCCAGTGGTAAAGGCGTCACAGCTGTGACTTCCGCCACTTGGGTTCGAGTCCCCTTGACCACCGAAGCTGCCTTAAATGATAAGAATACACGGACTGCCGTGGGCTTCGTGGGATTAGTCTTTGAGCCTAGAAAGCCTTTAGGATTCCCACAGTTATCAAAAAAAAAAAAAAAAAAAAAAACATTTTCGCATATAAAACAATTCATTGACTTTAGCCCGATTGAAACTGGTGGGTAATTAGAAAATTGTTTTGATGAAGATAATGTAACAAGTAACAACTGTAAGTTGAATATTAAACCTTTATAGAAAAAAAAAAGACTTTTGCAAATAGTCGTTGTTTAGTAATTGCAGAAGAATGTTACAGATCAAAGTGTCTAACTGTATTGTTATACAGAATACAATTTATTTTCTTATATGTATAGGGTTTGGAGCTTACATAAGTTTTAGCTTAGGATTGTACATATTACTCAATGATCACATATTTAGTTAAAGAAAACCCTTTAAATTAAAAAAAAAAAAAAATTGCGTTAATCATCTTAGCTGATATATATATATATATATATATAGCTATGGCTGCCATGAGACCGAGGTAGAGCGAAACTGAGAGTAGCCATGTTCGTCTACAAGTTGCAGCAATACAATAGAGTAATCCATGTGGAAAGGTGTTGATAACACGACGTAGAAGCATGAGCAGTTGATTAATCTTGGGAGACCAGTTGCAATTAATCTTTTTAAAACTTGTGTAGTTGTTTAAGGATCCTCAATGATGCCATCAAAATATTTTTATTTCTTATTCTTATAGTAGTGATTTTTATTCGCTACTGCGTAAAAAAAGGAAAAATAGCAACGAGTCAACAATCATACCTAGTAATGTCATCATTAAGAATAAAATAAAAGCAAATTTTCAGGTACCCTTTCGAGTAGATGTGAGTGACATATGATTTCAAGAACATAAGAACCAAACCGCGTTGAACTAGAGACATTGAATGTTTTAGTGAAGATTTGTTACTGATGTTGGTATGAGAGCAGTGTTTTGACTCGTAGGTACATAAGAGGATCATCATCGTCGAGGGTCAAAGTCTAAGAATTATGTTAACGCAAACGTAAAGATAAACAAGTTACAAGCTACAAAAGACAATCACAGTCCATTTCCACTTTATAAACCACTCAAGAAACCGAGATTTAAACCGTTTACAAAGCTAGTACAAAACACAAAAACCCGGTCTGATTCCGTTTTCTGGAACCATTCAAGAAACCGAAATCTAAACCGATTACAAGCTAGTACAAAACACAAAAACCCGGTCTAATCCCATTTTCCCAAACCACTCTAAGAAACCGAGATTTGAACAGTCTTAGGCTTCGGAGGCTGCGGCGGCAGCTTCCCAATGGTGACCGTCAAAACCCCTTCCTGATATTTAGCCTTGACGGCCGCCACGTCAGCATCCTCCGGTAGCCGGAATTTCTTAACCAGATTCTGAGGAAGCCTCCTCTCCAGCCTAATGTACTTGCATCCTCCTTCTTCACTCTCATGATCCTCTCTCTTCCTCTTCCCGTTACTCTTTATCACCAGAGTCCTCTCTTCCTCCACAGTAACCTGGATATCGGATTTGGAGATTCCAGGTATGTCGATGTAAAAGATGTATTCATTGGGAGATTCCAGAATGTCGATTGGGATATTGCTGCTCTCTCTTCGATTCTCGTTACCCTCGCCGGAGCGTGACGGCGCGAAGATCAACTTCTCGATCGCCTCCGGGAAGCCAAACAATGGGTTAATCGCAACAGCACTCATTTTCTCCGATCAAAGACACTGATAATAACTGCCAAAAACAAAACCGGTCAGTATCAGACGATCTATACAACATTTCTTGGAGAAACAGAGCTAATAAGAGAGTCCGGTTTAGAAATTTCACCTGGAAATGAAGATAAGTCTTTTTGAATTGAATCTTCTATCGGATTGTTGATTTGATTCGTTTGAATTGCGATGACGATTCGCTCCATCTTTATAAAGTGAGATACATTTTACACCCAAGAAGCTGGAAAGTTCCAGTGACAATTTCTAGAACGTACGAGTGAGTACTGATCTACACTGTACACGTGTCAACGATAGTAGATTCTACGGTGTTCACGACTTATCAAAAACTTCCACGTCATAAATCTCTTTTTGGTTTGGGCCTTGGAAGTCGTCGTACTATAGCCCATTGGATCTGACTGACCTAACTCTATCAAAAAGCATCCACATCATATTCTGGGTTTTAAACGATATTAGAGGAATGGCGCATTGGACTAATTTATATACAATTAATCATGTTTTGTGTAAGTTGAATTTTGGTTGAGTCTTTGACTCTTGAGACGACGACCTACCTAACCAAAACAATAAATAAATGCATATACAGACAAGAAAAATAATGTTTATTTTTTTCATCTTGCAATACTGATTTGTTTAACCAAACTTATTTATAGCAGAACCAGAAGATAATTCGACAAATTTTGAAATCCGTCGTGTACATATTATTATTTCTGACAATGGCATATATACCTTCGTTGTAATAATAAGTCAATTTACCATAGCACCATGCGAATATTCACAATTCTATCACTGCCTTTTTGTTATTAAAGGAAAGAGCGATGGGCGTTTTCGTCAATTTGCATATCTTCGGGTCAATAACGGAGATAACCCATCCGGTGACCTTATCCCCTCGCCGGTGAGTGAATCTCAGATCCAAAAAAAATTCAAAACTCAGATCCTCCAAACTTCTCCGATCTGAAATTCAAGCCACCGATTTTCAATGGACGAAGAAGACGAGACTCACTCGCTGCAATCCCCTGGAGATTCCCTTTCACCAGCTCCTTCCTCTCCTCCGATTTTGCCTACAAGCGACGTCACGGTGGCCTCCGTAACAAAACCGCTGGCTTCCTCTCAATCTCCGTCGAGGAACGCGTTGGCGTTAGTCGTTCACACACCTTCCGTCACCGGCGGTGGAGGAGGGATTAGCAGCGGTGGGAACAGAAACGGACGAAGCGGAGGAGGAGGCGGAGGGAGAGACGATTGCTGGAGCGAAGAAGCGACGAAAGTTCTAATCGAAGCGTGGGGGGATCGATTCTCGGAGCCAGGGAAAGGGACATTGAAGCAGCAACATTGGAAAGAAGTAGCTGAGATCGTCAACGAGAGCCGTCAGTGCAAATACCCCAAAACCGATATCCAGTGTAAGAACAGGATCGATACGGTGAAGAAGAAGTACAAGCAGGAGAAGGCTAAAATCGCTTCCGGTGATGGACCTAGCAAATGGGTCTTCTTCAAAAAGCTCGAGACTTTGATCGGAGGAGGAAGCACCATCGCCGGTTCGAAATCCTCCGAGAAGGCTCCGATGGGGGTTCTTGTGAACAGCCGGTTGAATCAGTTTAAACGGCAAGCTAAAGGAACACAGATTCTTCAACAACAGGGGGATTTGAAAAGAAGCTCTGATTCAATGCGGTGGCATTTCAGGAAACGGAGTGCTTCTGAGACTGAATCAGAGTCTGATCCTGATCCTGAGCCTTCTCCTGACTCTGCTGAAAGTCTTCCACCGCCTCAACCGCCGTCGTTTCAGCTCAAAAAGCGGTTGAAGATGGAGAAGCCAGTAGGAGGAGGAGGAGGAGGGAGTGGAGTTGAGGAGGTGGCGAAGGCGATACTCGGATTCACGGAAGCTTATGAGAAGGCGGAAACTGCTAAGCTGAAGCTAATGGGGGAATTGGAAAAGGAGAGGATGAAGTTTGCGAAAGAGATGGAGTTGCAGAGGATGCAGTTCTTGAAAACTCAGATGGAGATAACAAAGAACAATCAAGAAGAGGAGAGGAGCAGTAGGCAAGGAGAGAGAAGGATCATTGGTGATGATGATGATGATGATGAGCGCAATGTCAAGAACAATGGCGATGTAAGTAGCTGACAAATTGGAAAACACTATGCTTAAGCGTCTCTAGATCTGATCTTTGTTGTTGTTATGGTGTGTAAATGTAGAAGATTAGAAGTCTATGATGATCATGTTGTTGTTGTTATTGTTGTTATCTTGTCTGAAACATGGTGCAAATTAAAAAAGCTTTGAACTTGAATAATGTCTTGAAACTTCTGTATAATCTCTTATGATTCTAAAAAGATTGAGACTTTTCTTAGTAGAAACCTCAATTAGAAGTTTGTGATTCTAACTTTAAGTACAATGAGATTAGAAGACAAGCCTTATCCATAATTAAAATCACCTTAATTAAGCTGAAGCTAATAATGAACCTCACTAAAAATATTCAATGCTTCTATTTCCCTCCATGACCTCTCTACCTCTATAAAACCATTTCATCGCAGAAGCGAAAGAAGATAGAGACAGTAAAATAATAACACAAAACAATTGAAAATATATAAATTGTTATATATTTTTTGATAATATTTGAGCGGGATGGGGTTCCTACACAAGTTGTGGGATGAAACGGTGGCCGGACCGATGCCGGTAAGTGGTCTCGGAAAATTGAGAAAGCAAGATTCTCTATCCACCGTCCGATCTCATCCTCCACTCTCTAGCGACCAAGTCACCCGAAGCATAACCATTACCAAGGGGAATAACAATGTCCGTGGTCTCCGGACACTGAAGATGAATCCGGCTCGTGCTCCGGATTCTCCGACCGGGTCATGTAGCAACCCGGGAACGCCTTTAACCCGTATTATATACTCCTCCTTTTTCTTAAACTAAAATAATCACAACAATTCATTTTATTGTCACAATTAAACACTTACATTTTGGTAAAACACATTTTTGCTGCAGCCGGGACCCCATGTGATAACTTTGGACCATTCACCGCCGGAAACTGCCCTTCCTCCGGTGAAGCTGACGCCACAAGTCTCACGACTTATGAATGGTTATTCTCTCCATCGCTTTATCTCCTAATAAACATTTTCTCATATCATTGCATTGTAAATTCTTTGCTTTATACGTATACATTGATGCAGGATTGTGCTAAACGCATTGGACCGTTGAAAATGACGAGAAAGAGAGAAAACACTAAATGGTTTTTGTGTAAATATATATAACCTATGAATGTAAATTATGTAAATATTTACTGATATGGTCACTATTAAATTATGTCTCTAGAAACAAAGAAGAGCGCTATAGACGTGAAGTCTCCGTCTCTGTTATAAAGGGTTTGTAAAGATTATTGCCATGTTGGAACATTGCCAACTTGCTCTAATCTCTCTCAAGATCAAGATCCCATTTAGAAATTTGTATTTTGGCTTTTGTGAAAAAGCGTATTATGTAGGTGAATGGAAATGAAGATAAACCTTCGATGGTTAAAAATCTTGATGATAAATAAGCTTGATAACCACATGACTACATCTTAAACATCATAAACCACAGCAAATTTTGAACCAATACAAAGTCCTATTTATTTGAGGTTATTTTATTGCGTGGCTTACAATTCAAGTAAGACCCAAACGTTACAAAGTGAGCATATATATATAAAACCAACAACAGCTTTAAAATAAGAGAGACACATACATATAGATAAGACTCTGAACAAGGTCTACAAACAAAAAAAAAGCAAGAAAGTGATAAAATTAAGTAGAAAAATAAAAAGAAGAAGTCATCTCAGAGGCAAAGGAGACGAGAGAGTTTATTACTGATAGTACATGAGCTGCTGATGAGCCGCAGCTACATTCTGAAAGCCACCATCGTACATAGCTGCACTTGCTCCAGCTGCATTGACATGCCTCAGAGAATGTTGAGCCTGAGGATGCATCTTGGCTAGAGCCAGTTGCCTCTCATAGGCTAAGAGGTCCATTGGGGACAGACCAGGGACCGCGACTGGCGCTGGTGGGGGAAGTGGATTTGAGGCTGTGCCTGTTGGAGTTGGTTTGTTTCCCCATGAACACTGCAATTCAGAGAAGTCAGAATGATGCAAGAACACAGTTAGATCTCAGTAATGTGTTATATCTGAAGTTAGTAGTAGTACCTTTATCTGTCTGCTGAAGAGGAAAGGCTGAGAGTTGCCCATTTGAATAGCAAGAGCAGCTTCGTCATGAGTGTTGTATCTCACAAAGCCAAAGCCTTTGTCTCGCTGGACACGGACCTCTTCAATCACTCCAGCGCCAAGTGAATGGAACAGGCGGTGGAGATCAAGCTGAGTCACCTGCAAGATTGACAACTGTTACAAGAGCTGTCTCTGTGGTTATGGATAGTGAGCTGTGAGCCGTTGATAACTTACTTCAGGAGCGAGGTTTCCAACATAGACAGTGGTAAATTGAGGATTGTTTTCAGGAGCATCTTCGTTTGAGATCTCTCTACCATCCTCTGCGCAAGTATCAAATCAATGTAATCTTCATCAATTCTGTTCTTAATAGGGAGTACTAAAATAAGAGAATGTGCACAGGAATCAAAAGAAAACCTGAAGAGCCGTTTGTAAGTTCCACAACACTTTTTCCATCAGAGCTAATCTTGTCCTCGCCAAAAGCAGCACCTTTGGTCGCCCAGTTGCATCTGATTTGTCTGCTACTTAACCACTTGCCTGAGATGAGATAAAAGAAACATAACTTATTACTAGTGACAAGACTATGTTACAAAAGAGGACCTATAAAGCTCTAAGACAACAAGCTGTGATATGATCATTTCTTACCATTCATTTCATTTATGGCAGTTTGAGCATCCTGCAAATTACATTAACATTTAGAGTCAATATAAAATCATGAATGGAGCTAAACCAAACAGACAGCTATTGATTTAAAGAAGCCAAAACCTGCTGATTGCGGAACGAGACAAACCCAAACCCTCTTGAGCGTCCGGTTTTCTGGTCCCACATTACTCTTGCATCCCTACAAGAAAGAATAACAAGATAATGAGATCTTTATATTCTGATGGAACGTATAAACAAATAAGCTTAATCAATAAGTAAATCGATTAAGCAGAGTAACTTACGAGCAAGTGTTGTAGGCAGAGAAGCTTTCAAACAATGCTGCATCAGTAACCTCTGGACTGAGATCTCCAACAAATATGTTGAAATGACCTGTGCATTTCATGGAGAAACAAAAAAAGAAAAATCAGAGAAGAAGCAAACAAAATGCGTAAGCCCAATTCCGTCCTACTCAGAACTTACCTGATGTATCTTCCCTCTGACCAGTGGCGTAGGCCCAATTGACTTTGATAGGCTGTCCAAATCTGTGAAATGAATCCCATTTATTAGAGATAATTCAAGAGATTGTATGTTTTAGATTGAATAAGAGAATGCAACAAGGTGCTTACAGATGCCTTCCGTTGAGAGACATGATAGCCAGACCAGCAGATCTTCGATCAAAGTAGTGAACAAATCCATATGATGACTGTTGTTAACAACAATACAGAATCGTCACATTTAGAAATAAACCAAAATAAAAAGAAACGGTGATTATTTCTAACTGTAACTGCTCCAACCTTATCCTTTCTGATGAGTTTACAGCTTTCAATAGGACCGGTACTTGCAAAAATCTCTTGAAGAAGAACCTCCGTCACCTGCGTATGGATGTTCCCAGCATACCTGCAATACCAGAGCGAACGGCGTTATTCAAACGAGATGTTCAATTTTCAATATACCAAAAGTCTGAATATAACTGAAAATAGAAACTTTGAATCAAATCAAAACACTCACACACTACGGCAAGTACTTGGATCAAAACCAGGAGGAAGGTTTCCACTTGGTAGAGGCTCCATCTGCAAACATACAAAATGAAGAAGCATAAGCGTACACACTCAGAGGTGGTTACTGGTTACAGAAGAACTAGCAAATCTATAGCTTTGCGACGCGAAAATCTACAATTACCCAGAAAATGAAACAGAACAAGTAGCAAAAATGTTTCTTTTCTAGGACAAAATCAAAATCTACATTGGCAGCGTAAGCGAAGACCCATCAAAATTAAACAAAGAAATTCAACAGGTAAAACCGAATCACCAACACCAAATCCTAACCCATAATCTAAATCTCAAAACTTTTCATGAAATTAGCCAGAGAGAGAGAGAGAGATAGATTCAAAAAAAGACAAGGCAAGGGAACTCAGTGAGAAACACCCAGAACAAACCCTAATTTCGAAGGAGGCAAAATGAAAGAATCAAATCAATTTCGCAAATCAAAGATAAGGAAAAAAAACCTGAGGAGGAGGAGGAGCCATAACACCAGGATGATAAAGAGAGTGATGTTGTTGCATCATTGCTTGTTGAATCATAACTTGTTGTTGGTGTTGCTGTTGTTGTTTCAGCCTCGGATTCTGCATTTTTTTTCTCTCTTTCTCACAGCGATAAAATATCTGTTCTGTTTCCCGAGAAAGTACCCTTTTTTCCCCTTAGCTAGGGTTCAAAATCAAGTTAAGAAGATGAAGAAGAAAAAAAAGAAAGGAAAAAAAAAGGTGAAAAAAAAGAAAGAGGAAAGAGAAAACAAAAATTGCACGCTCTCTGTGTAAGGAGTAAAGAAAGGCCGTACGAAGCAAAGTGACCATATATAGGAGTAGGTAGATAGGACGATTTGTTCGAGACAGAACATGAGTTAATGCTAATGTCACACAGCTTTGTAATAATTCACTTCCGTGACTGTCTTAACGCCCAGCCCAAGACCCAAACAGACTTGTAAAAATAGTTGTTTCCGGCCCAGCCCAAGTTCGAACCTAAATATTTAAAATTTTGTAAAAGACAAACTGGATCGTTTATAATTTTTTTGAAATAATCTGAATAGATTAAAGAAAAATAAAAGTTCAAACAATTTGCAAGAAAAGTATCACAACTAAATCAAACTTGTATACTTCATTTTGATTTTGTTATATCACCATCCATCTGCATGGGTGATTACTTAATATTAAATCTTTTATCTTCTTACACAAAATCATTATTCGTTTATTCCCTTATGTTTGTTCTTTTTAATGTCGGCAGGGTGCTTTTAACGTTTACCATAAAAGACCAATCTACTAGTTTTGTAAGATTAATAGATTTTGTCATTTATCCAAACCAAAGTCAGTGACAGTGATGATTCCACTCTCAAAATGAAATATCACAAACGCCATTATTAGTAGATTGCTTTTAAGGAGAAAAGTAAAAAATAGCGAACCCGCCGGAGTTTTCTCCATTTTGCCGGTAACTTCAAACCGCCGGCGAAAATCCGAATAACTTTTTGATTTTGCTTTTCCTTTTTTTCCTTCTTTCTGCAACATAAACAAACAAAAACACACACCCCACGAGCTGCGCGTTGAAAAGTCTATTGACTCTTTTCCCAAATACCAAAAACACGACTTGATTTTAAAATCCTCAAAATCAAAAACTGGAGAATTTCTCCGTATAATCAATCATCTCTACCTAAAATCTTCTTTCAAAGGAAGAGAAGAACCTAGTTTTGACCGGTGAAGACGAGAACACTAAATCTGTTTCTTCAATTTTTGCTATTTGTGTGATTGATTTGGATTATGGAATCACCGGAGATTCGCGGCGATGGTTCTGATGTGACGACGTTCGAGACGGCGGAGAAGATAATACTCCGGTGGGATTCTACAACCTCAGAGGAAGCGAAAGAGAATCTGATATTCCAAAGCGACCGCGAGGAAGTAGATCGGTACTTGAGAGCCGTAGATGAAGTCCAAAGACACATCTCATCAGTCTCCATCTCCGACGAGCACAGTAGCCACCACGAAGTCAAAGCGAGCTCAACGATACAAATCGCCATGGCTAGGCTTGAAGATGAGCTTAGAAACATCCTTCTCTTGCAGACTTCTACTTTCGAGCCTGACTCTCTTCTTCTCATTTCGTCAGTTTCCTCTTTCGCTTCGCGTGCTGGCCTCGAAGAAGATAACAGCGAGGGTGTTGCCGGAGACGAACAAGAGGAGCTGGATCTGGTTCTACCGGACGATTTGAGTTCGAATTCGGGTTCGGGAGCCGGTTCGAGCCGGTTATCGAGTGGGAGGAGCAATTCCAAATCCACGAGCAGCATACGAGAGATCGATCTGGTTTCGCCGGAAGCTGTTTCCGATCTGAGATCGATCGCTCAGCGGATGATCGGCGCCGGATACTCCCGCGAATGCGTCCAGGTGTACGGGAGCGTCCGGAAATCCGCCATGGAAGCGATTTTCAAGCAGCTAGGGATTGTGAAATTGGGGATCGGAGATGTACAGAGGCTCGATTGGGAAGCCGTGGAAGTGAAGATCAGGAGATGGATCCGCGCGGCTAAGGTCTGCGTGAGAGTCGTCTTCGCAAGCGAGAAGCGACTCTCCGAGCAGATATTCGACGGCGGCGGCGCCGTGGAAGAGACGTGCTTCACGGAGATCGTGAAATCCTCTGCTCTGCAGCTCTTCACTTTCCCTGAAGCGATAAGCATCAGCAGAAGATCACCGGAGAAGCTATTCAAAATCCTCGATCTACACGACGCGATTGCAGATTTGCTGCCGGACATGGAAGAGATCTTCAGCTCCAACACATCGGAATCGATTCTCGCTCAAGCGACTGAGATTCAATCGAGATTAGCAGAAGCAGCGAGAGGGATTCTCGTGGAGTTTGAGAACGCCGTGTTCCGTGAGCCTTCCGTTGTTCCTGTTCCCGGAGGAACAATTCATCCGTTGACGAGGTATGTGATGAATTATCTCAACTTGATCTCCGACTATAAGCAAACGTTGGTTGATCTCATCATGTCGAAGCCTTGCGCCGGTTTGAAATGCTCCAACGATCCGATCAAACCGGATATGGATATAACCGAGCTTCAAGGAAGGACTCCGTTAGCTTTACATTGTATATGGACGATGGTGATGCTGCAATTCAATCTCGAAGGGAAGTCTCTGCACTACAAGGAAGAGTCTTTGTCACAGATCTTCTTCATGAACAATATTCATTACATTGTTCAGAAGGTGAAGAGCTCGCCGGAGCTGAGAGAGATTATCGGAGACATGTATTTGAGGAAGCTCACGGGGATGTTCAGGCAAGCGGCGACGAAGTATCAGAGAGCTACTTGGGTGAGAGTGTTGAGTAGCTTGAGAGACGAAGGGTTACATGTGAGTGGGAGCTTCTCTTCCGGTGTATCGAGAAGTGCGTTGAGAGAGAGGTTTAAGGCTTTTAATGCTATGTTTGAAGAGGTTCATAGGGTTCAGTCGACGTGGTCGGTTCCGGATGCTCAGCTTAGGGAAGAGCTTCGGATATCTTTGTCGGAGCATCTGATTCCGGCTTATAGATCGTTTCTTGGGAGATTCAGGGGACATATAGAGAGTGGGAGACATCCTGAGAACTATTTGAAATACTCTGTTGAAGATCTTGAGACCGCTGTGTTGGATTTCTTTGAAGGTTATACCACAGCTCCACATTTGAGAAGACGGTGATAGTGAAAGAGGAAGAAGAAGATTGAAAAACTTCGAAAAGATGTCATTAGAATTAGCCAAATATATCATTCTTTGGATTCTTTGCCTTTTTCATGTGGGAGTGTTGAGATTGTTGTTCAGAGGAATCTAGAGCTTCTTCTGGTGAATGATCTTTCACTCTTTTTGTACTTGTAAGCATTGATTTGTTGTGTGTGTTGTTTGTCAGTTGCTAAATTTGAGTACTCCATTTGTTGATAATTGTTGGCCTTTTGTGAGTTTGTGACCTTGGTGTACTAGTTTTCTTCGTAAACTAATTTAAATGCGTTTTGATGTCTTCTCTAAGTCAATCAATAATCACAAATTTTATACTAATCCCAACATCACAAGGGTTTTTTGTTAGAAGTCAAGGTAATCTATGAGCTTTAATTAGGAGATTGTGTGGAGGTAAGATTCCAAAATGGTTAGCAGAAACTTTGATCTTTATCACAAAGGAACATCTCTTCTTCGATTAGACAACGATTCTAGTCCACAAAGATTCAAACAGAGACTGAAAATTCTGAAACAAAATAAAACTGTTTTTTTTTCCTACCAAATGTGATTGGTTCTGGGAAAATTAACGAAAACTGTATTAAAAATTGACATCAAATGAAATGAAAAATTGTAATAGATAAATTTTCTACGATGAACGTATGATTTGACCATATATTTGTGCACATGGAATGCCCGATTCAAAATCAAGTCGGATTCATGGAATAAAACATAACTATGACTCTTGTAGTTTTATTTAACTAAAAACATTGGGCTTAGGCTAGCCTTTGTATTATTTTATTTCTCTTGCTTTTAAATAGTAAATCGGTTACGATAATGTTATTAGGAACATAACTGGAATCAAAATTAGAATCCTTCCCCAATGATGTATCAGCTACATTATTAAAATTTATGATTGACTAAGAGAGTAAAGGAGTACTGGTTTTGATTCATGCAGTGCTGGGGCAGTCCAAAATGTACCAGAAATATCTACCCAATAGGCTGAAGATACCTTTAACTCCTTATGTCCTTGCGGATCGGGATTGATGCTATCTCAAGGGGAGTTGGGATCTCTTAACATGATCCTCGTCTAGCTATATCTCCTATGTTTCTTTTGCTAAAAATATTTTATGATCATGACTATTATCTACAAAATGATTGTTGAATGTTATTAGGCTTATTTTTGAATGTTAAGCTTATATTTGTTGACTTTCTCCAATGCAAGTGATTTTCGGCGTTTGAACAAAAATAGAAACTTCACCGAAACTAACCAATATCTATATCAATATTTTTCTGGATCTTAAGCTTATGATTTTATTTAAATTTACATTTTTTTCATATACACTTCTGAAAGTTTTGAACAAGATTGGAATTAAGTTATAATTCAAAAAATTATATCTAAGCTGTTTGCACACATTATTATATGTCACCATACTTTTTTTCTGTTAAAAATCTGTAAATAGATGACTTGTTGTTCAAGGTACGTTTGCTCATATTATTACTATTGGGCCTACTAGGGGTCCACGTCCATCTTGGGGATCGTTGCCTACAGGGGCGGATCTACAGTGAAGGTAGGTGTGGCACGTGCCCCATACTGATATTAATATGTGTCTAGCAGACAAGTAATAATATTAATTCCGTGGCCTAAATGGCTAAAAGTGCCCCATGTTGAAACTCAAGTGCCGGGTTCGAACCCGGGTAAATTCTACTTTTGTTTTGTTATTTTTATTGATTTTTTATAGTTTAGTTATTTCACATATTTTGTGCCCCATGTATATTTTCTTCCTGGATCCGCCCCTGGTTGCCTATAAGAAACAAACTCACCTTCGTTCGTCTTAGGTCTAGCCAAAGCATCTAGGGTTTAACTACGCTCTGTAATCGGCCATGAAAAGGAAAAAGCAGAAGCAGAAGAAGGTCTCGGATCCGATCCCAACTGATGTCCTTACGAAATAAAAGAAGCAGAAGCAGAAGAAGAATGTGTCGGACCCGATCCCATGTGATCTCCTTATAGATATAGTCTCTCGAGTCCCTGCAAAGTCAATGTTTAGGTTTCGTTGCTTACCTAAATTCTGGAGATCCACACTTGGCCTTCCTTATTTCACTGAGCTCTTCCTCACCAATTCAATAGCTCGTCCACGGCTCTTGTTCGCCATCCAAGTTGATGAAGAGTTATTATTCTTCTCTTCACCACAACCTCAAAATCCAGCTGACAACTCCACTCTTGTAGCCACCCCTTATAATATGAGTTTTCCCAAAGATTTTGAAGTTGACATCAGAACAACTCTGAGTGGACAGGTCTTTCTTTGTTGGAGAAGAAAGGAGGGGATGATTTTTAACCCCGTCACTGGGGAGTCCACTACCATAACCTTACCAGAAGTGAAAGCTAAGGGTAGTGTAAGACGTTCCTATGTTGGCTATGATCCAATCAACAAACAATTCAAAGTCTTATGTATGAGTTGGTCATTTTATTATTGGCTTTTGACATTGGGGAGTACTGGAAAACCTTTGTGGAGATCGATTGAATGCAATATCAATATTTCTGTGCATAAGGGAGCATACATAGTTGGTGAAATATACATAAATGGTGTTGTGTATTCCGGAGCCCATTACATTGAAGAATCTTGTATGATAGTTTGTTTTGACTTTAGCTCTGAGAAATTCAGCTTTATTAAGATAGATGAAGGAGTGCTACGTGGGACTCTGGTAAACTACAAAGGTAAGTTAGGGGTATTAGTTAAAGATGACTATCATTATCAACTTGTGTTGTGGGTTCTTGAAGAAGATGCTGGAGTACATAAATGGTCCAAGAGTCTATGCGTACAGTCTCGCATAAGCTTACTCGAGAGGATCGGGGACTATTTTCACATTCTTGGAATTACTGGTGCAGGTGAAATTGTGTTTACAACGTACCGTCAGTCAGACCGTTTCTACATTGTCTACTACAATATCGAGAGCAACACTTTTGCGAGAGTCAATATTCAGGGATTCGAACATTTTAAGGATCCATATATCACTCCTCGCATCTTTCTAGACTATGTTGAGAATATGAAGCTTTTGTAACTGTGTGTTCAACCGCTTCATTACTTGAGAGACCTCTTTATGATATTGTTCCTCTTAAGATTAGTTTGGTTTTTGCTCTAGTTTCTGAACACATGGATTAGTTTGGCAATTGCTATTATTATTCACTTTTGGATTTGCTTTGTCCTTTTAAGATTTTTACTCTTTGTTTCTAAGAAGGAAAAAAACACTGTCTTGTTTACTCTTTTAGTTGGTTAGTATTTGCATCATAATGTTTGAATACAGCTATAGCGCGTTTGATCAAAGACGCATACGAATCTGATATCATCCGACGCTAAAAATAAATATAAAATCCCCAATCCACTCAAATACAATGATCCAAACCAAAACAAAGATCTCACACGCAAACCGCCGAGTCAAAATCAAACCGATTCATGGAATAAACGGAGAACCATACGGTCCATACGTGAAAATATACCAATGACTTGTTGTTCAAGCTACGTTTGCTCATATTCGTACTATTGGGCCTAATAAGGTCCATTAGTCACCTTCGTTCGTCTTAACTCTCAAGTCTAGCCGAAGCATCTAGGGTTTAACAACGCTCTGTAATCGGCCATGAAAAAGAAGAAGCAGAAGCAGAAGAAGGTCTCGGATCCGATCCCAACTGATCTCCTAATAGATATATTCTTGAGAGTCCCCGGAAAGTCAATAGCTAGGTTTCGCTGCGTATCGAAATCATGGGAATCCATTCTTCGCCGTCCTGATTTCACTGAGCTGTTCCTCACCAAGTCTTTAGCTCGTCCACGGCTCTTGTTCTTCATCAGAGTTTATAAAGAGTTGTTCGTCTTGTCTTCACCTCAACCTCAAAATCCACTTGAGAACACCACTCTTGTAGCCACCCGTTATAAGTGTTTTCCCAAATACTTTCCATCTGACGTCTCTCCTCCGCTCAATGGATTACTCTGTCTTCATGAATGGGCAAGGAAGTTGCGGGTGATCTGTAACCCTGTAACGGGAGAGTCCATAAACTTACCTCCATTGAAAGCTGCGGGTGCTAAAAAAAGCTTTTTTGGGTATGATCCGATCAACAAAGAGTTCAAAGTCTTGTGTACGACTTGGTCACGCAATGGACAACTTAATACTCATAGGGTTTTAACATTGGGAACTGGGAAACGTTTATGGAGATGGGTTGAATGCAATCAACGTTATTCTATACGTAGTGGAGTACACTTTTATCGTGAAATATGGATAAATGGTGTTTTGTATTATGGAGCTGACATTGGAAGATGGTGCATGATAGTTTGTTTTGACTTTAGCTCCGAGAAGTTCAGATTTGTTAAGTTGCATGAAGAAATGTCAGATGGGACTCTGATCAACTACAAAGGTAAGTTAGGGGCGTTAGAGGAAAGAATGTGTGAAGTTGTGTTGTGGGTTGTAGAAGAAGTTGCTGGAGAACATAAATGGTGCAAACGTATAAGCGTGCTGTTAAACTCACACGACGAGATGCAGAGACGTCTTAACGTTGTTGGAATGACTGGTGGATGTGAAATTGTGTTTTCTCTGTATTCTAGACCAAAACCTTTCTGCATTGTCTACTACAATATCGAGAGGAAAACTTTTACAAGAGTCAATATTGAGGGATTTGAAGAGTTTCATGCGCACCGTACAAATCGCATAACCACCTTTCTAGACTATGTAGAGAATATGAAGCTTTTGTAACTGTGTTCATCAACCGCTTCACAACTCCTTACTTTTCAGATTAATGAGGATTCAAATTTCACTCCTTGCATCTTTCTAGAATACGTTGAGGATAAAGCTTTTGAATTCAACCGTTTCATTACTCGAGACATCTTTATGATATTGTTCCTCATAAGATTGTATGGATTTTTTAACCTTATAATACAGCTAAGTTTTGTTCTAAATTCTCAACACATGATTAGTTTGGCAATTGCTACTTTGATTGGCTTTTGGATTTGCTTTGTCGTGTAGTTGGTTGGTACTTATGTTAGAGCCCTATAAATATATATATATGCATGTTGCATTGCTTTCTCTTGTTAAAAACGTGATCCTTGGCGTTCCTATCTCGTTCTTACAATATCAAATAAAATCGATAGTTAGATTCTCTGTAGTCTGTAGATGAAGATCTTTTTTGGTTCGTAGCCGTTGGATGACTAATAAGTGATGTGGTAAGAGATGATGTAAAATCGAAAGATTTGTGTTTGTAGGAAAGGATTTAGCCGCTGGATGGTAAAGTTTGAAACCTCAAAAGCTAATATTGACCATACTATATCATAACACTGACCCGTACATCTCTGGATTTAACCGAAGTTGATTCCTTGCGCTAGAGGTATATACAGAATCAAAATTTGAAAACTTGGAAACTTTTATAGAGAAACTTTAGTATATACAGATTCCAGCTTCACGACCCAATGGGCTTAAATAAGGGTCCGTATTCGGGACATTGCCGATAAGTCACTTTCGTTCGTCTTAAGTCTACCCAAATAATCTAGGGTTAGGGTTTAGCGCTCTGTAATCGGCCATGGAAAAAATGAAGCAGAAGAAGATGATGAAGAAGAAGGTGGTCTCGGAACCGATCCCATCTGATATCCTTATAGATATATTCTCGAGAGTCCCTGCAAATTCAATAGCTAGGTTTCGTTGTGTATCTAAACTCTGGGCATCCATACCTAGCCTTCCTGGTTTCACTGAGCTGTTCCTCACTAAGTCTCTAGCTCGTCCACGTCTCTTGTTCGCCATCGAAGTTGGTAAAGAGTTGTTCTTATTTTCTTCACTTCAACCTCAAAATCCAGCTGAGAACTCTTCTCTTGTAGCCACTCGTTATAAGTGTTTTCCCAATTATTTTCCATCTAACATTAGACCACCGCTTAGTGGATTGGTCTTTCTTCATGATTGGAGAAGAAACTTGCGAGTGATCTATAACCCCGTCACAGGAGAGTCCATAACCTTACCGGAAGTGAAAGCTAACGGTGCTAAAAGAAGCTTTTTCGGGTATGATCCGATCAGCAAACGTTTTAAAGTGTTGTGTATGACATGGTCACGTTATGAACCTAATACTCATCAGGTTTTAACATTGGGGAGTGCTGAAAAACATTTGTGGAGATCAATCGAATGCAATCTCCAACATTCTATGGAGGATACTGGAATACGCTTTAACCGTGAAATATGGATAAATGGAGTTTTGTATTACGGAGCTCGCTCTGAAAGATATAATATGGTAAATGGAGGTTTGTATTACCGAGCTCGCTCTGAAAAATGTAATATGATAGTTTGGTTTGACTTGAGTTGTGAGAAGTTCGGCTTTATTAAGATACATGAAGAGATGCTACAAGGGACTTTGATCAACTACAAAGGTAAATTAGGAGCATTGGTAAAATATCGGTCTGACGTTGTGTTGTGGGTTCTTGAAGAAGATGCTGGAAAACATAAATGGTCCAAAAGTATAAGCGTAGGGTTAAGCTCATGCGACGAGATCGGGAACAATTTTCACATTGTTGGAATGACTGGTGCTGGTGAAATTGTGTTTTCGCCGTACGTTAAGTCACACCCTTTCTACATTGTCTACTACAATATCGAGAGGAAGACATTTACAAGAGTTAATGTTCATATTCAGGGATTTGAAGAGTTTAAGGATCCAAACATCACTCCTCGCATCTTTCTAGACTATGTAGAGAATATGAAGCTTTTGTAAGTTTGTGTTCAACCGCTTATCATAACTTAAGATCTCTTTATGAAGATTGTATGGATTTTATAATTTATACAGCGCTAGTTTTTGCTCTAGTTTCTCAACACATGATTAGTTTGGCAATTGCTGTTTATATTGGCTTTTAAGATTTTTTTGTCTTATACGATTTTATATATACACTACTGAAAATTTTGAGCAAGATTGGACTTAAGTTATAATTAGAAAATTATATTTAAGCATGTTTGCACACATTATTATAATAACCATTTTTCTGACGAAAACTGTAAACAGATGAACACAAATAGAACTTGACCTGAGCCATAAGAAACATCTCTGCATCATAATGTTTCTTATGGCTCAGGTCAAGTTCTATTTTTTCAAAGACGCAGACGAATCTCATATCATCCGATGCTAAAAAAAAACAAAAAACAAAAATCCTTCAATATGTCACAATCCCAATCCACTAAAATACAATGATCCAAACCAAACCAAAGATCTCACACGCAAACCGCCGAGTCAAAATCAAACCGATTCATGGAATCAACAGAGAACCATACGGTCCATACGTGAAAATATATATATGACTTGTTGTTCAAGGTACGTTTGCTCATCATTATAATTTCTCATATTCGTACTATTGGGCCTAATAGGGTCCATCTTCGGGATCATTTCCTAATTGCCATAAGTCACTTTCGTTCGTCTTAAGTCTAACCAAAGGATCTAGGGTGTAACTGCGCTCTCTAATCGGCCATGAAAAAGAAGAAGCAGAAGCAGAAGGTGAAGATGAATGTGTCGGACCCGATCCCATCTGATCTCCTTATGGATATATTCTCTCGAGTCCCTGCAAAGTCAATATTTAGGTTTCGTTGCTTATCTAAATTCTGGAGATCCACACTTGGCCTTCCTTATTTCACTGAGTTGTTCCTCACCAAGTCCTTAGCTCGTCCACGGCTCTTGTTCGCCATCCAAGTTGGTAAAGAGTTATTATTCTTCTCTTCACCTCAACCTCAAAATCCAGCTGACAACTCCACTCTTGTAGCCACCCCTTATAATATGAGTTTTCCCAGAAAATATCAAGTTGACATCAGAACAACTCTCAGTGGACAGGTCTTTCTTTATGAATGGCAAAGAAAGGAGTGGCTGATTTGCAACCCCGTCACTGGGGAGTCCAGTACCATAACCTTACCAGAAGTGAAAGCTAAGGGTAGTGTAAGACGTTGCTATGTTGGCTATGATCAGATCAACAAACAATTCAAAGTCTTGTGTACGACTTGGTCACATAATGGAGAAGCTAATACTCATCGAGTTTTGACATTGGGGAGTAGTGGAAAACCTTTGTGGAGATCGATTGAATGCAATATCAATATATCTAGGCATAAGGGAGCCCATTACGTAGCTGGTGAAATATGCATAAATGGTGTTGTGTATTGCGGAGCCCATTACATTGAAGGATCTTGTATGATGGTTTGCTTTGACTTTTGCTCTGAGATATTCAGCTTTATTAAGATAGATGAAGGAGTGCTACGTGGGACTCTGGTCAACTACAAAGGTAAGTTAGGGGTATTAGGAAAAGATAAGTATCAACTTATGTTGTGGGTTCTTGAAGAAGATGCTGGAAAACATAAATGGTCCAAGAGTCTATGCGTAGGGTCTCGCATAAGATTATTCGAGAGGATCGGGGACAACTTTCACATTCTTGGAATGACTGGTGCAGGTGAAATTGTGTTAAGGCCCCACCGATCAAAACATTTCTACATTGTCTACTACAATATCGAGAGGGACACATTTACAAGAGTCAATATTCAGGGATTCGAACAGTTTAAGGATCCAAATATCACTCCTCGCACCTTTCTAGACTATGTAGAGAATATCAAGCTTTTGTAACTGTGTGTTCAACCGCTTCATTACTTGAGACCTCTTTATGATATTGTTCCTCTTAAGATTTTGATATTGTTTTCCACGTAAATAACAAATACAGCTAGATTTTGCTCTAATTTCTCAACGCATTGATTAGTTTAGCAATCGCTATTATTATAGGCTTTTAGATTTGCTTTGTCTTTTGAGATTTTATGATTTTGTACCAGGTTAATGATCATCGATTAATATTTTAAGGTAGTCAAAGCATAGTTCGAATAAGCTTTCAATTAATTACCAATCAAGTATTTTTATTTATTTCTTTAGTGTTATCAAGGAAAAGCGTAAGTAAGACAAATACAACATGTAACCGGTACGTAAATCCAAGAGAAGAGAATTAACCGAAGTTGATTCCTTGCGCTAGAGGTAACTCGTTCCCATAGTTGATGGTACTGTCCAAAGATAAAATAAAACAGGAATCAGAGAATCAAAATTTGATAACTCAAAAATGTATAAAAATTGAGTTAGATAGATGATTATTTACCAAGTGGAACGACGCATGTACTGTTTCCATGAATCGCTTCCGGCTTCACGACCACCACCAGTCGCCTTCTCGCCTCCAAAAGCACCTCCGATCTCAGCTCCATTCGTCGGTATGTTCACATTCACAATCCCACAGTCACTTCCCATTGGTCTATCAATAAAAAGAGTTACCATCAAAATGAAGTTAACGCCAGAGTGAGTTAACCGGAGGCAACTAGTACTACTTACCCGATCCACTTGAAGATGTTTTCGGGTTTGCGAGTGAATATGGAGCTGCTTAGTCCTTGTGGAACCGAGTTGTTTATCGCAACAGCTTCTTCAAATGACTGTTCAAGAAGAAAATGACTCTTTATCATTTTAAGTCCATTTCTGAAGAAAATTTGATGAGACTTTAATTGTTACCTTAAACTTGAGAACATAGAGAACAGGTGCAAAAAGCTCTTCTTTAACAACAGCAGCATCTGATGATATCTCAATTATCGTCGGCTCCACAAAGTTTCCTTCACCTTCCACTGCTTTACCTCCCGTTAGTATTTTACCGCCCTGCAAACGCAAAAAGTTCATAAAACTCTCTTTTTCAACGATTCGTGATAAAGCAGAGCAAAGGATAAGAGAAAATTGAGGTAACTTGCCTGGGATTTGATAACTTGGATTCCTTTCTCAAAGTTCTTCTTTGACTCAGGAGTATGTAGTGGTCCTAACAAAGTCCCTTTTTCAAGAGGATCACCGATTTTGACTTGTTTGTATGAAGTAAGGAGTTGCTCCACTACTTTGTCATACACACTCTCGTGCAAAAGCTTTTAAAGACAATAAAGAAGACATTTATAAAGCATTAAGCAAAAGGATTAGTAGAAGCATCATCAAAAGCGCTATGATGGGAATGGGATTAGATTATTTTGTACCAGCCTACGGCAAGTGGTGCAACGTTGACCAGCGGTTCCAACGGCTGCAAACAGAACAGAACGAGCAGCTAGCTGTATGTCAGCATCGTCCATGACTACGATCGCATTGTTTCCACTCAATTCAAGCAAGGTTTTGCCAGATCTCGCACTCACCGTTTGTTGTACCATTAAACCCACCTATGATGTGATGGATAATGGAAACATTCAAGCATAAGACAATGACAGCAACAAGTACGCGAATTGTTATCAATATAGTAGAAGGAAATACCTTGGAGCTTCCAGTAAAGGATACTAAGGGAATGCGAGTGTCTTTGGCTATCGCTTCACCAATCTCAGCACCACCACACATGGCCGTAAAAATGGCTCCAGGTAAACTGTTCTTCTCTAAAACTTCAGCCACTAGCTTGGTCATTGCGATAGTTATCAATGGTGTAGTTGGAGCACCTTTCCTGTGGAACCACATGTATGATATAAGGGAATAAGGGATAGTTGTTGCAACAACAACAGAGGATTCGTTGAAGAAATTGACGTAGATAGCAATTGTAACACAGATTCTTATAGTCAGGAACTGCTAGGTAATCCTGAAAGCTCAGATTAGGGTCAAGGTTGTTACTTACCAGACTACACAGTTTCCGCAAACCAGTGCAATACAAGCATTCCAACCTGAAATTACCACAAATGTCCATAAAATGAATGCGGAGGAACAAACTTCCATATTGCTTTATCAGTTCTTGTACTTCTCAAATTATAGCTAGATCATAATCCCACAAATCTAGTTGCCAAAATACGAGGAGCTTCATCTATTTTGGGAACCAGAAAATGAAATTTCAAATCTAGGTAAGAAGCATAGCAGAGTTCAAGTGCAAGCTTATCATTCACTCATCAGGATCTGAAATTGGACAAGAGACTTACCAAGAACTGCACATGGAAAGTTAAACGCTGTGATAACACCAACAATACCAAGAGGATTCCACATCTGCGTTACAATATCCAAGCAGAATGTTAATCATGTCGTACTAAGAAATGTATTCTACAACAATCCCAATCAAAAGAGACTCGCATTTCACCTCCAACATCATGTGATTGGGGCCTGAAACGAAGAAATTATATGCGTTAGGAGATTTAATCATTCAGTACAAACAAGAAAAACTAAGCATTTTCGAATCCAAGTGCCTTTAAGGAGAAAATTCACAAAGATATGAACAAACTAGGAGATTTATAAACTAGAGGCCAGAACTCACGTTCTGAAGGTATGACTGATCCATTGAGTTGTCTGCTTAAACCAACAGAAAAATCACACATGTCAATTACTTCCTGCAAAATGAAAATGTTGCACACAGCGTGTTATGTTAAGCTACATGAAAAATCAGCTTCATGTTGCTACTATCTAAAGTTAAGTTTGGGAGAGTAAACAAACCTGAACTTCTCCAATTCCTTCAGCGAGGATCTTTCCCATTTCAAGTGAAAGAAGACGGCCAAGATAGTCAAGCTTTGATCTTAGCGCATCTCCGATTTGTCTCACTATATCGCCTCTCTTCGGAGCCGGAACCTGATTAAAGATAATTTGTTAGCTATTAGCTGCAATTATCTTCATAAAAACTCAAAGCAATTCGATTGTTTAGTCATTTACCTGCATCCATATTTTAGCAGCTTCCGCGCAAGCTTTCATGCCGATCTCGTAATCTTCCATAGAAGCTTCAACAACTTGAGCAATCGGCTGCAATCGATAATCAAGCATTTCAATAAACTCAATCGAATCAACAAATCCGAAATTAGAAAGTTTAAATTCAAAGTAAGAAAAACCCAAAAACCTGATTGTTAGCGGGATTCAAAGTAGAAACAACAGGTCCGTTTGCTTGCCATTTGCCATCAACGTAACATCCCAGATTGTGAGAAGTCAACCCAATCTCACTCAGAAACTCGTACTCTTTGCTCGTAGAACCCATCTCTGCAAAAATCACACCCAGAAAATCAAAGCACATAGATCAATCTCAAAACACTGATTTAAAGTAAAAAAAAAAACGAGTAGAAAGGATCAGAAGAATCACCTTCTCTGTTATTGATCGTATCGAAGAATGGAGCTGCCGATAAGTTTATCTGATCACGGAGTCTTAAAAAGAGTGAGGGAAGTGAGAGAGACGTGTACGTCTTTAATTAAAAAATGGTTTTAACAGCGACTTCAAGAGAGATTGAAGACGAAAGCTGCTGAGCTGCTATGTCCATCCTTAGCATTATTTTTGGAATCATTTGGATCATATAATATGTGGTTCTGTCACGTGTCCTATTCTTCTTCCGGGTCTAATTAAACCCGACTAGGATCCAGGTAAGGACACGGGTAGAGGAGACGTTGTACTTGTCGCCATTGCCACGTCACTATGTTTTATATCAGGCCTTATATGGTCCGGCCCATTAAGATGATAAGCGTATCAAAACGGGTTTACCCACCACGGTTATTTCATTTGCAATTAATCGCATTTAAATCAAAATTTCTGGAGCTAACCCGTCTGGTTTGGTTAAACACCAACCAACTCTTGGTCTACGGGTCAAATTAGCACCAATTAAGATCCGAATTAAGCAAGTAAAGAATCCGACACAGCCATTGTCGCCGATCTCTCCTTTCGATTTTCCGTTTTGATTCCCGGAGGAGAACACGCTTTCCTGCTCACAGATCACGTCGATTGGCATCGGTGAGCACCTGAACCTTTGATTCAATCTCCTCTGATCGAAATCGAATCCAGATTAAGTTTCAGAAAATTCTCAGTTTTGGTTGAAGCCCTACTCCCTTTTTAGCTTATTGTCGCATGATCTACGGTGGATAAAGTGTTTTGATTGAAGACAAAGTTCGGATTTTGAGAATGAGAGCTGCGAATTTTCTGTATAGCTCGAGCAATCCCAAATTCCGAGGGGTTTTCAATGGGCTTTGCGCTGTGATCCTATTCTTCTTCTTCTTCGATCAGAGCGGTATACTCAATAACCCTTTGTTAAAGAATCAGTCTTTCGCTGATGTTAGTGCTCAAGGATATAGCAATTTTACTGTAATTCGTCGGCATATGAGTGAAATTGACAATCACACCTTGAGTGGTGGTGATAGTACTGTACTGTGCTCCGGTTTACATGAGCACAGAGGCTATGCTGATCAATGCGAGTTCTTGAGATCAAACCCGGTTTGTTCCCCAGATGGGTTTTTCGATTACCTCAAATTCTTCTACTGCACCTGCAGAGACTTCAAGATCTTGGGCTACATTGCGTTAGGTGTTTGGCTAGTTGCTTTGTTTTATCTGTTGGGTAACACTGCTGCTGACTACTTCTGTTGTTCGTTGGAGAAGCTTTCGAAGCTTTTGAGGTTGCCTCCAACTGTTGCTGGTGTTACTCTGCTTCCATTAGGTAACGGAGCTCCTGATGTGTTTGCGAGTATCGCTGCTTTCGTTGGCTCGGATAAAGGCGAAGTAGGGCTTAACAGCGTCTTGGGCGGTGCGGTGTTTGTGACTTGCGTTGTTGCTGGGATTGTTTCGCTCTGTGTTGCTGATAAAGAGGTTAAGATCGATAAGAAGTGTTTCATCAGAGACTTGAGTTTCTTCCTATTCACGTTGGTGTCTTTGTTTGTGATCTTGACGGTTGGTGAAATGACAGTTGGTATCGCCATTGCGTTTGTTTCCATCTATGCGGTCTACGCTTCTCTAGTGGCTGCGAATGAGATTCTGAGGAAACATTCGAAGAGGTTGAAGCTTGATTCTTTCACGCCTCTGCTCCCAATGCAAGGAAGTGTGTTCTCTCCTGTTGAAGAGGATGTTCCAATGTACAGTCCGTTGCTGGAACTAGAGACTGGAGAAGGACCGCCTCGGTTACATGACTCTCTACCGCAGTGGATGTGGGCGACGAATTTAGCAATCTATTCGGCGAAAGCTAATGTACATGATGAAGAGAGGCCTCCATGGGGATGGACAGAAGACGGTGGTGAAGAGGTTGAGAGATCGTTGTGTGGTAAAGTCGCATTCTTGTTGGAAGCTCCGTTGACGGTTCCTAGACGGTTAACGATCCCGTTGATCGAGGAAGATGGCTGGTCAAAGACGTACGCTGTAGCTAGTGCCACGTTGGCTCCTGTTCTTGTTTCGTTTCTTTGGAGCAGTCAAGATGATGCGATTGCGATTGTAGCTTACGTTATCGGCATTGCTGTTGGATCTGTTCTTGGCTTTCTCGCGTATAAGAACACAGAACGTGATCGTCCTCCGCAGAGATACTTGATCCCTTGGGTGCTTGGTGGATTCATCATGAGCATTGTATGGTTCTACATGATTGCAAACGAGCTCGTTGCGCTTTTGGTTACGTTCGGTGGGATCTACGGAATCAACCCGTCGATTCTGGGGCTAACCGTGCTTGCTTGGGGAAACTCGATGGGTGATTTAGTCTCGAATGTTGCATTGTCGATGAACGGTGGAGATGGTGTGCAGATCGCGTTGTCGGGTTGCTACGCAGGTCCGATGTTTAACACGCTTGTTGGGTTAGGAATGTCGATGTTTCTTGGTGCTTGGTCGAAGAGTCCAGAGACTTATATGATCCCGAAAGACAATAGCTTGTTTTACACGCTAGGGTTTCTTATATTGGGATTGGTTTGGGCTCTTGTGATGCTCCCGAGGAACGGGATGCGACCGAACAGGGTGATGGGGATTGGTCTGATCGCACTGTATCTGATATTCGTCACTTTCAGACTCAGCTCCGCCATGGGATTCATTCCTTGGGCTGCTTAAAGAGTTAAAAACCGCTGTTGTAACGAGCTTCTTGAATTTGTATGTTTCGATTAAGATTTTATAATCAGCTATTGTATATTTAGTTAGAGAAGAAAGCCACTTGTTATGAAGAAAATCTTGTTTGTGTTGTATTATGTCCATGTAATTGATAATGAACCTGAGCCATTGTCAATGGTGGTAGTGTACACTAGTCTTACATGACAAACTCGTCGGTTCCCCTATATGATTTTGGAATATTAAATCAGTTATTTGGATTTTGGATTGATTCAGGAATCTCTAACAAACTTATCTAAATTATTTGGATTTTGGATTGATAAATCAAATACACATCAAGTACAAATAAATCAAGTAAACAAAAGTATAAATTAAGTTTCAAAAAGAAATTTTATTTTCTTGAGAAGAATAAAAATCTCTGTGCTTAAGCAATACCACTTCTTAAGCTCATTGAATTCTTTGCCCATTGAATTCTTTACGCCCTAGGCATAAAAAGTAGCAAGCATTCAAATTTCTCGGCTGCAATTCTCTCTCAATTTCGCCAGCCTTCTCAGGTTGTTTGTGGTAAATTTGATAATAGTTGTATTGAGCCATTTACTAAATATTTAAGATTCTCAATAGATTTCAGTTTTTCGGTTTCTTGGTCTTATTCCAACGAGGAGCCATTTTGATTGTTTGGTTTCAGGACATTGTGCAAAGTTTGTGCAGCTAGCCTATAGAGGAGGAATGAGAGGCACACATGGAAACTGGGAAGACTTTATGTTAGTTCACGACAAAATTACATCATGGGAAAACTGTAACTTCTTATTTAGCTTAATCCCAACCAACCTACCTTAATTAAATTCATCATGACACTCACGAGTGAGGATAAGCCGGTAATTTGTGATTCATGTGCTCTTGTTTTTTTCAATAATATTGAATGTTAGTTTAGTGTGCTAATTCAGTCTTGTGTAATGCATGTCTCAGGTATTGGCTTCGTCTAAGAGTCCATGTTGTGTTGCTATCCACAATCTCAAACGTGAACACGTTAATTTTTCAAAGGAAAAAGATGTATGGATTCAATTTGCATATTTTTTGCTGTCCTTCACAGCCAATTTTGTTCTTCCAGCTTGTCTTGTTGGTGCAGCAAAGAGAGCACGTGCTGATTCAACGCACTCTCAAGCATCCAAATTATGCTTTCCATTTCCTGGTTCCATTTGATGCCAAGGTTTGTAGTAGTTTTTTTATTTATATAAAAAAAAAGGTTTGATATTGGGATTGGGACTGGGATTGGCATTTTATGGTGAAAATGTATTTACCCATACAGAAAATAACAATAAGTTGATGACAAACAAAAAGGACAAGAAGTCAAATACAGTATATCGTTTTCTTGGTGACTGTCCAAAATTTATAGTTGAAGTAATATGATAAGTCATGAATGCATATAGCATAAATAATCATGTAATATACTAATATATTCACTCGCATTTAGTGGAATAGATAACAAAATGGGTCCATAGAGCTATGCAAGTGTGTGCCGTCGTGGAGACCAAGACATAAGGTTAGTCATGTCGTAGAAACTTATCGACATCACAATTATATATTTCTCTCTTGCGCAAGAAGCAAACATATTACGTCATAGCCTATGTCACTGACCCCTTTTGTAAGTAATATACTCGTTACTTAAATTATATATAGAACATAAGTTTATAATATGGTTTGAATGTGCTCAACTCAAGACAAGACATCCAAGAACATGTTATATCTTATTGCCCTGCTCTCGCAAAATGACAACTCTGACACTCATATGGGTTGTGTTTAATGATTTTGGGGTTATATATCTAGCCTTTTTGTTGGTTTTTACTCGGTTTAATCTTGGATATATATATGTGCATACATAACAATTATTCAATGTTAAATCACCAGATCTGAAAACACATGTGGGATGGCTCATGCTAAATACAAATTAAAGCGTCTGTTTTGTGAACAGAAATAGAGAGTCGTGTATTTGCTAAAAAAATTAGAGAGTTTAGTGCGTAAGTTTGTTTTATTATCCACAAATTTGGTATTAATGAGTGAGAACTAGCGGGGTTTTCTATAACATCAAGTATCTTTGGATTTAAAATCGTATTCGAACTTCTATTGTATCATACACTTAACGAGATCTTGAATCAATCGAATTAACTACGCATAGTTTTGATAAGCAAGTTGTGTGCGTTGTTATATTCAAGTTGTGGACAAGAATGGAAGATATATCGAATTAACTAAGATTAGATTAAAGACGAACTCTGCGACTCTTCTTCATTCATCAATCATTGAAATGTTATTTTATCATAACAATATTGTACCAAAAACAAGAAGAAACCAGGTATATATTTTAAAAGTGTTAAAATAAGAAAAAATGTTTTATTGATTCAAAAAGGGAAGACATGAAAACAAGATCATGCTCTCTACATGAGCATCATGCTCTCTAGCCCTCTAAACAAACCCTCTTTCCTTTACAATATCATTGAGAACAAAGAAGACGTAAATGTGTTGCCCATTTCAATTCTAAACTGATCATATAACTCTCTCCGTATCTTCTTTTGTTTTATAAATTTTCTCTAAACTCGTTTACATAATCGATCATGACCGAGCAATCTAAAATAGCGCACTCCACTTGTCTCTTCAAATGCAAATTATGTCCCAAAGCAGCTTATTAGCTTTGATGTCTTCATTTAACTTACAGAAATGGAATATTTAATTTGGAATCTGAAACAAAACATATGAGGCTGATGTGTGGTCCAGTTGAGTTTTTTTGTCAAAGTTTCGTGATATATAGGCCATCAAAAATGCGTATACTAACAAAAACCATTAAGAAAATGGTTTTATATCATTAAGAGTTTCAGACCATGTAAATACTATTTTACATAATATGTCACATGTCACATGAAGGGTCGTCACTGACCCCAAAACTACTATATATACACGATATCTATATGTATATGTGTATTTTGATATATACTATAGTTTCTCAATCTGTCTCTAAACATAATTGATTTCTCTTTCTCTCTCTCTCTCTCTTTCTCTTTCGCTTTCTCTTTCTCTTTCTCTTTCTCTCCATCTCTATTACAAATTTAATAACCAAAATGGACCCTCGCATCGCCACAACCTCCGTGTTCCGGTTGTCTAGAAGTTGCCGGAAGATTCATATCCGCCGTCGTAAGTCACAGGTGGTGCGTCTTGGCGGGAAGAACAATGTCTTGCCACGTGGAGGTTTCTCATTGAAGAAGATGGTGAGGAGGATGAAGCTAAGATGGTTGAGGCTACACTACGTGAGACTTGTGAAGAAGGTCAAAGGGTATTATCGAAATTTGGTCAAAGAGTTCGTAGAAGCAGGAGCTGAGCTTGAAGCTATTCAGAAGCGAATGGCGGTTGAAGCGGCTGCGTTTGCGGTTCCAGGTTTAGGTCTCTCTTTCTCCTCCATGTCAGTCCATGACCGAGCACGGTATTTTCTTGTATAGTCATATAAATCATGTTCATTAAATGATTAATCTTTGTATCTTATTACTATTTATTTTTATTGTGAGTTCTTATTTCTTGGAATCATGAAACTGCTTGGAAGTGAAGTTGGTATTTAGTAAATATATGGTCAAATATCTTATATTGTCAGTTTTGTGGGTAGTTTTCTGAATTTTGTTTTATTGTCACCAATATATATAATATATATACACAAATACCAAATTTGTGGGCGTAGTAACGTGATTAAAAGATCATGCCATGAGATATCTTGATTAACTTACGGTGCATGCCTTGCTGGAAACGCAATTACGCAATGAAATAAATAAAATAAACACTGTCCTTGTTATTCAGATCTTTATTGATACTGTACAGTACTAGTCTTACATGTCAAACTCGTCGGTTCCCCATATGATTTAGAATATTTAATCAGTTATTTGGATTGTGGACGATTTTGCTTTAGATTCAAGAAACTCTAACAAACACTATTATTTATCATTTTCCAGCTTTTAATTTGACCAATTATAAATTTGACCATAATATTGATCATACTTAAACAATACTACCATCTTGGATAATTAATTATCAGTTCAAAATGGGCCTCAAACTAAGCTCGTTAAGCGTTGTTTCATTGGTGAGTAATATGGAACTAAACCAAATTGAGCCAAACCAAGAATTTACGGTTTGATATTAATTGATCAGAAATATCGATTTTCCGGTTATTTCTTCTCAAACCGGTACGACTCATCCTATTGTATTCCCTTTCTTCCACCACAAGTCGTGATTTAAGCAGAGAGTTTAAAATTCAGTTACCTCCTATAACGAACTTGAAAGATTCCAAGATTGAATCTTTTTCTCTCTCTCTCTGTGTGTAACAACTTCGCCGCCGCTTTAAATCTCCGATGGCTACCTCAAACCATCTCCTCCTCTTCCTCCTCCTCACCGCCACCACCGTCGTCTCTTCCCCCGCATACGATCTTCCGTCGCAACACGCAGACAGAATCATCGAAGCGATGATCGGAGCCGGAGATCTCCGTGAATGGGCGGCCGATTTCCTCTCCTCCGTCGACGACCAGTTCGGAATCCCTCTCTCCGCCACCATTTTCATCCCCAGCGATTTCGACCCAACCGACATCTCCTCCTCCATCACCGGCTCTGCTTCCGGTCGCCAATCCGTCGCTTACCACATCGTTCCTCAACGTCTCTCGTTCGCCGATCTCCGTCTCTTAGAACCTCTCTCTCGCCTTCCAACTCTCCTCCCCGGGCACTCGATCGTCGTCACTAACAACTCTGTTTCCGGTTTTACTCTCGACGGCGTTCTCGTCTCCGAGCCAGATCTCTTCCTCTCTTCCTCGATTGCAATTCACGGTGTCGCTTCGCCGCTTGATCTCTCTCGTTACGGTGATACTCATGCTTTACCCGATACTCTCCGTCCTTGGTCTAATGATTTAAGTCCGAGTCCTGGATTCAACATCGATGATATCTCTGCTTCTCTGTCCATCGCACATTTATCAACAAGCTCGTTCTTGCTTCCATGGGCTCTGGTATTGTTCTGACTCTGCACTCCGGCGTGTTAACCGTCAAGATCGCGGGAAAGTTTAACTCTTGTTGTTCTTGAAGTTGTCCTCTTCCCAGATTTTTGAGACTCTTTAGCAAAAAATAGATTTTTGAGACTCTAGTTTTATTGTTTTCAAGTTCAAGATTCTGTGAAGTTCTATAATCTGTACATAATCTCTAATTCTCTATAGTTTGCAATACAAGGAACTGAAGCATTTTTTTTGGAATTTAACTCAAAGAATAATTGTTTGCACTATTATTCACTTGAACCTATGACAAGAAGGAAGAAAATCGAGCCCAATTTTATGTTGTTTCTAACATGTGGTGATAATTAGTTTAGATAACAAATGTCACTCATATATAGCAATCACAAAGTCTATACCAAGTGCCAAATACGTTTTGATTTTATGTTTATGATATGTTGTAGTAGTATGTAGCATTAGTGTATTACTCCAATTTGGCTTTGGCCACTAGTTGAAAAGGATAAATTCTTCTTCGGTTGTACGAAGTCTTTGGTTTATAAAATTAAGTATGTTAAAAATAATTGTATTATAAGGAAAACATGAATCCACATGTTTTGTTACGTTGTTCATCGTTTAGATACTCACGGTTTAGCAGTTACGTTACTTCATAACGTGGTTACGTGAAGGAGAAGAAGTTTGGGTGCCTAAAGTTTGTACGCTGCCTTTAAACACTTTTGCTTCTTACGTAATCTCACTTCTAACTATTTGTTTATTTTGAGAATCACCACCTCATTTGTATATATGTTCACGCTTCGTTTTCGTTTTATCCGAATTTAGAAAGAATATCAGATATTTGTTTCGAAATTAGTCAGTCGAATTCGTCTGCTGCTTATTCACACGTGTATATAACTATATACAGAAGAGACTCATGAATATAGCAGATTCATATGTATGTTTAAGAATGTGACTTTCTTCTCTCAACTTCCCCACCAATTATGAGGTATAATTCAACTTGATTTGGACATAAAACGTTAGAAAAGTTCATAAATTGATGTATTTACCAAACTTTCTTTGTTTTTTTCATCGAAAGTCAAATACAAAAACAGGTGTTAACATTTTGACTTCCGAGTTTCGACCGTAGGAAGTAGGAACAGTATATTGTCGTATATCTGTTTCACGGCTGTGATTTGATCACAGGATTCAAGTTGCACCGTTGATTTATAGGTGAAGGATTCCCACAAGTTATGGAGGCTGACCCTGAGCATGAGTGATGACTTGGCATGAAAATGTAAACTTGGCCACCAGTTCAGACACGTGTCTTATTTTTCTCCGTCCCCTTAACACCACGTGGCAATTGTTTTTCACCGCAATAGGTTCTTCTTCGAGAATTCGTCGGTGTCCTTATCAAAAACGAAAAATACTTGTGAATCTTATCATATACAGTTTGTGAAGAAAGAAAATACGTATAATTTAGTAGAAGCCGAATAAAACGTGTAACTGAAATGTCTATATTGTCCTTAGCTAATATCATAGATTCATATGCAATATATAGTATATGTTAGCTAGTTTTGTGAAACGATCCAAAGTTTTTCTTCAAAGAGACCTATCGAAAGTTGTTTGCTGAAAAAGATGACTTTAGACGTAGAGGAAAATTTATACGTTCAATGTTTGATATCGTAAGAAATGTAATGGAGTCTATTTTTTTTGCCAAAAATTTAAGTTCGTACTTATTAGTAAACATTTTTAGTATTCTGGCTGGACTCTTTTGCATATTTGGTAACCCCATTTTTCAACCGTTGGTTTTTCAAAATTCTCAATGTCTCTATTCTGCTTTACAGATAAATGCCAAAAACTTGTTATTTTGATGACTTTCCTTTATCAACAAACGAACGTAAAGAATTTGTAATAATTTTTATTTTCATAAACGAGAAGAAGAAGAAAAAAATGGGATTCCCGATTCCTCATCCACAAATAGATTCATCATTCATTGAATCAAAAAAATCCCAACCAGACAAAAACATAGTATCCCACGGTGGATCCCACTTCCGACCATTTGATGATTTTTGCAATTTTTTTTTCTTCCGTGAAATAAAAATCAAAGAGGAATAGAGGATGATCACCAGTCTAATCAACTATTAAAAAGTAGATCAGTGCGAAGGACATTGATTGAAGTACCAGAAATTTGCTGGCAAGTAAAGAAATATAGAAAAAGTAACAGAAAAAAGAGAGTTATTTATAGTTCATAATCACAATGGATTACGACATTAACGAATAATAACCAGCTTACTTAAGCCAGGTTGACAAAAGGGTACTTACGTAATTTGTGATGCTCAGTTTCGCCTCGATTGCTTGATTTAACGGGCGAATAAGAACACGAAGGATAGATTGGTTCTCTAGAAATGAAAAAGTAGAAAAAGAGGAAAAATCTCATTTTCTTTATCTCTTCGATTCGAATCATTTACTGTGTTTTTGGGATTTTCGTGTTTCAAATTGTATATATATTAGATCGATTTGTTCTTCCTCTTTGTGTATAATACCAAAAAAAGTTTTTATTTTCCAGGGAAAATTCTTCGTTTCTCGGTAAATTGACGAAACCGTGAAGTCAATACCCAAAATTTCGAATTCAGAAATTCGTTTTCCCTGTTTTTTTTCTTCCTCCTCAGGTTTCCAATTTGATTTTCGAAAAAATCTGTAACTTGCGATTCCGAATCGAAACCAGAGAGCTTCCATGGTGGTAGCAACGACCATAGCGCTATACGCGAGTCCACCGAGCACTGTATGCTCCACAGCTCACCAGATCAACGCTCATACCTCCTGCGATCTCGATCTGAATTCCAGATCCTCATCGGCATCTCCTTCGGCGAACTCGCCGGCAATCGGAGGTCTCTCTTTGCTCTTCTCCGGCGCATCCGTCAAATCGTCGTCTTCCTCCTCCTCGCACCCAACCGTAGCAGAGGAATTAGCTTCCATACGCCACGATCGAAGCGAGGATCGGACCTTAAGCGGCTCATTTTGCTACTCCCCGAGCAAATTCATCGGCTCTTCGTACCTTAAACGAGACCATCAAAGCCCCGTCTCGGTGTTTCACGGCCCGATTTCGTCAAGCAGCAGCCCTCCGAGGAGACTTTCACGAGATCGGAACTTAGACGGGAGTTTCCACGGCGGCGGCGGATCTGCTCTCCGTGTAGGATCTAGCAGGTTGTTCAATGGTTTCGTCAGGAAAGCTGTAGGCTCGTGTGTTGATTACGAAACAGACTCTGTCCTCGTCGATGAGCAGCTACCGTTCACCATGGACGATGGCTTCGAAGGAGAAAAGAAACAACCTTATGCTAGAGATTTGCTTAAACGTGCTCAATTGCAACACAAAATCTTCGAAGATGAATCTGTGATCAAAGCGTTTTACGAAGCAGAGAAAGCTCATAGAGGACAGGTATGAAGAAGAAGAAGAAGAAAATAAATTCACAAACTTGTCAACAATTTGGTTTTGATATACTAACTGATGTGTGTTTAATCAGATGAGAGCAAATGGTGATCCTTACCTGCAACATTGTGTGGAGACTGCAATCTTGTTGGCTAACATTGGAGCTAATTCAACAGTTGTTATAGCTGGGATTCTGCATGATACTTTAGACGATTCGTTTATGAGCTATGATTACATTCTGAGAACTTTTGGTTCAGGAGTTGCTGATCTTGTTGAAGGGGTAAGTAAAAGAAACAGCCATGAAATGTTCATAAAGTTAAAACCTTGAGAGATTCTTATTGAGTTTCGTCTTCTTATTGCATTTAGGTATCTAAGCTTAGCCAACTAAGTAAACTTGCTCGGGAAAACAACACGGCGTGTAAAACTGTTGAAGCGGATCGTTTGCACACTATGTTTCTTGCAATGGCAGACGCGAGAGCTGTTCTTATAAAGTTAGCTGATCGGTTACATAACATGATGACGCTATACGCTTTGCCTCCGGTTAAGCAGCAGAGGTTTGCTAAAGAGACTCTGGAGATATTTGCGCCTCTGGCTAACCGGTTAGGGATCTCTACCTGGAAAGTTGAGCTTGAGAATCTGTGTTTCAAGCATCTTCATCCTGATCAGCACCACGAGATGTCCGCTATGCTTGAGGACTCGTTTGATGAAGCGATGATCACTTCCGCGATTGGTAAAATGGAGCATGCGCTTAAGAAAGAAGGCATTTCTTACCATGTTCTCTCTGGACGACACAAGAGCTTGTATAGTATCTACTGCAAGATGTTGAAGTAAGTTTCTCATTTTGCCTCTTTATTCGAATTCACCGAGATAATGGAGAGACACAGAAATGCTGATCTTGTTGTTTATGGCAGGAAAAAGCTAACTGTGGATGAAATTCATGACATTCATGGCTTACGTTTGATTGTTGACAATGAGAAAGATTGTTACAAGGCCTTAGGAGTAGTTCACAAGCTATGGTGTGAAGTTCCTGGAAAGCTGAAAGATTACATCACTCATCCCAAGTTCAACGGGTAGGTTTCATTCATAGCTTTGAAAAGATTCACACTCCTTCCTTCTCTGTTTATTTTTTCTGACTTTTGGTTATTATAGGTACCAATCTTTGCATACAGTAGTGATGGGCGATGGAACCATTCCGCTGGAAGTTCAAATACGAACGAAGGAGATGCATTTGCAAGCTGAGTTTGGGTTTGCAGCTCACTGGAGATACAAGGAAGGTGACTGCAAACACTCATCATTTGTGCTTCAGATGGTTGAATGGGCAAGATGGGTTGTGACATGGCACTGCGAAACCATGAGCAAAGACAGACCATCGATCTGCTCTTCCGAGCCCTTGTGCAGCTTCCCATCTCACGCTGACGACTGTCCGTTTTCTTATAAACCTAATGGTAACCAAGAAGGACCCGTCTACGTCATTGTAATCGAAAACGACAAGGTTAGTTCCTATAAGAATCTCCTTGAGGATGCTTCCTTGCTTGGGAGTTTTATTATAATTTGGTTAACCGGAAATGCATGCAGATGACGGTGCAAGAGTTTCCGGCGAGTTCCACGGTGTCGGACCTGTTAAGCAGAGCAGGACCAGGGAGCCCGAGATGGTCAATGTACAGCATCCCGGCTAAAGAAGAGCTAAGGCCGAGGCTAAACCAGACACCAGTGAGTGATCTGAAGTGCAAGCTGAAGATGGGAGATGTGGTGGAGCTGACTCCAGCCATTCCTGACAAGTCTCTGACTGAATACAGAGAGGAGATTCAGCGGATGTATGATCGAGGGCTCGCGTTCTCGCGTCCTCACCGTGCAGCTACTGGCACCATGGTTGGCTGGGGAAGCTAACAGATTCTTCTCTTCTTTTAGTAAAAAAAAAAAAAAACACATCCTTGTTCATGTGTATATATAGTTATTATATAGTAATGCTTCGGAAAGATTTGTTGTACCGTTGGTCTTGTTGATTCTCAGAAAAGATTGTATATAATATGCACGTGTAGGCTATGTAAAACTGACTCTGCTCATTATTATTTGATTATCTTACATGTTATAGCTGGATCGATCTAGAAAGGTTTGTTCATAAACCAAGTTAGTGTCGACAAGATTCAGAAACTAAAACGACTTGGATTATAGACTAACTAAAAACATCTGACATGATGCCATACAAAACAATCATGTTGTTGGTTTATATAAGCAAAATGGCACGCCGATTGTAACACTCTCCACCACTGAAGCAGAGTATGTTGGAAGATGCAAGCATATTGGACTTTGTTTTCATTTTTTCCGAGTGTTTGTGAAGTGACGAGTGGATATTGCGCCTAATGAGGGTCCATCTATAAAAGCCTAATATCTTTGGGATTTTTGCCCTTAAAATACGTTACTTGATATCCAAGGCAAAAAAAAAACATTATCTTTCGTCTAGGTCTAGCAAAATTAAGATCTAGGGTTTTATGATCCGCCATGGAAAAATTGAAGGAGGAGAAGGTCTCGGAGTCGGACACGATCCAGATCCCAGCTGATGTCCTTATAGATATATTCTCTCGAATCCCGGCAAAGTCAATAGCTAGGTTACGTTGCGTATCTAAATTATGGAGATCCATACCTGTCCTTCCTGGTTTCACTGAGCTGTTCCTCACCAAGTCTTTGCCTCGTCCACGTCTCTTGTTCGCCGTCGTAGTTAACGGAGACTTATTGTTCTTCTCTTCACCTCAACCTCAGAATCCAGCTTACAACTCTTGTCTTGTAGCCACCCGTTACAAGTGTTTTCCCTCACATCATCCATCTGTAATATGTCCTCCGCTCCGTGGATTAGTATTTCATCGTGGAACGGCAGGAAAGGAGCGGGTGATCTGTAATCCCGCCACGGGAGAGTCCATAACCTTACCAGAAGTGAAAGCCAAGTGTATTAGTGGGGAAAACTTTTTTGGGTATGATCCCATCAACAAACAGTTCAAAGTCTTGTGTAAGATCTTGTCACGTCATGGAGGAGGAGGAGCCAATACTCATCGGGTTTTGACATTGGAGACTGGAAAACTTATATGGAGAAGGACGATGGAATGCAAACCCCATTCTGATAGATATGGTGAAATATGCATAAATGGTGTTTTGTATTACGGAGCTCACATTAAGGGATCTTGTGTGATAGTTTGTTTTGACTTCTGCTCTGAGAAGTTCAGCTTTGTTAAGATACATGAAGAAATGTCAGATGGGACTCTGATCAACTACAAAGGTAAATTAGGGGTATTATTAGTAAAACATGGGTGTGAAGTTGTGTTGTGGGTTCTAGAAGAAGATAGTGGAAAACAGATATGGTCGGACAAAGGTATAAGCGTAGGGTTAAGCTCATACGGCGAGATCGGGAAAGATATTCACATTGTTGGAATGACTGAAGCTGGTGAAATTGTGTTTTCGCCGTACAGTCAATCAAACCCTTTCTATCTTTTCTACTTCAAACTCGAGAGCAACACTTTTACAAAAGTCAATATTCATATGCAGGGGTTTGAAGAGTTTAAGGATCCAAATATCAGTCCTCACATCTTTCTAGACTATGCAGAGAATATGAAGCGTTTGCAAGTGTGCTCAGAACACGGCTGCTTTTGCAAGTGTGCTTCGTAACTTTAAGACCTCTATATGATATTGTTCCTCTTAACACAGCTGGTTTTTGCTATAAATTCTCAACACATTGCTATTTTTATTGGCTTTTAAGTAGATTTTCTTTGTCTTTTACTATTTTAACGAAAAAAAAGCTTTGTGTATGCTTTCTCTTTTTGTAAACGTGATCACACAAAATCAAAATCATTTGGGATTCGTGGAATCAACCAGACGCCAAAACATAACTATGACTTGTTGTTCCAGGGTACAAACGTTTGTCTTGCTTATGGTACCTCTGCTCAATCTCTTCATCGTCCTCTATTTCTTAATGGTTCTTCCGTCTTCGGTATCACGAGCTGGTAGTTTGGGCTAACCAGAAGAGAAAACATAACTACTATTGAGGAATGTCCAAAAAAAAAAATTACTTATTACGATCGCTGCTTAATTAATCCGACTGTCATACATATTTTTGTGTTGTTTGTGAAGTGATGAGTGGATGTTGGGCCTAATGAGGGTCCAACTATAAAAGCCTAATGTCATCTTTGGGATATTTGCCTTTCAATTCAGTTACTTGATATCCAAGGAAGGGCAAATAATCACTTTCTTTCGTCTAAAGTATAACCAAATTAGCAGGAGGATCATCTTTCTAGGGTTTTATCCGCCATGGAAAAACTTAAGCAAAAGAAGAAGAAAAAGGTCTCGGAGTCGGACCCGATCCCAACTGATCTCCTTATAGATATATTCTCACGAGTCCCCGGAAAGTCAATAGAGAGGTTTCGTTGCTTATCTAAATTCTGGAGATGCACACTTGGCCTTCCTTATTTCACTGAGTTGTTCCTCACCAGGTCTTTAGCTCGTCCACGGCTCTTGTTCGCCATCAAAGTCGATAAAGAGTTACTCTTCTTCTCTTCTCCTCAGCCTCATAATCCAGTTGACAACTCCACTCTTGTAGCCACCCGTTATCGGATGTACTTTCCCAAATATCTTCCATCTCGAGTGCATCCACCGCTCAGGGGATCAGTCTTTAACGAGCAGGTGATCTGTAACCCTGTCACGGGAGAGTCCATAACCTTACCCAAAGCGAATGTGATGGGTGAAAAAACAAGTTTTTTTGGCTATGATCCAATCAACAAACAGTTCAAAGTGTTGTGTATCAGGTCACGTTATGGTGGACGACCCAGAACTCAACGGGTATTGACATTGGGGACTGGAAAACTTAAATGGAGAAGGACGATGGAATGCGAACCCCATGGTGCTGGAATTGGTGAAATAGGCATAAACGGTGTTTTGTATTACAGAGCTTGCTCTATAGAATCTCCTCCTATGCTAGCTTGTTTTGACTTTAGCTCTGAGAAGTTCAGCTTTTTTCAGTTGCTACAAAGGTACTTTGGTCAACTACAAAGGTAACTTGGGGGTATTAGTAAAACATGGGTATGAAGTGGTGCTGTGGGTTCTTGAAGAAGATGGTGAAAAACATAAATGGTCCAAAAGTATAACCGTAGGGTTAAGCTCATACGACAAGATCGGGATCGAGTTTGACATTGCTGGAGTGACCAGTACAGGTGAAGTTGTGTTTTTGCCGTACTATAGATCAAACTCTTTCTACATTGTCTACTACAATATCGAGAGGAAAACTTTTGCGAGAGTCAGAATTCTGGGATTCGAACAGTTTCACCATGGTAAAAATATTCTCGTTAACCCCTTTCTAGACTATGTTGAGAATATGAAGCTTTTGGAAGACCGCTTCATTACTTGAGACTTTTTTTAAAAAAATTGTTGGATTTCAACACTTAGTGTGATATTGTTCCTCTTTAAAATTCAGTATCGAGAATATGCGAGAGCATTTTTTTTAAAAAAAAATTTCGTAATCTAGTTCATAATGAAATCAATCCAGTTAGAGTAATTATGTGAATCTCATGAAGAACAAGTAGCATAATATATCATTTTATTTTATTTTACAAACCCCAAAGAAGCGTCAAGTGTTGGGTCTATTTCTTTTCTTTACAGTTTCTGTTGTTCACTTAGAAATAAAATCAAAGAATTTTCATTATCTAGATAAAGAAGACCTTATTTTATGCCTTTTCATATATAAGCTACACAAACTGACTCTGATCATTAATAATTTATTCTCTTACATCTCATAGATGTACCTAACTAAAACATCGAAACAGGAAAGGTCGGAGAATAGACGGACTAAAAATATTTTACATGTAGCATACAAAACAATCATGTTCTTGGTAATGAAGGCAACTTATGTAACAACAAAGGGTTGTTGTTTAAGTCAAAATTAAGATTGATTCTCACATATCATTCACAATCAGCTACCATACATGAGACAGAAAACAACAAGGAATTGCCAACAATGCATATATATGTACAACTCCCTCGGAGCTTGGTTTAATCGGATTGAGGCATATTTCATCAAAGAAGAGTTCTTGTCGAAACTCTCTTTTTCAAGAAGAAACAAGGGAATGTGGACCATGATCTTATCTACACGACAACACCAAGATATGATATCTCAATGCACCAGGGTACGTACATAAATATTATCATCGCTCATATTCTTAACTCTGTGCTTCTTCTTGTGTATAGTGATAATTTCGTAATTAAGGAGACTCAAGTAATTATGATCGCTGCTCAATCAATCCAACGGTCATGCATATATTTGTGAGGAAGACATGATTGTGAGCTGATGAGGGGATATTGGGCCTAATGAGAGTCCATCTATAAAAGCCTAATATCATCTTTGGGATCTTTTTGCCTTTCAATTACGTTATACTTGATATCCAAGGAAGGGCAAAATAATCACTTTCTTTCGTCTAAAGTTAGGTCTAACCAAATTAGCAGGATCATCTAGGGTTTTGATCAGCCATGGAAAAACTGAAGCAAAAGAAGAAGAAGAAGGTCTCGGAGTCATACCAAATCCCATCTGATCTCCTTTTAGATATATTCTCTCGAGTCCCGGGAAAGTCAGTAGGTAGGTTTCGTTGCTTATCGAAATTCTGGAGATCAAAACTTGGCCTTCGTTATTTCACTAAGCTGTTCCGCACCAATTCTTTAGCTTGTCCACGGCTCTTGTTCTCCATCAGAGTTGATGAAAATTTATTATTCTTCTCTTCACCCCAACCTCAAAATCCAGTTGACAACTCTTCTCTTGTAGCAACCCGTTACCGGATGAAATTTCGCAAAAATCTTCCATATCGAGTGTCTCCACCGCTCAGTGGATCAGTCTTTCTTCATAGAAGGGGAAGAAAGGAGCGGGTGATCTGTAACCCCATCACGGGAGAGTCCATAACCTTACCCAAAAAGAAGGATTACTATGGTACAAGAAGTTTTTTTTGGCTATGATCCAATCAACAAAAAGTTCAAAGTGTTGTGTATGATTCTGTCACGTTATGGAGGAAGAGGAGCCAATACTCATTGGGTTTTGACATTGGGGACTCGAAAACTTAAATGGAGGAAAACGGTGAAATGCAAACAACATGAGGCTAGATATGGTGGAATAGGCATAAACGGTGTTTTGTATTACAGAGCTTACTATGTTCAATCTTCTATGATAGTTTGTTTTGACTTTAGCTCCGAGAAGTTCAGATTTGTTAAGTTGCATGAAGAAATGTCAGATGGGACTCTGATCAACTACAAAGGTAACTTAGGGTTATTAGTAAAACATGAGCGTGAAGTTGTGTTGTGGGTTCTTGAAAAAGATGGTGGGAAACATAAATGGTCCCAAAGTATAAGCGTAAGCATAAACGACGAGATCGGGATCCATTTTATCATTGTTGGAATGACCGGTGCAGGTGAAATTGTGTTTGTGCCGTACCATAGAGAAGACCCTTTCTACCTTGTCTACTACAATATCGAGAGGAACACTTTTGCGAGAGTCAATGGTCATATTCAGGGATCTGAAGAGTTTAAGAATCGTAAAATTCTCGTTACCACCTTTCTAGACTATGCTGAGAATATGAAGCTTTTGTAAGTGTGTGTTGCAACCGCTCGCTTCATAACTTTGGATTTTTTTTTATATTATGGGTTTAGTATTATGTTGGGTCGTTTTCTTTACAGCTAGGTTAACCAATAAATAAATCAAAGAGTTTTCGTTTTTCAGATTAATAAAGAGCTTATACATTTATCTTTATCTTTATATTATTAATTGAGAAGTACATTCTAATGTTTGGATACAAGAATTAGAGAAACATCTATTTGGATAGAAGAATAAATGGAAACAAAAGTTGTTTGGATATAAGAATAAGAGAAAAATCTATTTGGATAGAAGAATAAATGGAAAAAATTGTTTGGATACAAGAATAATAACTTAAAATAAACCGATGGTTTAGAAAACTTCCGTTTTCCATCTCTTAAAAATCTGCAAAAAAGAAAACTTAACATAATCTAACGATAATTCCAAATCAATAGAATATGCTTTTTGGATTTTCGGGTTTTTATAGACAAGTTCGGGTTTGGGTGAAAATCTGAGACATAATTTTATAGAGATATATATAGAGATATAGAAATTGTTCGGGTTTCTTTGAAAATTTCTGTTCGGGTTAGGTTCAATTTTTTTTTTCAGTTTAGGGTTTTCCGGATTTTTTAGATTTCTGGTTTTCGGGTTTAGATATATTAAAAAAATTGAGTATTTTAAAATTTTGATTAGGTATTGGGGTCGGGTTCCGGGTGAAAAAGTTTCCAGATTTTTTTTCAGTCAGGGTTTTCGGGATTTTTTTTCCGGATGTTTTGATTAGGGTTTTTTGTCGGGTTCGGATTTAGGGTTTAAATTTTCTACACAAAACAACAACGTCACACCGCACAAACGTGCGGGTACTCTACTAGTATTATTAATTGAGAAGTACATTCTAATGTTTGGATACAAGAATTAGAGAAACATCTATTTGGATAGAAGAATAAATGGAAACAAAAGTTGTTTGGATATAAGAATAAGAGAAAAATCTATTTGGATAGAAGAATAAATGGAAAAAATTGTTTGGATACAAGAATAATAACTTAAAATAAACCGATGGTTTAGAAAACTTCCGTTTTCCATCTCTTAAAAATCTGCAAAAAAAAAACTTAACATAATCTAACGATAATTCCAAATCAATAGAATATGCTTTTTGGATTTTCGGGTTTGGGTGAAAATCTGAGACATAATTTTATAGAGATATATATAGAGATATAGAAATTGTTCGGGTTTCTTTGAAAATTTCTGTTCGGGTTAGGTTCAATTTTTTTTTTCAGTTTAGGGTTTTCCGGATTTTTTAGATTTCTGGTTTTCGGGTTTAGATATATTAAAAAAATTGAGTATTTTAAAATTTTGATTAGGTATTGGGGTCGGGTTCCGGGTGAAAAAGTTTCCAGATTTTTTTTGTTCAGTCAGGGTTTTCGGGATTTTTTTGATTTCGGATTTTCATGTTTAGACCTATTAAAAAAGTTTGGGTTTTTAAATTTTTTGATTAGGGTTTTTTGTCGGGTTCGGATTTAGGGTTTAAATTTTCTACACAAAACAACAACGTCACACCGCACAAACGTGCGGGTACTCTACTAGTACCTTATATTTGAGCTATGAAAAGTTGAAAACTGACTCTCTGATGATTAATAAATGATTCTTTTACATCCTCTCTCTACATATATATTGATTGCATACATAACATTTATAAATTTTCTTACTTATTTGGGTCGTTTAAAGAGATGGAAAAAGATCCTTTTGAGTAGTTTGGCTTGGAAGCTCTGATGTTTGTTGTTGCTGAGATGTCAAAAACATGTCAATAACGTGCCAACAAAGCTACACTTAGGGAAGAGGATGTTGGAATATGTTTTCATTTTCTGTGTTGAATTAGTCAGTGATGGAGCTGAAACAGTTTAAAAGAATCAAATCAAACCATTTAGAACCTAATAATCCTCTAATGATGGCAGACCATTTAGGCCTTAATTTTCATCAAAAGATAAGACGAGCCTGAGTCATCCGACAAAGTCAAGGCCTCCCTGACTGTTTCAGAGAATCCAAAAAAACAAAACCCTTCAAAGATGTCACAATCCCATCGAAACGATTCATGAGTACAACAACAACAACATTCCATTACAAGTTACTACGATTCAAACCAAACTAAGATCTCACACCCAAACCAAGCGTTTCAGAAACGACAACGCTGAGTCATCATCAAATCTCAACCAGACGCGAAGACATAACTGACTTGGATGTGATCTCAAATCAATCATTTTCTGTGCTTTGTGCGTTTGTTGTTGGGCCTAAAAAGAGTCAACCTTTGGATCCAAACTGGTGAGTAACATTGGGCCTCGATATCTTTGGGATCGTTGCCTTTATATTCAGTTACTTGATATCCAAGAAAAGTCACCTTCTTTCGTCTAACCTAATTAGGATCTAGGGTTTAACCGGCCATGGAAAAGCTGAAGCAGACGCAGAAGGATGTCCCGGATCCGATTCCATCTGATCTCCTTATAGATATATTCTCTAGAGTCCCGGGAAAGTCAGTAGGTAGGTTTCATTGCTTATCTAAATTCTGGAGATCCACACTTGGCCTTCCTTATTTCACTGAGCTGTTCTTCAGTAAGTCTTTAGCTAGTCCACGGCTCTTGTTCTCCGTCAGAGTTGATAAAAAGTTATTCTTATTCTCTTCACCCCAACCTCATAATCCAGGTGATAACTCTTCTCTTATAGCCACCCGTTATAAGTGCTTTCCCAAATATTTTCAGTCTCGAATCTCTCCTCCGCTCAATGGATTAGTCTTAAATAATGACCAAAAGTGAATGCCAAGGGTACTGAAACAATCTCTTTGGGCTATGATCCGATCAACAAACAGTTTAAGGTCTTCTGTACGAATCGGTCACGTTCTGGAGGACGACCCTATACTCACCATTGGGTTTTGACATTGGGGACTGGAAAACTTATATGGAGACCAACGATGGAATGCGAACCCCATCATGCTGGATATGGTGAAATATGCATAAACGGTGTTTTGTATTACGGAGCTTACTTTGAAGGATCTTATATGATGGTCTGCTTTGACTTTACCTCTGAAAAGTTCAGATTTGTTAAGATGCATGAAGAAACGTTATCTGTGTCTGTGAATATGATTAGGACTCTGATCAACTACAAAGGTAACTTAGGGTTGCTAGTAATACATGGGAATGAAGTTGTGTTGTGGGTTCTTGAAGAAGATGCTGGAAACCATAAATGGTCCAAAAGTATATGCGCAGCGGGTCTTACAAGCTTCTTATCCGAGAGGATCCGGAACAAATTTTACGTTGTTGGAATGAATGGTGCAGGTGAGATTGTGCTTTCCACGTACGATCAGTCAAACCCGTTATACATTGTCTACTACAATATCGAGAAAAACACTTTTAAAGAAGTCCAAATTATGGGATTTGAAGAGTTTCAGCATGGTAAAAATATTGTCGTTAGCACCTTTCTAGACTATGTTGAGAATATTAAGCTTGTGTAAGTGTGTTTGATTTTTCAAGTTATGGATTTCAACTCTTATGATATTGTTCCTCTTTTAAGATTTGTATGGATTTCAATATCGAGAATATGCTACATTCGTTTTTAAATTACTACATCAAAGAATTCGTTTTTTTTCTTTCTTTCTTTTTCCGTGATCTAGTTAAAATATCGAATCAATACTGTGGATAAAAAAAAACACAATAAAGCGTCAAGTGTTGGAAAAAGCTCAGAGACATACAACTTGGAATCTCCTCGGAGTGGATATTGGGCTAACATAAATGAGGGTCCATCTATAAAAACCTAACATAATATTTGGGATCTTTGCCTTTAAATTACGTTACTTGATATCCAAGGAAGTAACCTAATTAGCAGGATCATCTAGGGTTTTAACGCCATGGAAAAACTGAAGCAGAAGAAGAAGAAGGTCTCGTATTCATACGAAATCCCATATGATCTCCTTTTAGATATATTCTCTCGAGTCCCGGCAAAGTCAATAGCTAGGTTTAGTTGCTTATCTAAATCATGGAGATCAAAACTTGGCCTTCCTTATTTCACTGAGCTGTTCCTCACCAAGTCTTTAGCTCGCCCACGGCTCTTGTTCGCCATCAAAGATAATGAAGATTTATTCTTCTTCTCTTCACCTCAACCGCAGAATCCAGTTGACAAGTCTTCTCTTGTAGCCACCCGTTATCGGATGAACTTTCCCAAATATCTTCCATCTCGAGTGTGTCCACCGCACAGTGGATTGGTCTTTCTTCATAGCAGGGGAAGAAAGGAGCGGGTGATCTGTAACCCCGTCACGGGAGAGTCCATAACCTTACCCAAAGTGTATGCGAGGGGTGTTAAAAGATGTTTTTTGGGGTATGATCCGATCAACAAACAGTTCAAAGTCTTGTGTACGACTCGGTCACGCTATGAAGGAAGATCCGAAACTTATTGGGTTTTGACATTGGAGACTGGAAAACTTATATGGAGAAGGACGATGGAATGCATACCCCATACTGATGGATATGGTGAAATATGCATAAACGGTGTTTTGTATTACAAAGCTCACATTGATGGATCTTCTTGTGTGATAGTTTGTTTTGACTTTAGCTCTGAGAAGTTCAGCTTTATTAAGTTGCATGGAAAAATGCTACATGGGACTTTGATCAACTACAAAGGTAACTTAGGGGTATTAGTATAACATGAGCGTGAAGTTGTGTTGTGGGTTCTTGAAGAAGATGCTGGAAAACGTAAATGGTGCAAAAGAATAAGCGTGCTGTTAAGCTTACACGACAAGCTCGGGATCAATCTTGACAAAGTTGGAATGACCGGTGCTGGTGAAATTGTGTTTGTGCCGCCGTACCGTAAACCAGACCTTTTCTACATTGTCTACTACAATATCGAGAGGAAAACTTTTGCGAGAGTCAATATTGATATTCACGGATCTGAAGAGCTAAAGGATCGTACATTTGTCGTTACCACCTTTCTAGACTATGTTGAGAATATGAAGTTTTTGTAAATATTGTTCTCAACCGCTCGCTTCAGCCTAATGGGAATTTTTTTGTTGGGTGTATTTCTATACAGTTGCTGTTGTTCACTATGAAATTAATCAAAGAGTTTTCATTTTTCAGATTAAGAAAGAGCTTATTCGTTTATACCATATATATGACCTTTGAAAACTGACTCTCTCTGATCATTTATAATTTGATTAAGAACCGCTCAATGTGTTTTCGATTTTTTCAGATTAAGAAAGAGCTTATTTATTTATACACCTTAGATATATATGAGCTATGAAAACTGACTCTCTCTCTCTCTGATCATTTATAATTGATTCTCTTACAAATCTCACTACGTAACACTAGAAAGTTTTCTTACTTATTTGGGTCGTCTAGAGAGAGGGAAAGAGATCATTTACATGATGCATACAAAACAATCATGTTCTTGGTAATGCATGCAACTTATGTAACTACAAAGGGACTGTTGTTTAAAAGTCAAAATTAAGATTGATTCTCACATATCATTCACAATCAGCTACCATGAGACAGAAAACAGCAACGAATTGACAACAATGCATATATGTACAACTCCCTCGGAGCCGGAGGTGGCTGTGAGAAGCCGAAATAATCTCGAGGAGCTTGGTTTAATCGGATGAGGCATATTTCATCAAAGAAGGATTCTTGTAACTAAGTCTCAAATTCAAGAAATTCCCTTCTTCAAGAAGAAACAAGGTTATGTGGATCATCTTATCTACACCAAGATATGATATCTCAATGTACCAAGGTACGTTCGTTTGCTCATTATCATCCTCATATTCTTAACTCTGTGATTTTGTCTTGTGTATAGTGTTGGTTTCGTAATTAAGGAGATTAAAGTACTTATGATCGCTGCTCAATTTAATCCAACGGTCAGCATATATTTTTGAGGAAGACATGATTGTGAGCTGATGAGTGGATGTTGGGCCTAATGAGGGTCCATCTGCAAAAACCTAATATCTTCTTTGGGATCTTTGACTTTAAATTTCGTTACTTGATATCCAAGGAAGGGAAAATAATCACTTTCTTTCGTCTAAAGTTAGGTATAACCAAATTAGCAGGATCATCTAGGGTTTTATCAGCCATGGAAAAACCGAAGCAGAAGAAGAAGAAGAAGAAGAAGGTCTCGTACTCATACCAAATCCCATCTGAGCTCCTTTTAGATATAGTCTCTCGAGTCCCTGCAAAGTCAATATTTAGGTTTCGTTGCTTATCTAAATTCTGGTCATCCACACTTGGCCTTCCTTATTTCACTGAGTTGTTCCTCACCAGGTCTTTAGCTCGTCCACGGCTCTTATTCACCATCGAAGTTGGTAAAGAGTTATTCTTCTTCTCTTCTCCTCAGCCTCATAATCCAGTTGACAACTCCACTCTTGTAGCCACCCGTAATCGGATGAACTTTAAATATCTTCCATCTCGAGTGTCTCCCCCGCTCAGTGGAGCAGTCTTTCTTCATAGAGAGGGAATAAATGAGCCGGTGATATGTAACCCCGTGACGGGAGAGTCCTTAACCATAACATTACCCAGAGGGAAGGATAACGGTACTAAAACAAGTTTTTTTGGCTATGATCCAATCAACAAACAGTTCAAAGTTTTGTGTATTAGATCACGTTATAGTGGACGACCCAGAACTCATCGGGTTTTGACACTGGGGAATGGAAAACCTGTATGGAGACCAACGATGAAATGCGAACCCCATGGTGCTGGATATGGTGAAATATGCATAAACGGTGTTTTGTATTACAGGGCTTGCTCTATAGCATCTCCTCGTATGCTAGCTTGTTTTGACTTTAGCTCTGAGAAGTTCAGCTTTGTTACGTTGCTTAAAAAAATGGTGCGTGGGACTTTAATCAACTACAAAGGTAACTTAGGCGTATTAGTAAGACATGGGTGTGAAGTTGTCTTGTGGGTTCTTGAAGAAGATGCTGGAAAACCTAAATGGTCCAAAAGGATAACCATACTGTTAAGCTTACACGACGAGATCGGGATCCATTTTAACATTGTTGGAATGACCGGTGCTGGTGAAATTGTGTTTAGGCCGGACCATAGACCAGACCCTTTCTTCCTTGTCTACTACAATATCGAGAGGAACACTTTTGCGAGAGTCTATATTCACATTCCCGGATCTGAAGAGTTTCACCATCGTTCAGTTTTCATTAACACCTCTCTAGACTATGTTGAGAATATGAAGCTTTTGTATCAACCGCTCGCTTCATAACTTCGAGACTTATTTAAATTATGGATTTCAGCCTAATGGGAATTTTTTGTTGGGTGTATTTCTTTACAGTTGCTCTTGTTCACTATGAAATAAATCATAGAGTTCTCATATTTCAGGAAGAGCTTATTTATTTATACGCCTTAAATATGAGCTATGAAATCTGACTCTCTCTGATCATTAAATAATAACTAGGAGAGAACCCGCGCAATGCGCGGGTTTATTAAACCAAATATTTTTAATTTAATTATTCAGAACATTAGATTCGAATATATCATTTGTTTTTTACTCGAATATATTAGATTCTGTAAGTTTTGCATTTTGTTTTTTTTCATATAGTTTTAAAATTTAGTTGTTATTTACGTGAAATCTTATATAGACTCATAGTGAATAGTTTCATATGTTTTTTGTTCTTTTATACAATAATTTATCGACTGGAGTTGAGTTCTTCTAATTTTCCTTATACTAACAATCATTATAGATTGATTATTATCCTACAGACTCATAGATAATAATAATTGCAACCCTTTTTAAAAGGAAATGAAATGAGCTAATTAGCCAGTAAGCCCATTTAAAGCTACCATGGAAACGAAGAGGTCCGATAAATAATCAAGCCTATCAAAACGAACAACATTACACATAATTTTGATTTAGATTTTTTTTTTTTTTTACGAAAACGACGTCGTTTTGGTGTAAGACGAAAAAAAAAATAAAGCGCAAAACGACGTCGTTTTGGTGTTAAAAAAAAAAAAAAAAAAAAAAAAAAGAGTGCCACGTGTCAAAGCTTGAGAGTGTCCAAGCCTTATTAGTTATGTAAATTGATTCTTTTACATCCTCTCTAGTTTCTACATAATTGATTCTTTTAAATCTAAACTGAGAAAATTATTATTTTTTAGTTCATTTTGGAGAATTGCCTCAATTATAATTATACTAGTTAGTTGTTCAGGGTACGTACGTTTGCTCATCATCATGGCTCATATTCTCGACTCTGTTTATTTATTTATTATTATTTTTTTTTTTTGAGAAAATATTCTCGACTCTGTTGCATTGTGTTGTTATGGTGTTGGGTTTATGCTCGATCGCAGCTCAATCAAATCCAACGGTCATAAATTTTTTGGGATATATTAGGCCCAATAGCCGTATGGAAAATTGGAAGTGATCGAAGGATTTGTATATTTGTGAGGTGGTGAGGGTATATTGGGCGTAATATATTTGGGATCGTGCCTTTAAATTCAGTTACGTGATATCGAAGAAAAAAAACTCACTTTCTTTCGTCTAAAGTCTAACCTAATCAAGATATAGGGTTTAATCTGCCATGAAAAAGATGAAGCACGAGAAGGTTTCGGATCCGATCCCAACCGAAATCCTTATAGATATATTCTCTCGAGTCCCCTGGAAGTCAGTAGGTAGGTTTCGTTGCGTATCTAAATTCTGGAGATCCACACTTGGCCTTCCTTATTTCACAGAGCTGTTCCTCGTTAACTCTTTAGCTCGTCCACGGATCTTATTTTCCGTAGAAGTTGATGGAGACTTTTTGTTCTTTTCTTCACCTCAACCTCAAAATCCAGCTAACAACTCTTCTCTTGTAGCCACCCGTTATAAGTGTTTTCCCGAATATTTTCCATATCGAGTCTGTCCTCCGCTCAATGGATTGGTCTTGCTTCATGAACAGTTGATCTATAACCCCGTCACGGGAGAGTCCATTACCATAAACTTACCAATAGTGATAGCGATTGGTATTAGAAAAAGCTTGTTTGGGTACGATCCGATTAACAAACGATTCAAAGTCTTGTGTACGACTTGCAAGAGGTCACCTTATGAAGAATCTACTACTCATCACGTTTTTTCACTGGGGAGTAGTGGAGAAGTTATACGGACAAGGACGATGGAAACCGAACCCTATGATGCTGGATATGGTCAAACATGGATAAATGGTGTTTTGTATTACCGAGCTAGTGTTGAAAGAGGTTGTGTGATAGTTTGCTTTGACTTTAGCTCTGAGAAGTTCAGCTTTATTGAGATAGACAAAGCCATGAAAGGTGGGACTCTGGTCAACTACAAAGGTAAACTAGGGGTATTAGTAAAACAGCGGTGTGAAGTTGTGTTGTGGGTTCTAAAGAAGATGCTCGAAACCATAAATGGTCCCAAAGTGTACGCGTGGTGTTAAACATACACGACGAGAATCTTGGCATTGTTGGAATGACCGGTGCTGGTGAAATTGTGTTTTCTAGTGAATTTAAGTTTTCTCGGTATGACAGACCAAACCCTTTCTACCTTGTCTACTACAATATCGAGAGGAAAACCTTTGCGAGAGTCAATATTCATATTCAAGGATCTGAAAAGTTTCGGAATGGTATACATTTCGGTTCCACTTTTCTAGACTATTTTGAGAATATGAAGCTTTTGTAAGTTTAATTGTTCTCAACCGCTCGCTTCATAACTGTGAGACCTCTCTATGATATTGTTCCTCTTAAGATTGTATGGATTTCAACTTTATAATACAGCTTGGTTTTTGCTCTAATTTCTCAACAACATTATTAGTTTGGCATCTTTGCAACTTCAGCCTAATGGAAATCTTATTTTGGTTCTATTTCTTTTCAGTTTTTCAGATTAAGAAAGAGCTTAAATAATTTATACACCTTAAATATGAGCTATGAAAACTGACTCTCTCTCTCATCATTAATAATTGATTCTCTTATACAAATCTCTCTACATGACACTAGATTGTTATTTAAAAGTCAAATTTAAGATTGATTCTCACATATCATTCACATCAAGGAACTGACTACAATGCATATATATGTAGTACAACTCCCTCGGAGCTTTGTTTAAACGGATTGAGGCATATTTCATCAAAGAAGGATTCTTATCGAAACTCTCTTCTTCAAGAAGAAACAAAGTAATCTGGTATGTGGATAGATCATGATCTTATCTACACGACTACACCAAGATATGATATCACAATGTACCAAGGTACGTACGTTTTTGCTCATTAAGGAGATTAAAGTACTTATGATTGCTGCTCAATTAATCCAACGGTCAAACATATATTTTTGAGGAATACATGATCGTGAGCTGATATGAGTGGATATTGGGCCTAATGAGGGTCCATCTATAATTGATTCTCTTCCAAGGAAGGGCAAAATAATTACGTTACGTTAATTGATTTTGTTTTTTTTCGTCCAAAGGTAGGTGTAACCAAATTAGTAGGATCATCTTCTAGGGTTTTATCAGCAGCCATGGAAAAACTGAAGCAAAAGAAGAAGAAGAAGAAGGTCTCGTACTCATACCAAATCCCATCTGATATCCTTGTGGATATATTCTCGCGAGTCCCTGCAAAAGTCAAAATTTAGGTTTCGTTGCTTATCTAAATTCTGGTCATCCACACTTGGCCTTCCTTATTTCACTGAGCTGTTCCTCACCATGTCTTTAGCTCGTCCACGGCTCTTGTTCGCCTTCAGAGATGGCAACGAAATAATATTTTTCTCTTCAATTCAACCTCAAAATCCAGTTAAGAACTCTTGTCTTGTAGCCACCCGTTATCAGAGGTACTTTCCCAAATATTTTCCATGTCAAGTCTATCCTCCACTCCGTGGATTAGTCTTTCTACATACTCTGGGAGGAATGGAGCGGGTGATATGTAACCCCGTGTCGGGAAAGTCCATTACCATAACCTTACCAGAAGTGATAGCTAGGAGTAGTGGAAGAAGAGGCTATTTTGGCTATGATCCGATCAACAAACAATTCAAAGTCTTGTGTCATACTTATGGAGAACTAGAAACCAATGATAGCCAGGTTTTGACATTGGAGACTGGAAATCTTATATGGAGAAGGACGATGGAATGCAAACCCCATTCTAAAGGATATGGTGAAATATGCATAAATGGTGTTTTGTATTACAAAGCTCACATTGACGGATCTTCTCGTATGATAGTTTGTTTTGACTTTAGCTCTGAGAAGTTCAGCTTTTTTAAGATACATGAAGACCTGGTACGTGGGACTCTGGTCAACTACAAAGGTAAGTTAGGGGTATTAGGAAAAGATAAGTATCAACTTATGTTGTGGGTTCTTGAAGAAGATGCTGGACTTATGTTGTGGGTTCTCGAAGAAGATGCTGGAAACCATAACTGGTGCAAACGTATAAGCGTGGAGTTAAAAACATGCGACGGAATCGTGAACAATCTCTACGTTGTTGGAATGACTGGTGCAGGTGAAATTGTGTTCTCTCCCAACTCTAGACCAAACCCTTTCTACATTGTCTACTCCAATATCGAGAGGAAAGCTTTTACAAGAGTCTATATTCAGGGATTTGAAGAGTTTCTTGAGCGCCGTTCAATTTTCAGTCACATCTTTGTAGATTATGTTGAGAATTTTAAGCTTTTGTAAGTGTGTGTGGTCAACTACTAGGTTACTTGAGACTTTATAAATTATAGATTTCAACACTTATGAATTATGATATTGTTCCTCTTTTTAAGATTTGTATGGATTTCAAGTTTTCAACATCGAGCTTAATTATGGATAACTGACTCTGATCATAAATAAATAAGTGATTCTCTTACAATTCTTTCTACATACATATTGATACACAACATTTTATAAGTTTTCTTACTTATTTGGGTCGTCTAGAGAGAGGGAAAGAGACCCTCTGAGGAGTCTGGCTTGGAAGCTCTGCTGTCTGTTGTTGTTGTTGCTGCTGAGATGACTCTGCAGGATCTGTCATCTCTTCATCATCGTCCTCTGTTTCTTCAGGTTCCGTTGACGCTGACTTCTTCGGTATCACCAGCTGGTAGTTCGGGCTAATCAACGTGTCCTGCTCAGGTGGGAGTGGAACGCCCGGTCCTGCTATCGATTTCGGCAACGGGATCTTGTTCCTGCTCGCAGCCAATTCAAGAAGTACCTACAAACCCAAAAACATTGAATCACATAAACCATCTTCTTGAATCTTGGCAATGCAACATATGTGGCAAAAGAAGCTGACAAAGAAAGGATGATGATTGATTGATGACAATGGCAAGACATACCTCTCTTGGAGGAGGCTGAGAGAAGCTGAAGTTAACTTTGGATTGGATAGCGAGCTTCACGTCGTCACAGTCGATTGTAGATTTGCTGGCGTGCTCTGAGTAAACCTGAGCATCTGTCAACACTTCGACGACGTAACGGTACCAAAGTTCGAGAAACTGGTGCATCACGCGAGGCTCGTAGTCTTCCACACCCATTGACTTAAGTAGAGATTTCACAATCTTAGCGTCTCTTGGTAGATCTTCTTCACCTCCTTCTCCAGCCATTTTTTTCACTGTACAGTGATATAGAGAGAGGCCAATACTCAATGGTTAAAGCTACATTAAACAATTAAGCACCTTTCTTCCACAGATTTGAGATTTTGCGAAAACACAAGCTTCAATCGAATCTCACAAGCACTAAACGATAAATTTCACGCATAATTTGAATTCGAGAAGGAAATGTTAATCAACTAATCGCAGAAAGTGATAATTAAGGAAATTTCTGCAAGCTTCAAGGGCACGAAGAAAATTTTGAGCTCAAATATCAACGAGACAAGGATTAGAGACTCGCGGAATCCGAGAGAACACGAGATTCTATGCCCTAGATCGCAAAAAGATCAAAAATGATCAGGTGTAAACTACAGAGACGCGATAGATACCTAGCACGAGACAGAGACGGAGGAGAGCTGCAGAAACACGACGGAGATTGATCAACGGCGGCGAGTGATGTCTCTCTCTCTCTCTCGGTGAGAAAAATAGATCTAATTGTTTGTAAATCTGTTCTAACATTGAGGGTAAAACTGGAATATAACAGCACGTTGGGCCAAATGGGTCTTCAATTTATAAAATTTTAACTTTTGGCCCATTAAAGACCCAAATTAGAATGACCGTCGTATGTGTGTATATATCTTCAAATACCGACAATAGCCCTCACTTTTCCCGTTTTCGTCGTCCGTGTGGACTTTGTGTGACATTTACCATTATGTCCTCGCCGGAGCGTGCAGCCCTCTCCCTTTTGACCGACATCGCTCTCTCCTTCGACGGAGCCATCCTCGGATTAACCCTAGCTTACGGCGCCGTCCGTTCTGTCCTCAACTACGCTTCTAACTCCGCCGCGTTGAACAAAATCAAAGACGCCCCCGAAGTCTCCATTTCCGACCTCCGATCACTGATTCCGGCATCTGAAGACCAATCCGGGACTCGCGATCACGTCGGGAACAGCCATGATCAGCGAATCGTTGTGGTTCGCGGGACCGTCAAACCTAAACCTTCCGGTGATTGGAGTCACAAGAACAACAACGTGCTCATCTCTCCCGAGACTGGAGATAAAGCTCTTATCATTCAGAGAACTCAAACTGTACGTATACATAACAATGGCCCTTTACGAATTACAACTCAATTTTGAAATTTTGTTGCTCTAAAGTGATTAACTTTCTTCATAATTTAGCTGATTGTTTAGGTAATTGTAGTTGATACTGCTTAGAAGAAGCTTAATTAATGTCATCTTTTTGGTTCGATTTGATCACAGTATATGTATAGTGGATGGAAGACTTTATTCCAGTGGACACATACTCACAGGCTTCTTTTGGAAAGATCAATGCCGAAACAAGGAGCTGATTTGATGAGAATGGTGAAGTCTGCTTACTCTCTTTCCATGATCAAACACAAGTTTTGATTGATATATGTATCAATGTATGTATCGTCTTGTGCAGGTTCCATTTGTTATTGTGGAGAAGAATCAACAACCGGAGTCTGGTTTTCTGGTTGTTAACATGGATGGCTCAAGGCAACCTCTTCCGCTTACCACTGTGTATAATCGTTTGCAGCCTATTAGTTCATCTCCAAGTGCGTTTCTTCAAGCCTTGTTCTTCCCTGAGTATCCTGTGAGTATAGGAAATTTTCTGTTTTTGAGGGATCAATAGTTTTACTTGTTCTTGGCTTATTTCATTCCTGACTTTGGTGATTTTTCATCATCTTCCAAGGTTGGTCTGCTTGATGTAGAGAAGATTTTACCACCTGGGAGAGATTTAACAGCTGTTGGCGTCTGTAGTTTTAACGATGGAGTTCCTGAAATCAAGTCATGCCAAGATCTTCCCTACTTCTTGTGAGATTTGAAAACCGTTACAACATTATCTTCTTCCTTTTCAAAACTTGGTCAATTGTTGCAACAAGCTTCTATAAATCTTTTTGAAATCTTTGCAGATCGGAGATGACAAAGGAGAAGATGATAGTGGACCTTACGGACAGCAACAGAGTAATGTTCTGGAGCGGTGTTATCATGGGATGTTTGTCTGTTGGCATCCTTGGCTTTGCTGCTCTCAGGTACTGAAGAAGTGAGGATTCAGATGAAGTTTTGGGTTTTAAGCAATGCTTTTATCTTAAAACCTGTTTACATATATATTCAGGACCTGGAAGAAATGGAGACAAAGGAACCATGAAAGAGGATATGTACTGAGACCAAGCCAGCCAGAACCATTAGTCAATGATGAGACGGAAGAAGATGCTGATGAGATTGCAGATGGAGATTTGTGTGTGATCTGCGTGACGAGGAGGAGAGTTCCTGCGTTTATACCCTGTGGACATGTTGTGTGTTGCAGGCAGTGCGCTCTAACCGTGGAACGAGAGCTAAACCCGAAATGTCCGGTTTGTCTCCAGAGCATTAGAGGATCTATGCGTGTATATTACTCTTGATGAATCTAATATCTAATGTCATTTGTGAGTATTTGATGATAATGATAGGGTAATGTCAATTTGTATTTTGTAGTTTCAGAGAATCGGGAAATATTTCAAATTAACAAAATAGTTTGACAATGATTTATAAGGTTCTTCTTCCCATATAGAGTAATATTGCAGAGAATGAAAGAAAGCAGAGTTTTAAAAGGCAGAAACTTTGTAACAGAAGCAAATAACAATTCTTAGCCAAGGATGACTTCCCGTTTCGCCGGAGTTCTTCTCCCGGAGCAAGATTCTTCTCAAGTCCCTGACATGAGAGCTGAGACATGGTGTGTTGATGGATACCCTGAGAATCTGAACTGTGGGTTTTGGAACATGTTGTTGTTATGGTTTGAATTGGAGCTAGAGCCAATGCCGATTCCACCACCGCGAGGGCTCTCAGAGAAATCGTGTCCATTTGCCGCCATTTGAGAAGAACAGAGTAAGTTTGAGGATGATTCTTGAAGCTTCTTTGTATTGAGGAAACGCCCACCAGAGCCTCTAGCTCTCTTTAAAGCATGAAGATGGCGAGATTCATGAAGGTACGGCTGCACACAAAATGAAAGAAGAAGACTTTGTTATTGCATCGAATCATCAAGAACTTATGGTGTTATAAGCAATAAAGGCTCATACTTTACGGCTTTTGATGAGTTTGTTCTGAGCTTCGAGCTTAGCACGATGCTTCCTGCGACGCAGAATCGCATGGTACTGTTTGGCATTGACGAATATCGGTTCGTTCTCTTGGATGTTATGAGGTAATGGTACTCTAGAAGAAACCAAACTCATCATCTCTAAATGTGGCAGCATCTGCAAAATGTTTTCCCAGTTAAACCCTCTTAAGATTAACAAAATTTGCCAAAAAAACACAAGGCGTTACGGTATAGATACATTACCGTTGGTTGAGATGCATATTCAGGAGCCAAGAAACCATTGAAATGTGATGTTTCAGGACATTGAAGAGACCAAGATGTTTGACCAGAAGTAGGAGGAGGAAACACTGAATCTTGAGACACCATTGACGAGGTGGTGGTTGACTTTGTATAACTTTCAATACGCTTTCGAGGGTTTTCAATGTAACCTGCATCAAATCAAAACACAAGAAGAAAGAGAAAGATTTAGCGGTTTTTTAAAGTAATGTGACTTGAAATGTTTCAAATCAGCTTTATTTGTTTAAACCTGAAAGATTGGTATTAACAAATGTTTCAACTTCACCGCCGCCTGATTCTCCGGTAGATTGTGTTGAGGATGAATCTTGATCTTGCAACTGCATACCAGAATGTCTCATCACCGAGAAGTTTGTAGAGATCATCATGTTCTTTGTCATGATGAAAGTTTCAGATCCTTGAATGTTTGTGTTTGTTGTTGGCATTGGCATTGAGTTTCCCCAAGAAGATCGAGACGAGTCCTTCCTTTGGAACACTTGCATTGTCTTCTTCTTCACTTCAATAAGCTAAATAATGTCCAAACCAAGCAATGCCAGTCATATAATGAATATTACATCAATATTTTGTTCATGATCCACAAATCCAACAATTCTAAAGAGATAAATGAATCCAGAAATTTTATAAAACCATCCTAAATAATCCAGATTCTCTGTTTAATCAGACAGTAAGATTAAGACAAAAAATATTAAAACTTTGAAAAAAAGCAAATTTGGGTTAAACAGATTGATTCACTTAAAACTTACATAGAAGTGATAACATGCAAACCAACAGATATTCAAAAGCTTTTCACTAAGACTGAAAAGAGAAACTAAATTAACAGATTAGATTATTAAGTAATTAACTCAAATTTCTTGTGGTCTCATCTTTCATGCGAATCAAGTAGAAATCAAATCTCTTTGAATTTTTACTGATCCAAGCAAACAAAGAGAAAAGTGGGCATAGAGAACGCAAACAAAATCTCTCGCTCATCACTAAGAAAATGGTTTTTAAAGAAAAAATAAATTTGATCATCTGGAGTAAAAATAGAGCAACCAAATCATTGACACAGTACCGAAGAAACTAAGCGAACAAGAGAGAGATAGAGAGAGAAAAGAGAGACCTTTGGTGTGTGGATTTGGTAAAAGATGGAGAGAAAGAGAAGTTAAGTAACAAGCTTGAGATGATGATGCATGTCTCCTTCCTCAAAACATGGCTGTTTTTTTCTCTCTCTATATCTTTCTCTCTCTTCCTCTGTCTCTGCAAAATGCAAATAGTGTATTATTGGCTATGGCTTAAAAGACTAAACCTGACTCTTTTCACTTTTATTTTTTATAATGTTTTTTCTTTGCTCTACACAGAAGACGATTTTATACACACACAAATTAGCTAAATGTTTCCATTTCTAAATCTTTTGCCAGTTAACAAATGTTTGGTCAATTTTGCTTATATCTTTATTTGTTTACATTAACTATGATCTAAAATTAAAATGTAGCTAATTTAACCTGTCATGGAGTATTATTTATTTACATTGAATATCATTAAAAATTAAATTTGTTAGTTGAAATATATATATTTGGGATATAAACTATGATACCTAAGTAAAGTTTTAAATTTCATTTTGTGGAAGATATTTGAATACGTTGGAAATTTGCTAAACAGAAAAGGAAAATGTTTTTTTTTTGGTTTTTTGGTAAAGACAGAAAAATGAAAATGTAAAATATATGTACCTTACCTTTGATTCTCTTTCTTTTTTAAGAACGTTTGTTTTTAAAAGCAAAAGTTTAAGTGGAAGGTTGTCAACATCTCTTTATGGTGCAATCAATATTGCATTTAAGCGAATAATTTTAAATATTTTAATTTTGTAGTTGGGGTAATTGAAATTTATTGCAAGTCAAGCAAAGAGAAGAGCCCTTTTTCAGTTTTCTTTTTCACATTTCTTGATGCAGCTTCCCCAACACAAGCGACGAATCGTAATTTGGTAGTTTCTGCTCCATCTCTCTACATTTAATCCACATCTCTGAATAGTAACTACAACAGAAAAACATACAAAAAATAGAGAAAAAAGGAAAGAAAATAACTATCGGAACATTTCCATTTTTAGATGAATTATAGTTCAACGAATTGGAGAGATACTTCCATAAAATGAGACTAGTGTAGTATTGTGTACAATGTATTATAATGTGCTATGAAGAAACTTTTTGCTACGTACATCCTTATTACTTTAGAAAAAAAAATAAGAAATGGGTAGCTATCATGCTTCCGATGAGACAGGTGTTAACTCAAAATATTTTAATATTATCGAGGGAATCTGGAAGTTCTTAGAATCAATTATTTGATTTAGCCATGTTTTTGGACTTAAAATAACACTATAACAAAAACGACAAATTTGAACAATCGAAATCTCCCCTAACCTTATTTGATTCTTATATTTCTGAACTCCCCCACAAGATTAATAATGATTTTATACGAAAATACGACGCATGCAAGACAAGAAAAAAGATAAAACGCATTATCCAAATAATTCCAAATTTAAACATTACGCTTCCAAACAAATCATAGGCCTACCACTTTCTTGACTACTAAATCGTAACACGTATATGGAAGATTGAACATCGATCGTTGATTTGGAAAAATTAAAATACATCTATAAAGAAAAGAAAAACATGTTTGCCTAACTATATTTTTTTTATATATAAAAAGCCTCAAACATAAGAGTGTCACACATCTAAAGATTAACGTCAAAGTTTAAACAGACACAAGTGAATAAAGAAGTGAGATCAGCACGGATCTTAATCTAAATCTAGTATAACACAAACTAAATCATCACTTGTGTTCAAGTTCCTCCTACGGACCATCAAACAATTTATAAATATTTTTTTATAAAAAAATGAATAAAAACTAAAAAGATTCGGAGCTGGAAATAAATTAAAATAAATCAAACCCATTCCATCAGAATATTATTCGAAACCTTATATGCCATGCCACTACCATTCATGGTTTTGGTCAAAAGCTAATAAGAGTCTCTTCCTTTATATGGCATCTCCTGCAACAAAATCAAACATGTCAGCAAAATCTAACTCTTTTGAACTTAAATACAAAGGTAACAAAAAAATCATGGAGGGATAGTAACAAACCGGTTGGTACGGCGTTGGAGGCATGAAGAAAACCGGTCTCTGGTGACCAATTATCATCGTCGGTTGTGGTGGGTACTGTTACACAACATTGATTCCAAAATTCAGTTTTTCAAGATTCGTCTTTCGATAAAGAAGGCAAAAGAGTTTTCGAGTCATGACTCTTATAGCAGATCAATACACAACAAACCTGTGGACTATTTGGAGAATAATATGTTTGATTTGGGCTATGCGGTGTTGCATTAAACATCATCGGTTGTTGTTGCTGTTGTTGTTGTTGTTGTCCAGGGAACGCTGCACCCATCTGCTAAATTCATTCTTTGTGAATCAGGAACATGATAACAGAGACTTAAAGATAAATTTAGACGTTGATTGTTCAGAGTAGAGAAAGAATAAAGAAAAGTTACTCCGTATTGAATGAATCCAGGTATCGGCGGAGCAGGAGGGAAATAGAATGATCCATCTCGGACTGGAGACTCTGGCCGTGTAGCTGTTGGAGACGGTTTGAAACTCTTTGCGTTGGGGTTTAGCTTAAATTCCTGAAACCAGACGTAAAGCTTAATTAGTAAAAACTTACCAGTTCTACATCTAGTAGATACTTATATGAGCACAGCAAACAAAACCTTAGCATTTGGGTTGAGTGTGGACTTTTCTGAAGAAAAAGAACTCATAGAAGAGCTTGGTGATAGTTTTTGACGGTTTGATGGTGAGGAGGAAGCTGCAGAGCTCTCAGGTTTCGCTCTGTCAGAAAATGAACCGACTAGTCTTCCATCAGTGGAACTTTTCCTCTCAGAAGCTCTCCGTTGTAGACAAGCCGGATCAGGGGTTGCTGCGTCTTCATTGATATCTTGAGTGGCATTCGAAGACTTTTAGTTGGAATATATAAGAGTTAAAAACATTAAGATGAAACGGGAGTAGCAAAAGTTTCACATACCTTCAAGACCAGACACTGATTCCTCGGACGGCTGCATGAATACAGAATGAAGCCAGCAGAACAACGTTATACAAGTCACTGGACATCATGATAAAGCTAAATGCAATCAAGACTAGATGCGTCAAAAGAGTTTTCATTTACCTTTTTATTGCTGCCTAGAGCAGGGATATCATTGGATGGCTGTTTAGACATATGCCAAGCATGCTTAATTGAGTTCGAGGAGCTCTGATCACCCTGAAGGACGAAAAAAGGCAAAATCATCGACTGTTCTCCTAGAAACTATTAGCAGAGAAGAAGGCAACCATACCCATGATTCTTCAAAGACCTTGCCATTAGAAGCAGATGAATCACCAAAAGTCAAATTGTTGCAGCAGTTCAACAATATGTCTTCTTCCTCTTCGTAATCCTCCGTATCATCAAATCCATTAGCCGGACAGACCGAAGAGTATTTGGTTTCCTCGTCCATATCAAACTTTCCACTAAGCTGAATACCTCTTTCCTGTGTAAGAATATTGCATGTACGAACCATTAGAAATAATGAATGTAACGACAAAGGACAAAAAAATAAAATATCCCTATTTCACCTCTGCTACGTGAAGATCTCGGGTATTCTCACCCTCAATCTCTCTCGCAATCCTCAAGGCTTGCTCTTCTAGCTCCCTCGTCCGAGGACCTCTCTCGAGTTTTGTGGTATACAGTTCCTCGTCAAAAGTGCTTGTCACTCCAAACAATGTCTTATTGACCTCAAACTGATTCCAGCCCCTACGATCCCATCACGTAAAAGAGATGTTATGAGAGGTGTTGTTCAGCCCAGAAGAGTGTACACAGTGAACGAACAAGAAATCCTAATTAACTGACTACCTCTTCCAAGGGTCATCAAACACATTCTCGAGATCTGAACAGTCTGGAACATCTTCATCAGGAACCCAAGGTTTCAGCTCTCTTTCCAAATCAACATGATAAGACTGTGATATAGAAGAGTCTGTCAACAGCTCTAACGGCTTCTCCGACTGGACTGAATTTGAGACGTCATTGCTGTAAACAGGAAGGTCCTACCACCAAAAACCAATGACAAAGGAATAACAATGTCAAAACACCAACTAGCCTTTCTAGCATAAAAACTCAATCTCATCTGCAAGAAAAAGAGTACAGACCTTAGCTACAACTTGCACAAGTTCGTTGGTAGGGATAATGAACGTCTTTGAAGGAGGCTTGCTGACAAGCGGACCACGGGGTTTCATTCCTCGTGAAGTACCTTCCTTGATCAAGGATGCCATTTTCAAAATAATCCCTGGAAGTTCCAAAGCAGTTTTTAAGAGACATCTTCTTATATACAAATCACATCTCAAAGGAACAAAAAGGTTTCCAATTCAGAGCGCCTCACCAAAACTGTTCTCCACATCAACAGCGTGAAATATGCCACTGTAAACAGATCCATTCTTTAGATGAACTTCTACATGATGTCCTATCTTACAAGTTGTGAGATACACAAACAGGTCGCGAGAAGCATTATCCACACCATTTTCTACAGATCAAACAAGAGAATGCAGAACATCATGTTGATGCTACATCAGAATATAGATATCTCTGTCAATATGTAAATACAAAAAAAAAAAAAAAAAAAAACCTGAATTTTTCATGGAGTGCGACTTCATCGGCTGAGTCTTATTCATCCACGCCTCATTTCCAACACCTCTGTGTTGAAATCCATTGGATGAAGGCTGGCTATTCATTGCTCTGCCTTCAACTGTTGAAGTGAGAGAAAAAAAGAAAAATAATTTGTAACGGAAAAATGCAAATTCAATCGGAGAATCATCACAAGTGAATCAATTCAAAAACTTGAGCAGGCTCATACATACTCACATGATAAAAAAGAAGGAACGAATTGAAAATCCTAAACACATTATAGCATAAGAAACAAGAGAACGTTTTGAATGATGTCATAGCAGAAATCTACAATTACATACGAATTGGTACTAGGTAGCCGCAACAACAAGAGAGAAAAACCCTAAATCAACCAACTTGAATCACCGAAATCAAAAAAGGAAAGTAAAGTTTGAAGGGAACAAAAATCAGAATCTGAGAGATAGAAACCTGAGATGATGATGTTTACCTCAATTAGCTGAAATAGACGCGTCTTAGAAAACAATGCTAAGAAGAGACGAGGACGATAATACTCAGAAGCCGGTGAATTAGGGTTTTCGGACAGAGATATGATTTGCCGGCGAGTTGTGGAGAAAATACTGGAAAACGAGTCAACAATGAATCTTAGGAGAAAAAGAAAAACGGAGAGATTTTGATTTTGATTTTTTTTTTGCAATGGCACAAATTGAGGGAAAAAAATTAAGAACAGATCGATGATGTATGCGCGACGCGAGGGTGTGATCACCTACGGAACAGCGTATGATAAGGTTATTGGGCCTTTCCTTAATTATGCTTTCAAACTTAATTGGGCTTTGACTACTGATTCCAAATTATAATCCTTCAGAATTTCACCTAACCTATGGTCAACAATAAGTCAATACTCAATATCCAGTCAAATCAAACATGATGTTGATGCTATATCTGTAATAAATTGTAACATAACCATGCGTAATGCTGTCACATAACCTTATGCAAGAAGAATAGACTCCCTTATTTTCAATGATAAACTTCCAGTTTGGGTGTATTATTTTCTTGTTATGTCGAATTTATAAAGGTATCTCGATATGCATTAGTTCGTTTAATTGAATATTAATTGCTCGAATCAAATACACGTTACAACGATGAAATGGTAAAAAGAGTTGAGAAATTTTGGGAAAGCAACAGCTTTGGATAGTGGTTTGCTGGTTGCACCACCACTCGAAGCTTAAGTCCAGCCTCGCAAGACTCTGAGGTTATATAATGTATTTCATGAATCATTTTCACATTACGCAAAATCAACCTTTATAATTATTTTTTCACTTTTTCAGAAGGCATGATTGTTGCGTTGCTTGATGATGCGGAAGTTGTACTTTGGAGTTTCAATCACACTCATATTAAAGTGCCTTAGACTTTGAAGGACAAGAAAAAGGTGTGAAAAAAGAAGATAATGTGAGGTTTAGATAGATGAGAGACAGTTCTACAAAAACTTATATTATAATTATTTTTATAGCTTTTCAAAGTTAAATTATTCATGCTTAGTTGCACGCTCTATCATTATAGTTTCATCGTTTAAAAACTTTAGATCAATAATTTTTCCACCTTTTTTCCAGATTTTAAGAAGAAATATTCGCATTTGTTCCCTAAAGCATATAAAGAGTAACGCGTTAAGCATTTAATCAAGAATTTTGAAATAGCAAAAAATTGGCATGTGGGGTCAAAAAATAAATAGGCATGTGGCACAGAGGAACAAATAGAAAAACACAGTAGACCACACACTTCATGTGCAAACTTTTTTTTTTTGCAAAGTCCAACGAACTCAAAGCCCAAATCTCAAAGCTCATATCTTCCTTTTTCTTTTTTCCCCAAATCCGCAGATTTTGATTCAGCTTTGTGTGTGTTCTACAGAAGAGAGAGAGAGAGAGAGTGAGATTGATACTAAGAGCAAGAGTGTTGCTCACTCATTCTCTCTGTCGCTTTGAAGCTTCCCGAAGGACGAAGGAAAGAGAGAGAGAGAGTTTAATGCGAATAATCTACAGATCCCGTGACCTAATTTATCGCTGGTGTAACGGTCATATTCATCAGCCGTCAGTCAATTTGAGCTCCTCACTGGTGTTTATGGCGTTTATGCGATCGTAGAGTCATCATTTCAGCAACAAATTATCACGTATGGAATAATTTTCGCGAAGTTTTTGGAGCTTTCTTATTTTCTAGATTGATCCGGGTTTTGCCTGTAATGTGATCTGGGTTTCATCCTTCAAATTCTTGCTTGATCTCAGGAATTTCTAGGGTTCTTCGTACTGTCAAAGAGAGAGAGGGAGAGAGGGAGAGATGCTGACGTGTATAGCGTGTACGAAGCAGCTAAACGCCAACAATGGCGGATCTACTCAACCGGAAGATAGAGACGACGAAGTTATTGGGACCCCCAGGAATAAACAGGCGATTAAATCGCTGACGTCACAGGTAGATTTATCTTTTCCCTTCTGATTTAACTTTCATGGACTTGTTTTTGTTCAATTGCAAACAAACACGAAGCAATTTCCTTGGCGGGACCATTCTAGTCTCGTTGGTTTCTGCTTGAGAGCTAAAGAACAAAAATTTGTAAAAAGCGTGACTCAGATATGACTTTCGTGGTCATTTCTTTGGTTTTTGAATTTGATTGATCTGTAAACAGCTATTGATTCTTCAACCATTTATAACTCTGAAGCTGTCAATTATTCTGTTGACTGTGATTTTAATCACAGCATGTGACTCTTGTGTGTTTGTGACTACTGTTCATTCAGCTAAAAGACATGGCAGTAAAAGCTTCAGGGGCATACAAAAACTGTAAACCGTGTTCTGGGGCATCAAACCGGAATCATAACCGAAACTACGCTGATTCAGATGCTGCTTCTGATTCTGGAAGGTTCCGTTATGCTTACCAGAGAGCTGGGACTGCGAGCTCAACTCCAAAGATTTGGGGCAAGGAAATGGAGTCGAGGTTGAAAGGGCTTTCGAGTGAAGAAGGCACACCTACTTCCATGAGCGGCCGAACGGAATCATTGGTGTTCATGGAGGAGGATGAGGTCAAGGAATGGGTTGCGCAAGTGGAGCCTGGTGTTCTCATCACGTTTGTGTCGTTGCCTCAGGGAGGGAATGACTTAAAGAGGATTCGGTTCAGGTAATTGTTTCTAGTTATTGTTGAACTGATCACTTAATATTGCTCGTTTCCAACTGATCTTGACATTGAGGATGATACTCAACGTAGGCTGCTTTTGCTATCTATCTTGTTATTGTGTAATAGGTTTTACTTCTTGATCTGATTTCGGAATTAGAGGTTCGTTTGTCTTGTGACAGCTATATGAGTAGTACAATTGTTTATCTCATGTTCGATATAATTAGCTACACCTAAAACACTAAACGAGCCTTACCGAAATATACATTTCAAATTTGGCTTGTCATGATTTCAAAGTCCAGTTGACTCTGAGCTTAAGAAGTCTATAATTGTCAATGGTTTCCACAAAACTGTTGAAACTAAGAAGCACTAACTTCTGTGGTGTTCCCTGGATTTGGTATCTTGAGCTTTTTGGGATTCTTTGTATTGTGCAGATGCTGAGTTTTTGTGTTACACTTCGTTTCCCTTTGTGGCCTAGCTAATAAGAGTTTTGCTGTTTTGTTCTACTTTCTTGCAGCCGTGATATGTTTAATAAATGGGAAGCTCAAAAATGGTGGGCGGAGAATTTCGAGAAGGTCATGGAGCTATACAACGTGCAACAGTTCAATCAAGAGAGCGTACCGCTCCCAACTCCTCCTGTATCCGAAGATGGGGTAATGCTTAGCTTTTCAATAATCATTCATCGCCACTTTCTAGCGTTTACTTTGGGGTCCTAAATAGATTTCTTGGAACAACCTTTTTTGTATCAGGGCTCACGAATACAGTCCGCTAAGGACAGTCCTGTAACTCCACCACTGAACCGAGAGCAACCTCGAGGAAAAGGATACTCCTCGTCTGATTCCCCTTACCACCAATCAGCAACCCAAACTCCTAAACCATGCGACTCTGCTGGTCTTGCTTCAACACCAAAGGTCTCTAGCATCAGCGGAACCAAGACTGAAACAGCATCTATTGACGGTGGTTCTGCTAGAAGTAGCTCGGTAGACGGATCCGAGGGAGTCTCAGTGAGTAACGCAAGCGACGTTGAAACTGAATGGGTAGAACAAGATGAGCCTGGTATCTACATTACAATCAGAGCTTTACCAGATGGTAATCGCGAGCTTAGACGCGTTCGATTCAGGTACGTAACACAACAACATACCACGTCCTACATTGTGACATATTACATGCTTCTCATTGTGAATATTGATACAATGTTTGTTTTTTTGTAGCCGAGATAAGTTTGGGGAAACACATGCGAGGTTGTGGTGGGAACAGAACAGAGCTAGGATACAACAGCAGTACTTGTGAGTTTGAAAGATTTTACTTAGTGGAGCTACAAGCCAAAGGACACTACAAAAGACTTCATTTTAACAAAGACCCACCTTTTCTTCTCTTCTTTTCTTTGTTTTTTAACTTGAACAAAAGCTAAACAAAGACTTTTCCTTGCTTCAGAAATTATTAAATTAATTAGATAGAAGGATGTTCAGGATTTGAATTCTGATTTGATAATTTGTGGAATACCATAATGGTTATGCAGTTTAGTTTTTTTTTAGCAACCTACTTCTATTAACAGCAACATCAAAAACTTCTCTCTTTTCAAATTTTTGATTGGAAACACACATAAGGAGAGTGAAATATGCTAGTATAAGAGATGAGTTTCAAATTAAAGTTTAAAATATCAATGAAAAGAATAAAGATGTTATTTTCATCCCAACAAAGTAAAAGAAGAAAAAGTTGAAGATAACAAATAATTATCTTTTTGTGTTACTATTGTTATATGAACCAAATGATTGTTGTCTATGACCATTTTTGGCATCTGTACTTGTGTTTTTTTTCTTTAGTAGAGTAAGCTAAATAAATTTAAATCCCTATAAAATGATTGGGTTTGTTATCAATTTGACTGTTGATCATCTTTCACAGAAATAACGGGGTAGCTCCAAAACTGCAACGTTTAATATTCCGTCCGGTAAAGGGTAAAACGGTAGTTTCAAGAAGATATAAGCGGCAGATTCTGAACGATATTTCCCAAACCCCTCTCTTTAAGCCGTTCTTCTTGCTCCTACTTCTCTTCTCTCTGTACTCGAAACCCTAATTGCGTATTCGATTTTAGGGTTTAAGAGCGAAATCGTTAGCCCCTTTAAGCCCTCTCTCTACCTTAATCCGTTCCGTCAGAGCCTTTTACCGATTCTCGTTTTCTGAGTTTTTTTTTTCCGTTCCCTTTCCTTGTTTTTGCTTATTCGATCCGGCGATCTTTTCGGTCGGAGATGGTAACCGGGTCTAAAACTGGGGGTAGTCCTCCGATGGCAATTGATGAAAAAACGAGGAAGATGATCCGTTCCATAAGGGAAATTGTGGGTCATCACACTGACGCCGATATCCTTACTGCGTTGAAAGAAGAAAACATGGAAGCTGATATGGCTGTGCAGAAGCTGATTTATCAAGGTTTTTAATCTCCTTCTTTGACGGAATCGTTGCATTGTGTTCTCGAGAAAATCAACTTAGAGAAATTACTGGACTGTTTTCCGTTTCCTTTGTTGAATGATGTGATTACTTATTCTAAACCCTTTTTCTGCTGCACAGATCCATTCCACGAGGTGAAGAGAAAAAAGGATAAGAAGAAAGAGGTAATGTCTCTACCCTTTTTGCCTTGCTTATGTATAAAGTGAGGATAGTGCTAATAATGTTAGTGGTAGTAAAGGTTGTGGAATTTGATATCTTCTGGTGCTCGCAATTGGTGTTTGAAATGTTTAGCATCTTTTATGTATAGTCACTGAGTTTGCTGAATCCTTGAATTATGCTTTGTAAGATCTTGGCATGCTTTTGGATTCACTTTTGATACTTAAAGAGTATTTTCTTTGGCCTCAGGAGCCAGTAATTGTGGAGCCTGCTGAGAGAAGAAAACCTTCTGAAAACGTTTCCAGAGAAGTGAATTATCGTCCACAGCCTGAACATAATGTTCGGAGAGGAGACTACAATCAGAATCGTTTTTCCAGGAATGCAGCTCCTCGCAATGCCTTTCCTAGGAATCCCGCTACTGGTAACTAGTTGCGATGAACTTGTTTGACTTAATCTTAATCCTAGAAATGTCGTCTGCTGTATGAATTGATTGTGAGTTTCATGCACCTGCAGGACCCAGCAGAGAGTTTCGTGTTGTTAGAGACAACAGGTCTAATCAGAATGCAGATAAAGAAGTGAAGCATACTTCCGCCCAGTCATCGAGACCAAATATTAGCGACGAGGTTGCCATTCGAAATAAAAGGAGGTATGTTTCTTCTCATGCACTTTATCCTGTTGGTCATATTCTAGATGATTCTATTAGTTAACTTCCATAATTCTGAAGAGTTCACTTGAATGGAATATTTTGGGGACACTTAGGAAAGTAGTGCACTTGGAGTCATTACTAGAGGCATTATCAAGTTTTAAGTATAAATGTTGTTCTGTTTTTATGGTTTGGCAGCTCGTCCGGTGATCGGGATGTGGCTCATAGGAGGTCCAGGCAGACTGGAAATGTTCCTCTGCATCGTCCTACAAGAAAAGAACTCAATGAGGGAAGGCAGATAGTTCATGATGTTACTGTGCCATCAAGCAATTCTGTTCTTGGCGTATATTCTTCTTCTGCAGATCCAGTTCATGTACCATCTCCTGATTCTAGAGCATCAGCTGTTGGAACTATCAGACGTGAAGTTAGGGGTGTAGGTTCTGGTGGAAAACCTTCTGAAAACGTTGCTAAAGATTCCCCTGCAGCTGATACTTTGGTGGAGTCTGCAATTACAAAAGATGTTCCAAAAGCATATAGACCATTTTCCCCAATTTCCAAGGTTGATCAAGTCAGTCAGACTAATGCACGAGAGTCTGCTATGCCCAATCATAGGTCTCTTTCAAACAGTCGCTACCAACATGTTAAAACACAACATCAGGCGGGTGGTCATCCAAGAGGTAATTTTGCTGGCTTTTCTAGTGTTTCGAAAATGAAATTACTCTTTAGCTTAACTCTTTCTTGGTGTCTTTTGGTTATCGGATGTTCTGGTATGAGGCCATTTTTTTTGTCATGATATTGATAAGACGTTTCCAATTTTTATTTGACGCAGGAGTTCCTCAGAATAAACAGTGGAAGCCTAAATCTAATCAGAAATCTAATAACCCTGGAGTAATTGGAACTCCTAAAAAGTCTCGTGCTCCTCCAACTGATAATTCTGTAAACTTGGAATCAGAAATTGAGAAGCCGCAGGATACGGTTTTGCATGTTAGCATCAGCGAAAGTCAGAATGTAATCATTGCAGATGATATTCGTGTCCCAAAGACTGATCGCTATCAGCTATCTTTTGGTAGCTTTGTTATGGATTTTGATCCTTCAGTAAATACAGAATCCACCGGGAATCTGGATTTTGATCCTTCGCAAGAACTTAAGCGCGTTGATATTAATGACAGTTTGCCAACTCCGCCTCCCAAGGCTTCAACCAATGGTGCTTCGGACACCAAGACTGGGGAAGGTTTTGATAGTGAAGTTAGAAACTCTGGAGCTGACTCACCACCTCCTGCATTGATGGCGTCAGAGCAACAATTGTCTGAACAGAAGGAGGCTCCTGGATCTCAGAGTTTGGATGAGTATGCGCAAATTGAATTCATCAGTGGAAATAGTCCTCCTTATACTGCTCTAGAACCGAAGCAGCAACAAGATCCTCTTGAACTGCACAGTTTTACAGTGAGTTTTCTTTTTCGTAACTTTACAGAAATGATAGCGTATCTATGCTTAAGTGTGGCGAGAACGATTCCAATGATAGGAGTAGGATATATTGCTCCTCTAGTGCTTTGTTGTTGGTCTCATGACATGCTCTTCATTCCCAGCAGGATTATGATCCCCGAGGTGGTTATGACTTGCCGTATTTCAGGCAACCAATGGATGAAAACATGCGGGGACAAGGAGTACCTTCTGCACAGGAGGTGATTCCACTTAATTCCAATAAGCATGCTCTTTTGCAGATAAGAGAAGAATGGCTCTGTTTCATGTATCTTAGCTGTCTTTTTTGTGCAGCTAAACTAATGTTTTATCCTTATGGCCATGCAGCAAGCATTGAATCCGCACATGTTCAACAACGCCCCTGCATCGACAATTCCAATGTTGCAGCAGCAACAGGTACCGATGGCACAGATGTATCCGCAGGTCCATGTTTCACACTTCCCCAACGGCATGCCGTACCGCCAGTTTCTCTCCCCAGTCTATGTCCCCCAAATGCCCATGCAAGGTTACACTGGTAACCCAGCAGCACAGTACGCTCACCCTTCAAATGGCAATAGCTATGTGCTGATGCCTGGAGGCAGTTCTCATCCCGGTGCTAATGGCCTCAAGTATGGGATCCAGCAGTTTAAGCCTGTTCCTACAGGTGCTCCTACGGGTTTCTCGACTTTCAACAACCCCAATGGGTATGTTAATGCTCCGGGATTCGAAGATTCAGCTCGCATCAAGTACAAAGACGGAAATGTATATGTCCCTAATCCTCAGGTAATGATTGATCATTGGAACTTCTCTGTTTTGCTTGTTCGCTTTTATCAATCTCGTAAGTCTTATTTTGGTTTCTTTCTTGTTTACACCAGGCCGAGACTTCTGAAATATGGATGCAAAATTCAAGAGATCTTCAGTCTCCACCGTATTACAACATGGCTGGACAAACGCCACATGCTGCTTACTTGTCGTCCTTCAACACTCCTCCAGTGCAATCGTCTCATATGCAGTTCCAAGGCGTCTTTCACTCGCCGCAGCCTGGTCCAATGACGGCTAATGCGCACCATATGGGGCCTGGACTGGGTGGTAACGTTGGGCTCGGGGTTGCTCCATCTCCTTCTCCAGTTCAAGTTGGTGCCTATCAGCAGCAACCTCAGCTTGGTCATCTTAACTGGCCAGCAAACTTCTGATCAATAATATCTAACATGTTTATCTGTTCAACGAATCATAACAAAGAAAATATTTCGTTTTTTTCTTGTGAAACAATGCTTATTTCTTTACTAAATGCATAAATGTCTCAGTTCTAGCACTTCTCTATGAATTGCTCTCTGCTTCTGTATCCTCTCTTCTTCTATAGGCTGCTTTTGTATCAAACTCTCAAGGCAGAGAACACAAAATACCCTTGAAACGATCAACGTGCTCTAGTTTTGGCTTGAGTCGAAATCATTGTGCAAAGTAGGTAGAGAATCTTGTAATGCCATGTGCTTGGTCGTGTTAGTGTTGTGGTTCTTTTGGAATACCCTGTTCTTTTTTTATCTTTTCTCCATGAGAGTGTTTTGGGGATTTGAGATGAGAGAGACTGTTAATCTTTTAGTGATGTTTCAAGGAAAAGATTGTGTTGTCATTGTTCTTCTTTGAGTTCTGTGTCATTCTTTTGTGTGCTTTTCTTTTCTTGGGATCCCCAAAACATTTCTTTCATATACTCTCCCGGATTTTCATAAAGAAACATTGGTTCTTGAGCTTGACCCAACTTTTACTTCAATCTTAAGATTTAAGAATATCAATCACTCTTTTTAAACTAAACATCGTTTGAAAATGAGTTTATAAGTTTTGAATATTTTATTGATTACTTTGGTTTCTTTTTGTATAACATTGCTCAACAATTATTATGACAACATGCCAAGAAGAATCTAATTGATGATTGTTATTGACATTTATGGAAAACTAGTAGTTAGTTTAAGAAACTGGTCTAGAATCTTAATCAAGTGCCTACTTGATTCCTCTCTCACTAACCCTATTGACAAATGATTGCTCTCTACGGACTTCTAACTACTTGCCTCGAGTGATTTGGAGTAACTAGTACTCTTTTAATTTGTTTCATCTTTCACCTAATTTTGATTAATGTTTTTCTTGTCTTTAATGATATGTTGTAGAATCATAGGAGTCAAAGGTAACACTAATTAGACTCATTACTATGAGTTAAAAGCAAGCATTGACTAGAGAGAATCCTAAGATTTGTTGCGTTTGACTAGAGTAAATTATATTTTACTCGTAAATGGTTGAGAGGCCTATATGTAGATTAGGGTTCATCAGTTAGGGGGTTTAGAACTAGATTAGGTGACACCACTCTAAATAGTGATGTCTTTATAGGGAAAAATGATGGGCAATTAGGCTTTTCTCGACACCATCTTCATTAGAAAATTAAGCTGTAATGCAAAATTAAGTCTAATTCACTTCTATTTTTTTTTATAGAAAAAATTATGTTAGCGGAAAGTATCAAATTTATATTAAACAACCTAACTATTAAATCTTTCATTCCTAAACCCTAAATCTAACTTTTTATGAATTTTTATAAATTTCCTCTCTAGAGTTCATTAAAATGAAATCTCCTTTTACTGCATGCACAAACTCAGTATGATTTTTATGAGAAGCTGTCATTTTCTTATCATCTGCATTGAGTCCACACATGCGTGCGAGCTCTGCAGCTCATGATATAAGGGAAAATAATATGAAGATTTTTCTTTCTTTTTTTCGTGTATGTCTTAGAAGTTAGAACTATACGCATGCATGTTTGTGTACTTATACACGTTAAGCATAAATCTTATGATATAATCTTTACAGCATTTAGTATCGTTTCGTTTGATCGAAGACAAGAATTCGAGATTAAGATTTTGGGATTCTTTGAAAAATACCCTCTTTGTGTTTAAAATTTTGAAAAATACCCTAATTTATTTCTGCTTTGAAAAATACACTTTTTAATGTAAAAAGACTGTTTTGACCTAATTTAAACAAAACATTAAAAAATCATTACAGCTAAAAATTAAAAACGAAATTCAAAAATAATAGAATCAATAAGATTTTTTTCAGATAAATATAAATTTTAAAAATTAAAAAGTGGATAAATCTATATTCCATTTTTAATGTTTTCTGTAAACAAATTTTAATTTTTTTATAACTTTATATAAACAACTTTAATCTCATCCCCATTCCAACCAAATGAAAATTTATAAATATAAACTTTACACTTTATAAACTAATTGAAATTTTAATAGTGGATAATTTTATCTTCCATTTTTAATGTTTACCTTTATACATATTTAAATATTTTTGAAACATTATATAAACAATTTTAATCTCACCCTCATTTAAACTTTATATAAACAAACTTATACTCTTAATAAAATCTAAACAGATAATTAGTATTGTTTAGTATTTTAAAATGAATAAAATCATAATCAAATCTTAATATTTTAGATTTTTTATTTGAATTTCGTTTTTATTAAATTAGTTGAAAACCTCAAATTAGGATAATTAAGTCATTTCATATATTAAAAAGTGTATTTTTCAAAACTAAAAAAAACAAGGGTAGTTTTCAAATTAAAAACTCATCAAAGAGTATATTTCCAAAATTTCTCTAAGATTTAAGTCAATATCTGTTTATTTGTATAAAAGGGGAAAAAAATAGCAAAAGTGTACGAGGATGGGTCCGGTTAAAAAGAAGATGGTATGAGTGGGGAAGTTTCGTGGATTCGAAGGGACGATCATTTTAGATTTGTTTTGATATATAATCTCATTTATTTGACTGAAATTTCAAGTTTTTGTCAGAAAATTGTGTTTTTTTTTTTTGTGGTAAATCAATCTTAAGACTTCGCCCACGAGAGTAATCATTTAGCAAATGAGCACCATTAACTTTTTGAACATGCTCTCACTAACTCTTAATTACTATTATTTCAGTTTTCTGCTTAGTTTAATCTAAAAGAGATATCTCAACCAGGAAAAAGAAAAAGGAAAAGTACAAATTCACAACAACAAAAAAAGAATTGTTCAATAAATTTGTACATAACGAACAATACGAATGCGCTTAACGCATGCAAGGTGTATCATTATAATTTCATTATTCTAAAACTATAATAAGATTGGGGTCGGACACACTAAATTATCAAAGATATTGCGGCTAAAGGTTAACCAAATATTTAACAAAAAAAAAGGTTCCAACTTAGCTAACTCCTAACTGTATTTATATACCTTTAGGTAGAATCACATGCTTAAGACCGATTATATTAAATGCTTCTATAGTCTCTACACTCCTTATTTAACTCTTCCATGTTTCGTTTTAGTCGAAAACATTAGTTGTCGTTAATTGATTACCTATTAAAAGGTTTAAATAGACATTAATATACACATGCGTGTGTATATTCATGTTCGATTGACGCAGACGTCCCATAAATAAGCCAGAATTACTCTTGACGGAGAGTCATTAAGCTTCACTCTATTATATAAAGTACGAGTTAATGTGGTAAATTCAATAATTATCAATTAAGATGCTTACAATAAGTATATAACAGGATGACGATTAATTGTAGTAACATAAGAAAGGGAACGTTAAAGATGAAAGAAATTGGGGGACATAGAATGATTCCAAAGTATGATCATGTGGTGAAAATTAATAATTACTTTTGGGGAAATAAAAGACAAGATAGGGATTTTAACAGTGAAAACAACCATAGTGGGTTAACTCATAATATGATGTACGCGTAGATTTATCAACCTTAAAATTTTGTTTCTTCATAATTTTAAAATTCTCACGTGATCGAATCTACTATATACTGTTAAGTTGCATACGTTATATGACCATGTATTAAAAATTAGACTTGTACTATTGCAATGGCATGATTTTGCTGATTGATATATAGATAAATATTATGTCTTGTAATTCCGGTTTCTATACAGAATTACCGCCATCACTTTGGTAGCTTAGAGATTTACATGAAAATAAATACTCTATATATTAGGTTTGCCAAAAAATAACCCAAAATGACAAATTATAAGGTGCAAAGGTCATTTCTTTCCGCTCTCATATGTTTTCCACTCTGCACATGGCAGATGTCGATAGAAATTTGAATTACGAATAATTTATGGGTCATCTAGGCCATAAAAAACATTACACTGACATATTAAACTCTTCAAGAACCATTTCTATACTAAACCTTAAAATCAAAAGCTACCAAGTAAAAAAAAAGTAAACCCTAACTAAGAAGTAAAAAAGTAACGAATTTCACATGAGAAGATTTAAACTCGGTGAGGCTGAAAAAAAAAAGAGGATATTACATGGCAAACTTTAATCTAATAAATACTCTTTTTCTTTTTTTCTTTCTAAAGTAAAAATTGCAATAAAACGGTGTAACAAGGTAGTGGCTTGCAACATAATTTCTATTCATGAGAAGTGTCTACACTCTAGAGTGTTGGTGTGAGGTCAAATTATGTGATTGAGCCTCTCTTTGCCGCATTGCTTGACTATTCATTCTAAAGTCTAATTTTGATTCACATCACACCATATACATTTCTTCTTTCTTTTTTGCCCACTTGTATAAAATTTAAAAGCAAATCCTTCACTATACATGTCCCTAGGGTTTCTAAATATTCTTCATAACTTTATTTTCTTTGTCTCTTTGCCCTAGCCTTTTTCTTCAAAGTTTGACAAATTGCGCTTCCGTTTTAAATGTATCCTGTATTTCGATGTATACATATCAAAGCCTACGATTTTACATTTTCACAGGTTAAGTAATTTTTTATTTTTGTAATTCATTTAATTTTATTTCTTATATATGTATCATGATCGTATTAATTCGTATATACTCTCTTTCTGGAAAAATGTATCAACTATTTTTGGATATGTAGAGAACTTCTAAATAGCTAAAAACAATAACGATCAAATAATTGGAGCCTAAAGCTTTCACAACAGAGAAAAGTTCGATAACTGACTATATTTATCTTCTAGGAATCCAAATTTCGCAAATTAAGTACGTAAATGACAGCTTTAATGTCTTTGAGGTTTATAAAGAGCTATGTATATATTTTTCGAATTACTCATCAATGATGTGTAGTTGCTATTTGAATTGCTAATTCCTGTTAAAACAGTTTCGGGTGTAGTTTCAAATGACTAATAGTACTCACGAATATAAATTTAAGAAAGAAGAAGCTTTAATGGACCCAAGTATCAATATCGGATTTGCTGTTACGAATCAACGATTTATATATAGTTCTTTTTGTATTATAAAATTACACGTACAACTTTTGTTTTAACAAAGAAAATAAAAACTTGTCATGAGGTACAAAGTAGAAACATCTTGTTTTAAGCCGTATATAAAAATAAAGTAAATTGCAATTAGGTTTATAAATTATACTTTTGTTTATCTTTGTGCTTTGATTTTTCAGTTAATGCCATAGTTAACTTCACTGGTTAAAATAAAATCATACCAGGTTATTCATTTTATATACTTTCTCCGTTTCAAATTAGTTGTCGTTTTGGCAAAATGTATCTGCAAATATTTCGACGTATCTGCAATGCAAAACACGTCCAGATACGTCCAAATATTTGCAGATACATTTTGCCAAAACGACAACTAATTTGAAACGGAGGGAATATGAATTAAATATATATTGTTACCAACAACTATTTTCCAGCCTGGCACCCAATTCCACCTAAGAAAATACAGTATATTTTATAAGAAAATAATATGACACGTGGTAATGTATACCCATTTGGCTGATAAGACCCCTTCACACTTTCTTCTCCTTCTTCTTCTTCCTCTACACACACTTCTCTCGTTCTCTCTCTCAACTCTCAAGCACACAGCAGAAAAAAAACAAAAAACACGGCGTGCCTCTTCTCTCTCTCTCGTCATCATTTCTCGTTCTCCATTATCTCTCTCCCTCAAGCTTTTTATTCTCCAGAAACTCCAACACTATCATTCCCTTTCCTCTCTATAAGAAATCAATTCCCTCACATGGATCCTTGGGATACTAACTCAATACACAACCACCGTCTCCATAACCGCCGAGACCACCGTCATCCTTCCTTCTCCTCCACTCTCCTCGACCAAATCTACCGCTCTATCGACGATTCCTCAACAAACTCCGACGTCTCCATGAGAAAGAAGCAGAACCGTGCCGGATCTCTCGACGAGAATCGCGTTTGCCTCGAGAAAATCCTCGTTAACCGCCGCGCAATCGCCGACGACTTCGTTAGATCCAGGAATCCGAAGAACGCAGAGCCTGTTTTCTTCAAGCACTCGAGCTCCAGCTCCTCCGATTCAAGCGGAGTCTCGTCTTCCGAGTCCGATTCCTTTTACAGACGATCTCGATCGTCGCGCTCTCCGCCGGCGATTTGTCATCCGAAGCCGATTCGCACCACCGTCGAGAGATCGCCTCAGGCTCACCGACCTAACAGTAAGCAGGAACACGGCAGCTTTCTCAGAACGAAATCCAAGGCGTTGAAGATCTACAGCGATCTGAAGAAAGTTAAACAGCCGATTTCTCCCGGCGGACGTCTCGCCACTTTCCTTAACTCGATTTTCACCGGCGCCGGCAACACTAAGAAACTGAATAAAATTAACACCACCGCCGCAGCCGCAGCCACATCCACCGCCTCCGCCCCGTCCTCCACCACTTGCTCCTCCGCAACTTCCTTCTCTAGATCCTGCTTGAGCAAAACTCCGTCGTCTAGCGAGAAATCGAAAAGGTCCGTACGATTCTGTCCCGTCAACGTCATCCACGACGAAGACTCAAAGCGTAACAACCACAACAAACTGTACGGAAACAACGGACGTGAATCCAATCGCCGTCATCAAAACTTCGACACTCTCGAGCTCCGAGTCATGGAGGAAAATCGTCGTGTAATCGAAGCAGCCAAGGAACTTATCCGAACTTACCATAAGAATAAAGACGTCGTGGACATCTCCGTAGAAGAAGACGATGATGACGCGGCGAGTTGCGCGAGCTCCGATCTGTTCGAACTGGATAATCTATCGGCGATTGGAATCGAAAGGTATCGAGAAGAGCTTCCCGTCTACGAAACAACTCGCCTGAACACGAATCGTATCATTTCCAGATGAAAAATTGTTGTCGTCGAATTAAATTAATTAATTGCTTAATTTAGTTATTTATATAAATAATAATTAGTTACTAGTGTGGGGGTGGATTAATTAATTTCGAGTAATACAGTTTTCCGATTGAAGTTATTAAATTATAATGTCACAAAAGTGAGTTTTAATGCTTGATCAGCCCCTAATTACCATTTGGATTAGTTTAATTACTAAATTAAATAAAACTTCAAAAATTAAGAGGCGGCAGAGACGAAGATTTGAAGATGAGTCGAAGAAGAAATATATAAAAAAACAAAAGGCAGATTTTCTAACCTTTGTCATCAATTTAGACAGCGAAGGGAGGTTGAATTTATTTTTCTTTCTTTCTGTCACCTGATGGGATCCACTCATAAAAATATTATGGTTTCTATTGTCATCTTTTGATCAGATAAATATTTACATAGCTTTTCTGAATTACCAAACAATCTAATATGGATTTTTGTTTCATTTTATTTCTATTTGTAGAAAATGTGTTTATTAATTTGTACCAAATGTCCAGCTCCAAAATAGTAATATTATTTGTTGAAACTATGTAACCAATTATATTTCAAAATTTGAGCCATATCAATTCAATTTCACTAACTAGTAACCGCACTTACACAACCTCCCCCAAATTGAACTTCACTTACCAATGCCTCTATTGTGTTACTTTCGTTGAAACTACTTTACATTTTAAAATAAATAAATTAGGAAAGTAAAATATTTGATTTGATTTGATGTTAGTAATCATGATAAATAGTATAGGCGACAAGAGTGAAAGAGACATGGTCTCAAATGTCATGGACAAGAGTATCCAATAATTTGATTCTCTTTTCACTAACATTTTAATTTTATCTGAATTGCAATTGGGTTGTTTTTGTCCGAAGTGCGTGCGACTATAAGGATACATTTAAGATTATACGCATGCTAATTTCCGTATATTTCTAAATCACACCCTTTCTTTCTTGCAATTTCCCTTTGTAATGCATCTCAAAGTAGCAATTCTAATACTTAAGTCGGAATCCAAATATGAATTCATCGTATATGTACATTTATGATAAATAAGGTTTAATAATAGCCTAATCATAGCATTATGATACGATACACCAATAAAGCTAGTAAACCATTCCTAGTTTAAAAATTTGATAAGTACACTTTGGTAAAGTACAAAACAATTAAGAAGAGAAAAAGGGATAGTCTGTATACTGTGGCTAGCCATGGAATTTTTTTTCCTATACAAAGGGAGCAGAAGACGCAGTGACAGTAAAACCACTTTCTCGAAAAGAATGACCATAGATAATAAGTTGAAATTTGCATAACACCATTAAAAAACTAAATAAAGAATCGTATCAACCATATTCAAAGCAACTATTTTTATCATCAAATAGATTTGACTAATTGTTTTACCTAAAATACAGAAAGATTTTCAACACTTATTCCGTATTTACTTTATTGGATTAAACTATAAATAGATAACTATATATAAATCTTTGGCCAAAAAATAGATACTATATTTAAATTTGTGTATCTATCTTCTATAACTAACAAAAAAAAAGCTATAAGTATTCTCAGTAGTCTTCTATCAGACCTCATTCTATAACCATGAGAATCATGGTTTCCTCCAACAATCAGCAATACATAAAACTCATGATCTACGGTCTCGCTTTTTATGTGACTGTATCGTCATTGTTAGCTTTCTCAAATGCTGAACCTTTTGAGAGAAAAACTATTACAATCTATAATAGAGTAAGAAACGAAGAAGTTTTGAATCTGCATTGTCGATCTTCAGAGGATGACCTAGGATTGAAACATATCGAGTTTGGTACGTTCTACCATATAAAATTCAAGGTCAATTGGAAAGGCACTACAAAATTTCGTTGCCATTTTACATGGCGTGGTGGTGGAGATCATTGGTTCACTGTATTTAAAGAATCGAGAGACACTTGTGATCATTGTCATTGGCACATTCTCGGAGATGCTCCAAATGAAAAACCTATAAAACTTTTTCGTAGTGATAAATCTGATCTGTTTTTCGATTGGGATAAATAATCTCAAAAACAGAGGGAAAAAATTAACTACTTACTACTATTATATGTCTTACCTTATAAGAGATCGGATTACAATTATAATGTACTTTCTCTAAGGTTTTGTAACTTAGTAGTTTATGTAATTGTTGTTGTTGTATTATTATATGAATGTAATGAGGGTAAAAAAAGAATATTGTTGAAAAGAAAAAATATAACTGATAATATTGTGGAAAAAAAGCAAGATCAATTTCAAAAAGGTAAGTTATACCAGGTGAACAGTACAAGCAAGAGGTTGGCGAAATATCAATCAATAAAGCAACTGGACAGCTACATATCACATAGACACATACTGTATAAAACTATAACCATACGTATATTTGATAAATAAAGACTCAAAGGACAAACCATGTCCCATAACAACCATGCACGCACGATTCGTCATTCTCATGCACTCTCTGTGTTTCAATCCATCAGAGTGCAGCCGACGATTGGTTTGGTTTGATAAGAATCTGGTCGTTTTGCCAAGACTACAAAGAAACAATAATGTGGCAGGTTTTAATCTGCATGTACATTGGTAAATTATAAGCTTTTTAAGTGAAATTTATTTGACAACGTAACGAATGAAGAAGTGTATATTATTATACATTAGTAAATTATTGAATCATCTCTATATACTCAATACATGACATTTCTAAACACTATATGAGTTTATGAATTATACAAACACTAAACATTACATCCGTTAACCAATCAATAAATGGTGAATAATTATGGAAAATAACTTATCATACGTGTAACGTGTCGTCTGTTATTTTCAGTTTGAAGCAGGAATTTGCGTATTAAATTGTATGGTCTGTGTGTATTACGATTTACGCACAAAACATATCTGATATAGCGATGGTTTTTGGATGGATAAAAATAGGAAAAATATTGTTCAAGAAAATGAAAGAGACAGGACAGGAAGAGCTAATAAATAGACGGCACGTGGATAGACCAAAACAAGTGGATATGACTTTAGCCCGCACGTGACGGGTGGCCTCTTATGTCTTCTGGTTGTCGCGCGTGCACACGTGTGAACCCTTCTTTTCTTTGTTTTGTTTTTTTCCGATCCCTATAATAATCTTCCTTCCTCACGTCACATGTGGGGCCTACACACAGTGCCGTGCCTAGACTATGAGGGGCCCCTGGCAAAAAAAGAAGAAGTTTATTTTACTTTTATTAATAGTAATATTAGTAGAGTAATAATTATTTCCAGTACAAAGTAAATCAGAAAATTTTGATATACAAATGTTATATTTCTACCTTTAAAAATATTTTATGAGAAAAAAAATCAAATGATGAGATCTTTCAATGTAAAAAGTTACAAACCCATATAACATAATAGAAGTTCTCAACATTAATAAAAACTAGAATAAAAAGAAGTGTTAATGCCAATAAGAAGAGAAGAATAGAGAGATGGATAGTTATCAAAACCATATTACTGTTGTGTTAAATAATTAATATGGGGCCCTCAAATTCCAAAATATAAGAAGGGGTCCAGTGCTAATGCACCAAAATGTATAACATGAGCACGGCTCTGCCTACACATAGCTGGGAAAATTTGAAAAAAGAAAAGAGGGACAACAAATGTGTATTTTCTTTGAGAAAAATATGACCGATTGTAATTTTGAAACCAAAAACAGTATTTTCCACACAAAAAAAGAGGACTTGCTATAATAATTGCGATAACTGTATAAAATTATAAATGTTGATATTTTGTAAAAGAAAAAGCGGATATGTGAACTATCCTAAAACCAAAAAAAACAAAAGAAAAAGAAAGAATGTTTTGTTGGATACCCAAGAAGATGATTGTCACTGACTTACAGCTTTTTGTCTGAAAGACGATTATATGGCGTCGTATCACCATCCCTTTCGTCTTACCTTCTTCTTCTCATTTTTTTTTTTTTTTCTTCTTCTCATTTATTTTCACTTTATTTTATTTTCACTCATCTTTTCTGTTTTTTAACTTTGTTTTTACTCTTCTTCTTTTGTATACAAGAAATATTCCTACATTGATCCCAATTATTTGTCCTTTTTTTTCTAAATAACTTTCCTACGTTTAAAAGTTAAATGTGTTGTATAGATCGACACACGAGACTAACTAGTGCCAATGTGATATATGTGTATTTTATTAGGGTTGTTCCACGAACTTGCAATTTCAATAATGCTGCATTTAGAAGGATCCAACAAAAACATCAGCTTATATCATATGCCTCGACTTTGGATAGATGAAGACGAAAAAATAGTTGTTGTTGTTGTTTGTTGGTCGATCACTCCAAACTCATCTTTACGTGTATAAATGATCAAATTTGTCCTTATTAATATGCCACAAGTTCAAATGGAGACAAAAAAAAATGATCTGATAACTACCCCCAATAATTCTTATTATTGATGCTTTTATTGGTTTGCATTTTAATTGACATATTCTTTTAGAAAATGTTATACAATTTCTATTGCTTGCATATTTGAAAAGAACGTTTATTGGTACATGTGACAACTGTATAATAACGTAAATCATTCTTCTTGGAACACGAATTTGATTTTGAAAATCATGTTCAAAGCCCATTCATGCGGAGCTTGTCTTGTGTGAACGATAGCTACTTTTTGTCAAATCAAATCTATCTTTTGGAAATAGGTACTGCCGTACTACATTTATATCCAAAGTCAGAACTCGAAACATTTGCTTTGACTAAAACAAAAAAATCTGAATAATTGATTAGAATTAAGTTTCTCTTACAAAGAGTAACAAGACAAGCTTTGTAAGATAAACTTGCATTTGAGGAGCTTAACTTAGGTTTGGTCCGCTTATGGTTAGAAGGTTGTCAACGGTTGTAACAAGTGCTTTGCATTATAAAACAGAGTACTATTGATCGGTCTTCAGGTGAGAGTTAGTTTAAAAAAGAGATCGAATTATTTAGAATTACTGTATAGTTTTGCTTACATTGTCTATCATTTTTGTTTCAGAGGGAGATAATAAAGCCCAATTCTAAATGGGCTTTAGAAGCCCAAATATAATCCTTAATTCTGTCAAAGAGACGGAAAAAGGAAGTAACGTCCTCTTCCGTTACGAACCATCATCAATCTCAATGGCGACGACAGAGTCCCCAAGCTCTGTTCGGAAAGGTGAGTCTTTGATTCATCCATGAAATTCGAAAAATTGGATCGATTGAATCCATCCAGGAACCGATCTGTTGGAGATTTCTCGGAGGACATGGTCTTTTTGATAATTTAGAGAGTTTTTGTTTCTGTGATTAGTTGTTGTTCATCTAAGAGCTACTGGAGGTGCTCCGATACTCAAACAAGCTAAATTCAAGGTAATTAAACTTGGCGAGTTTTAACCGATTCTTTCATAAAGCGAACTTCTCATTTTGAACTTTAGCTGATAAATTTCGATTGTTTGTTTGTGAGTACAATCACAAAGTTTTCTACTTGACTCACATGCTGGTGAATACCTTTGATCTTTATGTGTTCCTTTGTGAATAACAGATTCCAGGGACTGATAAATTTGCTAAAGTGATCGACTTTCTAAGAAGACAGCTTCATTCTGATTCATTGGTAATATAAGATGAAAAAAACACAACTTCTTCATCTTCTAGGAAAGCGATAATCAGTCTTGACATTTTTCTCTTTGTGTGTAAAGTTTGTTTATGTGAATAGTGCTTTCTCGCCAAACCCTGATGAATCAGTAAACGATCTCTACAATGTAAGTCTTTTCAGTTTGCAGTTTGCACCGATTTGTGTATCCATTGAAAACATATTCCTATTGCTTACATGGTGCTGGTTGGTTCGGTATTTTGCAGAACTTTGGCTTTGACGGCAAACTGGTGGTTAACTATGCTTTTTCAATGGCATGGGGCTAAAACTGAATACTATCGTTGGTATTCTCAAAACTTTGATGCAGTGTGTGTGTCTGTGTGTTTGTTCTCTATCTGAACTTCAATTTAGCATTATGGTTCTTCAATTCTACAAGTTTGAATCAAAATGTAATTCACATGCTGACATAACTGATGGTGAGTATTACCATTTAAAGTCTTGAGTTTTATTGTTTCAGGTTTGGGCTAGATGCTCGCTTTGCTGGAAAGATGATAGACTCTCATACGGAAGTTGGTGTACATAATCTAAGCTATGGAGCTGATATTTTTTTTTAACCATAAATACATACATGTAAATGTGAAGGCTAAATTGAAGCCATGAATCCATCAGAAAGACCTTTTTCATATACCAAATCATCATCTATACTCTTAACTCAAAGTTTTAATAAAACATAAAAATCATATAAAAGCAGAGTTTTTCAAGCCATAAAGAATTTTTTTGATGCTACCAATACGTTGAACAAAAATCTAGTCCCCATTGTTTTATTAAAAATTTCATAGTTATGATTTAAAGATATCAAGTAAATAAACTTATAACTACTTTCGAGAATAGGGGGTACAACAACAAAGAGACTCAGAATCAGTATCCATGCATAAACCAAGAGTTCCTCGTGGAAACTCAGGTGGTCCACATCGACTCCCACATTGGTCGCTGAACTCACAACGGCCTCTGTACGTACACTCTTCATACCCGGCTTGTTTTATCTTCAACCCTATTATTAATTGCCAAACAAAAAATATTAATAATGATCTCTTAATTTAGATTGACCCAAGAAGAAAAGAAAGATCATTAGTTAAAGTATATTTTATCTTCTGTAAAGTATGTCTTTGTTTCATAGCCATTTTGTATGTGGGTGATTTTTCGTTGTAGGAAAAAAAATGATCAATGGAAACATGTGTAGCACATAAGTGAAAAAGAGAAGAATATAAACAAAATACTTACTCGTTGCTTGGGAAGTAAACAAGAGAGAGCATGTGATGAGAAGGGCAACAAGTTGAAACTTTGACAAAGCCATTTCGTTTGAATGAGAGAAGTTTATAATTTTTTGTTTGTATGAAAAAAAATGGTATAGAAAGGGAAGCTATAAAAAGATACGGAAGATTTTAGCTCTTAAATATCGAGTTGACTTAACAATTAATATGCTGATATTTGGTAACACGAATATATATTTGGTATAGTCATAAGGACAAGAATTAGAAACTTGCCATAAAAAACATATATATGGTCAAATCTTAGGAATCCATGAATTTGACTTTGTTCGAAGAGACTGATGATGCTTGGAGGAGAATGTACACGAGAAAGGAAGGACTTGATCACTCTATAGGAAAGCTTTAATAGCTCCGTTGCTTATTCCGATCATTGGGCCTTTAGACTTTGTTATAGCCCATTATTACGCCCATTATTACAATCGAAGGAAACCGAAATTACCATAAATGGAAGGCATATTCCCATAATCTGAAATTATGATTGCTAGAAATGTCACAAATTCTGTTTGTTTTAACACTGATGATTAGTTTGGGAAAACAAACTCTCGATCTCTATAATATAACAAGTTTGGATATTTATACAGTTTTGTTTGTTACTTGCTCGAAAATCAACCTTAAACTTCACCATATTTAGCACTAAATCCGTTATTCTCTCTGCACTTCCCTGGGCCAATTTTTCACATCCTGATTCCTCCGAATTCAATTTTGTCACGAAACTCACAACTCAGGATTCGTTACTTGTTTGATTCCAGCTATTGCCTCGACATCTCTCTCTCTCTCTCTCTCTCTGTCGAAAATCGAAAACAGACAAGGTTGTTTTTTCTATGTTTGTTTCTACAAATGCCACATTTCGTGACGCAGATTCGAGTTTTGATTCAATCTCGTGAAAATGGCTCTTCTCAGACATTCGAATTCGAGCCTCCACATTTTGATTCTCGCTTTGTCTTTCACCATCCGTAGTTTCCTCCTCGTCGAATCACAACAACAACCTCCGATTCCGCAATCTCCGCCACCGCCTCCGCCTCCGCCTCCACCACCACCACCTTCACCACCGCCACCAACACCACCACCTCCACCACCGCCGCCACCTCCTCCGCCACCACCACTTACCAATGCGACCGTGGAAACAGGCATTCCTCCACCGCCTCCTGTCACCGAGATAACCGAGCCTCCATCATCGCCTCCTCCAGCACCGGAGCCGCAGCCGAAGTCAGAGCCCCTTCCACCGCTTCCTGAGCAAGAGCCACGGCCAGCGGAGGAATCGAAGAGAGGTGGATTAAACAAAGGGAAGACAGTGGGGATAGTGTTTGTTGGGTTAATAGCAATGCTGCAGATCTTCGTTGTTGCCTTCTTGGTTTTCAAGAGAAAGCAACTTCTCAGACAGAAAGACACTCACTGACATTCTTCTAACTTACAACCTTCGTTTAACAAAATGTTAGGAGATAGAGAGGAGAGAAGGAAACTGAAAATGTTCATTCATATGTAAAATTGTTTTTAGGAATCTTATCAATTCTCTTATGATTTCATCTTTGAAGATGTAACTGTTTCCACTGTTATATTGGTCCCTTTTCAAGACTTGTTCCTTCTCCAATCTTTACTTATGACATGCTGTTGATGGATACAAAATCCTGATGGTTCGATAAGACTTTGAAGAAAAAAGATAAGAAGCAGACATAGCTTTGCTTAGGCCAGAGTTCTTGTCTGGCTTGAGAGTCTTAATGTAAATATACCATATAAGCCCGGAACTCTATAAATAGATCTTCAACAGTTTGATACATCACACTCACATTTGGATTTTGTTTTCAGAATTTGAGACATTTCTGTACAAAACAAACCAAACTCTGAATCTAAAAGTACCTTTCTCTTCCAAACCAGATATTCTCTTCAGATTTTTTGTACTTTCATTGTGGAAACAAATTTGAAGTTGTGATCGGACTGAGGGACTCTAGCGACCAGAGAAAACAAGAACAAGCACGGTGATCACTAGCGCAACGCTGAATATCAAAGCCTGCAGAAAAAAAAAAATCACAATTTGTGTAGCTGAATTGGTAAAAAAAATCCTCATTTACAGCTTCTTCTTATGTGTTTTGTCATTTTCGATACTCACAGCTATAGCAGAGGCAGCAAGACCGGATCTTTCGCGTGGATCTCTACGGTAATAGTTTGTGAAGTAGAGATACGTAGCAAAGTACCACGCAAATGGGAAGACGAATCCAAGAAGAAACCTTATACAAGAAATGAATCTGCTTTCAGCAAGAAAAACATATGAAAGAAAAAGGATTGAGTGAGTGAGTAGAAGAAGAAGAAGCACTCACGAGAACCATCCGATTCCACAACCGAAGCAAGGAAGAGGCTTATAGAAAAGTCCCAGCTCAGAGTCAGAGTCCTCCTCACCACCACCTATTCGACTATACTTTCCTTTCTTTACTTCCTCTATATCTCCTTCACATATTGTCCATATTACAAAAGGGGATTTGATTATTCTCAATACTTAAACAGAGATAGAGAAATTGAAGAAACAAAATAACTGAACATACTCTCATTCATGGCTAAACAGCTCCAGTGGTTTGTTTATCTGTATCGCTAATTTAACTCAACCTGAAAAAACCAATCAGTAGGGACTACAAATTAACCATTGTTTCTGAGCAGTCCAATACAATAATCTACCAGAGACAAAAACAAAATGTTGTAAGGAAGACAAAGCTAATTCCTTTATAGAGTCAAAAGCAGCAACCAATGTCAAGCGCAGATGAATTGCTAATGTAAACAAAGACAAAGCTGAGTCCTTTATAGAGATTCCAATGTCAAGCAGAGGATTTGGACATTGAAAATCTGAGCAACTTTACTAACAACAAGGACAATAACTCAGGAGAAAATCTCTACATTCCCCGATTTCCAGAATTACAAAAAGAAGAGAAGAACAAGGAATTAGCAGACACCTTGGAAAGTCTGAGGGTTTCCGAGGAGACAGCAATCAAGAAAAACAAGCCTAAATTTTTCCGTGTAAAATTGAAAGAGAGGGAGAGAGAAATCACCGGAAAATGCAAACAAGTTCTTCTACGGACGATCGAGAGAGAGAGAGAGAGAGAGAGAGAGAGAGAGAGAGAGAGATTGCCTGAGAGATTCGGAACCGTAACCTACGGGAAGAGAGATTCTTGCTCTCGTTTCAGATATTTTTTCTTTGTTTTGGGATTGTTTATCCACCTTTGCCACCTGAAGATGAAAATCAATTAAAAACGGCAGTAAAAAAATGGGCAAGTAATTATAGATATGATATTGATTTGTATGTGCAAGTATTTTTCAAAAAATGGGCAAGTATTTTTTAATATATCTAACATTTGTGTATATGTGATTAAACAGACACTTCTAAACAACTCCAATGGTAATCTCCAAATTTCACCATTAAACTTTTTGAAAGGTAGTGTAAAGGTAAAGAGTGGTCCAATTATCAAACTCTTAAACGCATACAGTAAAAGAGAAACTTAAAATCCTTTATTAAGCGGGTCAGGTAAAAAAACTCATGGACCGTAAAATAGAGGGGCTTTGCGATTGGGTCAGGTCCACTGTGGGAGATTGAGATCCACTAATTGTGCATGCAGTATTAAATGATGCAGCACAATCTTATCTTCCTCCTCACGTTTTCAGATTTCTAGGATTTTCGTTTTCAGGTTTTCCTTTTCATTAGCTTTTCCTTTTTTCTCTAACAAGTTATTTTTCCTAAACTAATTGTTTTGCTTCTCATTATATATAGAGCTCTAGGACTTGTAAAGAGACTCACCTTGAACTGTATTCATAAACATCCTTTATCTTTTGATGTCTTCAATGGCAAGTGAAGCGGATGCTACACCCGAAATATGCTCCTTCTCAAGACTCTATCCTCCACACAGAGAGAAGTATCTGCAGGAGGCTTGGTTCATTGTTGAATCCGCTCTCAGCGAATACGGCATCGACTGCGAGCTCAACCTGGTGCTTAGCTTCTCCGTTTTTCTCTTCTTTTGTAATATTTTCGGGTGTGGAGTTTGGTTTATTGATCTTGTTTGGAAATTTGTAGGTGGAACGTTGTATGATTGTTTCAACGACGGCGAAGACGAGAGATCCGTACATGTTCGTCAAAGCTAAGGATTTGCTTAGGCTTCTGGCGAGAAGTGTCTCCGCTCCTCAGGCAATTAAGATTCTGAAAGATGACATGTATTCTGAGATCATCAACATTCGACATTTGGTTCCGAAAAAGGTATAGATTCAATCCTCTCATCATTGAAAGATTTTCAAATTCTACAAAGATATTTGATTGATTGGGCTCTAATGTATCGTTGCAGAAAAGATATGTGGAAAGGAGGCAGCAGCTTTTGGGTCCTAATTCTTCCAACTTGAAGGTTGCTTCTAAGTCCTTATGATTAATTTGTGCATATTATAAATGATTTTCCTTTTCATTAGCCTATTTCCTTTTCCTTGCAAAGTTATTTTTTTGTTTCTCCATATCTATTTTCCTTTCCTTTTCATCAGTAAACTCGCTCAATATGTATCTATTTGTTGTTTGCTCTCCTGCTTGCAGACGCTGGAAGACGTAACCGGCTGTTACATTCGAGTTCAGGTATATAATCGTGTGTTTTTTCTTTCTTTCTTGCATATCGTTTTTCTCTCTACATTATATGTGACATGACTGTTCCTTTGCGATTTGTCTGCCTTCCAACAGGGAAAAACTGTGGCCGTAATGGGTTCTTCTCGAGGTGTCAATAAAGTCAGATTGGCTGTGGAAAAGTGCATGAACGACAAGGGCAAACAGGAAGACAACAGTCTCGAGGAGTTCTACGAAAGCCAGAAACTCCTAGAGGAGAAGGAAGAAGAGGATGCTATGGAATTTTTACTCCTTGCCCAGAAGCTAGGAGTTGTTACTATCAAGGATACTGATCCTCCCACTTTCTCACTGTCCATCGCCTCTATGCAATTTCCCCAACCGTCTTAATATGTACATGTTATGATATAGTTTTGATATGTACATGTTATGTGCATAACTTAGTATCATATTGAGAATGATAAATTTTGTCATCGATGAAATGTTTCTAATCCATTTTCTCGAACCGTCCCTATGCTTATTCTCACTCAGGGATAATATATTATTAAGTAATATATTTGCTCGAATAAAGCTTTATTAATCATCCATATTTTGCTTCTGGTCGTGAATGATCGTATCTAGCTATAATATATAGAATGATTTTTATGTGCTCGATTGAACATGTAACGCATAACTTATATTCAATTAAAGATCAGGAAACTATATCAATAGATAAATAAATAAAAACATAGAAATAATCGATCCAAGCCCAAAAAAAAAGTAACTTTTAGTAGGACTGTTTCCCCTAAAATTAACATAGAAGAAGTTTTAAAAAAACTCAACGATTTCGTCTTTATTTGCGGCTGATGATCTCGTGGACAGTTACTAATATGATCGGAAGGATGGCAAGAACAAGAACAAGCGAGTTATTTTGAGAGGTGTGCGTGGCGTTAGCAGTCGGCGACGCTTGTTGAGTGGTGATGAGTTCGGTTTCCTTGTTGAGAAGCTTCTCGTGAAGCTCTTCAACGGTGATAGGAATGACTCTGTCATTCACCATCTCAGTAACTGTGCAGTAACTGCCTTGGTCATAACGCTTCCCATGTACTCGGTGATCGTTTGCGTACCTTTGAGACTCTTTCTGAGTTGCTGTTTGATTTGTTTGATATGGCGACGAGAAGGTTGGCCATACGTGCGTGCCAAGGTAAGCCATACATCACGTGTGGTTGTTGCACGTGCAACAAAAGGTTGAACGGAGAGCGAGAGAGAGCTGAGTAAGGAGCTGTAAAGCATCTTATCTTGGCGTTTCCAGTGAGCCTGATTCGCATTCGGCAGAGAAACGCCTCTGGTGGTGGTGATGGTTGGTGGTGGAGTGTTATCTGTGTCGCTGATGAAGTGATGCAACTCAAGAGCTTCAAACAAAGCGTAAACTTGAAGTTTCCAAGTAAGGTAGTTGGTTGGTGTGAGCTTGGTTATTCCGGACATGTTGACGAAGATTAGAGAGTTTAATGGTTCCGAGCTATTGTAGATCGGAACGAGCTCGGCTGAGTTGCTGCCGGACATGATTCGCCGTTGGAAATAATCAAATAACAGAGGAGGAGCGGCGGCGACTGTTTTGTTTAGAGAGTTATCAAATTTATTGGTCTTGTTATTGATTAGCGGGCAAGTATTTATACACTGAATCTGATGAATGTGTTTCTTTATCTAGGATAAACATAAATATAAGATATGTATTTACATAAAGATATATGCAAGGAATATTCTAGTTTATCTACACTAATAATTTATCGGAAAATTGTGTGTGTGTGTTTTTTTAAAGATATATAGATAAGTAACTTTCTGCATGTTCATGAGGAAATGCTCTGAAAAATAAACGTTTCTGCTTTAAAGGCAATGCATATAAAACTGATGATTTGTGTCAGATAAGTGCTCAACTTATTTTTGGTTTTTCAACAAAACTAATGTATCGGATTGAACCATTGCTGAGTCGATCGGAACAAAAACTCAGATGTTGTTTTAAGTAACAAAAAAAATTAAATAATGGGGTTGGATAAATAATATGAACATCTAAACGTTAAATATTAATAGTGATTTTGAATTATCTAAATTGATTTTTGATGATGATAACGTTTTTTTGTTTTGTAGTCTATTAAGGACTTGAGTTTCGATTAGCTAAAGAATCAAAACATAGAAAAACGAATGTAAAAAGAGTCTTTAAGAAAATAAAATGATAGAGAGCTTAGTAACTCCTGCCCCAGTAGCTCCATGTCGTGGCCTTCTTTCCAGATGCAAAGCATAGAGTGTCGTCTGCAAGAGAATGTCAAGAGATAAATCAATCAAGAATCGTATATTAGTGGCTAAAATAAACAAGTGATGATGTATGTGTGTCACTAAATTAAACCCACCTTTGAGTTCAGGCTGGTCAAGTGGGGCACATAGAGTCTTTGCTGCTGCTCCTCCTGTTTCTTCTTTGGTACGCTTCTTGACAAGCTCCTCCACTTCGACTTCATCGCACCATGGAGCCAAGATGAGTTTCTTCTGGCTCAGAGCTTCCATGAACTCGTCCCAAGTCTCAACCACTTGAATGCAATTATCCAACTTGGTCTTAGCCGCATCAAAGAGGCTTCTCTGGATTTCGCCGAGAACGTCCCTAACTCGTTCGACCAAGTCTCCTCTGGGGATATCCACCTTAGCTCCAGTGTCACGCCTCACCATTCTCACCTGATTACTGGCCAAGTCCCTGGGACCAATCTCGATTCTCAATGGAACACCCTTCTGCTCCGAGTCTGAGTACTTCCAGCCGCAAGCATAGTTGTCTCGGTTATCTTCTTTAGCACGGAATCCAGCCTCATGCAAGGTGGCTTTAACAGCTTCACACGCTTCGTAGATCATCTTGGTATCAGCACCAATGAAAGGAACTGGGATCACCACAACTTGGACAGGTGCCACCAAAGGAGGGAACACCAAACCTTTGTCATCCCCATGAGTCATCACCATCACTCCAATCTACATAGTACACATATATATAGAGTCATCAAAACCGAGACCCCACAGGAAAACAAAGATCAAGATTCAAGACAAAGAGTGTAATTTAGTTACCGATCTCGTACTGAGGCCCCAGGAGTTCTGCCACACGTTTGATCTGTGTCCCTCCTTGTCTTCAAAGGTGATGTCAAACATGTTGGCAAATCTTTGTCCGAGACTATGTGAAGTCGCAGCTTGAATGCCACGTCCGGTGCTTGGGATGAAAGCCTCCACGCTGGTCGTGTAATTACCACCGGAAAACTTCTCGTTCTCGCTCTTTTTACCCTTGATAACAGGCACCGCAAAGAGCTTCTCGTACACGTCGCTGTAGAGATCCAGAATGTGAAGCACCTCTTTGTCCGCCTCGGCCTGAGTGGCGAAAGCGGTGTGGCCTTCCTGCCAGAGGAACTCACGGCTCCTGATAAAGGGGACAGGGTCGCTAACCTCCCATCTCACAACGTTAACCCACTGGTTAGCCTTGAGAGGAAGGTCACGGTATGATCTAATCTCCTTGCTAAAGTGAGGGTACATAATGGTCTCACTGGTGGGACGTATAGCAAGGGGAACAGCCAACTCGGATTCACCAGCTTTAGTAACCCAAGCAAGCTCGGGAGCAAATCCTTCAATGTGCTTCTTCTCTTTCTCTAGAGCACAAGGTGTTACAAACAGAGGGAAAGTGTGTTCCTCCACGCCCATCTTCTCAATTTTGGCATCAAAGAAAGCCTACAAAAGCGAAATCAGAGCATATTAATATATGAAATCTAAAATCTAAACCAAAAAAGAAAAAAAAAGGATTTGTGCAGAGAACTCTCACTTTTATAAGGTTCCACACTTTGATTGCGGATGGCTTGAGAATGTAGCAGCCTTGTACATCGTAGTAGCTAAGCAATTGACCGCGTATGCAAACCTCAGAATACCACTTGCCAAAGTCATCGTCTTTCTTTACGGACATGCCCAGTCGGGTTTCCTTCTTTATCTCTTTCTGTTTCTGCAGAGTTCTAACACAATTTGGTTTTGGGAAACGAGAATCTCAGCAACCAATAAAAATAAAAAGAAGAAGACAAACCACCGTACCACACAAGTCTCAGCGGAGACGTCCCTTGTGCCTTCTTCGGAGAGCTCCTTAGACATCGCGCCGCCGCCGTTTGTTCAAGGTGATTATCGTAGAGAGAAACCGTGGGCTTCAAGTAACCGATAGAACTAAGAATCAGAGAAGAAGATTTTCTGAATTGTGCTGAATATCATTATGAAGATGAATTATAAGAAAAGCAAAACCGACAGAAAAGTAAACTAGCCAAATATGCGGCTCTCTTATTATGTAAACTATCCTATACCCGGAGAAAACCCTAGTTTTGCTTGCGGAATGCAAAATGGGAAAATATTCAAAATATTTATTGCCTCGTCTCTATTTATTTACTTATATATGAAACAACAAGTTACATCAAATCGAATGTCATGCTAAGAGGTCTGAGCATTTGTTAGATTCACATTCACGTCCCTTAGATGTGAATAAAGAATACAGCACATAATAACAAATGGATTCGTCTTGGATTGAAGTACTATTGCTGAGTGTATCGGAACAAACACCAATCGAATTGTAAATTTATGAGTTCGAAATGAGGCAAAAACTCAAATATTATTTTGATTAACAAAATAAACAATGGGGTTTATTTTACCGACCAACATGATCAATCAGAACCAGCAACGAAACAGTTTACAGTAGAGAAATGCTGAATCTCAACCATATTTATTCCGAGAAACAAAATCTGTTCAACCCTTTTTGCAAAGAAACAGAGATCCAAAAAAATCAAATTGGTTACAGAGTGTTAAACCAGAGAAATGCTTTCATGTGTTTTTTGTCATTGTGTTGTTGCTTCTTTTGTCTTGTTTAGAGCAACATAGATTCAGGGTTCTCCATGTATCCCTTGAATGCTTTCAACCATTCAGCTCCAATGGCACCTGCACAGTGCACACAGAAGAAGATTATATATTATATTCAATTTTACAGTTTCATGATCAATGTATGATATTACAAAACCGAAATTACCGTCTACTACGCGATGGTCACAGCTCAATGTTACAGGCATGTACGAAGCAAACTTGTATTCATCTGGACCATTCCCAGGGACAACTCTCTTTTCAGCTGTTTTTTTTTAAGATTCAGACACATAGCACAAATCGGTTATTGGATCTTTGGGAAGTTAGTAACATATTTGAGAGAGAGAGAGAGAGAGAGAGAGAGAGAGCTCACCAGATCCAACTGCTAGAATGGCGGCTTGAGGGGGATTAACGACTGCACAGAACTGCTTTATTCCAAAAGGACCTCCCAAGTTGGAGACTGTAAATGTTCCTCCCTGAGAAAAAAAAAAAGAGACTATTATTAGCTGATTTTGACGAAAGATGGATATGATCAGTGACTTAGTGAGTCAATTCTCTCACCTCATAATCTTCTGGCTTTAAGCTGTTCTCTTTTGCTTTCTGAGCCAATAATCGAACTTCTTCTCCAATTGTAGAAAGACCTTTCTTGTCTGCATCCTGTAATCAAGGAATTGATAAAATTCAGCAATCTGATGCTTGTGCAATAGTGAAACAAATATATTGAGGAGTGATGTGTTGCACATACCTTCACAACAGGAACATAGAGCCCATTTTCCGTCTGCACAGCGACGTTGATGTTCACGTTTTTAAACCTAATAGAGCAAAGGTTATGTATGATGTTTGCTAAGCCATCCGTATTCAGAATTGTCCATGTACTTACTGGCGGATGTAATCATCAGTCCATGAGCTATTGCACTGAGGAACTTTTCTGAGAGCTAATGCAGCAGCCTGAAACGCGTGAAAATGATAAGATATTTCAGAAGATCCTATGCCTTGCTTGTATATATACACAAGAGGGCTTAAAAGACGTACCTTAACAACAAGATCATTGACGGATATCCGTTTCCCACCAGAAGCCTCTTGGAATGAATTGAGATGACTCCGCAGACTGCATTTACACAAATCGCTTAATCTAGCATATCCATAGAGAACGACTCAAAAATGTATCATCGGACACTTAATACTTACCCCATAAGTTTGTCAACACATGCATCGACGGTTAAGTAATAGTGAGGGATAGTTTGCTTTGAGAATGCCAAACGTGAGGCTGTGACCTGTCAAATTGATACAGTCACAGAGGGGTTTCAGACTCATTGAATCTATTGAAACTGGCTTGACAAACTCGCAATGGTTATGTAGGTTTTACCTTTCGTATCTGAGAATGAGGGATGTCAACATAGTCCAAAGCTGGAACCTTAGAATCAGTGGTCTTAGATGGCTTCGCAGTAGCTTGCTTACCACCTGAGGCTGCACCATTAGAAGATGTTTTAGGACACAAGGATGGGTGAAATACTGTAAGCAGATGTCAAAAAAGCTCTGAAAGAACAAGCAAGGGAAAGGATGAGCCAAGGAGTTAATGATACCTAAGTATTCCTCGATATCTGCCTTGACTATCCGTCCTTCAGGACCTGTGCCGTTGATGCTTGACAGAGGCACCTGGTATTGTATTTAAAGGAAATGAGAAGATAAATTAACCATGAAGACTGAGAACAGAAAGATTTGTTTAGAACATTGTGAAAATACTAACATTATTATCTTCAGCCAACTTTCTTGCAAGAGGACTTGCAAAAACACGATCTCCTGTGGGAGGTGGGCTAGGCTTGGAAGCCTTCGGTTCAGGAGGCGATGATGGCTGTTCAACCTTCTTTTCCTTTGGTGGTGAAGGAGCTGGTTCTTCTTTAGGAGGAGTGGCATCAGCGGTAGATGATGGAGCGTAATCTTTGAACTTTCCAATGTCTTCTTCATCTTCAACTGTAATAGCAATTACCTACTTGAAGGCAAAAGACATTTGCATGATTTTCAAATAGTTCCAGTTGAAATTTGCATATAGGAACTGTGGATCCCAAAATCAATACCCCGAGACCCAAGAGCAACTATAATTATACATAACTCCTCAGAGACCATAAAAGTTTCATACCTCCCCGACTTGAATTTCTTTTGACCCTTCCGCCTTTACAATCTTGGCGAGATAACCCTCTTCCATACATTCCATCTCGACGGTAGCTTTGTCCTAAAGAGCATAAACTTAGTCAGAGTTGTTTTCCCAGCATGAAAATAGAAAATATGAAGATGAGAATAAGCCGAGATTGACATTACAGTTTCAACTTCACAGAGTACTTCACCAGGAGCAACTTTATCCCCTTCTTTTTTCAGCCACTTGGCAATGTTACCCTGAGAATTGGAAAGATCGCTTATTAGAACATAAAGATAAACGGACACAATTTTCTATCAAGAGGTAAACGGTAGTCCATGCCTCAGTCATTGTTGGCGAGAGAGAAGGCATCCCGATCTCTTGATGAGGAGGCAGATCTGAAACACATTTTCAGAAATTCTAGGTAAAAGGAACCAATCTAAAGCTCATACCATCATTAAGCATCCTTAAGTTATGCAATGTTTTCATAAACTGGCCTAGCAGGGAGTCTGCGATGAAGCCCTTAAATAGTTCTAGGAAAGTCATGAAAACTGACATTGCTTAAACAATGCGAAACAGATTATCCTTAGCTAAACTGGAATCGGTGAATATGTATGTAAGAGCAAGGTGACAACTACAGAGTAAAGTGAACAAATGCGCATAAAACAAAAGTAAAGCTTGGGATGAATCACTGACTACCTGAACCCGATGAGAATCCTCTAACTGAGTCCATTGGCATTCCCATTGTTCTGCTTAGTTTTGTTCTCATAGTTGAAAATCTATAAGACACCGGTACCTATATCACAGAATTGACGACATTAATACCACAAAAAAACTATAAAGTTTCCTGCTAGTTAACATGGCCCAACGAGAAGAAACACCGCTACAAGAGTAAAGCAAGGACTTACAGTGCCTGTGCTACATTTGGAAATCCTCTCCACTGGTGAATAGCCAAGACGGGCATTGAAAGTTTCTGAAGAGCATAACAAAACATGCTGAAGCGACAAGCAGAGAGTCTCACAGATACTAACTAACCATGGAACCATATAAAAAGCAAATTACACAATCAAAATTCTACTTCAGGAGGAAGATATTACCTTCAGCGTTTAGAGGAGCTCGATTAGTGTTGGAGAAATAACGGATCGTTGCAGCATTCTCACGCCGCAATAAAGTGGCAAAATCCTTCAACTGTCAAATACACACAAGCACCAAGTGGCGGCGTCAGAGATCTCAATCATTTCCCAGAAGCAAACTCACGCATAAATCACAAAATGATTCCAGGTATATTACAAAGCTCTTAATTTAGCTAATCTAACAACACATTCCCCGTAATTTCAAATTATCACAAAATCAGATGAAACCAAAAATTCAACTGAATCTAGAAAGCAGAAACGATACGACAAACCCAATTCAGGGAATCACTAGCAGATAAAACAACGAACGATCGCTGAAGAGAAAGAAAAAAAACAAAGATGCAAAATGATCGGCGAAAATGAAATCGAGAAACAGTTACCTTCTTGGAATGATTGATGATACGTGACGCATAAGCCATTGGTGTGCAATCGGAACTGCTTCAGCCGATCCGATTTTCGTATTGCAAGGTCTTCTCTGTGTGTTTTAGCTATAAACAATGAAGAAGAAGCTTTTAATCGAAAAACAAAAACGATGGAGAAGAAGCTTTTGGTTCGACCACTGTTAGGGTTTTTAGATTACCTTTTATTTTTGTTTTGATTCTCTCTCAGACTCAGCTTTCTGATTCTCCAAAAGACAGCGAAAATCTGTGATCCGAGCCAGTGACTGGGTGAGACCGCGAGAAAGAGAAAGAGAAAGAGTTGCTTTGTCATCGCAGCATATCGGACGGTCAATATTAAAACTGACTTTTAATATATTTTGTAGGCCTTAACGAAGGCCCGATAAAGCTTATAATGGGCCAACTGGAATGATATGTAGACGATTTTGCATTAAAAGCGTACGAAGAAGAAGCCTTGTATAAATCTTTATATTATTAATTGAGAAGTACATTCTAATGTTTGGATACAAGAATAAGAAAACATCTATTTGGATAGAAGAATAAATGGAAAAAAAAGTTGTTTGGATATAAGAATAAGAGAAAAATCTATTTGGATAGAAGAATAAATGGAAAAAACTGTTTGGATACAAGAATAATAACTTAAAACAAACCGATGGTTTAGAAAACTTCCGTTTTCCAACTCTTAAAAAATCTGCAAAAAATAAAAATTAACATAACTATCGATAATACCAAATCAATAGAATATGATCAAATGATATTTGCAAAATTTCCAATAGTGAAATAGAAATACGTCTAATTTAAATCAAATTGTTTTTGGGATTTTTTTAAAATTTCTGTTCGGTTTGGGTTCGGTTTTTTTGGGTTTAGTTCACGGTTTTCCGGATTTTTTGGATTTTGGGTTTTCGGGTTTAGACATATTAAAAAAACTTTGGTATTTTAAAATTTTTATTAGGGTTTTTAAGTCGGATTCGGGTTTCGGGTGAAAAATTTTCGAGTTTTTTTTTTATTTGGTTCAGGGTTTTCAGGATTTTTTTGATTTTGGATTTTCGGGTTTAGACATATTAAAAGGGTTTGGGTTTTTAAAATTTTGATTAGGGTTTTTGGGTCGGGTTCGAGTTTAAATTTAGATTTTCTTCACAAAACCGCAACGTCATACCGCGCGTTTGCGCGGGTCCTCTACTAGTGCTTTATATTTTGACTTGCAATTTGATTTTTTTTTCAAGACTAATAAAAAGAATACTGAGTTAGGGTATCTTTCTTCGCCGGTGACTGCGACCAAGAAGACAACTTATTTTCTGAAGCGTACGAGTGTGTTGAAGTTAAGACCAAGAAGTGTTTAGAGATGGCAAATCAGAAGACGGCGGAAGAAGAAGAGACGCTTCTCGCCGGGATAGCCAAGTACGGTACCGGAAAGTGGAGGAATATTTTGGAAGATCCTGAGTTCTCCGTTCAACTTCAATATCGCACTAACATTGACCTCAAGGTACGGGAAATTCGCAAAATTATTCCATTTGTCTCTTCGATTTTATTACATGTATGATCGAAATCTTGTTAACTCGTTTTGCGGAATTCCAAAGGATAAATGGCGTAATATGAGTCGTATCAACCCAATTCAGGAGAGAAACCCAAACATGGTTCGCTTCAACGAATAGTACATGAGAGCGATGATGAGGAAACTATAGGTTTGTTACATATGGAGATACTTTAACAGCATATTAGTCTTTCTAAAATAGATATGTTGTTTGATTTTCTGTATTGTTCTTCTAGGTTTTTAAAAGTTTCTAACAGCTTGTGTTGACGTGTTACATTGTTTTCAGGTATTATGCAATGATCGGTGAAGAGGAGGATATATATACATCTAAGTCTTTGTGTTATTTCATGGGTTTTATATGACATTGATGAGCCACTTAATTATCTCATTTTCTTGTTGGACTTCTTTCCTTGGATTTCATTATAAATTTATACACTCGTTTTTCTAGATACAAAAGCTTAAGGTGTTCATGTGCATGTTACACTTTGAACAAATACGCCATGCTTTGTAACAATTGCCAGAGTTAAAGTACGTACAAACTAGCATATTCACAGGTCAATATCTATGGTATATACCATAGTCAAGCTACAAGTTCCAAACAAAAGCCTTGAATTCAGAAATTTCCACGAAGCTACCAAACATATACTCCCTCCGTTTCAAATTAGTTGTCGTTTTGGCAAAATGTATCTGCAAATATTTGGACGTATCTGGAGTATTTGACATTAGAAGAGATGCTTGAGAGAATGGATGTCTCACTAAAAGTTGTCGCAATGGCTGTAAACATAGAGTTCCAAGAGAATGATAGAACCAACCAGTTGTTAAGACAAAGCACCATAATTGGCAGCTAGCCAAAGATCGATGGTTCGGTTCGGATCGGTGACCGATTCTTTGATAGTTCTGGTTTTGAGGAAAAAGAATAATAAATTTGTGATCTGATTTGACTAAACTAACTCATTTTGTTCTTGTTCACTTTTAAGGTTGAATAATTCTGAATGTAGTAGAGGCAAACTAATGATTCTGTTTGTAATGAAAAAGAACTACCTAATGTTTTGACTGTTGTGTTGTTAATAAAAAGTGTTTAGCTGTTTCTTACAAAATGTAAAGAGGTGAAACTGAAAATTTACATAAGGAAAAGAGGAAAGTAGGGGTGAAACTGAAACTTGAAAAAGTAAACAGAAACAACTCTAAAGAGGGTAAAACCCTAAGAAATAGTCGAGCCTCAATCTCGCTTTCTCTCTTTTTATCTCTTTCAAGCTCTTTAATAAAAGTCCTTCACTTGTGCACACTCAACTTTCATCTCCAGGTTCGGAAATCTCTGTTTTTTCTTCCTTCATCAGTTCTTGTTTGCTCATCAAATCGGGATTAAGAGTAATTAGGGTTGAAATTTCCGTGTTTTCAGAGATGGCGAGCAAAATTATCTTGTTCGAGGACATCTTCGTGGTCGATAAGCTAGACCCTGATGGCAAAAAGTTCGATAAAGGTATTCACTTTATTTAATCTCAATCACGATTTTCTATTGCTACTTATCGGCTTAAATCGACGTTTGTTCATAGCTGTGCTTCGTTTCTCTATTGGTCTTAGGTCACTGGGTATTGTCGAAAAATGTCAACTTTGTATAAGTCATTACTCTCCTCCAAGTTTACTCTTAACATTCACTGATTTATGTCTCTGTCTTTGTGTGTGTTTGTTTGTGGTTCACAGTGACACGTGTTCAAGCTACGAGCAACAACTTGGAAATGTTTATGCATTTAGATGTCAACACAGAGATTTATCCTATGGCTGTTGGTGACAAGTTCACACTTGCGTTGGCTCCTACTCTGAATCTCGATGGAACTCCTGATACCGGATATTTTACTCCGGTAATAACAAAATTCTACTCTGCCTTTTGTTTATACACACTCTGATTTTGTTAGTGAACTTTAGCATTAACGGTTATGAGAACCAAAAATGTTGTTTGCTCATCGTGAACATTACTCTTTACGTAGTTTTCGTCTCGATATGAGTTTTACAGGGAGCAAAGAAGACGCTTGCGGATAAGTATGAATACATAATGCACGGGAGGCTTTACAAGATCACTGAGCGTGACGGCAATACTCCTAAAGCGTAAGAATCCAATGATGATTCTTATGTACTCATATAGATCCGATTCAACTTACAGGTCCCATAAGCCATAACCATCATGTTTTGACTTGTTTCTTTCGGATTATGTGTTTGCAGAGAGCTTTATGTTTCGTTCGGTGGCCTTCTGATGTTGCTTCAGGGAGATCCAGCTCATATTTCTCATTTTGAACTTGACCAGAGGCTCTTCCTACTCATGAGGAAGCTTTGAGATGCCATATTTTTCCGCATAAAAACCAAATTAAATTAACAGAGAGCTTTATTAAGCTTCATCTTTGTGCTACATTTGCTACTTTAACCTATGTTATAATTTATTTATTTTTTGTACAAAATCAAGTTTGATGTTAATGTATTCATGGGCAATTCTTTGATCAAAATGCGATTGCATTTGACTAGTTTTGTTCTCACTTTTATCATTTTTTTATAGATGAAATGTTTCTGGTTATAAAGCAACAAATCAAACTTATGCATGCGTTTGTACTAAACGAAGCATTTTGAACGGTCGAGATTAGCTAAGCCTGACCAGATTACGATTTGATGTTTTCGAAGGCCCATTAAAGGCTTATAATAAAGAGGCCCATAAATATAAGAATTTGCCATTTTTGATTTAGAAATAATAAAAAAGAAATAGAAAAGCGGGAAATACTGAATTAGGGGAAAATAGATGTCTTCTTCTTCTCCGATGAGACTCTGATAAACCGTAGACGACGACTGAGTCTCAGAAGCAGCTTACGAGTGTGATTTTATTTATAGGCTTAGGATTAGGGGGTAGTTAGAGTTTCAATCGGAGGAGAATCTGATTCGACAGAGAGAGAGACGACGATGCAAGGGCGTCGGAATAATAAATGGACGGCGGAGGAAGAAAGCGCGCTTCTCGCCGGAATAGCCAAGCACGGTGTCGGAAAGTGGTCGGATATTGTAGACGATCCCCTGCTCAGTGCTCAACTTGCAGGTCGCAATAACATTCAACTCAAGGTATTGAAATCCCCAAAATTCAATTTTTTTTTTTGTTAAATCCCAAAATTCAATTTGAGATTTTTATAATCGAAATTTTGTCTGCTCCGTTGTTTACTCTCCTTGCTCAATTCCAAAGGACAAGTGGCGTAATATACAAAAGCGTGGGAGGCTAGTCGAGGAGAAATCAAAAACGCAAGCAATCAAATCAGCTTCCATTCCCAATTCCAGTGCAAAGACTTCGCCTGTTGTTAGCAACGAACCTTCTCCAAATCGTTCATTAGATATGAGCAATGAATCTAGGTTTGGAAAAATGTTACATTTAGAGATTCTTTGATTTCTCTATTGTTCACTAAGGTTCTTACAAGTTTCTAACAGCTTGTGCTAACGTTTTATCTGATAGCTTCTCGTTTACCTTGTTTCCCCAGGTATCATGCGATGGTTTTTGAAGCGATATCAACAATCGATGATGAAAACGGTTCTGATCTCATTGGGATTCTCAGCTTTATCGAGGTTAAGACGAGGATATATATCTGTTTCTTGCTCAATTTTATTATAATGAGGCAGTTGTCTCAATTTCCTGGTTTCATTATACTCGTTTTATGTTGGTACAAAAGCTTATTTTTGACTTGAAGTGATTCAATAGTTATAGGTTCTCTCACAATCGGTTGTTAAATTGCTAAGTTGTAGTATGATGAGACTTGACTGCAAACATCACCAATGCTCTGCTACATTTTGTTGTGTTATCAGCTTAGGATATCTCTAAACCATATCTATGTTCAGTCCACAATGTTATAACGTCAATGGTATGATCACACTGGATCCAAGTTTGAAGTTATTCTTCTGTGGTTGGTCAATTGCAGGAACGATACGAGGTACCACAAAACTTTACGAAACTGTTGAGTAAAAGCCTGAGAGCCCTTGTTTCTCAAGGAAATCTAGAGAAGGTAAACTAGTTTGTGTGCTTATTGACATTAACAAGAATCAATTCGACATGTTTATACTATTTCATAGAAAATGAAAAGGTAACAATTGCAAATGCAGGTACTAAATCGCTACAAGATCTCAGTCATGGAATGCAAAGTGTTGGAGATATCACCAGATGTGGTAGCAAAGCGAATTGCAGTGGCGGAGAAGAAAGCGTTTATAGCAGCAGAGGCAGTCAAAGAAGCAGAACGAATGCAACAGTTGGCAGAAGAAAGCGAATTGACGCTTCAATTAGTCTTAGATATCCATGAGCAATGTAACCTCAAGAACAACCTACATTACACATTCATTGACCATTAGACTTTAATCACTATCATGATCATCATTGTCTTTTTGCTTCGTTTCTTGCAGGTGCTCTTGGCAAAAGGGTTTTCTTACGGTAAAAAGCTTTCTACTAGTTTACGACTATGATAGTAAACCAAGTAAATAACTTTACTTTCTGGTTTTGTTAGTTTGACAAAAGAGTAGACAGGTGATTTCACTGGACTTACTAACCATTTTGTGTTTCTGGTTGTATGTCCATTGTTCTGTACTTCTGTTAAATTAAAGAAGTGCTTAGCATTTAATTTAGATTGTTACTTTTCTTCTAAATAATTATATGTGTGTTGATCTCTTGAGAATGCTTTGCCAAGTCATAATGCATCAAAAGTTGCTGGAAAGATTAAAGTGGTATGAAAAGTTTGATTCATATTTCCAATTGATAAACAACATTGCGTTTCAATTTGTGATAAAAGTCCCTTTTGACTTTTTTTTTTTTAATAAGGTGTAAATTGTAAAGTAACTTTTTTCTTTGGGTCCAAAATGTAAAATAACTAAATAAACGAATATTTCTTGTTTTCCCCACGAAGTTTAGGAAATAACAAAGGCGGTGGAAAACTGAAAAAAGGAAAAGAAAAAGGGGCAAAAGTGGAACTTCCTAAATAGATTGGGAGAACAATTCCTAGGAGGAAACCCTAAACGCCACAGAAATACAAGGGGACTATAAAAACTGGTTTACACGTATTAAGCAGTCTCTCTCTCTACCTCAAATTTTATTGCTCTCTCTCGCTTTCGTTTATCTCTTACATCGCTTTAGATCCGTGTTCGTGTCTCAAGCACTCTTAAGAAACTTCATCACTTTTGCTCTCAAGCTCTTACCTCTCTCCTTCAACTCAATCTCCAGGTTCGGATACATCTTTTTTCTTTTTAATTTATCGATTCCTTTATTTTCGATGAACGATTGGATTTCTCTGTCTCGATTTGATAGTTTTTTTCAGTTTCATCTGTAAATCTGTGCTGTCTTTGAGTCTTATTGCTGAAACCCTTACTTTCTCACGATTTGTTTATAAGCTGATGATGATAACAAGTTTGACAAGAATAGATCTAACCAATCTTAACTCATCCAATAGGTTAGCTTTGATTTTGCAACACTTTTATGGAGAGAACATATATATTTGAATGGTATCTATGATATTGGATGAACCATAAGCCTATTTCTCTCCTGACATCAATATTACGTTCAGATATTAATGCTTGTATTCCACTCTTTATGGATTTTCAAGTTTGGCTATTCTGTTACATTCTTCCTTGTTTGCAGAAATTATTCATGTAAAGAGTGATTTAGTCGCTCTCTTTTGCTGATTTATGGCTTGTTTTTGTTTGTGTGTAGTCATGGCAGGTTCGGCACCAGAAGGTTCGCAGTTTGATACGCGTCAGTTTGACCAGAAGCTCAATGAAGTGTAAGTCTTGAGATATATACTTTCAATACTTGTCCCTTGCCGTGTAGTCTGCTGTTTTTGCTTATGTTGATGCTCTATGTGTGCAGTCTCGAAGGACAGGATGAGTTCTTCACCTCATACGATGAGGTCCACGAGAGCTTTGATGCCATGGGCTTGCAAGAAAACCTCCTTAGGGGTATCTATGCCTATGGTAAGTGAACAAGAATAACTTTTTTGTGTGTTGTTTTTGGGATTCTTGTAAGCTTTATCTTATGAGTTTGATGTATTTGTTTTGTAGGTTTTGAAAAGCCATCTGCCATCCAGCAAAGAGGAATTGTTCCCTTTTGCAATGGTCTTGATGTGATCCAGCAGGCACAGTCTGGTACTGGAAAGACGGCCACTTTCTGCTCTGGAGTCTTGCAGCAGCTCGACTTCACCCTTGTCCAGTGCCAGGCTCTCGTCTTGGCTCCAACCAGGGAGCTTGCTCAGCAGATCGAGAAGGTCATGCGTGCTCTTGGTGATTACCTTGGTGTCAAGGTTCATGCCTGTGTTGGTGGAACCAGTGTCCGTGAGGACCAGCGCATTCTCCAAGCTGGTGTTCATGTTGTGGTTGGAACTCCTGGACGTGTCTTCGACATGCTTAGGAGACAGTCTCTTCGTCCTGACTGCATCAAGATGTTTGTCCTTGATGAAGCTGATGAGATGCTCTCTCGTGGTTTCAAGGATCAGGTTTGTTGATTGATATTGTTGCAAAGTTTGAGTCTTTCCTTTTGATATTGTTAAACTCTGATATTGACTTGGTTGCTTTTATGATGGTGAATTTTTAGATCTATGACATCTTCCAGCTTCTCCCACCAAAGATTCAGGTTGGTGTGTTCTCAGCGACAATGCCACCAGAAGCTCTGGAGATCACAAGGAAGTTCATGAGCAAACCAGTGAGGATCTTGGTGAAACGTGACGAGCTCACACTTGAAGGTATCAAGCAGTTCTACGTGAACGTGGAGAAAGAGGAGTGGAAGCTCGAGACTCTCTGTGACCTGTACGAGACTCTGGCCATCACTCAGAGTGTCATCTTCGTCAACACTCGTCGCAAGGTCGACTGGCTCACTGAGAAAATGAGAGGCCGTGACCACACAGTCTCTGCGACTCACGGAGACATGGACCAGAACACAAGAGACATCATCATGAGAGAGTTCAGGTCCGGCTCTTCCCGTGTCCTCATCACAACCGATCTCTTGGCTCGTGGTATCGATGTTCAGCAGGTGTCTCTGGTCATCAACTTTGACCTCCCAACTCAGCCGGAGAACTACCTTCACCGTATCGGAAGAAGTGGAAGGTTTGGGAGGAAAGGTGTGGCGATCAACTTTGTGACTAGTGATGATGAGAGGATGCTTTCTGATATTCAGAGATTTTACAATGTTACCGTTGAGGAGCTTCCATCAAACGTTGCCGATCTGCTTTGAAGAAGAAGGAAAGCCACCGTTGTTCTGCCGGAGAAGAAGAAAAAAGGATACTTGGTTTGCAAGTTTCTTATTTGATTTTTGACCAATCTCTGTCTCTCTTTTGATTTTCTAGTATTCATCAAACTCTTTCGAACATATGTCTCTCCTGACTATTTTTCTTTTGAATCTCATGCAACCCTATTTATTATTTCTCGTTTTGTATGATGCTCAAATCTTTCATATTAGGCGTGGGTATTAAGATCTTTTTAGGATTTAATAAATCATAACTGCTCTGCTAAAACAAGTTAATTTGTTCGAGCAGTTTATTTGATTAATGGGGTCGATAACCATCTTTAATGTGGCTATAAAATTCGTGGCCATATAACGTTTCGCGCTAAATTCTGCCAGACGAAGATATGAAAGTTTGGTATATATATAACCTTAACTAGAGAAAACTGCTTACGCTTTGAAAAAAATAATATTTCAAAGTACAAACAATCACTAAAAAATAAATTGGAGATGGTCTAATCAGTAATCAAATCTGTTTTTTTGTCTTTCCATCAGTACTAATGTACACATACACAAACACAACACAACAATATTCCCCTCTTTTTCCTTCTACCTTTGTCTATAGTTATATATAAACGAACTTGAAGAATGAGAAATCAAAAAGTATATAAAAAGTTTCTTCTTTTTTTTTTTTTTTTGTATCTAATCTTCAATCAAATTTTAGAAAACAATGAGTTAAAACAAAACTTACTTGGCCTCAAATCAAGTCTGTTGTGAGTTTGAAGTTGTATCATTAGAAGAAGTCCCACTCATGACACTTAACACCGAATGTTTCCTCTGAAGCTTCCCTTTTAGCTGCCTGATCTTAGCATCGACTCTAGCCGTGAACCCGATCTTTGTCTTCTCTCTAGCCTTTGACTTCTCTCGTTTCCACATTCGCTCGTCCTCTAAATCGATCCTGAAATGCTTGATCTCTTGTATTATGTGATGGTCCAGAGGGTTCACCGATCTCTGGTATGAGATGTGAACCAAGTAAGGGAGCGTTGTGGCGGCTATGACCAGCAGTGAGGTTAGCCAGAAGATCGGTGCAGGCGCTAGAGTCTCGACGAGCATGTGAAAGATGTTACCGGAGAGTTTTGGTGGTAACATACCGTAAAGGGCAAGGAAGATGTACCAAGCTCCTATGCTTCCCCAAATCATTACGTGTTGGATCCAAGTGAAGTGGCTCATGGTTAATGCGATTTGAACATTTACCGACCAGATGATGCAAGTGAACATGGCGGTTCCCATGGCGTTCATGTCTGCGGTTTGGCCATCAGAGCGGAATGATTGGACATGGAAGATTCCGAGGTTGAGTGTGAAGATGACTATGGATGCGTAAACTCCATTGGCCATCCATCCGATGATTCTGTACCAGTCGAAGAACAGGTTCTTGGGGCCTTGCTGGTACAATGCAGGGAACTAGAAAACAAAAAGGAGAATAAATTTAAAAAGGTTTTGTTTTTTTTCAATTTCTGATGTGAAGATGATGGAGAGGACTGTAACCTGTAAGCAGACATCAGAAGGAACATCTTGCTCGAAAACTCCAAGGGAGATGACGGGGAGAGAAGTGAGAACAACGTTGAAGAGTAATAAGTAGGAGTCGTTGTATATTGATTGACCAGAGAATCCGGTAAAGGCTTCGAAGTAGAAGAGAGTTAGTCCAAACGTTATGTTCTTGTAGAAGAAATAACAAATCTGTGGAAACAAAAGTCACAAATCAAGCTCTGTTTTCTAGTGAGTTTATATCAATTATTGAAACGCATATGTATATTACCATCTGGGCTATTCTTTTGTAGCACCAGTGTCCATGGACAACAAGTAGTCTCTCCAAGAACCGAAACTGGGCTATGGAGAAGTCACTTGCCATTACAGCCTGCAATAAATCAGAAACAGAGTTTTCTCAGAAAAACGGATGATGAAACTAAACTGTCTCAATAATTGTGTGAAAGAAAAGTTTAAGCACCTGCATGCCTTCAACGCCACTGATTCCAACACCAATATCAGCTTCTTGAATCATTCCAACATCATTTGCACCATCACCGATTGCCAAAGTTGTTTTTCCTGTTCCTTCTTTCGCTAGCCTTGTTACCTAAAAAACCAAGATAAACAATATCAGTGTTCATGTGTCTGAAGGAAAAAGATGTTTTAAGACTTTAGTGGTTTTATTCGTACAAGTGCTTTCTGTTTGGGAGAGACACGACAGCATATGACTGATGCACAGTCGACTGCAAGGGCAAGAAACTGATACTTGACATCATCCTTCAAAGCATATGTAAGTGTCTTCCCATCAATGATCAAAGCAAACGCTGCATGTGGATCCTTTTCAATTTTGATCATCTGTGAAGCATTTGTGATCTGCCTCACAATATTCTCCTTTGCAGCCTGACCATTAAACGAGACTTTTCACATCACATGCAACATTCTACTGAAACACTAATTTAGGATTCAGTAGTAACGACAAAATAATACATACAACTTCAGAGTCTTGTGATGATTCCTCTACATTTGTAAATGAAATCGATATCTGCTTCATACCCTGTCGAAGTAAACTGCAGGCATATCTGCATTTTGCCAACAAAAGAACTTAGTCCACTTAGAGGAAAGTCTATTCGGGAAAACAAAATCAGTTTCAGGGTCTGTGGAATCAGCAAGAAAGAAGAACAAACCCTATGTTTATTGCTGTCTCCATCTTATCTCCTGTCAAAACCCAAATCTTGAGACCAGCTTGGGCAAGGTTATCTATGCATTGAGGAACCTAAAGTCAACAACAAACAGTAAGCTGAAAGATCTTGGTAAATTACAAATCACAATGAACTGTGCTTCTAATTACCCCTTTTTGCAGTTTGTCCTCCACAGCAGTAGCTCCAACAAGGATCAATTCCTTCTCCATCATATCCGATACCTTTTCGAGCATTTCATCTCTATCAGCTCCAACTGAAGTTTTTGCTTTGTGAAATTCATTATTCCATGCTGAGTATTCGTTTTCATCCAGCTTTCTGTAACCAAGAGCCAATGTGCGTAAACCCGCTTCACCATACTCATTCAAGTGCTTGGTAGTAGGTCCTAGATAATCTTTCCCTTTCTTTGATAAACGTTCAAATATGATGCTGCAAAATTCAAGAAAAAGCCATTAAAGTTTTTTGCTTAGAAGAATTGAGAAGCAATATAGAAAAATTATGCAGCCAAACCTGTCAGCCCCTTTACAGAGTAGAAGAATCTGCCCTTCCTCATCTCGGATAATGGCAGACATTCTTTTTCTTTTGCTAGTGAAGTCCAATAGATTTAATATTTTGTATTCTCTGTAAAATAAACCATGACATGGTTAGGTTAGTCATCTATACGCAGAAATCAATGGAGAAAAACTTGATTAAAGTTACAATCTCACCTATCAACTGGATGGCCTGAAGGTGAAAACCGTTCAGTTATAAACACACTTGACTGAGTTCTCTTAGTAAACTCAAAACCAAATTCCTTAGCAGCAACAAGGAAAGCAACTTCATCAGGAGACTCAGCTTCATAAGTACACTTCCCAGTGTCTTCATCCACCTCAGGAATAGCAGTGTGACAAACCGCGAGTATGCGGAAAAACATCAAAATGTCATCTGAGTTTGGCTCATTTAGCCAGTTTTCATCCATCAGACGGTGATCCTCAAAACTAAACCCCTTAACACCAATGCTCTGCTTCCGGTCATTGTCGTCGCTAGCAGTGATGACAGTCTCCAATTCAAAATCATCTGATAACGTCTTACTTGCCAGTTTCGAGTATCGTTGCGTCCTGCCTTTAGACATCGGAGTGTTTTTAGCTTCCTCACCTTGCTCCTCGAGATCCATCGCCATCTGTTTGGCAGCAGCTAGCTCTACTTCACTGGCACGGACACCATAAGAAGTACCAGCAATCGAGCATTTCAGAAAGTCCATCTGGTTACACGTCAAAGTTCCTGTTTTATCAGAGAGGATCGTATCAACTTGTCCCAGCTCCTCGTTTAAGTTCGACGTGCGTGCGTTAGCTGGAGTCCCGCTATCGCTGTCATACATTTTCAGGTCTTGGTTTATGAAAGTCGCTTGCAAGACTTTAACCAGCTCAATGGAGACGTACAGCGAGATGGGAATCAAGTAGCCATAAAGAAGGAGAGCAGTGAAGAGATGGACAACCCAAGCGTACAGAGGATTCGTGGGATTCGTTAAGCTCTCAGGCTTGTCTGGTCGCAAGTACCACCAATCCGCCATTAGAAGCTTCGTCATCAACGCAAATCCCAGAGAGCTGATGAAGGAGACAAACAAAAGCAGAGCGAAGAGAGTGTAGATAATGTAATCCATCCTCTTCTCAATCTTGCTTCTCTTGGAAGGAGACTTTGTCGAATTCTGCATCACCTTTGTGTCATGCCCAGTAAACACCACAACCCCATAGATATACGTCGTGTTCCTCAGCTTAGAGTCTCTCAAGAGAATCATGTTAGGATCAAGTGGATAAACCTGACCATCACACTCAAGATTCCCAACGAACGTGTACAGATTCGGATTCGGATCTTCGCATTTGATCGTCCCAGAGAAATCCTGAAAAGACTCATCCCTCTCAAATCCCAATGTAGCATCCAAACATCTCTTAACTTTCAAGTTAGTCTCTCCATCTAAGTTCATCGTCTCCACATAACAGATCCCATCGTCGTAACTCGACGACAAAAGAAGCAAATCCGCCGGAAAAAACTGATCTTTCTCAACTCTAACAACATCCCCAACACGTATCTTCTTCCACGCCCTGCGTCCAAACTCGCCACTACCTCTGTGAACACTAGCTTTCCTCGAATTCACCTCAACGTCCTGCATAAACCTCCGCCAATCCTCCAACGCCTCTTTCCCCATACTCAACCCCACGACGAAAACCAGAGGAGCAATCATGCTCCATTTGTTAAACGGAGAGAGAGGGAACACGGAGAGGATTGCAGCAACGAGGAAGTAGAAATTGGCGACGCGGTGGAATTGCTCGTACAAGCATTTGGGTAGGAAAGTGAGCAGGTTGTACCTTGTGGTTGATACGTAGTTTGATCGGTACCGGAGGAGCTTCGTCGCCAGGTGCATGTGAGGCTGGTTACAATGGACGATTCTCGTGTAGCCAGGACCGTTTATGACGTGAGGGCCTTGATCGTCGAGCGTTTTTGGCCTGAGGCATTTAAAGGTGTAGAAATGGCTTTTACGGATCCTTGATCTAATTCTACGACGAGCCATTTAAATTGATTCTACGAAGCTTTTTTCTCTTTCTCTCGTTAACTGTTGAAGAAACTCTCGATTCTGCCAAATTACAAACCAAAATGAAGAACACGTTATTAGCTTACGCATCCCAAATCGGAGGCTCCATTTAGGTTATTTCAGTTGCCTGAGTATCAGAAATTTCCGATAAACGATGACAATCGAAATGTAATTCAGAAACCTAAGATCCGGAATTTGTGAATCTAATTGCATACAAACATTTTCCCAGAAACCCCGAAAAACTTGGAGCACAAGACAGAGGAAATCCCTTGAACATTATTACGTCGTAGACAGAGATCGGAGGAATTTCCGTCGCGAGATTACCTGAAATCGGGAGGGTCGTTCATGATCAATACGAAGAAACTGGTTGAAAATGAAAATCACCGATTCTCGACGTGAGAAGAGGAACGAACGAAGGAAACAAAAAAAAAGGTACGAGAGAGATCGAAAAATTGGAGGGAGAAGGAGAGGCTGGCTCTTCTCGTTTTTCTCAGCTTTTTTCTCTCTCTCTAAAGAAGGAAGAGAGAGGCAAATCTCTCTCTCTCTCGATTTCACTCTCTCCCACTGCAACTCAAAACCAACGCAGCAAATTCCGTTTCCCTTCTCTCTCTCTCTCTCTCAAAATGCTCTAATTAAATTCAGCTTCCTAAAATTTTATATTTCAGAAATTTTTAACCATTTTTATTTGTTTTTACTTTTGAGTTTTAGTAAACAAAATAAAACGTTTGATTAATGCCTGCAATTGGTCTGTCCCAAAGTTATAGATTCCTTGCAATCAGCTATAACATAAGAAAAAAAAACTTATCTTTTGCTTAGAAAATGAGCACAAAGAAGTATGTACACTATCTTTTTTTAATTAGGTAGAACCAGTAACTTTTTAGGTGCTTCACTGACTAATTAAATCGTTAACCATAGAATTTTCTGCATTTTCTTATATTTTTCTGTAAACTATGTATAGTGGATTGTACAGAGACACTCACTCAGTCTACTACTATGACTGAAATCTTCCGTACAAGAGCAGGTACCACATGAACAAATGGTTGAAACACCGGTTTAGACCGTTCTTGGTTTATGCAATCAGACCGTAAAACCTCCTCTAACGTCACGTTTAGCACTCGGTTTTAGCTTTTCTATTGTAAGCCATGGATGAATATCACTCAAATTCACAAAGCAAGCTTTATTAATAATAATAATCTCACACTATAGATGCAAAGGAAAAGTTGATACATTTATACTCGCTCATAAGCAAACCCACAATATAAAAAGCATTAATACATAAGTTGATTGTTTTATACTGCCTTCTTAGAGACTAGCTGGATTTGATTCCGCAAATTTCAAGTTGTTGAGCCGAAGATGAACAACAAGTATATCTAGAAATTCGCTCAAAAACCATGGATCTTGATGTTATCCTTCTTCACAAGACCAGCCTGATTCAACCACTCTTAATCATCAGCATACAATGTTCCCATCTTTTGCTATCATGTATAAACTAAACCTCAAAGGTGTTACGGTAATTACCTGAACAAGGAAGGTAGAGACGTTCTTCCTCTGATCACCTTGAAGCTGAATAACCTGTCCTAGCTCAGAGTCCTGGACGACAGTGCCATTGCAGCAGAATTCTTTCTTGAGGTCTTTAAGGATCTTGCTATAGCTATACTCTTTCTTGAGTCCCTGGACAGTCGTCAGGCTTTTTCTACCATTACGCTGCTGAACACGTATGTGCACGTATTCCTTTGTTCCAGCACCAGCGTCCTCAGCATTTGCATCAGCAAACGGATCTTTTTATCAACATCACCCAAAACACCAAACACAATTAGCTTAAGATACTCCATTTACAATACACATTTATACATCCACAGAAAGTTATTGAATCAGGAAAAAAAAACGACAATTCAGATGAAACTGTACCAAAGGCAGTGGGGACTTGAACTTCAAGATCAGACATGAACCTTAGTTGAAACAAGGGTAGCGAACGACAAGGATGCTTAGGCCTGTAAAAAAAAAATGAGCAAACTTTAAGAACGCTCGGTCCAAAAGGAGAATTGATTTCAATTACATAACGTCAAAGTGTGGAATCGTGATTGTAGTGGTAACTAATTGAGATGATGATCATAAACAAATACTAAATAAACCAAATTCTGCAAAAAGGAAAGTCTCAATTGCGTAAACATATCATAAAATTACAAAATACAGCATGATATTCTCAGGATCTAGAAACCCGATGTCGATTTCTACAAAATTAAAAAAAAAATGGTTTTTGAGTCAACTTCTTCTGGAAAACAAAAACAAAAAAATCAAGCTCGATCATTTTGCGAATAAAAACATACTAACAGCTTATCCGGATCAGAGCATCTGGGAAAAAAAAGTCTAATCGATCAAAGAGAAGGGAAAAAACAATAAACTTCGTAGAGATCATGGAATTGAGTATTGGAAAAGACGAAGCACAGCAACAACAATTCAGTAAGGAGACAGAGATAAATTTCCACCTGATGAAGAGATTAGGGTTTCGATGATTTGATTGAACGGGAAGGGGGAAGAAATGGAAACCCTAAATTCGGATGAAGGCAGCTTCTGTCTGGGAGAAGAGGAAGAGAGAAATGTTACGAGAGGAAGAGCTACAAAATCGATTTCGATTAAATAAAATTAATTCTAAATTGTTTTTTGTTTATTCTTATTTTTAAGCGGAAAATAATAAAGACGGCGAGTCGGCACGGCATCGATTCCCTCCCACTCATCTACTTGCGTACTTATCTTAACAAAACATTTATTCCGAGGACCAAAACGATAAAACAAAAAAGTTAAAAGTTTCTATTGGGCCCTATCAAAAGCCCAACTTATGATTCATAAGATCGAGATCCTAAAAAACATTATTGGATTTTTACACAGTTTAGTGTGATGCAAGGCACCATACAAGAAAAATCAAATCTATCACGTTTTACGGACACGTTTAATGCTTACCAGTCGACCAAACTTCATCAAAGAAAGCACTTTATCGATCAGACAAGATAGAAATTGTGTCACTTGGACTTGGTCGGCGTGAACTGCATGAGGTTGTACTTTGCCAGCTCTTCCTACTTCTGTCTAGTTTTCGTATTTATCTGAACTTAGTCGAAATTTTATCCCGAAGAAGAAAAATAAATAGATTCTTATTAAAAAAACAGTCCGTGTCTTATGTTAACACATGCATCTAAATCCCAACTTGTTAATTATTCCCAATTCCTACGACATTTTAAACCCTAAAATCTACATCTAAAAATAAATCCGAAAGAATTTAAAGGTTTAACAAAATAACAATCAGTTTTGTTTGGGCAAAATTTAACCGGTTCGCAAGTACAATAAACGGAATGACACAGAAGAAGATATCTTATTAATCAATTGAATATCAAGCTACAACAAGTCAATATCAAAGATTAAACTAAGAGAATCTCGTCTGTCGCTCGTCGTAGATCGTAGTTCGTCGTATTTAGGTTGTTCGTCGCTTGCTCGTCAAGAGGCAAAGAACAAGTAGCTATTAGTAGGCCTGGGAATTCGGGTAACCGGTCGGGTTCGGGTCGGATAATTCGGGTTTCGGGTCTAGAAATTTGGAACCGTTCAGGTATTTGGTCGGGTTCGGGTCGGATTCGGGTTTTAATATTCGGGTTCGGGTCGGTTTTCGGGTTGAACCTAGAACCCGAGAAAAAACCGAATCTAATTATCGGGTAATTATCGGGTTTTCGGGTTTTTTTGTACCCGAATCTAATTCACAAACCCGAAAATCAGAAAATCAATTTCGTTTTCAGAGAAAGAAGAACAAATCAATTCTGTCCAAATGCTTTGTAACAAACATGCAAGTGATTGGTGGAAGAATCGGTGGACATCGGTGGCTTGAACAATCGTTTAACTTGAAATAAAGAGGAGCACAAATATAGCGAGAGGAAGAATTGCAAACCATTAATAGAATCTCACAAACCTAACACAACAAAGGGGCAAAAGAAGCCAAGTAAAGAGATTTTGAAATGATGATAATTAGAAAACAGGTTAAACGAGATCAGAGAAAAAATTTAGGTGCCGCATCTTCGGATTCTTCTGTATTTGCATTTGCAGAGCAAATTTATGTGAGATCTGGACTTTTATTTCTAGGTCTTTGTTTAATGAATATGGACGGCTAAGATATATTGGTAAGACAGTTGCTTTGGTGTGAATGATCACACAGGATCATCTCTTATACCAAACCACACGTGGGATTATATTTTTTAATAATCGGTTTTCGGTTATTGCTTCGGTTATCGGGTATAAACCGAACCGAACCGAACCCGATCTCAACTCAATATCAAAACCGATCAGTTATTTTGGCAAACCCGAACCCGTCTCGGGTCGGTTATTTCGGGTCGGAAACGGTTTCGGTTATCGGGCTCGGCCTAAAGTCGCAGGCCTAGCTATTAGGGTTTTTGTGTGTTTTCTGATTGTCCCATGTCCTTGTTATGGGACTTCTTATTTATAGGTGCTTCGATCCTAATCCTTGTTGAGTTGGGCTTTGACGTCGGTCGTAATATTCCATTTCCCTTGTCGGTCATTCCTCTTAATTTCCTTTTGATTAGGAGGTTACGTCGGTCCTTTTATATAATTCCAATAGACTTAGGAAATTACATAAAACCTTGGGTTGTTGGTAGACTGTTAGTCGTTGCTATACCATTAATGAATATCGTCGGTCGTACCTCGTTATAGAGGTACGTTGATGCTTGAGGCTTTTTAGGAAACTTGCAGTAGGACTGACCGGTCGATTACATCGTCAGTCGATCATATCTCCAGCTTATAATAGAGTTAAGGAGCGAACGACTAGTGAATTTTTTTCACCCAACAAGCTTCTCTTTCTTTTTCTCTTTTCTTTTAAGTAAAGGAAAGAATTCATGCATCTTTCCTTTTCTTTTTCTACAAAAGGTTCTCTATAAAGCCGATTTTACCACAGAACGAACAGCAGCATATATAAAAAGATTAGGATATAGGAAAAAGAAGGGTTGACCGCCAAAGACCCCCCATACAATACCACTTCCGCTTATACACACCCAAACTTTTCATATCTGTCGATTCCCACCCAATGTTTCAATTTCTTTCTATTCCCCCAAATCGAATTAAAACCTGTAATCCACGTTTGAAACACTTAAATCACGTTTTATCAAGAGCGATTCCCCAACTTAAACCCGATTAACTCCGATGTTTCATATGTAATCCGACCCAAAAACCTTTCTTTCTAAAACCCATAACCCGACACTTTTTTTCTCTCAAATCAGAAATCGAATTTCAAAATCGAGGCTTGTATTTTTGATTCCTGGGTTTGTCGACCTTCTGTGTTCATCAGAGGTAGAAGAAGGGTTCATCTATCTCGTTTTCGATGAGGTATGTGATTTGAATTTCTGGGTTTGTAAAGCTTGGCTTGATTGGAAAATCCATCTCTTTAGAGTGTAATATGTAGGTTTCATCTTGATTTGAGTACATTGCTTGATTATATGATAGTTTCGTTTAACTCTTAATCTGTTTGCTCGATATGTGTTATGTGATTCTCAATTGCTCTTTCATTTTTTTCTGATTTCTTGTTCACAGTGTCACTTTCAATGTCAACATATATTATGGAGGAGATATGGAGTTTAAGGATAAGGAGGTCACCTACAATGGAGGAGCTTTTGAGCAAGACATACTTGTCGATCCTGATTACATGACTTGGAGTGTTTTTGATGAATTTTGTGAGAAGCATGGATTAGGTGACACTTCTGTGGAACAGGTCTGGTACAAGCTGCGAGATGAGGACATGGATTCAATAAGGAGCATTGCTTATCTCAGTTCTGATGCAGGACTTATGCGAATGTGTGAAGAAGCCATGTATGGAGGTGATGTTGATGTCTTCCTTCAGCACAAAAACGAATGTGAGAAGCAAAGTGAGAAGGAAAGCGAGAAAGAACAAGAGAAGGAGAAGGAAGGAGATACAGAAAGTGAGAAGGATGCTGCAGAGGTTGGAGTTAACCAAACAGAGATGGGATATGAAAGTGAGAAGAATGCTGCAGAGAATGAGGAAGATAAGAAAACTAGAAAGAGTAAAAAGGTTCAGATTTTAGAATATGAAGAGGATATAGGTGAACGATATGAGGTAGAGATTGAGGATGGAGTAGAGAATTTTGTTGATGAGGAAGTGGTCTTGTGTAGTATAATGCCTGACACGTCTTCTGATAGCGAGCAAGAGGATGATTTAGTTGTAAGAAAGAGACGTATGAAAAAGAAAAAGAGTGAGAGATTAGCTCTGGGAAGTACTTACTGGACGGGCTATGAGTTTAAGGAAGCAGTTTTAGAGTATGCTTTGGACAAAGCAATGGACATCAAGCAAGATAGATGGGATAAGACAAAAATAGGATATAAATGTGCTGCCGATTGGAAGTGCAAATGGAAGCTTTATTGCTCTTATGATAAGCAAATAGAGAAGTGGGTTCTGAAGACAAAGTGCGGATATCACAGCTGTACACCTAATGGGAAATGCACTATGCTAAAAGGTCACGTGATTGCAAGATTGTTCTTAGATAAACTGAGGCAAAAGCCTAAGCTAATGCCTAAAGATATTCAAGGTCTTATCAAAGAAAATTGGGGAATTATGAGCACAATCAATCAATGTCAGAATGGAAGATTGCTAGCTCTGAAATGGCTTGAGAGAGAGTATGATCAACAGTTTGCCCATATCCATGGATATGTTGAAGAGATACGCAAGAGAAACAAGAGATCAACAGCCATTGTTGAAACATATCGAAATGCCAAGAAAGTGGAAGTCTTTGACCGGTTTTATGTGTGTTTCGATAGGCTGAGAAGAAGATGGAAGAGTTCTTGTCGGCCAATCATTGGTCTTGATGGAACTTTCTTAAAGGTGGGAGTGAAAGGAGTTTTACTCACTGCGGTTGGACATGACGCAAATAATCAGATATATCCAGTTGCTTGGGCTGTGGCACAAGCTGAGAATGGAGACAATTGGTTATGGTTTATCAAGCTGATTAAAGCTGACTTGGGGCTTGAAGATGGTGATGGCTACGTCATGATTTCTGACAGAGCAAAAGTAAGTAACATCTCTTTGTTATTTTTTTCTCGCTTTGGCTACTATCTTTTCTCATTTCTTGTTCTCGTAGTAACATCTAAACTTTTTGTAATTTAAGGGACTACTAAGTGCAGTTAAAGCTGAGCTACCTAAAGCGGAGCATAGAATGTGTGTGAAACACATTGTTGAAAATTTGAAGAAGAACCATGCGAAGAAAGATCTCTTAAAGATGCATGTTTGGAACATTGCTCGGAGTTGTAACATGGCTGATTACCGCGAGAATCTTAGAAAACTGAGAGAGTATGATGCTCCTCTGTTTGAGGCTGTGATGAATGAGGATCCACGGTCTTGGACATTAGCATTTTATAAACTTGGGAGCTTCTGCGATAATGTGGAGAACAATTCCACAGAATCTTTCAACGCCAGTATTGCAAAGGCAAGAGGTAAAGCTATCATTCCCATGCTTGAGACTATTAGGAGACAAGCAATGGCTCGGAATTCAAAGAGAAGCAAGAAATCTGAAAAATGGGCTGGTAGATACACTAAATATGTGAAGCTGGTTCTTGCTGAAGAGGAGAAGAATGCCAAGAAATGTGAAGTAACTCATGCCTCACATGGACGCTATGAGGTGGAGTTGTTTGGGCAGAAACACAGTGTCAATACTACAAAGAAGACATGCACATGTTTTAAGTGGCAAATATCAGGAATTCCATGTGAACATGCCTATGGAGCTATGCTAGACGCAGGTTTGGATACAGACAATTACATCTATGATTGCTTCTCAACAAGTAAGTTGCAAGATTGTTACAGTGAAAATATCAAGCCAATGAGAGGACCACATTTCTGGATGCATGGTTCATATAGGCTGGTAATAGCTCCTCCTGAACCTGATTTACCTGGAAGAAAGAAAAAAAAGGGAATAAAAAAACGAATCAAAGGGAAGTTTGAGTCACCAAAGAAGAACAAGAAGAAGAAGAAGAAGGAAGTTCAGAAGCTTGGGAGACAAGGTCGCGTTATGCACTGCTCAAAGTGTGGTGAAGCTGGACACAATGCTTCTGGATGTAAGATACACCCAAAAAAAAAGATGAGAATGACTGAGGAGACAAGTGAACAGGTTCGTTGATGTTTCTCTCGGTTATAGTTGCTACAAGTTGTTTTTACTTGTTTCTCTTGGTTAAAGTTGCTGCGAATTGTCTCTTGCTCTCATTCTTATTGATTTTTTGCTTAATTGCTTCTACCTATGTTTCAGGCCACAACTTCATCTCAGGGACTTGAAACGGTTTCAATCACTCAACCTTCTCAAATGTCTGAGTAAAAGTTGGAGTTAATGTGTCCTCCTTTCATGTTCCTCTTAGTATCCTTGAATGTTATTTGAATGCTATTTGTTCATTCTTTGAATGCTATTTGTTTTGGTACTTTGTATGCTACCTTTGAATGCTATTTGTATTGGTATCTATGAATGTTATCTTTGCTATTTGTTTTAGGATTTTTATTAAACCTTATATAAACAAATGCTCGTTTGTACGATTAGTAAGACCAAAAGCTAAACAACTCTTGCGTATGGAACTTTAAATAGCAAAAGCATTACATAATTAAGGTTTGAAAGCAGTACACAATTTGAGAACCCAGAATTTGAGAACTCAAACTCTAATCTTTTCCCCCAATTTGATTTTTGATTTGAGAGAGAAAGTGTCGGGTTATGAGATTTAGAAAGAAAGGTTTTTGGGTCGGGTTACATATGAAACGTCGGGGTTAATCGGGTTTTATGTTGGGGAATCGCTGTTGATAAAACGTGATTTAAGTGTTTTAAACGTGGATTACAGGTTTTAATTCGATTTGAAGGAATAGAAAGAAATCGAAAACATTGGGTGGAAATCAACAGATATGAAAAGTTTGGGTGTGTACAAACGGAAGTGGTACTCTAGAGGGGGTTTTTGGCGGTCAACCCGAAAAAGAATACGTTGGTCACAGTCTAGGGGTTTAGTCCACCGCCATGACAAAATGGATGGAGTACGTCTCCGACGACAACGTCACCGAAACCGGATCCAATGAACACTCTTCGACCTCGATTCTTCAATTTTCTTTTCTTCGTCGTGTGAGGGTAAAACCCGCTCAGAAGCTGCATGTCTCGGAGGAAGAGAAAGAAACCGTATCCCGATCGAGTACACGATGTTCATTAATCTCTGGAGGAGAAAGAGAATACTTCGATCCGATCCTCGTAGATGTCATCATCAATATCTTCTCGAAATCGCCGACCAAGTCTATGGCAAAGTTTCGCTGCGTGTCGAAGCTCTGGTCGTCGATAGTTCGTCCTCCATATTATAAAGAGTTGTTCCCGATCAGATCTCCACCGAAGTTTCTTTTCACCTTCGTAGGAGGAGGAAAGGTTTTCTACTACACTTCACCACAGCCGCAAGATCCAGTCGAAGATTCATCATTAGTAGCCACTCGTCATCATACGCATCCTGTCACAAATCTCTCTCTAGTATTTGGCCCTGTCCACGGTTTGGTCTGTCATCAATGTGTGGGAGAGAATTACATAGTGGTGGTGGTTTCTAATCCCGTCACAGGACAATACGTAACCTTACCCAAACTGATGATGACAACGAAACTGGTTGACGCAAAAAGCTATCTAGGGTTTGATCCAGTCGAAAAACAGTTCAAGGTTTTGTGTGTATCGTGGACCCTTTGTGGAACAGAGAAGGACTTGTCTGTGGAGCATCAAGTTCTCACGTTAGAGAAAGGAATGAGAAATGTGTTATGGAGAAAGATGGATTCTCGCAGCATACCTTTCTGTGCTCAAACACAAAGTGATGATGGGATATGCATCAATGGTATTTTGTATTATTATACAAAAACCCTCGACGAACGAATAATGATCGGTTGTTTTGATGTGAGGTCGGAGAGACTTGATTTAATTCCATTCATATTGGAAGATTCCATTTACACTCTGATAAACTACAAGGGAAAATTAGGTGTGGTTCACAATTGTCACGCTAAGGATTTTGTGTTGTGGGTTTTAGAGGAACAAGAATGGTCGATTCGTGTCTACGAAAAACCCCTTCAATGGCGGCGTGGATTGTGTTCAAAGGAGGCTGTTGGTGTGACTGATAGAGGTGAATTGTTGTTCTGCTCGAAGCATAAAGTGGAGGTTCCTTTCTACATTTTTTACTACAATGTCGAGAGTAACACTGTGGTAAGAGTGAGAGTTGAAGTTCCAGCGTTTGGAAGTTTTAAATGGCCTAGACTTTACACTTTTCCAAACTATATAGAGCATGTGAAGCTTATGTAAAGAAATTTCTTGTAACTTTTATAAAGTTTTATAGGGTTTTATTTGTTTATACTTTTTCAAGGCTATTTGAAGATGTCACAAACTTGGGACACAAGATTTCTTTAATAATCGGAGGTATATGGGCATATAAATACAATGAAGTTACTATAGATACAATTGCCAAATTACAAATTGGAAACTGCCTTTTTCAAGCATGTAAACGTGTTATTTTTGGATCATTACAAGACTCTAAAACAAAGTAGATGACCATTATCCCAAAATAAAATAAAAAAGCTAAATAGGAAGCCCAACTTGCCTGCGGCTTAACGAAACCCATCTTATTGAATGTTGTTGAAGCATGTATATATCGCGAGATCCTGAAAGTGTCGTTTTCTTTTCCATTAACCATCGAGCAGAGCCAAAAAAAAACATAGGGTTATATACTCAGCCGCGATGAGAAATCTTAAGCAGCACGTCACGCAGGAAAACCTAACCGTATCCATGTCGAATAAACGATGTTGTTCAAGCTCTGGAGGAGTAGGATACTTTTATATGATCCCTGTTGATCTCCTCATGAACAATATCTTGTCAAGATTGTCGGTGAAGTCTATGGGAAAGTGTCGATGCGTATCAAAACTCTGGTCGTCCATAATTCGCCGTCCTAATTACCAGTTGTTCCCACAGACGATCAAGTACTCTCCGAATGATATACCAAAGCTCCTTTTCGCCATCAATCTGAAAAAAAAATTGTACTACTTCTCTTCACCTCATCCAGCTGAGAATGACAAGTCATCTCTTGTAGCCACCCTTCTTCATACTCACACAGTGGCTTTCTTTCGATTCTGTGGCTCTATAAGCGGACTAGTCTGTGGTCAGAGTTGGGGAAAGAAATATACAGTGGCTGTGATTTCTAATCCAGTCACAGGAGAATCTGTAACCACACCAAAAGTGAACTTGAAAACGCATGACATTGAGTCAAAGGTAAAATTTTATTTTGGGTATGATCCAATCGAAAAACAGTACAAGGTCTTGCGTGTAACTTGGTTAATCTACGAGACGTTTTCTACTCGGCATTATGTTCTCACGTTAGAGGCTGGAAATCCCAAATGGAGAAAGATCCAATGCTGCAATGCTTACCATCCTCTGATTGATGATGGGATATGCATCAATGGTGTTGTGTACTATACAGCCAAGATCAATGCGAAAACGCGTATGATTGTTTGCTTTGATGTTAGGTCTGAGAAATTTAGTTTTATGGACGTTCATCCAGACTTGGCGACAAAGATTCGTAAAGGTTGGGTATTGACAGATTACAAGGGTAAATTAGGTGCTATTATTATTGATGATGATGATCGTATTGAGATGTGGGTTTTAGAGGAAGCCAAGAAACATAAATGGTCAAAGCAAACCTACCAATTAAATCCGAGCCGTCATTTTTCTGTTGGAGTGAGAGTGACCGGTGGAGGGAAAATTTTGTTTTGCCGAGAGTTTTTAAGAGAAGATCGTTTGGACATTTTTTACTACGATCCCGAGAGGGACAGCATTGAAAGAGTTGAAATTGCAGGGTTTGAGATTCCAGGATCTGAAGTTCTTGATACTACTATGTGTGCAGTTCACACGTTTCCACACTACATAGAGGATGTGAAGCTTATTTGATGTATTTTTGATATTAGATCTTGATTGTTAGGGTCGTTTTTTTTTTTTTTTTTTTTTTTTGTTACTTGTTCATGACTATTTCAAGATTTTAAAATGTTGGGACACAAGTGAGAGTGGGTTGTTTACTTACCTCCATGGACAGTGTATGCTTTCGTAAAATCGAAACTATGGGGCATAAAATTGAGTCATTGAAACAAATAGACAAACAATTGAGAGGAACGTTATGGAAAGTGTTGAAACAAATATATGAGAAATTGAAATGTCAAATCAACAAAATAAATTAAATGGCGAAAAAAAAGCAGAGCTTTCAGAAGTGGTCTTCCATATGCCGTTGTCTCGATCATGGGTACTTGAAATATTTTATATTGGAATCTTATACAGTTTTATGGTTTTTTTTTGTTTACTTGTTCTTGTTCAAGACTATTTGAAGATTTCAGTAAGTTGGGACACGAGACTAACCAAAACAATGCTATCTTGGATCATTTCGAATTACAAGAGTTAGTAGAGATTAGAGAAGATATAATAACTCATTAACCCAAAGCTAGTTAAGGATATGATGTTGTGTTCTAACTTCTAAACGAAGCCCAACTTGTCTTCAGCTTAACAAAGCCCAACTTATTGAGTGTAGTCGAAGCAAAGCCAAAAAAAACAAAAAATAGGGTTATACACTTATACTCGGCCGCAATGACAAATCTTAAGCAGCACGTCACACAGGAAAACCTAACCGTATCCATGTCGAATAAACGATGTTGTTCAAGATCTGGAGGAGTAGGATACATTGATATGATCCCTGTTGATCTCCTCGTCAATAATATATTGTCAAGACTGTCGGTGAAGTCTATGGGAAAGTGTCGATGCGTATCCAAACTCTGGTCGTCGATAATTCGCCGTCCAAATTACAACCTGTTGTTCCCGCGGAGGATCAAGTCTCCGGATGGTCTACCAAAGCTCCTTTTCGCCATCAAAGCCGAAAACAAGTTGTACTACTTCTCTTCACCTCTTAAAAAGTCATCTCTTGTAGCCACCCTTCTTTATACTCATACCTTCACAGATTTATTTCGATTCTGTGGCTCTATATGCGGACTAGTCTGTGGTCAAAGTCGGGGAAAGAATTATACAGTGGCTGTGATTTCTAATCCAATCACAGGAGAATCTGTAACCACACCCAAAGTGAAGACAACGCATGATATTGAGTCAAAGTTTTACTTTGGGTATGATCCAGTGGAGAAACAGTACAAGGTCTTGGGTGTAACCTGGTCAACGGAGAAGGAGTTTTCTACTCAGCACTATGTTCTCATGTTAGAGACCGGAAATCTCTCATGGAGAAAGATCCAATGTTGCAACACTTATCATCCTCTGATTGAAGATGGGGTATGCATCAAGGGTGTTTTATACTATACAGCAAAGAACAATAAAAAAACACTTGAGATAGTTTGCTTTGATGTTAGGTCTGAGAAGTTCAGTTTTGTTAACGTTGATCCAGACTTGGCAACAAATATTTGTGGTATAGGTTCGACACTGATAGATTACAAGGGTAGATTAGGTGCTATGGTTCATAGTTTTATTGAGCTATGGGTTTTAGAGGAGGCCAAGGAACAGAAATGGTCAAAGAAAAACTACAAGTTTAATCCGGGCTCTTCGTATTCTGTTGGAGTGACTGGTAGAGGGAAAATTATGTTTTACCCAAAATATGGAAGAGAAGAACGTTTGCACATTTTTTACTACGATCGCAAGAGGAACTATGTGGAAGGAATTGGAATTGCAGGATTTGAAGTTGGTAGTGAAAGGTATGAAGTTTACACGTTTCAAAACTATGTAGAGGATGTGAACCTTATATGAGTGTTTTTCATACGTTTTTTTTTTTTGTTTTCCCTTTCGTGCAATGTTTCAAGATTCAAAATGTTGGGGACTCAAGTTAGTGGCTTGTTTTACACTCTCATATGTCAGCTAGATTCGACCTTTATATATTACTTGATGTTGAAATGAGAATCCGATATTTTTACCCTTTATTAGAATTTCATCAAAATTTCATGGTTCTTTTAGTTTGTTGATTAAAATGTTTTGGTACATCCTCTATATAGTGTTGAAACAAATATATGATGTTGTGTTCTAACTTCTAGAGAAACCCAACTTGTCTTCTGCTTAACAAAGCCCAACTTATTGAGTGTAGTCGAAGCATATATATATATAATATTGAGAGATCCTGAAAGAGTCGTTTTCTTTTCCATTATTCATCGAGCAGAGCGAAAAAAAAAACATAGGGTTATAGTACTCAGCCGCGATGAGAAATCTTAAGCAGCACGTCACACAGGAAAACCTAACCGTACCCCTGTCGAAAGAACGATCTTCTTCAAGCTCTGGAGGAGTAGAATACTTTGATATGATCCCTGTCGATAAGATTGTCGGTGAAGTCTATGGGAAAGTGTCGATGCGTATCAAAACTCTGGTCGTCCATAATTCGCCGTCCTAATTACAACCAGTTGTTCCCGCGGAGGATCAATTACACTCCGGATGATATACCAAAGCTCCTTTTCGCCATCAAAGCTGAAAAAAAGTTGTACTACTTCTCTTCACATGATCCAGGTGAGAATGAGAAATCATCTCTTGTAGCCACCCTTCTTCATACTCATACCTTCACAGGTTTCTTTCAATTCTGTGGCTCTATATGCGGACTAGTCTGTGGTCAAAGTCGGGGAAAGAATTATACAGTGGCTGTGATTTATAATCCAGTCACAGGAGAATCTGTAACCACACCAAAAGTGAAGTTGATAACGCAAGGGATTGAGTCAAAGGTAAAGTTATATTTTGGGTATGATCCAGTCGAGAAACAGTACAAGGTACTGTGTGTAACCTCCTGGTCAACTGAGAAGGATTTTTCTACTCAGCATTATGTTCTCACGTTAGAGACTGGAAATCTCTTGTGGAGAAAGATCCAATGTTGCAACACTTATCATCCTCTGATTGAAGATGGGGTATGCATTAATGGCGTTTTATACTATACAGCAGAGAACAATAAAAAAACACGTGAGGTGGTTTGCTTTGATGTTAGGTCTGAGAAGTTGAGTTTGATTAAGGTTGATCCAGTCTTGGCGACAAAGATTGGTGGTACTATAGGTTCGACACTGATAGATTACAAGGGTAAATTAGGTGCTATTATTATTAATGATGTTGATATTGAGCTGTGGGTTTTAGAGGAAGCCAAGGAACATAAATGGTCAAAGCAAACCTACGGGTTATCTTCGAACCGTTGGTATTATCATGGAGTGACTGGCAGAGGGAAAATCGTGTGTTACCCAAATGTCCCAAACTCCGGAAGAAGATACGATCGTTTGAAGATTTTTTACTACAGTCGCGAGAGCAACATGCTAGAAAGTGTTGAAATTTCAGGATTTGAGAATCCAGGATCTGAAGTTGGTTATAAAAATTATGAAGTTTACACGTTCCCTAACTATGTAGAGGATGTCAAGCTTATTTAATGTGTTATTTTATTGGATTGTCAAACAGTTTTTGGTGTTTTTATATTTATTATTACTTGTTCAAGACTATCTTCTCAACATCTCAAAATGTCGGGACAGAGCTGGTGGCTCTTTACCCCTTTGCTTTGATAGTCGAAACTATGAACATACAATTGTGTCACTGAGAAACAATTGAGAGAAACGTTAAGGAAAGTGTTCAAATAAATATATGAGAAATTCAAATGACACATCAAAAAAAAAAAAAAAAAAAAAAACAGAGCTTTCGGTAAAATTTAATTTAAAAAATTACCATTTTGTGTGCTTCTTTTATTTCTCTTCCATAGAAAAAGGAGCGACGATCTTACACAAGTAGCCTGACCACTGTACGCGTTGATTCTGAGATCTCTCTCTCTCTCTCTCTCTCTCTCTCACTCTCGTTTTCGCGTTTTAGAGCTCTTCATCGGTCAGTCTGTGTGTAACCGGACGAATAATGGGTATACATCTCTCTGAAATGTTTTCTCCATCTCTTTGATCCGTTTCGCTTTTCTTTGATCTAATCAGTTTCTAGGTTGACCCAAACATTTTTCTGTAAATCCCTTAATTAGGGTTTGTGATCCGTTTATTGTAAATTCGATAGTTGCTCAGCAGATGGTGGGTGATTTGATTATTCGCTTTGCCTCAGTTTTCTTTGGCTGCTGCTGGGAAATTTTGAAACTCCCAAGCAATTCGGAAAATGTAGCAACAGTAGGTTAATTTTGGGTGCTGTTTAAGCCCCTTGAAGTAATTGAGAATCCCAAAATTGTGGATTCTGGGTTATTTCGAGATTTATGGAAACTCAATATTCATAGCTTTCAAAGCCGTTTATTGAATCCAGATTCCTGTGAACTTAGTTGTGCCGTGATGATGATTCTCTTTCTCTCTTCTGTGGTGATTGGTGAATACAGATAGCGCTTGCTCCACTCAGCTTATTGATGGAGATGGTGTCTTTAATGTTTCTGGGGTTGATAGCTTTATCAAAGGGGTTAAACTGGAACAATGTGGTCTTTCTTATGCCGTTGTCTCCATCATGGGTCCGCAAAGTAGCGGTGTGTATAAATTCCATAAATCGTAGAATGTGTGTTTTCAAATTCTGTATTGATTTTTGGTCTATCAGGAGATTTCATCTCGTTCAGCTTGAATTTGCAGGGAAGAGTACGCTGTTGAATAATCTGTTTGCAACAAACTTTAGGGAGATGGATGCATTTAAAGGAAGGCATGCTCTTATTTCTTACGCTTACTTATCTTGAGAGAATATGTAGCCTTCTAATTTAAGTTTTGTTAAACCCTGAAATACCTTGATTTTAGGTCTCAAACTACTAAGGGAATTTGGGTTGCAAGATGTGCTGGTATTGAGCCATGCACTATTGTGATGGATTTAGAGGGTACTGATGGAAGAGAGCGTGGCGAGGTGTGTAGCCTCATTTCCTCACCTATTTCATTTTCGTTGAACAAAGTCTTAACTTTGTTTCCGTGTTTACTTACACCAAGAAGTGGTTTTAAAGAACTCATCAATGCCGAATTGCTCACTTGCTTAAATTTTCCTTTTCTTTGGCTGTTAGGATGATACAGCGTTCGAGAAGCAGAGTGCTCTTTTTGCATTGGCTGTCTCAGATATAGTTCTTATAAACATGTAAGCGCTTTTCTTTATTGTATTCTCACTGGGATTAATACATATTCCCAGGTCTCTGATCGTCTTCATCTTCTGTCTTATGGTTTTGTGGATCCGTAATGCAGGTGGTGTCATGATATTGGTCGGGAACAAGCAGCTAACAAGCCTCTTTTAAAGACGGTCTTCCAGGTATGCATGTGTATGTTTTTTTTTTTAATCAGAAATGAGTAATCTGAGATCTGAAACCTCAGCACTGTTTGCTTTCCCTTCTACATTCTAACAGGTTATGATGCGTTTGTTTAGTCCGCGAAAGACAATTTTGATGTTTGTCATACGAGATAAAACACGGGTATGACTTCTTTTCTGTATTATGTTTACTTTTGTGTGTGTGTATCTGGTTATTTCTTTTCAGTATTTGCTTCGGAGCTTTCTAATTCTTGAACATTTGCAGACACCATTGGAAAATTTAGAGCCTGTGCTGAGGGAAGACATTCAGAAGGTAAGAGAAGAAACGATTGGCAGCTTGTATTGTTTTGATTTAATGTTCTATTCCTCACACTTTTATTTAAATGCAGATATGGGATTCAGTTCCTAAGCCTCAAGCACACAAAGAAACTCTCCTAAGTGAATTTTTCAATGTACGGTAGCGAGCTTTGGTGTTTGTGTAGAGCTTGGGATCGTTCTTCTTTCACCGGGATAAAGAAATAGCTTTGTTTCATTTGTGACAGGTCGAAGTGGTCGCTCTCTCCAGCTATGAAGAAAAGGAAGAGCAATTCAAAGAGCAGGTATTTCATAGCATGATCAATTGTAGATTTATGAGAAAGCTGGTTTGACCTGTGTATTGCTGCTGAAGATAGATGGCTTTCAGGTGAAATGATGCTTGTCATAAAATTGTTTATTGTAAATGAAGGTTGCTAATTTGAGACAACGGTTCTTCCACTCTGTTGCACCTGGCGGACTTGCGGGTGATAGACGAGGAGTAGTCCCTGCAAATGCGTTTGCTTTTAGCGCAGAACAAATGTGGCAAGTCATCAAAGACAACAAAGACTTGGATCTTCCAGCACACAAGGTACCACTGCTTGCTTGTAGTTCTTACCCATACGTCATAGCTTCCTCTTGGTGTTGTTATTTATGAGCTGACTTGCAGGTCATGGTTGCAACAGTGCGTTGTGAGGAAATTGCCAATGAGAAGTTTTCCCATTTCATGGAAAATGAGGTGATTACTCTTATCAATGCCTATTTTTCTTACAGTGGTCTTTGTGTTAATACACCCTCTCTGAGATGCTTTTTAAATCTGCTCTAGGATTGGCGTCAGTTGGAAGAAGCTTCGCAGTCAGCTCCTGTTACCGGATTTGGAAAGAAGCTGAGTCCAATTCTTCAGTCTTGCTTATCAGAGTAAGAATATCCTATATATATACTTTGCATAGATTTCTTCTGGGTAAATAGTCATTAACCATGAGACCTCTGAACCAACCTGCCTCTATCACTCTGGTGTTATCTAAACTTCGGTGATCAGTAATAGCCACTATGCCTTTTTTATTCTTAAGACACTTTAATACACTTTATTCATGTATTTACTGGTGGACTTATTCAAACACAACACTATTTCGTTTGCAATAGGTATGACACTGAAGCCACGTATTTTGACGAAGGTGTGAGATCTTCCAAGAGGCAACAGCTGCAAGAAAAGTTATTGCAAGTAACGCGTATTCTTATAACTTGTGACTGTCAAACAGAAGACTCACCTTATGGCACAATGCCAATACTTTTCCTTCGACTCATTTTCTGTTTTTAATCTATCCAGCTTGTTCAACCAGCTTTCCAAGATGTGATTGGACATCTGAGATCTGGAACACTTGAAAACTTCAAAGAGGCTTTTGAAAAGGCTTTGAACGCAGGAGAAGGGTTTTCATCATCTGCACACTCCTGTGCTCAGTCTTGCATGTGTCAGTTTGACAAAGGATGTGAAGGTATAGCTTATTGCTGGTGTTACACTTAACATAACATCATGAAAGAAGGACAGCATAATGGAGCTTGAAAAATAATTTATGTTTTAATTTTCGTCTGATGTAGAGGCTGTGATTGAACAAGCAAACTGGGATACATCTAAAACTCGGGAAAAGCTTCAGCGTGATATTGATGCCCATATTGATTCTGCTCGTGCTGCGAAGTTGTCTGAACTGACTACGCTTTATCAGGTGGATAGATTACACAGTTGTTTCCTTTGATTTTTGTATTATGGAGTATCTCCAAAAGCCAATCATATAGTTGGAAAATCTCATTCAAACTTTCCTAATAGAATTACACTGTTGCAGTCAAAGCTAAACGAAGCATTAGCTGGACCGGTGGAAGCTCTCTTAGATGGAGCTAATGATGAGACGTGGCCAACAATAAGAAAGCTACTAAAACGGGAAGCAGAATTGGCCGTCTTTGGTCTCTCCAACGCATTATCTGGTTTTGAAATGGATGAAGCAACACGCAACAAAATGCTCACTGACCTCGAGAACTACGCACAAGGTGTTGTTGAAGGGAAAGCAAAGGAAGAAGCTGGACGGGTGTTGATGCGTATGAAGGATAGGTTACACCCTTTTCCTCATTTTTTCCTTCTCAAATAGTTTCATCCATTTGTTCTTTCTGATTAATCATAGCTTCAATCCAGGTTTGCAACAATCTTCAGTCACGATTCTGATTCAATGCCACGTGTCTGGACTGGAAAAGAAGACATCAGAGCAATTACCAAAATGTCTCGCTCTGCAGTATGAATCGTTCATGATAGCTAAAATTTCAGTACCTATACTTTGGTGAGATCACAATTTTCTTTCGATTTAATGTTACCTTGTTTGCTTTTCCAGTCCTTGAAACTGCTGTCGGTTATGTCTGTCATCCGCTTAGACAACGAACTCGACAATGTCGAGAAGATCTTGTCGCTTGCTCTGGTTGATTCCACAAACAACACTTCTTCAAGCAAGAGCATCACCACTGCCGATTCCCTCGCTTCAAGCACTTGGGAGCAGGTGACTAAAATATATCTCTATTTGTTCTATCCATGCACACAAACCTGCGAGACAAGCTAAGATGCTTTTGTTTACCATCTCATTGTCAGGTCGCACCAACAAAGACATTAATTACACCTGTTCAATGTAAATCATTGTGGCGACAATTCAAGAATGAGACACAATATACCGTTACACAGGCCATTTCTGCACAGGAAGCTAACCGAAGAAATAATAATTGGATGCCACCTCCATGGGCAATGGTTGCCTTAGTTGTTCTTGGCTTCAATGAATTTATGACTCTTTTAAGGTACTCTTTACATTTTCTCTTTAAGCTTTTGAGCTTTGCTTTATCATTAAACTGATCCTTTTGCCTCTCT